AATAACTTTTCAGGTGTCTCAGTTAGCTTTTCAGTCGGATATTTGTATATATAGCTTTTATTGTTGCATCGGTATTCAATTTGCCCACCTGTCCTCCTTTGTCAATTAGTGTAAATTTTTTTTTGCCTGGTACCATAGATATTTCTCCTTCCAATAAGTTTTCTACTTCCCATTTCACTACTTGTTTTTCTAGTGTTTAGATTCTTAAGAATCAGAATTTGATTTCTGTTACCAACAAATAATTCTCTTCCATTACTTTATTTTTGGTGCTTCGAACGAACGAACTCACTCTTGACCTGACAGGTAAAGCGCTCTGTTTCCATGTCTAAATTGCGTATCCAATTTTGTATACCAAAAACTGCAAAAATAGTAGAATGGGATGTGCATTACCTTATTATTACTTTAACTTGGAGGCTTTGTTTTATATGCTTGAGCTTTCAAAGGCCTAAACTCAACGCAGCTTCAACATCCAATCTCCATGCAAACCCTCCACAGTCCATTCGCCAAACATCACAAGGTACCATTTTTGAACTGCACCTGTCTTTCTCCTCTTTGTCATTTGACAATCTCACCCAGCATGTAAATGCAGATTTATACATATATGGCACCAGCTTTTCTTTTCTCACCAACCACACCACTATTTCCTGTCTGTCATTCTTCTCTTTCATCACAGACATCATCTTCTTATAAGCCCCGTTTACCCACCGCACGTTATTTGAACCATCTGATATGAATCCAGGACGCGTGTCCTCTTCTAGATTCTTCACTCTCTCCACATCTGTACACCCTAACAAACCTCCGCCATCCATGCAAGCTTGGTTGATGTCTGTCACGCACTCTACCGTCACCCATGACTCCGCTATTACCACTCTCTTTTCAGGAACCGTCATCACCGTCGTTGGATTTTGATCAATCACTGGATACTTTAACTTCAACGGCTGATTATTCTCTGATTGCTTGAATAATTTATTGTCCGGATTGCACCAGGATCTCTCTAAATCAAGTGGATCCGTCGGCTGATTACTTCTCTCCGGCAGCAACTGCAGAGTAACAACATCCGTTTGCTTTTCTTTCTCTTGATGATCTGATGACGATGGACAAACCTTTTGGTTTCTTTTGATGAATCTGTTATTTTTACGAACCCTAACGTACTTTCTCCTGGTTTTTCGCTTGGAAACTAACGAGCTCTTATTATTCAAGGAAGGGACACCGGAATCTGGACCTCCGGAGGCCGGTTTTGGTGCAATCGGCCTGAATCTGAGCATTATTTGGTTGATTATCATCTTATCGTGCACGCCACCGGCGCATCTTATCATCCGCCACCTTTCTCCACCGTCCATTTCTCGAAAACACTCTTATCTCTCGTCTCTATTTTTAGGAGAGCATCTCTGTTTGGGAGAAGTTGAGGAATTAATCAAGCTATCAAGCGATAATCAAATGAAGCAAGAGGAGAAGACATTACAGAAATAGAAAAAGGAACACGTGTCTAGGGCAAACTGGGACAGTAAAGAAACGCAATTGGCTAGGAAAATTTGGAGGAGAGAAGGGTCCAGCTAAAAAGAAAGGTAATTAAGGCGATGGGAATGGTCCCACAAGAATCAACCAATAGGAGAAGGGAATGTGTGCAGCACTGCCGAAAGAAATTGGACACGTAGCATTTTTCCTTGATTGTCGTGTCGTGTCACTGTTCACTTTGGTGGAAATGTGCAAAAAGGCTTTTTGTTAGGTTCCAGAAACCGCACACGTGGTTTGTTTCTATAAGAACTTCTGTACCCCGCGGTTCAGTTTTAATTAATTTCTTTCACTCGCTTCTCACACAAAACTAACCTTTCTAACTATTGGTTCACATAATTACTACTCCCTTTGTTCCGTTGCTTTAAAACACACACAAAAAACAAAACACAGGGATTAGGACTGTAGTTAAATAGATATTTTTATCGATTCTTTACCTACAAATATCTCTAATCTGCTTTAAATACATAATTAATGAGTAGAAAATCAGGTCACCAACGGTCTTTTCTTAAGATTCGAAGAGTTTCTTCAACTTCAAATTGAAATATTATAATATAATAATCACATCATTTTTGAAAATAGAATACTTCCATGGAATAAATAAAGCAAAATGATAGAAATCTGAGTTAAAAATCAATCCAATAATATTTAGTTCAATTCAATTGGACGTTGGCGATAAATTCGTTTCTTGATTTATTTTACAAATAAGGCGGGACAAAATGATATTAAATTGAAAATAAAATTGATAATATTCAGTTCAATTCGATTAAACTGCTCACAACAAGATTGGTTCTCAATTTATTTTAGTCCAAATAAAAATTTCAAGGTAGTTTGACTTTATAAATCTAATAAGCTATGCTTAAAACCAAATTATATATATATATTGTGACTTTAAAAATCTAATAAGCTATGCTTTTAAAACCAAATTATATATAATATATATTACTATATATATATATAATATATATAAAACTCGAATCGTGTGGTAAACTCGAATCGTGTTGGTTTGATTCAAAACGAATTACTATCTTTCCAAGAAATATAATATAATCTCTTATAAATAATAAGGATTATACGTACGGCTGAGGGGGGCAGGAGGTGGCTCAAAGTGCAAGGCATGCGAGTGGAATAGAATAAAAAGAGACACCAGTTGGTGAAGGACGCGTGGCATTGAATAGATTGGATTGTACGACGATAGCCAAGATATATTGATTATTTTATTTTATTTTATTGCTTTAAAGAAAAGAAGAACTAATTGCGTTTGTCCCACTGGTTGTTGTTTTGCTGCCACGTATGAGGCTTACAGCCTTTGTTGTAAATCCACGTTCTAATCCGATATTTTTTGACAGCGACTTTAAGAGCTTCATGCCAATTGGATGATGCTCCCTTACATCCTTACTAAAATTTTTTTTTATTCGAAGGAAAATTATTAAAATATAGTAGTAGTCGTAGTACACTATCATTAAGTGATATCCCCTAACATCATTATTTGCACGACAGCACTTACTTCGAATCCTGCTATCCTAGTATCTATTCCATGAGTGATTTTAAACTATCCAATTCTATTATAAAAAGACTCTTCAATTAACTTTGTAGACTTTATTTTCAAAAATAAATAAAATAAAATGTAAAATTTTAAGAATTTAAAATTTAAATTTTGGATTGAATACCAATCCTATCTGCTTTTAAAAGATAAGCAACAACTATTATTTTGAATTCTCCAACTTTTGCACTCTCAAATATTTTATTGCGTATGAAATCCTCTTTTGAGATCTCCTAAGAATTGCTGCTCTACAGTCTACAAGCTTTGCTTGCCAATTAGTCCTACTTATGAGGGTCCCTCTTTAGCAATACTTTGTACAAGCATCTCAAAAAAAACAAAAAAAATTAGTATTACTCTTTTTTTTTTTATATATATATAATTTTCATCTTTTTATCTGCAAAGAATTCTTGATTGAAATACTTAAAAATGGTATTTTCTATAGAAATAGTATTTTTGCTTATTTCCACTATCCTCAATACCGAAGAAAGAGTTCAGCTCGATTTGCAATAGAAAAACATACTATCATTATAGCATAACACATTTATAAGTTTAAAGTGATTTACCTATTACTTCCAAGCGGTTATTTTTGACACTTTTAACTTTTTACAAAAATAATAAAAAAAAAGGGGTCAACGTGAGCATGACTAGAGATATCAATTTTACGCGATCGGATCTGATTTTAATTCATTCGGATAATGAAAAAATGAATTTTAAACAGGTTGGGATAGTATTTTTACGATCTATACCACTACTTGTTTAACAAATATTCAAAAAGATTTAAAATATAATTAATGTTGTAACTATATCTAATATTTATACTATATTTTTTTAAGTCAATATAATAATTTTATAATTTTTATAGTATGAAATCAAACCGCACTATTTTTACACAATTTCTAATACGGTTTTGGAATTTGTTTCAATTTGAAATTGAAATCGATAATTTATTTCAAACTTTTTAAAATCTTTTTTATATTTATGGCTTGAATAAATAATAATAACAAATATTAATTTTGAGAAAACACTGAAGCAATTTAATAAGAATTCTTAAAAATTAATTTTAAAAAATTATAATAAAAAAAAAAGTTGAATGATTCTTTAAAAAAACATGATTCTCGCGGTTTCAAACCGGAACCACTAGTTTTATAAACCAAAATTGCCAGTTCTAGTTTCACAAAAATAAAAAACCGAAACCAAACCCTAAATCACGATTTTCATTAGAGTGTAAAATCTCGAATCATTCATCACAACTTATTGCCGGTTTGACAAGTTCAATTTCAATTTTTACTAAATTACCCTTTAACTAATTATTTGTAATTAAGAAAGACAATTTGATGAAAATATTTAGATTATAGTAAGATAATAAACACCCCCTTTAATTTTTGAAGTGAAAAAAAAAGGGTTAAAAATGGCCAAGATTAACAGAAGAAAGATAATAATATTTAAATCACACTCACATTACTAATAATAAGTTCTACAATTAATCCATTAATACTACAACATTCCTAAAACAAATCAAATGCAACAGGAGACCATTTAGAAGTATGAGTGTCACAATTTGAATATCTAAGTAGCTGATTTTGCTTTGTAATTTCACATTTTCTTTTTCATAAATAAACACCTATGCACTGATTATCATGTAAAAGAACATAAGTTTCACATATTTATTATTCAAAAAGTAAACTTTACTTCCAAAAGAAAATTATGCATGCGGCATTTCTCTTTAATAGTTTTGATAGAGACATTAACGCTTGGGCCCTTTCAATCATATATGTATTTTCATACAAATTAATATTACTTGAAATAATAAATTGGGAGATAATGACAAAACAAAATGGCAAGCTTTCTACATACATGAAGAGAAGAGAAACCATCTTTCTTCGTGTGTGTGTGACTGTGTGTGTTCAGTGACAATTTGACATTATTAACTCAAACCATCTTTCTTGCTTAAGGTCAAAAAAGAGATGAGTTAGGTATTTAAAAAAGCCTTTTTTCACTATTTGCAAAAGAAGATAACCACTCGACAATAGATGGCAGTAAAAGCTTTTGTAATGCCAAATGCCGAATTCCAATTAAGCAATTTTTGATACACATAGCAATCAATGGAGCGGAACCCCAAAAGATAGGGCAAAAGGAAAAAAGTAAGGCCATTTAGAAGGTTCTCTTCATCCCCCCCCCGCCCCCCCCCCCCCCTCCTGCGTGGCAAGAAGAGCACAAAGCACGTTATCAACCAATTCATCCCCCCCTTTGATTCTTACTCCTCTTTGAACTAATCAATCCTTCACACATTCATTAATTTCTTCTTCTTGTTCCTTCTTTTCCCTTTTCAATTTGTTTTTAAATATTTTTATGCAATTGTCGTTCTTCTTCTTCTTCTTCTTCTTCTTCTTCTATAAATATGTATAGACTACAGGTCGCATCCCTTCTTGGTTTATACTTGCTCCTACAGATATTTACTTACTTACATATTATATATATATATATATATATATATAATATAGCAATTCCCAAAACAATTAAATTTCTTGTGATGTGGGTGAGATCCGGGCAGACTGCGTACCTTGCGCGCTCAGGAGTCATGGATACGCTAAGGACAGGACCGAGATAGATGACTTCGAGAACACGTCATCGCGTTCTCGAATCGGGTGAAGCACATGGTACCGCGACCACACGTAATGCAGAACGTGCTCAGCCAGATCCCCGCTAGGTTCATGTTCAGACACGATTTGTAACATACCGGGCCAGCCAGCTCAGACACTAGGTTGCCTGTCATTGGGGATGGGTATCGAGATGGTCTATTCAATCTGCAGCATAGTGCCCCTAGTCATAATGATGAGAACTTCCAAAAAGATCTAAGCCGCATGAAGCTATTACAATCGAAGAATATAAAAAAAAAAAAAAAAAAAAAATAAAGAAAAAACAACCTTACCGTTCATCTTAACTTAAAGATGGGAGTTTCTTCTTCCAGGGCTTTCAAGGAATTTTTTATTTTACCCCTGAAACTTTATTTTTCTTTCTTGGGGGTTCCTGGTTTTTCTGGTTTCTTTTTCTCCATTGTCAGAAAGTCCCAACTCCAGAGCTGCTTTACCGTCTAGTCGCCATCAAAATACCCTTATATATATATATATATATATAAACACAAACCTTACGTTCATCTTAACTTAAAGATGGAGTTTCTTCTCCAGCTTATCAAGGAATTTTTATTTTACCTGAAACTTTATTTCTTTCTTGTTTCTGTTTTTGTTTCTTTTTCTCCATTGTCAGAGTCCCAAACTCAGAGCTGCTTTAACGTCTAGTCTCCATGCAAACCCTCCACACTCCGTCTTCCATACATCACATGGTACCATCTGTGAATAATTCTCCTTCTGCCACGCGTACTGTAACCTAACCCAGCACGTAAACGCATTGCAGTGCAGATAAGGCAACACTTTCTCTTTTATCGCTAACCGTACCGTAATCTCCGGAGACGATGACTGCCCCCTGCTGTTGTATTCCGAGCCCACCGTTACCATCTTTTTGTAAGCTTCGTTTACCCACTGTACTCTATTTGAACCGTCCGATATAAATCCAGGACACGTGTCCCTCTCCAGATTCTTTATTTTCTCCACGTCCGTTCTCCCTAGTCCTTCTACCAAATCCATGCACGTGTCTGTCACGCTCTCGACCATCACCCACGTCTCTGTTGTTCTTTTCTCAGGCATCACCGCCGTCCGATCTGGAACGGAAACACGAAGACCAAGATCACCGTCGTGCACTTGTTTGCTTAAGTCAAACGACACTAGTGGATCTGTTTTCTCTTGCATGCTATCTTTTCTTACCGTAAGATCAAAACTGCTGCAAGATCCTCTCGCCTGAGATAAATCAGGCGTTAGATCAGTTCTTTCTGGAAGTAACTGGCGCGTGAAAATCTTCTCGTTTTGATCATCTTCTTTAACAGCTTTCTCTAGATCTGTAGATTTCTTCTTCCTTCTTCTCTTGTAATAATCGTTATCATTATTCTTCTTAACCCTAACGTACTTTCTCTTCGTTCTTACTCCAGAAACCACACCGTTCTTGTTCTCAGGCTTCCAGCCACCGGCGCCAGAGCCGTCGAAGGCTGGTTTCGGCGCAATCGGTCGGAATCTGAGCATTATTCTGTTGATTATCGTCTTTTCTTGAGCACCAGCGGCGCACGCAATCACGCGCCACCCGTCTCCACCATCCATCCCTGGTCTACCTCCACGTACCTCCGCTCTCTCCTCTCTCTGTTTCTGTCTTTTTCTCTAGAGCAAAACTAACAAACTCTCTACCAGAGACAACGCAGACGATAATCAAAGCGGCATCACGGTGGCTGGGTGGAGAAACACCACGTGTCTAGGGCAACTCTTAATACAGTGAAGAGAAGTGATTGGTTGGAAAAAAAAAATTTTGGATGGGACCCACTGAATAAATTGACGTTATAGGGGTTTCCAATTGGTCCCTTGTGTTAACGAATGAAAGAAGAGGACGTGTCCAGTTATCATAAAAAGAAGGGTACACGTGCCTGTTTTGGTTTGGGAGGTTGCATAAAAAGTGATGTTAAAGTGGAAATGTAGGTTCGAGAAATTGCACACGTGGTTCAATCCTGTTAACTTGGAACAAGATTTTGGACTTCATCTGCTCTACCTCTACTCCTTTTTTTTTGTCTTTTTAAATATTTCTCACTCTCTCCTCTTGGCGCGTGACATTTTTACAAATGAATAGTTACTGTCGTTTTTCATAATATGTTAAGCTGTCTAAGTACGAAACGTTTTCTTTTCTTAAAAATTCTTAAATATTTCTTTTCTTTTCTTAAAATTCTTAAAAAAATTCGTCATTTTAGCAAAGTAAATTATATTTAAATACTTGTTAATGAAACATCTAAAATACTTAAAATGCTAAATAATTGATTAACTATTTTAAATTAATTTATAAACTAAAAAATATATCTTAAATCAAATTTTAAAAATAAGTAATCAAATTAAACAAACTTAACTAAAAGGCAAATAAATGAAAATAATTTCTAATAGTACTTTAAATTTATGACAAGAAAATTTATTTAAAACACTTCTCAAGAGGTAAAAAAAAAAAAAGCAAAATGAAAAAAGAAATTTATATAACATTTTAAATTTGTCATATTAAAAATATTTTTGTTATTAATTTATGATGTCTTGTTGGGATAGTAGATAAATTAATCATGTTAAGAAAATACTAAAAAATTTACAATACTTGTAAATGATAAAGTAGTAAAAAAAGTCGGTGGATTGGGACCATTACAAAATGAATAATATTTTTGAGGGGTGATTTCGACATTGGCTTCTTAATTTTAGCATTAATGCATTTTATCCTGCCTATTATAATAAAAAAAATAGTATCTTGAATTTAATTATGCAATATTAAAATTAAAAAACTAAAAATAAAATATACACAAAATTAAAAATGAAATAAAATAATATTTACTAAATTTATAATAAACTTTTTATGGCAAAGAATTCAAACTGAAACTTAAAACCATACACTTTGTACATCTCTTTCAAAACGTGAGAAGACCGACAAAATAAATTTTTTATTACAAATTAAAGTTTACACATAATAAAATGCAGAAGTAATAAATTGAAGGACTAAGAACGCAATGAATCGTAATGTCAAAAAAAAAGAATGCAATGAATGGTTGCTTTAGACAAAATGGTGAAAGGGAAGTGTATATTATAATTGGAGGTGAGAGAGTGAGAGTTGGATTTGTAGGAAGAACCTGAAAGGAATGAGGGACGCGTGGATGGTCGATGGCGAATAGGATCTTGGGAAAGATTTGTGGGGAAAGGGAAATGTCGTTGTCGGGAGACTATACAGTTCATAATGGATTTATTGTAAGTAACGAACGTCCTCTCTCCTTTTATAAATAATAAGGGATTACTGTGCTTGGGAAAGGGAGACTGTTACTATTTATTTATTTTCTCTTTATTTTTCACTCTAAATATTAATTTTATAAAATTAAAATTTTTAATTCCCAGGGGGAAAGGGATTACTGTGCTTTTGATTACTAATTCCAATTGAACTTACTTACGTGTGGACTTGAGCATAATAATTCTCCATCCAGTATTACTTATGTGACTAAAGACTGATTTATATGGGGATTGGACGCAGTGGGTTGAGATGAAGGCTTCGAGATATACCTATAAACATGACAAATTTTAGGTTAAAGACTTAAAATTAGTGATTTGACTCTCTGATTTTATAATAGCATTACGATTCATATCAAGTTTCAAAAATTTAAATATATAATAATTTTAAAATAAATCATTTTAAATATACACCCAACATTTTGAAATTCCAAAATTTCAAGCAAATAAATGAATCCAATCACAGCATATAAATTAATTTCACAAATACAATTCATATTCAGAGAAATTTCAATAATTCCTCCGCCTTTTTTTTATTGCAGTAAACAACAAAACAATTGATATAAATAATGTCACAAAATAACTTATTTCAACGGCAGGTTATACCATCCATCGAAGGTGAAAATACCCTCTCAAATTTTATATGTTGTTCGCATTAATGAAGCAGAATCTGGATTGTAGTACTGAGAAGAGTAATCAAACCAGAAGAATATATCACTTCAGAGAAAAAAAAGAAAAAAATCTAACAAAAATTCATGCAAGGGACAAAAACATAATTTGTTGTGTAAGGAGTAGCTTATTTTCTTCCTCAATTTAACAAAGAAACAGGACTCTTCAGGTCAACTCCATTACAATATGTCCACCAATTTGCCATGGCTTTCCGACAAAATAATTATTGCCATTGCCAATCCAAGTCCTCCCATAAGCATTACAGTGAGATAAACTGGTTGGAAGCTAGTTGACAACATCGAGAACAAGCCTGCGTGACTTGAGAACTGACCACTTCAAGCGCCGGTAATACGCTGCCTGAAGTAATGCCAGTGAGAGTACAAATATCCACTTAAAACCCATCTGCATCAGAAGGCATGTCAAGTCAGGCACGAAAAAATTTAATGATATTAGGCTATGAAAATAGGACTTGAAGCCACAAATACCAATTTCCTTTCTTCCATTTCTGGTTCTGCAGCCCATGATAAAAATGATACAACATCTTTTCCCATCTGCACAACAAAGGCACAAACAATGTTGAAGAGACTGAGCTCTATATGCAACCTCAGGGTTGAGAACAACTTTAATCTTTGAAGCTACGTGCCTCTTCTCACGCAAAAGTAACAAATAAAAGGAAAACAAACCTGTGCTTCTGTTGCAGGCGTACCATCTTCATACTCAACAGCACCGTCATTCAACATTTTAGGCATGGCAATAGCTCCTCCAGGAAAGTAAGGATTGTAATGCAATCCCTCCCTGATCTAAAGTATCCATTGTTTATTTTACGTAAGAAAGAGGAACGCATATTCATCAGAAAACAGAACCATGGACTCTATAGCATAAAATGAAAGCAAGATAAATCTAATTTCCACAGGCACAAACAAGTTTCCCACTGTTATACTTAAGGCATTATTAACTATGCAACTTTAAGAGTAAGAATTAATAGTTTGCAGACTAGCAGGAAAACCTATCCCAGACCAGCCATCATTCCTCCAAACAAAATGGATTTTCCCACCAATTAAAACTGTTACACATGAAAAGGGAAGAATGGAATGTTTAATGCATCATCAAAAAAGCTTTTTCTTGGAATTTAACCCATGCAGGTAATCTACCAACAAACAATACCCACACAAGAAACTATATTACCTTATCAAGAAAGGTACTTAGATACAATTGAAATCTGTATTTTTCCACCAAGTTATTAAGGTAAATTTGTATGTTGTGTACAAATCATGTAGTAAAAGAGACTCGGAATAGAACTTACAGAAACACCAGCAGGAGGGTCACGGTATCCTGTTAAGAGAGCGAAAACATAGTTCTGACCATTGTGACGAGCCTGCAAGAACAAAGAATAAGAAATCTCTAAAATATAATTCAGATCTTCAAAAAACATATAACAGGGAGTTGCGCATTTACTTTCGTAATAAGACTTAGATCAGGAGGATAGGCCCCTCCATTAGCAAATCTAGCTGCTTGTTCATTTGCATATGGCTGAGGAAACCGATCACTGAGTTTACCAGGACGGGTAAACATCTCGCCCTCATCATTAGGCCCATCAACCACCTCAATCTCAGCTGCCATAGCTTTCACCTCATCTTCTGTGTATGCAACACCCACTAAATCACGATATGATATCAAAGACATAGAGTGGCAAGATGCACACACTTGTGTGTAAACTTGGTGGCCACGACGAATCCTGCAGATACAAAATTATGCCATTAGACACCACATATTATCTGCAACAGTGATACAGATACACCTGTCGAAAAAATTTTGTTCTCCAAATAATATCCAAGCTTCGCAGAGTATGATATGTATACCATAAACAACTATTCCACTACTAAGAACAGATACATTGACTCAGATTAAGAAAGCATCGCCAGTGATTATGGGAAAGACATTTTTGCGTATGATTTGAATCAAAGCTTAGTCATTAGCACTTTGTGAAAATTGATGGATTGTATGCTTAAGCACAAAGTCTATGGCAAAAGATGTTAAAATCATACTACTCACGAAGCATGGTCATATGAACTAAGGATGCCTTTGTGAGGCCAAGGATAGTTTGGACACTCTAATCCATGTTCAGCCTCGTCGGCAGATGCTACCGTTGCAAAACTCAGAATCCCTGAAAGACCAGCTCCAAGGAGTGCAAAAGTTCTCAAGGACTTCATACCCGCAGATCCAGCATCTTCATGAACTTTCTTTGAAGTAAAGATGGATAAAAATGGAGAAGCCTGCAGAAAAATGTGCAAACGTTTAGCAAAGAGAAATTCCACTCCCAATATGCAAACTGAGAAGGTGCATACAAAGCAGCACCACTGTTTTCACATGGCAGAATCAAAATCAAGAAATTAAGATATAAAATGGTGACCATGGATCTGGAGAATCATTTCCATGTGATCTCACTTAGATAAACATATATAAAAACAGCTATTTTGAGGAAGCACATAAAACCAAGATTTAAAAATCAGAATGGAAGGGGGAAGAACCCTTACAGCAGTGTGTGACTGAAGTTTTCTCCTCAAAAGCTGGTGGATCATTCCTCCTCCAGCCATTTTGGTAAATATTTCTGTTGACTTCACTAAAAAACTACATATCATTAACAACTATAAATGAAGATTAAAAAAAAAAAAAGTCAAGAAGTACAATGTGCAATTTTGAGATGTGAGAATTTGACTTAAACCATGAATCTACCCAGACACACCCACAAGATTTCAGGGATCTGGAGTGAGTTTATATCCCTAAACCAAAGAATTATCACACAAAATGTTATTTAAAACAACTAAACATGCAAAATATAAAGGCAGACAAATGAGGATTCAGTTGAGAGTTTATTGTGTATGGCTAAGGGTCATTGTCAGATATTTCAAGCTTGTTAATAAGAGCATCAAATTTGGGTGAAGCATTTGCATACACACCTTAAGATAAATACAAAACCAGGCCAAACCCATTGCCACCCCTTAGCTCAATGGTAACTTTACTATAAAGGTACAAAATTTGATCTGATGAATGTTATGAAATTAAGCATAAAAAGATATTCAAAAGCAGTACAACACTCATTGTAAGTAAAAAATCAAGATTATTCTTATTAAGTTTTTCTCAAACATAGTGATGGTTTGAAAGAAAACATAATGAACAACTAAACATTGTATTTAAACATTTATAAATTCTAAATTCTGCTTGCATAACAGGACATCAATAAAACATAAAATTTCCACATTCCAAAACAGCAAACAACAAAAACTTTTAGTTTATCCAGCCCAAATTTTTATTTCACAAGAATCAATTTCCGAAATTAGACTATTTAACTATTTCAAATATCAGAATAAAACAAACATGACTAGCAAATGGATAGGAAATTTCACTAGTGTTTGCTTCAGCAGAAACAAATTATCCCCAGGGAAAAAAAAAAAGATAAATAGAAACATATAGAAGAATCTGAATGCATAACCACAAAATTAAAACCTGAACACGTCTCCAACTACAGTGACATAAAAATTGTAACTTCTTTTCACCCTAAAAAAAAGAAAAGAAAAGAAAAACAAAACAACCTTATTTACTTTCTCCAGCCCTCTCTTTTAGTTTATATCATAACAATGAATTTCCTCCAAAAAAAAAAAAAAAAAAAAAAAAAACTACAGTGAACCATATAAAATGTAACTTTTTCACCCTAAATAAAAAGCAAAAGAAATGAAAACAAAACACCTTATTTATTTCTTCCAGCCCTCTCTTTAGTTTATAATCAATAACAATGATTTCCTCCAAAAAAAAAAAAAAAAAAAAACACGGCCAAGAAAAAACCACAAAAAAAAAAAAAAAAAAAAAAAAACACGGCCAAGAAATAACCATCAATACAAAATTGTGCATGCTTTTAGCTCTACAGGCCACAGAACAACATGCACCGACAAAATCAGACACACAAATGAACACCAAAATACCAAACTATTATTAGCAAATATCCGCCCACTAAAAATTAGAAAATTATCAAATAACAAAACGCACAAACCTAAAACCCAACCTTCCAACCAAATCACAAAAATATAAACTGCATTTTCTCGAAAAGAAAAAATGGAAAGCTAAAAAACATTTAACTGAACTAGAAACTAATACAACGATCGTACATGGTCTTTGAATAAATTAGCGCCCAATACACAAGCGAAGCCGATAAACAATTATTAACATATACACATTGAAGAGCGCGGAAACCCTAATAAGATTTATAGATCAAAAAAAGAAAAAAAAAAAAAGAAAAGGGAAAATAGGATCAAGTGAAAAGGAAATGGGCAGAGAACTTACGGGAAGAGATTGGAGCAGGAAGCGGTCAAAAGGAGCAGCCGCAGCTCTCAGAGATCCAAAATGTATAACACAACACAACTACAAACTCGACGACTGGTATAACGAGAGAAATTCTCCTTACTATCAACTTTCACCTGTAAATTTTGTGGGCTGGGCTGGGCAGCATACTGGATCAAAAATAATACTAATATTTGTATTTGCGGAGCCCAAATCTGATTCGAGGCTCAATTTTTTTTTTTTTTTAATTTTTTTTAAGGATGCCAGGGCTCAAATTTATCACATCATAAATTAGACGGTAAAATATAATTGGTTCTTTAATTATATCTAAATTCAGTTAAATATATATATATATGAATTAACACTTAATTCCCTCTATTTTTTAAATAGTTATGACATCTGTAATTTTTAATTTGACTCACCGTTAAATTCTTTTGTTTAAACAATTACATATTACTTTGAACCTTTTGGAGTGTATAAATGGCATTTCGGTAGCCGCAAGTCTTAAATTAATGTTTTGTTGAAACTAAATTTTAAATTAATGTTTTGTTGAAACTAAACCGATCGAGTAAGTGTAGAAATCTAATGAAACTAGCCAATTTAGTCAAAAACAATTCGAACTTATTTAGAAAATAATTATTTCGTAGCAAGCGAACTAAATATTAAAAATTAAAGTTATAGAAAATTAAAAATCAAATAAACGATTTTTTTTTTTTTTTTCAAAGTGTGCTCACCCGTAATGAGTCACACTTGGATGGAATGTGTAATATTTTTAAATGGTAGCGAGTAAAAGTAGCATAATTAATTCTTAAAAATAAAGGGAGGGACTCATACATTAATTTAAATACAATTTAAGTATCAATTACTATATTTTACCTAAATCATGCAAGGGAAACAGAAGCACATGTGGATGCTAATTAAAAACCATTGGCGCCTATCTATTTTCCCATAATCCATCAAACACAATTCTTTTCTGTCTTCCCAATCAAAGACTGCATCTTTCTATTCCCCTTTTCTATATAAAGAAAAATGGTTAACTCATGGTTTCTTAAATCTGTACAAAAATGGCCAGATTAGGACACAGCAGCAAACATCTTTCGAAAAAATTCGTATTTCTGTTATCTTGTGCAACTCTTTTAGGGGTTGCTTTCGTTGCAGATGTCTTTTGGTCGACCTTATTGTCCTCTATTTCTTCTGCTTATCAACCCATTAACAAATCTGTCAATATTTTAGTACCCAATGCCACCATCAACAAGGACGATCAGGTTCATGTTCTAATTCACCTCTTGCTTTGCATTCGTTTTGTCTTATTATTTTAGTTTCCTTAATGTGATATAAAATGGACTTTTCTTGTCTGGTTTCTGAGAAAACAAATGGGAAGCATAAAAATTTCTTCTTTTAAGTGATTATGAAAAATTCCTTCTGAACTAATTCAAAGGGGAAGTCTGTTTTGAGATTAAAAAACCAAATGACGGTTTTTTTTTTTTTTTTTTTTTAAACGCAAAATGACGGTTTTTTTTTTTTTTTTTTTTTATGATTAGGCGGTTTATGTTTCTCTAATCGAATTAAAATTCTTGGTTTTATAGTGGTTTTTTTTTTTTTTTTTTATGATTAGGGTTTATGTTTCTCATGAATTAATTCTTGGTTTATAGTGTAAAAGTTAAGTATACCTCATTTGGTAGTTATTACTTCTCGTTGTAGAAAGAAGCTGTTAAAGTTAAAAAGGACCGTCTTGCTGAGACATCATTGCCAGCAACTTTTGCTGATCTGCCAGCACCAGAGTTAGAATGGGAGCAAATGCCATCAGCACCAGTGCCTCGCCTTGATGGCTATGCAGTACAGGTCAAGAACCTTTTATATGTATTTGCAGGATATGGCACTATTGACTATGTGAGTATCTTTAACCCATTGCCACTTCTACATGTTCTCAACTGTACTAATTTGTTAAACTAATTTGATTTTACGCATTTATTCCTCTTCTTCTTCTTTCTTTCCCGCCCTCTGTTGATCAATTTTTATGTCTTATTGGTGCATTCTCTTGTTGTTCAATTTTTATGGCTTATAGGTGCACTCTCATGTTGATGTATATAATTTTACTGATAATACATGGGGAGGGAGGTTTGACATCCCAAAAGACATGGCGCATTCGCACCTGGGGATAGCAACCGATGGAAGATACATATATATTGTCTCAGGACAATATGGTCCTCAATGCAGAACAGCTGTAACTCATACTTTTTCATTGGACACAGAAACAAAAAAATGGCAAAGCATGCCTTCGTTGCCAGCACCAAGGTATGTGACTTGATTGTCATCAGGGTATGTGTGAAATGTGTTACATTTTTATATTTACAATCTGAAAATCAAATTTATACTATAGTACTTGTCTAATCTGAAAAAGAAAAATATAAGATGATAGTTATAATGGGGAAAGACCAAAGATCTGTATTCTAGATAGGTTGGCATTGGCATGTGGGAACATGAAAGAGTTAATCTGACTGCTAGAAGAACAAGGCTGTGTCTATTGCATATGTATTAAACAGTAGCAGAGTTTTATCAATAGCTGAATTGTTGTAGACTGAAGCCATTTAGTTGATGATGCATGAACTAACAAGAGCATGTTCAGGTATGCTCCTGCAACTCAATTATGGAGAGGAAGGCTCCATGTAATGGGTGGCAGCAAGGAAAATCGCCACACACCTGGATTGGATCACTGGAGTATTGCAGTAAAGGATGGCAAGGCATTGGAGAAGGAATGGCGAACTGAAGTACCCATTCCCCGTGGAGGGCCGCATAGGTCTGTTAACTTTCATCATTCTTATTCTGCTATAGGAAATATTCAATTTGGAGGATTAAAACTTTTCTGCTAACTGAAATATTGTGAATTTTTTTAATGTTCTCTAATAATAGGGCTTGTATACTGGTGAATGATCGGCTATTTGTAATTGGGGGTCAGGAGGGTGATTTTATGCCAAAACCTGGTTCGCCAATTTTCAAGTGCTCTCGAAGGCATGAGGTAAATGAACTAATTATTTTCTACATTATTAGATTGGCATTTAGCAGACAATGTTATTGTCAAGTTGGAGGCATGCTCACACGTAGCCTATAAATTCTTCACTGTTTCAGGTTGTTTATAGTGATGTTTATATGCTAGACAGTGAAATGAAGTGGAAAGTTTTACCTTCAATGCCGAAACCCAATTCCCATATCGAGTGTGCTTGGGTCATCGTCAACAATTCAATCATCATCACTGGAGGTACAACAGAAAAGCATCCTGTGACCAAAAGGATGATCTTGGTTGGGGAGGTGTTCCAATTTCATCTGGATACACTGGTATTAGTCTTCTCCTGTTACTTCCGTACTAACATAGGGCGTTTTCTGATGTACATGATATAAACTTCTCTATGATCAATGAAAGAACTGTCATCTGTTTCATACTGCAGACATGGTCAGTGATCGGAAAGCTTCCGTACCGCATAAAAACTACCCTTGCTGGATTTTGGGATGGATGGCTATATTTTACGTCTGGACAGAGGGACAGAGGACCAGATAACCCACAACCACAGAAAGTTATTGGAGAAATGTGGAGAACCAAATTGCATTTGTAATCCAATTTTTGGCTCCTTAACCTCTATAATGACTTCAAGGAATTTAATTGTAATTAACTCGGTTTGATTCTTTTTTTTCCCCCTTCATTTAAGGGAAGACTGGTGAAATTTGAGATTACTTTCCACTTGCTACTTTATTCAGCTTTAAATACAATTTTTGAAGAGCAACAATTATAGCCAAAAAGATAGGGACACTGATTGCAAATTTGTGCAACTTAAAGTATCAATAAAGAGCTTAAGGTATAGTCTTAATGGATAAGCATTGATCAGCCCATGATTATCACTTTATAAGTGGAGACTTTCCCAATATCTGCATTGTATGGTTGTCACAACTAAAATGCAAGGGAAACTGTACATAAACTATAGCATGCCTTTACAAAGATCATGCAAAATATTCAAACAGGAGCAGATTGAAGACTAACAAGTACAAATTACGAAAAAAACAAATCTGTCTCCGTGGCAAAATCAATTCTTTATGTACAATTTTGTGAACATTTCATGAATATCAAACAAACTATCCATAGAATGAGCTCCATTGGTCTGCCTTCTGTATCTCAATTCTTTCTTTTCCAGAATGACCCATATAACTGACCCCCAGATGCGATGGAATAAAAGTGTGAATATAGATTGATGGACTCAGAAGGTAAGGGTTAATCAATTCCAATTACTTGAATGGAACATGAAAGAGAGACTATCACTCTTAAAAGGCCTGTCTATCTCTTACTTCATCCATGCATTAAGCAGTAATGAAGTCAAATGTACCTGCAAAACAGAAAAAAAAGCTTATCGATTACTAAAGTAATGCTGACTAATCATGATTAAGCCATCAGGAATACTTTTGAATAGGGTACACTTTCAAGTGAATATAACCCTTGCATTCAGGGGTAAGAATCCTTGACGGCATGTATTAAAAGAAATGTGCATTACCCAAATATATCTCTCATTTTCAAGCAACTTCCTAACACCCGAGAACAAAGAATGAACCACAAATGTTAGCCTGTATTCCAACAAATCCTTAAGTATGTTTTTATTCTTTTTACCAATCCAGTGAGGAATCTGTTTAAAGCCAAAAGTCAAAATTATAGGAAAGTAAAACAAGAGCAACAGAAAAGATAGGAGAAGGAAATTTATTTTCTTCACATATTGCAGACAACTTGAGTTCCTCATGGAATCCACTTTATCAGTGCTCTAAAATATAATATGCACCATTTCACGTGTATGAAAAAAAAAAATACAATAGTAAGATTAGAGCATGATTTGAAGCTTAATAATTCATTTACTAACTCCATTCACCACAGTCCAAGAAGAACCAATTTAGGCTTCCAACTTTAGTCAACATTGGCTCTTTTAAAATATAATTTTCATCTTTCACTTGTTTGTTTCTAACATCACTTCTTTAATTAAAACACTGAGTAAATATGATCTGACAATTAATTATATTTATAAGGGAAAATTATTATTTCGTCCCTGAGGTTTTACATAATTATTTAAATAGTCCTCGACATTTATAAATATATTTATAACATCCCTGAGGTTTAATACCGTCATATTAATTGGTCCTTCTGTCAAAAAGATACATTTTTTCTGTTAATTTTGAGAAGAAAAGACGAAATTATCCTTTCGAAAAATAATTATTTCGTCCCTGAGGTTTACCATAATTATTAAGTAATCCCCTACATTTATACAAATATTTATAACGTCTCTGAAGTTTACTTCCGTCATACTAATTGGTCCTTCCATAAAAAAAATACACTTTTTCCGTTAATTTTGAGTGGAAAAGACGAAATTATCCTTTATAAGTTTTCATTGACATTATTATTAAGCATTTTATTATAACATTCATTTTACTAACATCCATTCAACCACAGATACCAAAGAAGACCACCAATATTTAGTGCATTTATCCTCCCAACTTTAGGTCACATTCCGCTCTTTTAAAATATAATTTGATAATCCATTGCGTGATCACTTGTTTGTTAAATCAATACTAACAGATAATCACATTCTTTAATCCTCCCCAAAACATCTGATGTAGTAAAATATGATTCTTTTCTGACAATTAATTATATTTATAAGGGGAAAATTTTAATTGTCGTCCCTGAGGTGTTTTATCAATAATTACTTTAAAAGCTCGTCCCAATCCTCGACATTTAATAAATATATGTATAATCATCACAAAAACCTTGAGGGTTTAAAATGAATACCGTCATATTAAATGGTCCTTCTGTTCAAAAAAGAATACATTTATTTTCTGGTGCCCTAATTTTGAGAAGAAAAGACGATAAATTATTCCTCTATACTTGAAAATATAATAACATTATTTACGTCCTCTGAGTGACTTTACCATAATTATTAAGTAATCCCCTGCCATACATTTATACAAATATTATAACGTCTGCTGAATGTATAACTTCCGTAAACATAAAGCTTATATTTGATGCTCTTTCAAATTTATAATAAATAAAGTAACAATTCTTTTCCGGTAATTTTGAGTGGAAAAGAGGCGAAATTATCCGATTGTTGATAAAGCTTTCACTGACAAATTGTTTATTATTAAAATCTGCTCCTTCCAATACTATAAAAAAAAACATAGAAATCCAATACCTAAACTAAACACGGATTTTTCCCCACCATCTTCCTCCCAAACACCAACTACGGTCTCATTCATGCCTCAACCACCGTGATGCAATGAAAACTACCTTAAATAATCAATCTTCCGATAACCAGGATCACCACCAAAACTACAAACCCAACATCCAAACTCAATCAAAGCCTATCATGAAAATCACCCTTTCACCTCCAACTTTTTTTTAATATTCTCTCTCTCCTTGATTAAGAGAATTATTTAGAGTTTAGTTTCCTATAAGTTCATTCTATTAAAATCCACCTCTAACAGGCAAAAACCGTGTTCGTTCCTTATTGGACGGTAAAAGGGACAAGAGTAATATGACGGAGAAAGTAATTTTTCAAGAGGAAACAGTAAAATATATAAAATATTTGTATAAATGGGGGACTACTTACAATAATTATAGCCAAACCTCAGCGACGAATAATTATTTTTCCTTTTTAGTTTTGTTGGTGATCTGGTTATGGAGACAGAATACTTGAACAGTTAGAACCATTACGTTGTTTTGGTCAGGCATAAATAGCCTAGAACACCGCGGCCTTGTTTGGTGTTGGAGACTAAAAGATTGTGTGAAAAGAATTTGAGAAGTAAAAGATGACTTTTTTTTTTTTTTATTGAGTTCAAGTATTTTAAAGGAAAGGAAGATTGAACAAATAAAAAATGTCAATGAAAACTTTAATAAAAGGATAATGTATCGTCGTTTTAGGGCCGGCTCAAAAATATGGTAACGAGAGAGAGAAAAAAAAGTAGAATATTTATATTTTTGAATAGGGACACATACTTCTTGAAAAAAGGGACTAACCACACCTTAAATTATGACAGGAGGAGCCTAAACACTTCCAGCGCCAAGGACGTTTAATAAAATGATATTGTCAACCACCCGAAATGGCTGAGAAGCACATAACATCAAAAGAAGGAAACTACTTTAATAAATTATGGCAAACCTCGAGGGACGAAGAGAAGGTTTAAAAATAAAATTATTTTTTCCAAAGATGGATCAACTTCTACGTCTTCCCTTTCCTCTCTAATAGATTAACGGAACCAAAAAATGTATTTTTTATGTAGATCGATATAAATGAAATCACCATATTATCATAATATATAAAGACACAAACCTCAGGGACGAAATAATTATTTTTCCAAAGGATAATTTCGTCTTTTCCTCTCAAAATTAACGGAAAAAATGTATTTTTTTGACGGAATGACCAATTAATATGACGGTGGCAAACCTCAGGGACGTTATAAATATATGTATACTTGTCGAGGACTACTTAAATAATTATGTAAAAACTCAGGGACGAAATAATAATTTTCCCTATTTATATTTCTAATTGGCCTTAAATCATTTGTGGGTAACAAAAATAGATTTTTATATTCCATGCAGATACATTCTACCCATTGGTTTGATTCAACAGGGCAGATTTATGGAAGCAATAACCTATTGTAACACTTGTGATTTCCATTCGACTGACCTGGTCTATATTTTCACAGTGAAACCCATTTTCCCAAGCATTGCAAAGAATTTCCACAAATTTGGCTATATCCACAAGGCAATCAATGTTTCTGCAGAAAATTTATCCAAACTAAAATTATTACAATGCACAAGCAGAGGAGAAATGATATATATATATATATATATATATATATAATATTATATTATAGAGAGATGAGAGAGGAGGAGAGAGAGAGGGGTACCTTTTTTTTTTTTTTTTATGTCAAGGTAGGGGCATTAAGGAGCTGGGCAAGGAGAGAGAGAGAGAGAGAGAGAGAGGGGTACCTTTTTTTTTTTTTTTATTTCAAGGTAGGGGCATAAGGAGCTGGGCAAGGAGAGATAGTATGATCAGGTAGCTGGTTTATCAGATTGACTGTTAACTGCAGGCATGTATGTAGAATTTTCTTCTCCAATCTAACCAGCTGAGTAGCAACTCTTTTCTTAGGGTTCAAGTTATGATCTGCCAACTAATACAAACAACCAAGGAAGTAAGTAATTGATAAAGATTCAACAATCAACAGATCTAATTTAGCCAAAATTACCATGAACTCATCTTCACTCAAGCTAGTTGGATATCCATCCAGGCGTCTCTTGAAATAATCTACCAGCTGATCCAACACAGCTCGCTCCATACAAGGGCTCACCTATAGCAGCCAATGAAATTTTTTACTGTGGAAGAAAAGGCAATTTCCAGCAAATCATTGCATTTATCATGTTACCATATCTTTGCCGCATATCAATATATTGAAAAACGAGGGAATTAGTGAAAACTCGTCTCTTTTGGACATGGGACCTATGACTAAGTTTAGCTCATGAAGCATTTCTATGTTAGTGTAACCATGAAATGGACATCCGTACTGCACAAGGCTCCTTGCTTTATAAGAATTAAGGGAGTGTTCAGGTTATGGAAATATTAGTGTTACCACAAGTCCCAAAAAGCCTTAACTTCAACCAAAACCATGTCAGGGGTCAATAAAAAAGGAACAAATAACAATTTTTTTATAAAAATAGATTGAGATGATTCCACAGTAGCAAACAATATCCAAATGAATTATGTGATATGACTCAATAAAAACTTACCGGACAAATTGGACCTAAAGAAGAAATAACAGATTGCATCTCAGAAGGATCTGATACATAGCCCAACCGCAAATAAGGAAGTATATCTGAGATAGCTTCTTTCTCCTTTCCTACACATATCTGTAGCAGAGGCTCATCAAAAGATTCAAACAGAAGGAATCCAACAAAAACTTTCATTTCTAGAAAAATTTGAATTCATACTTGAAAAACTTGTACAGATAATTTGCCATTCCTTTGAGCAACCATTCTCTTGTCTTGATATTGAGGATCCTCAGTGTTGAGCGCTGCCTAAAGCATATAGTATATGGTGCATTAGAAACATAGCAGAGTTGGGAAAGAATATAGTAAATACTATTGCAGACATCAATCTTACCTCTACCACAATTCGGTCATAAGGATTATCTTCATCAACAAAACCATAATTTATAAGCAATTTTGAGTTAGGTTGCGGCCCACACCTGAAAACGAAATTCAATTTTATTAAAATGCAATAGCAAGGACCTGCAGAGAACAAGAGATTAGAGCAAAGTAAAACAATTGCATACCAGACAGCAATAGGTTCCCCAGCCTTGTATGGGCAATCAACCACTAGTTCAACAGCACCATCAACAGCAATTAACATTGCCTTGCAGTTGCTCTTATAAGCTAGCAAAGGGGGCCCAAGAGGAACCAGAGCAAATCTTCGAGCCAAACTGACTTTCTAAAGATAAAAAAGGACCAGATAATCACTTTCTTATTTCCAAAACAGTCAAATAAAAAAAAGGAAGGTAATAGGCACACTAAGATTGTTAAGCAAAAGAGTACTGGATTATGAGAAACCGAGCCATTTGCATTCTAATGTAAAAATCGCTGAAATGGCAACAACCAGATCCCTTGGTTTCTACAATTAATGATAGAAAGACCAAATTACTTAGCCTAGATAATTGATGGACAATGGGTCTAAGCCTATGATATTTCAGGTTTGAAATTAACTTCGAGTAAGGACACTATAAACCTACATATATGCATATAGCAGCTATACATGGTACCCCTTGTACTGTTTTTTTTTTTTTTCACCAAAGACCACTCGTTCGGTGTTTCAACCATTTAAAAATATACTTTTATGTTTTCTTTATGAAGTGTGGGCACAACTGCAAATAGAACATACACAAACAGTTAAATATTCATACCCACTAGAAAGCAGCAATCCCATTCTCATTCTATGTTGTTTTGAACCAAACTCGTGGTGTTAAGAATAAGATGTGCATGGACTAATTTATGCAAAGGTTTCTTATCAAATACACCAGTATTTGCACCTCTTGGGTTATAATATCATCTCTACCAATAAAATTTCATAGGACATGGAGGTTTTAGAATTAGATGCATGTAACAGGAGTTGTCAAGTAACAGTTGCAAAACTGTCAACCAATTGACCCAAATGCGTCCTTTGAATTAGAAAAGACACTTAAGACAGGCTTCCATATGATCAGATAACAAACTCATTCCTTCCACATTTAATAAGAATCATAGTGAGCATAACGAAATTACCTGCAAGTGCACAACACAGGACTGAATTGCAACGAAGGCTTGTTTGAAAATCTCAAAGGGAAAGGCTTCAGTGGGTATATCATATGGATATTGCTGCAAAGTGCAAATCAAGTAATCAGAAGAATGTCCCAAAAATACCAATACTCAATCTCCTTCTGAAGAAAAGGCAATTGTATAAAGAAATTTCTGACTGGTAACAATAGTGTTTTTTTCCTGTAGCAAGTTGTGGGCAAGGGTATAACCTGAAACAGAGAACCAGCCATGAACCAGACAGTATCAAGCTCATCATATTCTCTTCTAATTCCATCTGCCCTTTCAAGGATTTCAGCCTACAATCAACAACAAAATGAATGATTGAATGTATTAAACAACAGCGCATTCCACCAATGCAAAGTGTGGAATGAATACAAAAAACATTATGGTGAAAGAGCCAATAATTAAAATAACAAAGACAATACATGCCCAGAGTACCTTAGTAGGGCTACCAGTTAGGTATGCTAATTCAGATTCTGACCACAGAAGTGGAGATTCCACAGCTAGCTGGCCCCTACCTCGCTGACGGTCAAGCTCTCTTATATATGGATACCAGAAGGACTGCTTTCCTTGCTTCTTCTCATACATAAGATACAATGCCAAGCATGCCAATTCAGACAATTTGTTTGTAGTTAACAGTTCCGCTGTATGAAAGACAAAACAGAAAAAGAAACCAACAATTGAAATCAAGCTTCAAGGAAGAATAAGAATATGAGGTCAATTCTGTTACAATGATAGGCCTTATCATTCTATCAAGGAGAGACACGGTCATACACATGCACAAACATACACACTATACAGGAACTAGAATGATGAAGTATAACTTTGCATTGCAAAATGAGAGATTTGGCATATAAGACGCAAAATGGTCTGCGTTTTGAGGCGCAGACTTAAGATAGTCAAACATACCTGCCATGAATTGTTAAAGTAAGTTATTTTATATTGTCATTTAGCACTATAAGCTCAAAAGAGTATCTCATTTGTAAAAACTAATAGGACCTCAAATTCATGAACATTGATCACTGTACAAAAGGAAACCATGCAGCATAGAATGAATTGAATCTAATAGCACATGAGCAACACGTTCAAGCTCGTCTTCATCCAATTTAATATCCATAGGCCTCCAATTCACACCAAGGAATTAACAATGCATATCACAGACAAACCTCAAATGGACTGCCAAATCCAATAATAAATTTCAACCAGTGAACAACTAAAACAAATAAACCGCAATTAAAATACCAAACTGCAGCTTACCGATAGTCTCGTTTCCTAATACTCTCTCAAGCGTCACAACAAGCGAATTCGGAACTGAAAATGCCACATCGCCGGCCTGCAATCACACACCTCTAAAGCTTCAACAAACTATACAAAGAAGAAGAAAAAGAATAACAACTCAAAAATTCACCTGAAGATCCTCACTGGCGGCAACGTAATGAATAGGCCTAAGTTTGGCATCGAGCGAAGGTCTCTCTTTAAGAACCACTTTGCAAGGGGGCAATCCATTCTTGTGCATCCAAGATTTTAAATCCCCAAACTGCTCCTCTTCCTTCTTGCTCACAACTCCACTGCTAACAATAGCTCTGTGCTTTTCATCATCCTTTCGCGTATTAGATACCAGAGTCTCAGAGCTAGACGCGGAGCACAAATTCCTTTGCCGAATCGATCGAAACAAAACGGTGCGTTTAGGGATCTTGGAGTTGCGGACTGAGGTTGAAACCCTAGAGAAAACTGCCAAAGGCGCAATGCATTGGTCGCGTAATGAACCGACTTCCATGGATGGTAACATTTGGTGGAAGATAGAGGGAGAATTGGGGGAGAAATGGAGATTTTCAGCGTTGGAGTCTTGGAGATATTTTGTAAGCGTGGTTTGAGATTTGGGTCTAGTAGGGTCGAAGGTGGATAAGAAAGGCAACTGAGGTGAGTGCGAAATGATACCGATATTGTAGAACTGGATTGGAGGGAAACAAAATCTTCCTTGGCATTCAGCGACAATGTATGGATTAGGAGAAAATTTTCCTCCGCCTGAATATGTGCTTTTTCTAGATGAGTTGGTGGATGTTGGTTTTTTTTTTTTTTTTTTTTTTTTAGAAAATTTTCCTCCGCCTTGAATATGTGCTTTTTTCTAGATGAGTTGGTGGATGGTTGTTTTTTTTTTTTTTTTTTTTTTAATTTTTTTTTTTTTTTTTTTTTTTAAGTGAATATATTTATTTTTTATTCATATATAGTTTTTATTCTAATGTATTATATGAAAAAATATATATTATACCGTTTATTGTTTTTTTAGGCCAACCGTTTATTCTATTTAAATAAGGAAAATTAAAATTTCACATAGATTAATAATTAATAATTTAGTTTTGACCATTTCTTTCCTTATTTGCCTCAAATCACTATTATCTCTCAACTTTTCATACATGGAGGAAAGAATTTTTATGCATTAATTACAAATTAACGGCCCATTTGGTTTAGCAGTTCGTACCAACTAATAATAGTTGCTATCTGGTAGTGGTAGTTGATATCGATAATGGTTAACCGATTACTATTTATATTTGGTAAAATGTAAAATGATGGCAGAGGTTGCTGTTAAAATATAAAATTAATATTAAAGACATAATTGTTTATATATATATATATATATAGATAAATTTAAAGTGAACATATTATTTTTATTTTAATATATTATATTGATAAAATAATAATTAAAAATTTTTTAAATAATATTTTAAAGAAATTATTTTTAAACAACTATAAATAAAATGATCATAAAAAATATTAACTTGAAAACAAATTATTAGCAATTATTTTTAGGAGGTTAACGAAGTGCAAAATAAATATAAATATGAATCAATATACTAAAAACTCTAAAATGGAAATAGAAGCTGATTAGGACTTCTATCGCTGATGCTGAAAATTAAATTTAAATATGATAAACAAATTAAAACCAATAGAGTCATATAATACAAATTTATGGTAAATATAAATATTAAGTTAATTAGTCGTATATGCAATTATTATTAAGCTATGATTTGGTATACATTCTGATCTCTCTTTTTATATATATAGTAATACTATTTATTTTTTATCCTGAGAAAATATTTTTCTAAAAACTATATATTTTCGTAAATATTTTTATCCAAAAAAAGACTATTCTCTATTTTGTAATATAAAAAATTAGTTGAAAGATAATAAAACCTGTCAATTTATATACTGTAACAAAAACATTTAGATTTGCGAAATTTAATATTTTCTTTAATTTATTAATAAAATATGCTAACAAATTTAAAATTAATAATTCGTGGTGGCTATCCATCCGTGATAAACGTTTGCTATCGGTGACTGTTGGTGATTGGAGTGACCAATTAAATAATTTGATTCCTAGTTAGAGCTTCACTGGGAGTGTTGCAAAAAATATAGTTGAGATTATAATTGGAAATTTATTAAATTAGTTGGAATGCATAGTCATCTTTTTGGATTTCTTTTCATTTTTGGCATCTTTTATCAAATATTGTTGAGTAGTAGGGATGACAATTTAATTCCATCCGGTAGATATCTGAGATTCCATTCGATTTTAACAGCTTTAGGTAGTGAATAAATGGATTTAAAATGGGTTCGAATAGTATTTTTACTATCTGTATCGGATTTGGATCGGATTTAGTTTAAAGACGCAGGTACCTACCCGTTACTCATTTAATAAATATTCAAAAAATATTTAAAATAATTATTTTTAAATGTAAAATTATATATACACACTTTTTAATTATAAATTAGTCCTATACTTAAGTTAAAATAACTAATTTTATAATTTTAACTAGTTTTTTATTTTCAAAAAATTAAAAAATATATTTTTAATACTAAAACAGGTTCAGATTTTTAAACAATTAATTATAATCAGATTTTAGACGGATTAATACAGTAAAAATGAATTTCTAAATAGATTTATGACAGATTCGAATACCTAGTTTATAATCGGTTTCGTATAATATATTTTAAATGGTTATCCAACCCGTTATCATACCTATTTATCAATAGCACGTGCATGTATTTTAGGCTTTAGCATATAAAATAGAAAGTAGGAATGATCCACTGAAGCTTAGGATTGTTTGAACTAAGTTGAGTTTTAACTTTTAACTAGTTTAAAATTGCCTTGTTAACAATTAAGTTTAGTTAAAATAACACAATCATCTATTTCACTCCCACTTTTTCTTGTAATTTTATTCTAAATCGATATTTATATTTGAGCACTCTAAACTTATTAACTTAATTGTAATTACATTCTAATTTGCTTTTAAAGTATGATATATATATATATCCTGAAGCAAAAAATAACGAGTTAGGACTCTTGATCAATTATTTAGATCTGTGCAGGTATTTAGGGGCCAAGAGTGAGGCAGATCAAACTTATATTGCTTATTGCACAATTATTTATTCAAACTTTCTTGGGGAAGAACTTCATTGCACTCCTTTTTTTGACGCCATGGCTTTCTTGAAGTTATGGTATCTTTATCTTTTCTGTATTTTTCTAATTGTTTGATTATGATTATTGCATTGGGTGTTTTTCCTTCCATTTAATTTCTCATTTCTCTGCATGTAAGTCCGTCTTTTCATATAAAATCTCGACCATATTATATTAGGAAGATGAGCGAGAAGGGATCTGCCTCTCAAAAAAAGAGTTTATGAAGCAGTGGCAAAGCTGCTGTTGAGCTAAGGAATTGAGAGGGGTAGGCCAAAGATAAGGAATATGCATTTGTTTTGGATATGTTCTTTATGCTGGTGTACCCCTTACATATAATTGTCATATAAGCAATTAAATTTGCTAACGGTTGGATGGCGAGTTAACCATGTGTTGTGAATTTTGCAGAGTGTATTTAATAATATTTAATAATATTGTTTATGTTTTATAGGAATAATATTTAATAATAATAATTTTATTTTATTTTATTATTAAGTAATTAAATAATATTGTTTATGTTTTATAGGAATAAATATTTTAATAATAATAATTTTTTATTTATTATTATTAAGTAATTAAATTAAAATAATATATATTATCCATATTAAATTATTTGAATTGTAAACTTTATCTATATACTTATTTACAATAAGATACAATGTTTAAATTGTTTCAATTATTATAAAGTTTAAACCTAGATAATTAAATTATATTACTAGTTAAATTAAAAATAATATTTATCTATGATAAGATTAAATGTTTAAATTGTTTAAATTATAAACCTTATCTGAAACCTTAGATAATTAAATCATATTTTACTAATAAATTAAAAATAATATATTTTTATATATTATCCATATTGAATTATTTGAATTGTAAAATTTTATCTATATAGAATTATTTATGATAGAGAAAATATTTAAATTGTTTAAATTATAAACTTTATAATTGAATACCCATATGACTTAAATTGCAATTTTTTTAATTAATTTAAAATAAGTTAATTGCAATTACAATTTTTCCATAACACGGGTAATTTAAACAAAACAGGCCTGCGGGAAAATAAAATTTTTAAAATAAGTTAATTGCATTACAATTTCCATAACACGGTAATTTAACAAACAGCCTGCGGGAAAATAAATATTTTAATAATATACTGAATACGGTTTATAAAATAAATTAACAATATGCTTTAAAAAATACAATAATAATAAAATAACTTAAAGGAAAATTTTATTTTCAATTTGTATTTATAAATTATAAAACATGAAAATAGATATTTTAATAATATAATAAGCACAATTTATAGAAAAAACTGATTTTTGATTATTTTTTATTTATATTTATAAATTATAAAACTATCAAAGCAACCTGCGTAAAGTGCGGACTTTCATCTAGTAACATCATAAAAGTGAATTAAAATACCCTACACTTATCGATTTATTGCAATTTCACTAAAAGTAAATTAAGATTGAAAATTTTTAGTTAAAATAATTTTAAAAAGCTCTATTACTGACCCAAACTTAGTCAAACACAAAACATAATATTTGAATTAAAAAGAGGAATTAATCATTTTGCCACTTTTATCCTTCAACTTATTATCTCTCTTATCACATAAGAAATTAAATGATGGTTATTGATAGTGACAAAAAAGTCACTATATTCGTCCGTTGTTTTAAGAAGTATGACCTTAAATTAGTACCCAATTCATTATTTTTATACCTTATAATTGGTTCAATTTTAAAATCAAAGATTCAATCTTGATTTATTTATGTTATATGATATTTATTTGATTTTATTATTTATTGCTCAAATACTTGGGTAATAGCACTCGTTTCTCCTTTATCGCAATGATCCATTTTGCATTTGGTTGTATCGAGTCTACTTGTAAATTATTTTAAGCAAAAGCATAACCTTAATTTGTTTGTAAGGTATAATTGCAATATAACAATAAGTTGATAGTGCATCAATTCACTTTTAGGATGCAATTGCACTGTTTAAATTGATAAATTTAGAATGTTTAAGGTACAAACGTTAATTTAAAGTAAAATTGTAACCATTTGAAAAATTCGAGATAAAATTGATGGTTAAAAATTAAACATTATTCAACTTAAATTAAATCCTTTCAGGACAAAAAATAACTTAAATTGAATAATATTATTTTACATTAGTTATTTATATAAATATATTTTAAAACAAGTATATTTATTAAAACAATATTACTATATATATGTATATATATAATTAATTAATTAATTTTTTTGAAAGGTATATAATTAATTAAATTACAACATTACATTTGCATGAACCCGCTGATCTTAACGACCGCCTCGTTTTCTACTGTTCTACGGTTATACTCGTTTCCTATGACTAAAAATCAATTATTATACAAATAACATACAAATTCCATCGACAACCATCCTCTTGTCCAGCCCGAAAGCAAATGGCCGATAATCCTCTGGTATTAGATCCAAAGAGCGGTTTCAACTGGACAACGAAAACTTTCCACAGCCTAAGACCCCCTCTTCATCTTCCTCCGGAGGACGCTCCTCTCTCAGTCGTTGACTACGTTTTCTCTCGCCAAACCAACTCGCCTTGGCGTGACGCAGTGGCTCTCATCAACTCGTCCACCGGTCACCGGATCACCTACTCTGAACTTGCCCAATTGATCAAATCTTTAGCTTCCTATCTCCATAATGTCACCAAACTCTCTAAAAACGATGTCGCTTTTGTGCTCTGTCCAAACTCAGTCAAAATTCCGATTCTCTACTTCTCTTTACTTTCACTTGGAGTTGTTATCTCTCCCGCTAACCCAGTCAGCACCGAGTCAGAGATATCCCGCCAAATCGATCTCTCAAAACCGGTCATTGCATTCGCTACGTCGGCTACTGCTCTCAAGCTTCCGAAACTGAAGCACGAGACAATCCTAATCGACTCTTCGGAGTTTGACTCACTGATGACGACATCGATTTCAACTCTTCAACAGAGAGTTATGGTTAAGCAATCTGACTTGGCGGGGATCTTGTACTCGTCGGGAACTACAGGAAAAGTCAAAGGAGTGATGTTGACTCATAGGAATCTGACGGCTGTAGTTGCAGGATTACATTCATTTGAGCCAGAGTCACAGGCGGTTGTGCTTTATCCCGTCCCGTTTTTCCACATGTATGGATTTTTCTATAGTCTTAAATCAGTGGCGTTTAGCGAGACGGTAGTGGTGATGGAAAGGTTTGATTTGAAGAAGATGTTGACGGCGGTAGAGGAGTTTAAAGTGACACAACTGGCAGTGGCCCCACCGGTGGTGGTGCAGTTGGTAAAGAGCGGTTTAGCTGACGGCTATGATATGAGGTCGCTTAAAGGAGTGGCTTGCGGTGGAGCTCCTCTTGGAAAGGATATGATTGCAGCGTTCATGGCGAGGTTTCCTGCGGTGGCGTTGTGGCAGGTTAGTGCTACTGCGAGACCCAGTTTGCTAGACCCATCAAAGGATTTTTTTATTTTTAAAGTGATAATAATTAACCAGTCAATTAAATAAAAAAAATTCTTAGTTTAGTTGGTGCGTTCAGTGTTATCTACGTTGTTGTCACGTTGTTGTTTTGCACCCAAAAAAAAAAAAAAAATGGGGTGCCACGTGAATCTGACAAATTGTTTTAAAATTTATTTATCTATAAACATGTAAATTAATTTTCTAATGCTTGATGTTAATGTTGACATTTCTGCTGCCTTAGCTACCGACTTAGGCGGGAATAAAATAAACAAAGGAAGAAAATAAATGATTCATATGCTCCAAATAAAGAATTCATATAGTTAAATTCAATTGGTTTGAGATAACTTACTCTTACTGTTGTTTGATCCTCCATTATTGTATGCCTAAATTAAGAAAATTGAGCTTAGAACAATTATAAATTCAAACAGAAATAGATGATACATAATTATTTTGCTCTACATAGATAGAAGTTAATTTGTAAATTTTGAAATTCTCAAAAAAAATTTGTAAATTTGAAATTCCTTGTCGTTTTAATACAGCTTTTATTTATACTAACGTGGACATATAAATGTTGGAATCCAGGGTTATGGATTGACAGAATCAGCAGGAGGAATCTCCCGAGCAACAGGTCCTGAAGAAATGCTGTATTGGGGTTCAGTTGGAAGGCTTAACGGAGGTATTGAAGCAAAAATTGTTAGTCCTAATACCAATGATGTTATGCCTCCAGGCAAACAAGGAGAACTTTGGATCAGAGGTCCTTTAATAATGAAAGGTAATTAGTGATAAACGAGCTGCGATAGAGCTGAGCACTCAGACTCCATGAAAATTCTTTTTTTTTTTTTTTTTTAAGAAATAAATAAAATTTGACCTAAATAAAACTCATTTCTTTTACATTGTGAGCCACTTATATATATAAAATTTAATTATATACCAATAATTTTATATGTGTTTTTATGTATAATTTTATGTGAAAATATACTAATCTAAAGATATTTATTAAACAATAATATAAAAAAATTACTTTGTAGTGTATGCTTACCCGTCAATCATTTAGAAATTATTACCGTAATTTTCAACACAAATATTTTATATTTTTTGGATAAATATATATAAATTAATATTTATAATGGTCACTGTAAATTTTTGACATGGATAAAGAATATGGCAATGATCTTCACTGCAGGTTATGTTGGTGACCCTGAAGCAACTTCTAGTGCTTTGCAATCGGATGGGTGGCTCAAAACTGGTGATGTCTGTTATATCGATGAGCAAGGTTTCGTGTTCGTGGTTGATAGGCTTAAGGAATTGATAAAATACAAAGGATATCAGGTAATCCACATTCATGAAGTATATACACATTTTTGTTTTATTTCTCAGTAAGGAATACAATGCAGGTTGCTCCTGCTGAACTAGAGCAATTGCTACAATCCCACCCTGACATAGCTGATGCTGCAGTTGTACCGTATGTATTCGACTATTCTATTTCTATTGTTTAATATGAGCTTCTTTGTCATTGATGTTGAAACTGCTTTTATGGAAAGATACTATTTGATGATGCTAATAGAAAATGTAATTTGAGAATGATTTACCATGTTTATAAGCCCGTTCACGGATCAAAACCAATAATTTTTAATCATTCACTAGAAAAAAGATAAAGTGAGAACAAATTTTCAATATTGCAATTAGTTTACTACATGGGTGGATATATAAACTAAGTCTAAACATTTTTTTTTTTTGACATGAAAGAGGAAATTTTATTAATGAACAATTTCCGATTGTACAATTTCCTCAATACAATTAGGAACAACATTCCAAACGTGAAAACTAGATTGAATACAAGCCTCTCTATAACTAAGCAATGAGCAGTTATATTCGTTTGCCTTCGAACCCATGAAATATAAATAAATTCTAACCGATTCTTAAGCCATTTGATATCTGAAATAACCCTACCTCAATCCATTTGAGTCTAAGCAAGTTTTATCCATGTAAATTTGGAGTGCTGGATAACTCTTTTGGAACTTTTTTGAACTTTAACTAGAACATTTAAAATTTATTTTAAAGACTTTGATGATTTCTAACCTACATTATCAGCGGTGTGTTTTTCTCAAACAGTGATGTTAACCACACCTTATGTATTTGTAAGTGGTAGAAATATAAATATAAAAAAATTAATTTGCAGGTCTCCTGATGAAGATAGTGGTGAGGTGCCTATGGCTTTTGTGGTGAAACAGTCCCACAGCAGCTTAAACGAGAGAGATATAATGAATTTTGTTGCTGATCAGGTACTTTTCTGAATTAATATGCACTTTTCCTTCTCAGTTTTTTGTTCTTTAAATGAGAACTGGTTTTTCAAGAAGCGCGCGCGCACACACATATATATAACCTCTCTCATCAATTCAATTCTCTAGTTGTTTGAAGTTTTGGCAACATATTTTGCTTGATTAAAAGCAGGTCGCACCTTACAAGAAAGTAAGGCGTGTAGCTTTTGTCAGCTCGATACCTAAGAGTCCAGCAGGAAAAATACTGAAGAAAGATTTAAGGAAGATGACTTTTGAATGGCCTAAATCCAGAATGTAATTATGTATTATATGGGTGTGTGTGGTGTTCAAATACGACTATTGAGCTTGTACTTTTTTTTTTGTTAATAATTAAGTTCAAATTTGTAATTTCATAGCCTATAAATAATTTTAGTAGCATTGGCTTTATTGAAATGTACATTCATGTACCAAGCACAATTCAAGAGCTAAGATTACATGGGAAAACAATTATCAAGTGTTTATAATCCATTTTTACCAAGATTGTTAGAATAATAGTTTTACTTAAGTTCCTTCTTCCTAAAAAAATTTATTTGCAAGGTATGAAATTTAAAATTTGAAATCATTATTGTTGAGAGAGCTTTATCTGAAGAAAATTACTTATCTACACTGGTGTAAGGACTAAAATAACAATTAAATAATTATCTCTATTTTATTTTATTTTCAGTAAATAGTTAAAATACCCTCATTTCTCTTTAGTTTTATACTAATTGGAATATTACTGCTAGTAGCCTGGAATTAGAAAAAAAAAAAAAAAACGAAGAAAGAGAAAACAGTAAAGACCAGACAGAACTAGGCCCCCAACTATGGGCCTCCAAACTAAGCCCAATGGGCCAAATTCACCCAATCATCGCCTTCTCCATCGTCAACTGCTCTATGCCCGTCAAGCATCCACTGCAACTGAAAATGAAGCTCTAACGCTGCCAACTCTCACAAGCTTCCCTCCATCCTTTCTCCATTTCCAATAACAACATTTAAATCTTTCGTTAAATTGTACATGTCCAAATCACCAATATATACGCTTTAAAGTAAAACTGCAGTACCTGTTTCTTGACCGGAAGTAATACTTTGAAATCTTGGTCTCTTCATAGGCCAAGATGGACATACTCTTCTATCAGATCCAAGCGGACCTTCGCTCAAATGACGCTTTACGCCAATCTGGTGCTCTTCTTCAAGCTCTCCAGCAATCAGCTGGTGGCCGTGACATTTCCGTCATCGCCAAGACCGCCGTGGAAGAGATCGTCGCTGCACCAGCCTCCGCTGTCTGTAAAAAGCTTTCCTTCGACTTAATTCGATCCACGCGGCTAACTGCGGATCTATGGGACTCCGTTTGTACCGGTGTTCGTAACGATCTCCACTTCCCTGACCCTGATGTCACTGCAGCTGCTGTGTCTATTCTTGCTGCTATGCCTTCTCACTCGCTTTCTAAACTGATTATGGATTCCAATACTGAAATCTCTGGTTGCTTTGATTCTCCTAGCGATAATTTACGGTTTTCGATTACTGAAACCCTTGGTTGCATTTTGGCTCGTGATGATATGGTGACGTTATGTGAAAACAATGTGAATTTGCTTGATAAGGTATCGAGATGGTGGGGGCGAATTGGGCAAAACATGTTGGACAAATCTGACGCCGTTGTTAAAGTCGCGTTTGAATCAGTTGGGAGGTTGTTTCAGGAGTTTGATTCGAAGAGGATGAGTCGATTAGCGGGTGATAAGTTAGTTGATAGCGAAAATTCATTAGCGATTAGGTCTAATTGGGTTTCATCAATGGTGGATTTCATTTGGAAGAGAAGAAGTACTTTAATGTCCAGGTCATTACTCTTACCTATAGAGAATTTTAGGGCTACTGTGTTCCCACTTGTGTATGCAGTGAAGGCAGTCGCGTCAGGCAACTTGGAGGTAATCCGGAAGGTTTCCAAGGCTGCTGCCAGTGGAGTCAATGGTAGCGTGGTCGATTCTAATGCAGAGAAGTTAGTTGGGGTGTCTGATGTGGTAACGCATTTAGCTCCCTTTTTAGCGTCATCACTGGATCCAGCATTGATTTTTGAGGTGGGAATTAATATGTTGTACCTGGCTGATGTGCCTGGAGGCAAGCCGGAGTGGGCTTCACAATCTATTATTGCCATCTTGACGCTTTGGGATAGGCAGGAATTTTCTTCAGCAAGGGAGAGTATTGTTAGAGCTGTCGTTACAAATCTGCATCTCCTTGATCTTCATATGCAGGTATCGATCTTGATTCTTCTATTTCAAAGGAACTTACACATTAAGATTATTTGGGTATGAGGAAGCTAGAATTATATACACTACTACTCTTAATTTTGCTTCTTTATTATTGGTAAGGGAATAATTGAAGTTATTTTTGAGATTGTGAGCTTTGAAGTATACTGTTGAATACTTTCCACTAAATGAGCTCCAACGGAGACGTGCACTCAAGGAACACCTAGATAGCAGTTAGTTATTTTGTTGATGTTGGTTTGGATTGTCTATTGATATTGTCAAGTTTTCTGCTTGAAGGTTTCATTGTTTAAAAGGCTGCTTTTGATGGTGAGAAATTTGAGGGCAGAATCAGACCGCATGCATGCGATAGCATGTATTTGTAGGACAGCTCTTTGTGTTGACCTTTTTGCTAAGGAAAGTGTCCGAAGAGGTCAGAAACCTCTTGCAGGCACTGACATTGCTTCTCTTTTTGAGGATGCAAGAATAAGAGATGACCTTAATAGCGTAACAAGTAAAAGCTTATTTAGGGAGGAGTTAGTGGCATCACTGGTGGAAAGTTGCTTCCAGTTGTCTCTACCTTTGCCTGAACAAAAAAACTCAGGAATGGAGAGCAGAGTGATTGGAGCTTTGGCTTATGGAACTGGTTACGGTGCACTGAACTGGACTGAACCAGCTTTGGAAGTGGTGGAAGTCTGCAGGCCTTGTGTAAAATGGGATTGTGATGGAAGGACCTATGCAATTGATTGCTATTTGAAGTTACTTGTTAGGCTGTGCCATATCTATGATACCCGAGGTGGGGTAAAAACTGTTAAAGATGGTGCTTCTCAGGATCAGATTTTAAATGAGACAAGACTGCAAAATTTGCAACGTGAACTTGTGCGGGATCTGCGTGAGGTACGTATGCAGTTATTTGAAAATCAAATACTACATTTAGTGACAGTAGAATTTTACGCATTAATGCTAGAGTAGATAGCTATAATGTTGTTTGTACGCACTTGTGTACTCTTGTTCAAATTGTACACTGTGCAGTTTTACAGCATTGTGCCAATGTTGATTCATGCTACTTATTGGGTCTATGACCCTTGAGAAGTTGATAGTGCTTTCACCCCCAACAATCAAATTCCGTTGTCATGTTTTGACTGTGGAACTTAGTTCTTAATGAGGATTTTATGTTGCTGTTGCTTCTCGCAACTGTCGTGTGATTTATCAGGAACTAGAGAAATGTTCATTTGGAAGATGATAGTGTTGAATATTGCTTCAGGTTATACTGTTATATGGTTGTCATTGTTGATTAATGTTCTATCTTTGTCTTATTAGTTTCCTTGGCTTTTCCAGGGTTTTAAATGACAGAATCGGAAAGAGTAATTATATATATATATATATGCAACATGTTAAGTTAATAGTTGGAAGAAACATGAGATATGATCACTTCTTATTTTTCATCTTCTGTTTCTAGGATATTGCTGGATCACCTGTAGAAAAATTAAAAATAACATCAGTAGGCTAAAATTCTATTATCGAATGACTGAAACTTTATGAAACAGCTGTTATTTAAAAAACCCTGCCTGTTCTTTTTGTTATAACCTCGATCTTATCCATTTCTCAGTGTAGCTCTTTGTTTTTTTCTTCCCTATTTGTCTTGGCTCATGTACAGTACATATGACACTTTCTGTCTTACTTCTTCATCAATTTCAATTTAACAGGTAAGTAACACAAGAGTATGTGCTCGTCTTATTTGGGCAGTCGCAGAACACATAAACTTGGAAGGACTGGATCCACTTCTAGCTGATGACCCTGAGGATGCATTGAACATGATTATATCAAATATCCACAAGGTTTTATTCAACATTGATTCATCTGCGAATACATCCAATAGGCTTCAAGATGTTCAAGCAGTTCTTTTAAGTGCTCAGCGGTTGGGATCACGTAATGCTAGGGCTGGCCAGTTACTAACTAAAGAGCTGGAGGAGTTCAGAAACAGTGGGTTGGCTGATTCTGTCAACAAGCATCAGTGCCGTTTGATATTACAGAGAATTAAATATGTCCAAAGTCATCCCGATAATAGGTGTCTATTTTATTCCATTACCAGAATTCTGAATTGAAGTTAAAAAGATTCTAGTATCATTATAGCTGTTTTGCATATGATGTTATGTTTATGAATGGTAATAATACAATAGGGCTCAGGATATTTTATTTTTATTGACCTACATAACAATTCTGATCTAGATCAGAGTACACACTCCTCAAATTCTTTCGTTACCAACTTTCTGTGTTGATTTGTGGTTGGCTGCAAATTAGGATATTTCCATATACCGCATCCATTCAATTTGTTATTCTGCATCACTCCAGCCTTATATCTTAAATTTTATGGTAATAACTATTCTGTCATGGGAGTTGAGATGCATTGTTTTTCTTTCAGGTGGGCTGGGGTTAGTGAAGCTAGAGGAGACTATCCATTCAGCCACCATAAACTTACTGTTCAATTTTACGAAGCAGCTGCGGCACAGGACAGAAAGTTAGAAGGATTAGTTCACAAGGCTATTTTAGAGCTTTGGCGGCCAGATCCTAGTGAATTAACTATTTTGCTCACAAAAGGAATTGATTCTAAATTACTCAAGGTTATGCCAGCTGCATATACTTTGACTGGCAGCAGTGATCCATGCTATGTCGAAGCGTATCATTTGGCAGACTCTGGTGATGGCAGGATCACTCTGCACCTGAAGGTTAAGATTCTTTTCTCCACACTTGACTTTTTTTTTTATGTTTCTGTTTACCCCTATATTTATGTTGTTGTGCAACATATCATCTGCATTTATCATTCTAAGTGATTTACTTTCATTGCATGGCACCATATCTCTCCTTATCACTCAGAGGAACTAATGAATTATTAATTGCTAAAATTAATTTTGTTTCTTCTTGGATCTACTCATTATTAAGAGAAATTCCATAAACAATTTGTTTCCTAGGACCTGTAAAGAGGGTTATGTTTGATCTGACATTTAGGAGTGCTAACCATATTAAATGTGAATTAAGAACTGCTGTTTTCCTTGTCATTGTTTTTTAAAATTGGGTTTTTACAATTGTAATAGGTTCCAGCTCATGTCTAAATTAGTGCATTACATGTGCTACAAAATGAGTGGGTGTGCTATCATTTATATTCCTGTTAAATGAGGATTCTAAATGTGCTGGTCTAACTTATAGGGTTAATGTTTTGATAAATCAAAGAAATTAAATGAATAGGAGCAGTTTTATTATGCTTTCGTCTTTTTTTTTTTTTTTTTTTTTTTAAACTTACAAATGAGTGCGGTGTGCTATCAATTTATATTCACTGCTTAAATGAGGATTCTAAATGTTGCTGGTCCTAACTCACTATAGGGTTAATGTTTTGAATAATATCAAAAAATTAAATGAATCGAGCAGTTTTATTATGCCTTTGTCTTTTTTTTTTTTTTTTTTTTTTATTTAAAGCTTTTTTTTTTTTTTTTTTTTTTTTTAAAGCTCACCCTCTTTCTTTCCTTCTGAGATATTGTGAAATGTTTTCATGTTATGTTGATATTCGTTTTGTTAATATGGTAAGCTGGTTGCAGGTCTTAAATTTGACTGAACTTGAACTTAATCGGGTGGATATTAGGGTTGGGTTATCCGGTTCACTATATTTTATGGATGGATCTCCTCAGGCTGTGCGACAGCTACGCAATCTTGTTTCACAGGTATCTTTTGTTCCAGGCTTTCAAAGATCTTCCCTTAAAACTCTGTTCATAATCTTTTTCCACACCTTCATTTGCATTCTCTGGCTGCTGTTCTTAAGGTGGGCTTTGCTGGTTATCATTCTTGATGAGAGGATTTACGACTACTGATTGCCATTCTGAAAGTTAAACTGTATATTCTATAATGGTCTGTAGTTTGAGGAGTATATGGATGAGGGTTTTTGTTATATTGCGTGCTGTCTTCCTATGTTGAAGGTTTCATAAAAATTTCAATTGTTTCTTGGAATCTTAGAGGCTACCCCTGTCTCTCTCACATGGTTTCTGTATTTTAGTCGCTCATATATAGTTATAATGATTTGTACTGTTCAGGTCACATAAATTCTCACTGAAATGACTTACAAAATATTGTGTGTCAACTCCAGCTTCTTAGATTTTGATCTGAGCCATGTAGGAGCTTTGCAAGTAAAATCCTATATGTCAGTGAGGTGAAAAGTTTTCATGTAATATATGTCTTTGCAAGTTTTTTCTTCAAATAGATATCTTCTGTTGGGTTTTCAACTATAGTTAATATTATTGTTCTTTTTCATTTATCTTTTCTCCTTAATACTTCCACTTACTAGATTTTGTGATCTTTACATTTGATAGGATCCAGTACTCTGCAGTGTGACAGTGGGTGTATCCCACTTTGAGAGATGTGCCCTTTGGGTTGAAGTCTTGTACTACCCATTCTATGGAAGTGGTGCTATAGGAGATTATGATGGTGACTATTCTGAGGAGGATCCACAAATCATAAGGCAGAAAAGAAGCTTAAGACCAGAACTAGGAGAACCGGTGATTTTGAGGTGTCAGCCTTACAAAATCCCTTTGACTGAACTTCTTTTGCCACATAAAATATCACCTGTTGAGTTCTTTCGCTTATGGCCTAGTTTACCAGCCATAGTGGAGTATACTGGCACATATCTGTATGAAGGAAGTGGCTTCAAGGCTACTGCTGCACAACAATATGGGTCTTCTCCTTTCCTTAGTGGACTGAAATCTTTGCCTTCCAAGCCTTTTCACAGTGTTTGCTCCCACATGATCCGCACAGTGGCAGGATTTCAGGTAGGATCTACTAATGAAGTTTCTGCTTCCATATTGATGAGAACTTCAAAGAAATATACTTTTAGGAGTATTGATCAAATGACTTGTTTGTTAAAGTGATTTAAGCCTATTCAGAATGCGTGAAATATTTCATACCATGAAACTTCGAATTCTGTCTTTGGACAGCTTTTTTTTTTTTTTTTTTTTTTTTTTTCGCCTTCCATATTGAATGAAGATTACACATCTCCAAGAGTAAATATACTTTTCAGGAGTACCTTTGATAAAGCATGACTTGTTTGTCTATTAGGTGATGTTAAGCCTTATTTTCAGTAATACGCGTTGAAATATTTCATACCATGAAACTTCGAGGATTCTGTCCTTTGGAAGCTTTTTTTTTTTCTTTTTTATTTTTTTTTGACAATTCTCTTTGGACAGTTTCGATTTCGCTTCGCCAACACTGGTTTTGGGGGATATTCTTTGGGAACTTGACTGATTTCTTGGAGCCAGTGAACGATTAGCCAGAAATGTGGATTGGTGTTTTTTTTTTTTTTTTTTTTTTTTTTGACATTCTCTTTGGACAGCTTTGTTATGCTGCAAAAACCTGGTTTGGGGGATTCTTGGGCTTGATGATTTTTGGAGCCAGTGAAGTTAGCAGAAATGTGGACTTGGGTGATGAGACAACTACCATGTTATGCAAATTTGTGGTCCGAGCATCCGATTCATCAATCACCAAAGAGATTGAAGCAGACTTGCAGGGTTGGTTGGATGACCTTACTGATGGGGGTGTGGAATACATGCCTGAAGATGAAGTGAAGGAGGCTGCGGCCGAGAGACTTAGGATTTCAATGGAACGGATAGCTTTGCTAAAAGCGGCCCAACCGCCACCTAAAGCTCCAAAATCTGACGATGAAGAGGAAGAAGAGGAAGACGAGGATAAAAAGAAGGAAAAGAATGGGGAAAAGAAAGATGGTGAAGATGGTAAACCTAAAGGAACCTTGTCAAAGTTGACTGCAGAGGAGGTTGAGCACATGGCTCTTCAAGCAGCAGTGCTCCAGGAATGGCACATGCTTTGCAAAGAGAGAAGCACTCAGGTTAATTGAAACCTGCATCTCTTAATTTTTAGAAAGAAGGGTTTGAGAAAATTTCTTGTACTCGTGTAATCTAATATTGATTCTTGGAATAGGTAGAAAATTTAGGATACAGACTGCCTCTTTCTTCGTCTTCTTCCCTTCTTTCTTTTCTTGTCAAAATACTTCAGTTTTTATGGGATATTCCCTTGTACATCATGTACCGGATAGGCATTATTTCATTGCTTCTTTGTGAGGAATTAAAGAAAAATGAGTTGAAGTGTTTTCCGTATTCTTTCTACTTTGGAACTGAATTTCTGTATACCTTTTTTGGGAATTGAGTTTCGATTGGCATCGTGCTGTTTCTCTATTTCTTTTTAAATCAGGTAATAAGGTGGAGGCAGGAGAGCAAGTTATACTTCCAAGTTTTTAACTGGAGACACAATTGTCCTTCGTAAGTCTAACGATCTGCTAAACGACATTGAGAGGAAGACAACTTTTCCCTCCAAAAAAACTATTTACCTAAAAAAGTATTTACCTGGCATATGAAATTATTCTACAACGAATCAAATTGTTAACTCCATTTGTTTCTCAGTTAAAAAACACTTGATACTTTCATTTGCACCAGATTACTAACTTCATTAGACGCAGATAACTCATTCCCGCTCGATGATTAGTTATCCTTTTGGACGTTCCCAAACTGATCAAGAGTTCAACAAATACCAATCTAATTTGGAATCTCAGGAATAGGCAACTGGTTTACAACTTTAACGCATCAGGCACAACTTAATGAGAAATCGCTGTTTTACACTACTAAAATCAAAATTGTGCAATGTACATAATGACCATAATTGCTTCTTATCATATTTGTCTGGAGGGGAGAGGAAAATGGGGGATGTGACGCGTATTAATTTTCTTAGGGAAAATATGGAAGAAAATTTTCCCATTTCCTTGAACATGGAGCCCTGAAACAAAATATGAGCCCTAGCATCATTTACCACTTCTTTTCCTAAAGCTTCCTCTCCTCATATATTGAATTTCTGGGGAACTGTGTCAAAGTCATCAAAGTCAAATCTCTGACGCTCTCTCCCAGCCTGAATGTATAATCATATAATCTAATCAGCGCATAGAAGGTTCCAAAAAACGCTTGGACAGTTCCTATTGCATGAATCAAAATGATAAACCAGCTCACCTTTGCTAAGTACAAGGGATCGCAGGACATGAGTTCATCCATTGCAGTCAACTTCTTTGACAGTTCCATTATCCTGCAAAAACAGAGGGAGAATTAAGTAGTTATGAATCCATTGATGACCTGGCCACTAACACTTGATGTTGAACCATTCATTACAGTTATACTGGGTGACAGCAACTCCATTTCAGCTAATTTTATGACCTATATAAGTTCATTTCTTGGGATAATCGACTTGATTGCAGTTAATAATACTTTGCTACTAGCAAAATCCTCACAAGGAAAAATATGCTTAAGTTTGTTTGGATTCTTGAATTTGATTCGAAACCTAAGGTTTTGAAATATAAAGTTACTTGAAATGATACATGTTTTAAAATTACTTGTCATTATATTTAAACCTTAAATTTGTTATTGACTTTATTTAAATCCAAATTCATAAACTTTTGACAACTCAAGACAACAGAATTATTTAAATCCAAATGCCTAAATTCAAACACAACAAGAATTCTTAACTGGAAAGTGAATGCACAATGAAGTTCTTGCCATATAACACACATTAACAATGTTAGAACTGCTATACCTTTGAATTGAGGAGTCAATACACTCAATCATCTCACAGGTTTTATATTGCTCTGGATCTTCTTGGAATCTAACCATACCATCTTTTTGGTTGATTGTCGCATATATTTCACCATCTTGGATCTAAAGTTTGACATAGAAATATTAGCCATACATGGACAACATTGTGAAATAAGTTTTGAGTGTGTGTATAGGACATTAGTAACTACCATTTGGAGCACATGCATTTCAGCTTCTTTTGGGCTATTGAGTTGCACAGTGTTGGCTATATCTTGGAGGGAGAGAGTCAGATATGTCTGGGTCAATCTCTGGATGTTTCTCTTATACATGGATGATAAAACTTGCTTCACCAGTCCAAAATTATTATCCTGCAAAAGAATTCAAAGCCACCTTGAAAAGACATAAAGGAACCACATGAAAATTTCATTTGACCATAAGAAAGATCTCAGATTTCTGTTACTAGAGACGTTTGAAGTATATGACAGATAACTCACACTTTCAAACTTCTCCCTGTTTGCCTGGACATTCGACTCTAATTCTTCAATTTTTCCAGTGCTGTAACTATTTGCTAATTCAATGTAAGGCTGCTCAAAGGACAAAAATAATGTGTTAAGAGAAGTCAACTAAAACATAAAACAGCTCAACTAGAAACCAAATGCTTGGAAACTTTGCAGGCAAATGTAAATGAGTAATATTTGTAGAAACAAGTAATCTACCGAAGTCTTATCGTTTATAAAATTGTGCACACAGTGCCACAATCAACGGTAGAGCTGTTCAAGATTTTTTGAGACATGCCCAAATTGTTAAAACTGCTCCACACTGACCCATAATTTGTAGGTTTCAAGAGGTACAAGTAGGTTGTTGCTTTCGTTTATTGAAAAACCAACACTTTCATGGGTTAGCAGAAGGTTAAGAGTTCTGAAACCATATATAACCAACCGACCAATAAACAATATATAAAATGACAATGTATCAGGGTTACGAATATATATATTCAAACTAAACGTTACATCCTATTTCGACTTTCTCATCTAGCCTCTCACCATCAGTTTCACACACTCTCTCTTGTCTGTCAGTTTTTCTCCCTTAATCTCTTTCGATCTTTCATCCAAGGCAACATGAAGACTCCTATCTCTTAAGTTTTTCCATGCTAAAAATTATTTTATTGATATCATTCTCACCCCACTTCACCCGACCGAACATGCCGGTTCCTTTGTTGTGCAGACTGGCATCGGATTGAGAAATTTCCACCCCCAAAATGTCAGTTTTGGCTAGACAGGATACCACCAACCCAATCACCCTAACCCATGAACACAACTAACCAATGGAACAGAACTTGATAGTGACAGAACAGTTATAAAAGATTGAAAACAGACAAATATCCCAAGAACATGGAAATTGTGATCATAAAAAATAATTGTGGCTCACCAATCTGGTTCAATGCATGATATGCACAAATCCTCAGGGAGAATTTTCCTTTTTTAAATGGTGATACACGTGACAATAGGAGCACTACCCAAATAACAAAAAAGAGAGGACCTATTCCTCATAAAGTTTATCTGCTAATGCCTATAGAAGGATCTCGTCCCTATTTCAGACCAAAAGACCTTTGGTCATACTATGGTTGTATGCTTTTTTCAGAGTCTCAGTTGGGATCCATAAGTTGCATTAGCAGAAAGGAAGAATATGGATCCCTCTTGACCCCAGCCAACTAATGTAATAATGCAACATAAATATAAATATTAAATAACATTAATTTAATTCTGTAATTACCTGACAAAAGTTCTTCAGATTTCTTTGAGCTGCTGTAGAAGCATATTTAGGAAGACTGGTAGAAAACTGCTACCATGAGAATAACTAGTCATACAACAAGTCGCCAACAAAGTAATGGAGAGATTAAAAGAGAGATATTTATAGATGGTCATTCCATGCAATACTTCATGGTAGGGAATCTGTTTGACTGCATACTATTAAGTTCATATCCAAAGTTAATATGACTTTTAGGCATGGTGAGGTAAAAAAGAATAAAACATACCTGTCCCTGGTGAATTAGAGAAACCAGTATGTATTTTTTGTATGCTTCAACTGCTATTGCATTTATAGAAGACATAGGAGCAGTCACAACCTGAGATAAGGATTATTAACAGAGCAAATTACCGAGATAAAATTGAATGATTAAAAAATTAAACACAATGGATGAAAATATAAGACATACATTGTGTAAAAGCTCCAATGCTTTCTTAAAGCGTTTTTGTCCAATGCATATCATCCCTCTGTCATTATATCAACTGTGAGGCATACTCAGAAACTCCTCATCAATATAGAAAGCTGTTAACCAATTAAAGTGCAGAGAACAAGGAGCTGCTAAGTTTTGAATAAATCATCATCATTTCATTTGTCAGCCTAGTTATTTATTCATTCATTTTGATTGATTAAAAAGCACAATCCATTATCAAACTCTACATTTAGTTATGAGCAAAGAGAACAATAACCAAAACCATAAATTTAAAGTTCACAAATTAGTTGTGTTATGACTGAATGATTAGTAACTGAAACCAATAAATGATTCATCACAATCTAAATTGTGAAACTGATCATATCTTTTCATGCTTCCAGTTAAATTTAAATACCAAAGCTCTTCAGCTGGTGCTTTCTAGAGTAGGCTAATTTAACTTATTTAAATTATCCTAACGCACTCCAAATTTAGCCTGCTCCAAGAGACTAAGCATAACCATCATATTAGATATTGTAACATTATTCCATCCAAACAAGAGTCCTGGGACCAATGAACAACAAAAGCTACAAATAAACTGGTTTATAGGCCACACGTTTACTGCTACTCGTTCATTTCTAACTTAAAAACAGCAAAATTAACTTGATAAAAGGAATGAAGCACTAATCTGACGAGTTGACTATTCAAAACTTGATAGAAAATCTTCAAGGGAAGAGCAACAAAAAACGTTAAAGATCTCAAGAAGCTAACACATTATCCAATTAAGTGAGAAATGCCAAATGAACAAGGAATGCTGCAAAGATGTAAAGGCAGACCCAAGAACGAGTGTCAACAGAAAAAAGAAGAGCTTCCAAAGGGCAAAGAAGTCCAGCCTAATGAAAGTAAAAAGAATATCAGATGAAACAGATAAATAGTGAGCAGAAAAAATGACTCACCCATAATAACCATAGAGAAACAAGTCCCTTGGCTGATCAACCTCGAAAATATCATCCTCCAAAATGGAAAGACCAGCTTTATAGCACTTTGATAACAAGCAAAGTTGAAGGAACTCTGGGTGCAAAGGGGTCAAATGTACAGTGGAAGACTGAAGCTTTCTTACAGCTGCCAGCATTGGAGCTACCCCACGCAAAGGTGCTTCAAGCATCATAACTTGGTCTTTGAACCTCTTACAAACAGATACTACTGCAAAGCCGTAACACTTAAAGTGAATGGCTGTGCATATAGCACTAATTAATATATTTAAACACAACTAGTTCAATTCCGAGTAAAGATAAATACACTTATCAGGCACCAAACGAATCTGTTCTGCAACACAAGAGGTGATGAACCTAGCAAATATCAAGGCCAATGTTTCAGCTTGCTCTTTAGAAACTGGCCCCGAAGTGGATGCCTCTCTGCCACCAGAAATAAGCCGGCAATCAGAAATCTATTGTCCCAACTCCAAAAACCCAATAAACCAAATCACATTTCATTCACTCAGTTCACCAAAATTCAAAAACATCCAAACCATGTAATCTTTACACTAAAATAGCATCTAGAAACATAAATTACCGACAAAATCCTAAAACCCTAAAATCATTATAACCACAATCAAAATTTTTTTAATAAAAGAAAACCGATAAAAAACTGAAAAAACGTGTAAATACAAGTAAAGAAGAGAATCGGAACATACAGGATATAGAGGTAACCGAGAGAATGTATGGAGGGGTCAAGCTGTTCGAGGAAAGGCAATAACCGAGTGGACTCATTGTGAAGCGAGTCGTCTACTTGTTTCAAGTAAGTGTGAAGAGCAGAGATATCCGTTAAGCTACTCGATAGTCCTTGGATTAGCGTCAATACCGATTCTATAGAGTTCATCCTCGATTTTCCCTTCTGATGATCGAACAATCAATCAATCAACAAATACACTCAAAACAGAGAAATTTTCCCACTTTCTTTCCTTTGTGTGTCCGCGTTAGCAGAGGGACTCGGTATCAACTCGGATATAAATAGGAGAAGGACTTGATGGGCTGATGGCCCAACAAAAGCCCAAAAATACCCCAGCTTAAAGGAATAAATATACTTGCTGGAATAGCACAAATCAGTTTGGAAGGTCAGAAAATACCAGAAACAACCTAGGAAGAAACAAGATCGAAAAGCAGAGTAATGGCGGATTACCATTTTGTGTATAAGGATGTGGAAGGAGCATCGACGCAGTGGGATGATATACAGAGAAAGCTTGGGAATTTACCAGAAAAACCACCTGCTTTCAAGCCACCGTCTTTTACTCCAGCTCCAGACGAAGATTCCATTCCTAAAGATAAATCTTGGATTGATAGCAAGAACGAAGAGGACCTCGAGGACCTCGAGGATGATCTCGATGACGATCGATTTCTCGAAGATTACAGGTCTCTCTCTATCTTTCAATTGATCTGCAACTAAATTGAAATTTTTTTTTCTATAGTCTTTTTGGAAATCAAGAAAGCTAGTGAAAAGTATCAAATGGCTGGGGATGGAGCTCATTGAAGTCACTGGGGAGTTGTTTTTCTTTTTGAATTAAATATGTTTTCTTTTTATGGAAAGTTTTCTTGTTTTAATGGTGAAATGTGTGTTGATAGGAAGAAGAGGTTGGCAGAGATGAGGGAAGCAGTTAAAATTTCTAGGTTTGGATCAGTGCTTCCAATTTCGGGGTCAGATTTTGTGAGAGAAGTGTCTCAAGCTCCACCTGATGTTTGGGTTGTTGTGGTTCTCTACAAGGATGGGTATAGCTTTAGACATTATTTCTGTGATCTAAATTTGGCTAATACAAGCTACGGCCTTGCTCGATTATCGTTTTAGTTTATTTTTTTATTTTTCTCTCGATAGATACCAGGAATGTGGAGTATTGATGCGATGTCTGGAAGAATTGGCAACTAGATATCCTGCTACAAAGTTCGTTAAGATCATATCTACAGATTGTATACCAAACTACCCGGATCGTAATCTTCCCACTTTATTGGTGTACAATAATGGTGCGGTGAAAGCAAATTATGTGGGTCTGCAGAGTTTTGGCCGGAGATGTACCCCTGAAGGTATTTACTTGTGATTGCTTTGTTGCTTTTCTTTCCACTGTCTTATTGCATTTGTTTATGTTTTTTTTTTTCTTGTGCTGAAAATCATTCTGTATCTTCACTAGCCTAGATCTCAATTATGTTATGCAAGAAACTCTTTCTGTGAAGCCTTATATAGTTTCTCCGGATCATAATTCTCCTATACATTGTAAAATTGAAATTTCAATTGCATTCTGGTCTATGTGGGATTATACAAAATGCTAAAATTGCATTATGAAATTCCAATTTGAGTGACGGACTTGTAATGTTTCTCAGTTTTATATAGCAGACTAGAATTGGATGAAGACATTCTCAAGATGAAATTTGGGTTGGCAGCTTCTATGTAAAATAAGTATAAAGTTCCTTTAGGATATGTTAAGCATGCACTACTTGAATGTTTCTGTATAAACTATGGTTTGTCGTATCATCATATTTTGACCTTATTTCCTGTGCATTGTGGTGTTATCATATTATTTTTGTGTCTGTCATTTCTAATTAAGAGTGCCTTGTGTCTTCCAACTAAGCTTAGGTCAACCTGCTGCTCTTGTTTCTTTATTTTGAAAGAGTTGGGGTGAGAAAAAGAGCAAGAGTTTTGTCTAAGCCCCAATTTATGACGTAACAGAATCGGGTCCAAACTTCAAGTTCTTTTGCTTGGACAGAGAGAGTGAAAAAAAGAAAAATTGAATGTAGAAATTGGTAGTTAGTCCCAGACCAGAGGTAGTGGTTTCGGGATGCATGCATGCCTAATTTGAGATACATTGGGAGACTGTCTTGTTATAAACAAATAAACTATGTTATTTTGCTGGTGGTTGTGTTGGGTCTTCCCCTATTAAACTATAATGGCATTCTTCTTTTATTTGGACATTTAATTGTATAAGCTTGTTTTCTGATCCGTTGTTGTTTATCTCCTTAAACATTAGGTGTTGCATTAGTTCTTTGTCAATCAGATCCAGTACTAAATGATGGTCAGAATGGAAGTGATCCGTCGAGAGAAACTGTCATGGAAGGAGTTCGGAGAAGGCTTATAGAGAAGGTTGTGAAGGAGCACGAAGATGATGATGATGGATCATCAAGTGATTAGAATTTTAGTAGTTTCTATTGGGTTTTTTTTTAAGAGGAAGAGGAGCAAAATTGTATTTTATGCAACCAGAGCTGTGTTTTATGTTTCTTTGGATATCTTATTGCATCTTGTACAAGTTGTTAGGTTATTTGTTGGTGTTCATTTGCTTAAGATGCTCGTTTCAGTTCTCTTTTTTCTATATATATTTTTTCATAATTATTAATCCACTTGTTCACCTACATTTTGCCAATTCTATGATGAGTAGTAAGTTTACAGATGCTTCTATTCAGAAATTATTAAGCTTATATTAGATCCTTAATTGGTGCATCTGCTCAAATATTATCAAGAAAAATTCATCAATCACATTGAAATAATGGGATTGAATTCTTGTTCCCGATGTTGTATTAACTAACTTAAAAGAACATACACTTTAGAGTAGCTCTAGGAACCAATGCCACTTTATCTTCAAGTTAATCTTAAACATATCATGATTATCAAAATCAACCAAGTACTTGCAAGCATATCTAACATCAGAAGCAAACTACTCATCATCGTGTTTAATTATCTGAACCGCTGGTTAATGCATACGACACTGGCGATACATGTGCATTTTCGGACATCAACAGCCATCAGCCAAAATTCAGTATTGCATTTTCTCACAGAAAATATGTCCGGAGAAAAGAATTCCCAGGACAACCTAAGAACTTGCAGCAATCACAGTCCCATTTCTCTCTCAGACTGATGATAGACCTAACAGGAATTTCAAGAACCAGGAGAGTAATACTTCAATTTCTGACAGAATGGGATCCATGATCATTTATGGCAAGTTACATACAGAATAAGAAAACATCTATTTGACAGATGGACACTAGTTTTCCAATTTTAGTTCATCCATTTTCAGTTCAACTTCTTTGTTTCTTCACAATCTTGTATCATTAGCCCTCCCAAGTTTCACTCAGTCTCTTCTTAAACTTCTTTCTTTCTGCCTTTTTGCTTATCATTACCACCTTGTTCTTGCTGTTCAGTTTTTTTCTGAGCTCGAATCATGGCTCGTCTGGCACGTGGCCGCATTTCTCGCACTGCTCTAGGAGGCATTACATATGGTTCAAGGGGCCGATCACCAAAGGGGTGCTCACTTCCAGCAAAAATTCTCAGCTTTCGATCTCTATCCTACATCCATAAAACCAGTATTACAAAATAATAATTCTAAAACACTCCAAGCTCCATACTTGAAATTAATAAAGCAAAGTATATTCTAAAGGAAAACAAACTTGCAAGTTTATATTAGAGCATCATTTAATTGGGCCTACCCAGACAATCAGCTCCATTTATTTCAAAGGAGAAGCAAGAAATGCAAGTTCAAAGAAATGTTGATGGATATCATCTCCAAAAATTGAAGTATCAGAACCTACTACAGAAAAGAATGCTTCACCAAGTTTGATTAAGGATTTGAAGTTTAACAGAAACCTTTTGCGAAGGTTCTGTAGTATTCTCCAATTTCAGAGCTTTGTGAGGCCAAAGTGTACTAGGGTTTAGAGTTTAGGTTTTGACAGGTTCTTTGTACCAGTCTTGTCTTATTATTATTAGTGGATTTCTAGCCAATTTGCCTGCAGTCTACGTTAACATGAATCTGTTTACTCTATTTTTCTATCTTTTTGTTTTGCACCCACTCAAACTAGATTTCGCCTTGATGTTCTTATAACCTAGGGAAACAAACAACAGTATGTTGATTATTTTCACTTTACTGATTTAACTGCCTTTCAGTGTAGCCTACTGCATGAGATATATGAATTACTTTTCTTCAGAAGTGTCACACCAACGTAACAATGGTAACAAAGGATCCACAAAGCCGACCTCAACTAGTTTGAAACTAAGGTCTAGTTGTTATTATGTCACACTAACATAACCCTGCCATATGGTGGGAAATGAGGTGAGACAGAAGATAAGAGTGAACATTGAACAGCAACTTAAAAGCATTTCCACACAAGAAAGATATTTCAGAAAACAAAAAAAAGTCAACAGTATTTTAGAGTCAATATAAATGTCCATTATAGTACTAACATCACGCAATTTGTTTCTAGGAAGCATTCGCAGGACAGCTTTGCGAATTACTTCAGTAGGATCTTTCGCCATCTGATCCTTTAAACTCCTTTCTTTGAGATGGCCCACATACCTACAGGAAACAGGTAATTAAACATCATAACAAGCCTTCATTTCAAGAAAGGGACAAGGTGAGGCATTGTGTTAATATATATGTATGTCTGTAGTCAATTTCAGCTACCTTATTATTGATAAATATTGAAAGAAGGAAATTATCTATATCCTTCGAGATAAAAAGTTTTGCTTGGAATCCAAAATACTTCTATCAAGCTGCCAATGTTTGCAAAATTTTCGGGTACAGTGAAAAAATTTGTTTACTGCATGACAAGCTTGCAACACTAAACAATAGGTAATCAAAACTTGATATTTATTTCCTCATTATATCCTACATTACATAGCAAGTTCTTAGGACTCCATAAATAGAGAAGGTGATACTTGCCCAGTATGCCAGCGATAAAACTTATCCGTCATCTTTCTCCCTGTAACGCATACATCCTTCGCATTAAGAACAATGCACATATCCCCATCGTCACGATATGGAGCATATGTAGGCTTATCTTTGCCTTGAACTACTGTTGATATTTGAGATGCTAATCTTCCAAGGACCTACAATTATGTAAATAACTGTTACATGTGCATACTTCAATAGCTCAATCGTAATAACATGTGATATCAAAAGTTTTATTCAAGCAAGACAATCAAATAAACAACCACCAACGAACAAGTAGTTACTTCAGCAAGCCCTCCATCTGCTCTTATTTGGAATTGCACCACAAATAGGCCACTAAATCAATCAATTTTTATTTTTCCAAATAAAAATGGAAAGAGCACAAGATATTAGTTCATTAGACTACCTCATCACTAAAATTGATTAGCGTAGTGAATATTTTCTAGCCTTCTAGTCGAACCAATCTCAAAACAGTAAATGGAGAAAGAAGGAAGCCCCACCTGGCCTTTAGCATCAAATACTCTCCAACGCAAGCCTTCAAGATTGATACGTCTGAGGCCAGCAATCGCTTTCTGGAAGCATACAAGAAGAAAGTTTGTGTTATTGGTTAGAATCTATTTAAACGCCAATTATGAATTATCAAGTCCTAAACCAAAGTTATACAAACTACAAACAGTCAGAACCTATTAAGCACACACTATTACTAAATCTTACCTCAAATATAACCCTTTTCACCAATCCTAAAGGGATCATACCGTTCAAGAAAGAATCTTCCATCACTCGCTATACTAATGTGTGATAGTAACAAGTCATTCAGTTCTTTCCACAAATACTTAGCGTGCTCAAGATGAAATACTAATATTTCCCATGGAATGAGGGAAAACGAATCGGATTTCTACAGCCGAGCGAGAAAAAACAAATATGCAGATAAATGGTTCATGAAAGATAGAAAGAAGTACCTTCACGTTGCCATTGAAAGAGCTAGCTGCTTGGCTAGCCATGTTTCCCTGTACGATGAGTATTCTCGTTTATCACCCACAAATCATTCACCTGAGTAAACATCAAACAAAGTGCTAAGACCCCGTTTAGCAAACATTAAAAAAAATAATAATAAAACAAAAATAAATTGGGATTTAACGTCGAAACCTTGAGTAGCAGTAGGGTTTGTTTGCAGACTAGATGGAGACGAGAAACTTTTGACATAGGGGGTTTAGCTACGGTGGTGTGCATATGGTGTGGGCTGGGTCCATTCTATCAAGGCCCAACACCGGTCCATAAAAATATGCCCATTATTTTTTGCTCTTTAAGGGAAAAAAGTGTTTTTTTTTTACAATAACTACTTTCTCGTTACAGTTTTTTACATTTTTTTTTCTAATTTAGATGAGACTTTTAGAAAATTAAGATAGTAATTATTATATTTCAATTTTAACTTTATCTATATATTTTTATTAAAATTTATCTCAATTAAATAAGTATTAATGAAACTTAATTTTTTTATAATCGAGGTGATTTAATTATTTTTTTAATTCCTATCCAAAATTAAAATTGTCAAATTTAACACAATTGAGAGAGTAATAATTATTATATACTAAATTCGTAATTGTAGTTTTATCATTAATTTATTATAAGATCAATAAACTTTATTTGCTGGTATGATAAGTTTTACATCTCATTTATACGAATTTTGTAATACTCAATATTGTTATAGAAGAATTACATTTCTTCAAGAAAATGAAAAATCTTAGTAATGACGAATTCATTGTAATTATGATAATTTTTTTACAATATGCTCTCTCCGAACAATTTTGTCATTTTCATACGGAAATTGAGGAAGCAATCAAATCATTTAAATTATTAGTAATAAAAAGATATTTCTGATTTGATTAAATTAATAGTAATCAAATCAACAATTCAAGCCAATAACAACGGTTTGTTTTAGTCAACTTCATGTGAAGATGAGAGATTGGTTTTACCATGAACCTATTATTTGTCTCCAATAATCGAAATAAATGAGACAAAAGGAAATCTTGATGAACATATTACCAGTATTTTAATGAAATTACAATGATCTTGAAGCAATATTGTTACATTATCACAACAAATTGAAAAGGGTAGTAGATAAATCTATATATGAATCACTGTTCTTTAGCTTCTTCTTCTTCTCTCTCTTGAAGCAAAGGTCTGCAATAAAAAAAAATCCAATCATGAAGAGTTGTACAGAAAATACATACTGATGTAAAGTATCCTACCCTCTAGCTTTCATCCAGCGCGAAAGCTGATAGAGCTGTACTGTCTCGTTGCAGACATGACATACAAGAAGATGCAAGTTTCTAGGTTTTACCACCCAAGCAAATCTCATGAACAAAGCAGAATAACCACACATTACTGCAATCATTAATCACAAATTGTTGTAAACAATTGTATTAGAAGCTATATATATGTATATATAAAAATCATTTCTTTTCTTATTTGAACATAAAACCTGCAGTCATATTGCCAGATATCAATTCCGGGGGTTTCTTTGTGTCCATAAATGCCTTTCGAATCCAGCAGAGTCGAACAGTAGATCGATGGTTATCATATATCAAGAAAAAGAGAAATTCGTTATTCTGTAATCTGAAATATGTAAAAAATTTCAAGAAAGAAAAGAAATGATGACGAAGCAAAGCATAAATAGATACATACTGCAATAGGGATGCTCCAGTTGAGAACAGGACCCCAAAAATGAGTTGTTTTGGGACCGATTGGACTGTTCCAAAATACTTGGAAGAATTTCATTACTGGCTAATGAGATAGTCTTAATTCAGAACAAAGCTGTGCAAAGAGTCATATCAGTAAACTATATGTATTACCTGCATGATGCTACTTTTCCAATGGCAGAAAAGATACCAAGACGGCTTGTGATTTGGACTAACTTTTCATTGGAGCTTTACTTGACTTTGATGTGATAAAATTATCCAATGGACGCAACATGATGTTTGTCTCAATCACTTTTGTCAAGTGGGGGAAAAATTGATGTTTATGTCTATCCTACACGAGTCTTTTTCCAGCTCAGACCTGTAAATATTTTATTTACAAAAGTGCCAAGCAATCCTCACATAAAAACATAACATAATAGAGATTTGGAAACTGAACAGAATAGCATAAAGTACCATTCATAGTAGATCATTGAAGACTAATTTTTGAAACCATTTCTTTTCATTTTAAAGCTCATTCAAAAAGCTGGATTCTTTCCATTTCAGTTTTGCTTGTATCATTCTGTGAATAAAGAAAGCTACTCCTAATCTATAGCCTATGTGAACTGAAAATTCTCCATACTAAAAGCTACTTCCTAAAATGACTCATCTAAGATGGTTTAGGATTACCTATAATGAAGTACATGGATCCCCTTGCAAAAACTTTACACATAAGACTGCCCCAAAATAAAAATAACTCTTCCTAACATGGTTTAAGATTCATGCAAATATGCACGGTTGCAGCAGGAGCTTTAACACAACCTACACTACAAGGTTGTCGTCACTGAGAGGCTTTCCACATGAGCACGTCACCACAGGCGGTTTTCTGTTCAACATGCACATATCCTTGTCAACACCAGCAAATTTATGAACACCACTTAGCTTTTGCATCACATTTCCAAAAATTGTCACATCTGAGATAGTTAACATACTAATGGCATGCTTGGATAAAATAAATAACTCCTCTCAACATGGTTTAAGGTTCCTGCAAAAGGTACGTGGTTCCAGCAGCAGCATTAACACAATCTACACCCTGAGCCTGTTCCCATTGAGAGGCTTTCCACACGAGAATGTCACCATAGGCAGTTTTCTGTTCCACATGCACATATCCTTTACTTTTTAACACCTGCAAACTTACAAAAACCACTTAGTTTTTGCTTCACATTTCCTAACATTGTGATATCCGAGATAGTTAACATGTTAATGGCATGCTTGGATAACTTTCTGCTCTGAAGGTTAAAAATAATTGCAACGAAGTCTACTTCAAGGTCAGTCATTATCTAGAGATCAGTTCATTTCATTGCCTCCTTTCTTGATTATGGGAATTGGTAAGAACTCAGTACTGGACATAAGAGAGGAAAAGGAGACTTGTATTAAGAACCAGCTGGTATGCAGTTGCAATTTAATGGTTTTTCCACCAAAATAAGAAAATGAAGTTTTATTTCCCTTTCAAATATTCAATAAGCCCATTAGAATAGTTACAGCTTGATTGTGAATGGGCATCTGCTCCTTTTGAAAATAATAAGTGAAACATAAAAGAGGCAATTGCAAACACAAATTTCCACCTCATGGGGAAACAATATGTAAAATAATATTCAATTTGGATAATAGGGTGATGATGAAAGTCAAGTTTCCACAGGCAAAATTCTGAATTTCTATATGAAAAATGTGTTAGATCAATTTGCTTAAGATTAACAGATGTACGATTTGAAAACTCAAGTGAATCATACCAATATCTCATAAAAGAGCCTTGCACTTTCTTTCTTGGTTCTTCCTTCCAAAAGATGCAGCAAATTTACTACTTCCTCCTCTCTTCTTTTCCTTTTATCTAAATAGCTTTTATGCAAGCAACTCGCTACCACTCTACACCACAACTTTAACAAATTTAAGGCGAATTTAAGAAATATGCACTAGGAATTGACAGCTGAATGAGAGAATTGCAAATCCTTATCCACTTTACCTGGTTCTTTCTGACCACCCATCTGCGATCAAACATACATGGGATAAGAGTTCAATTTAGCATACAATTCAAATTGAATTCAATAAATTAAAGCAAACACAGAAATTAACTTGAGAGTGTTCTTACACTGATCCTGGTTATGTACTTCAAACAAATTTATCTCCTGGAGAGAGAAAAAAACAAAAATCATTACAAGTACCTTGGTTCAAAACATGCCTAGCTCGGTTGTTTGTAGTCTCATAAATTTACATGGTCGCTACTCACCTCATTCATCATACTAAGGTCAATTTCTTGTTCCTTGCTAGAATAAATCTCTTTCTCCACTTTATCAGACTCTAATCTGACTTTATCTAAATTAGAAATTTCAGGTCTTTCAGGGCTTTCAAAAGACCTCAGTGATTTTGTGTGTAGAATAGGCGTTTCAGGAGCAATTGCCATTTGCTCTAGAAATCTACCAGCAGTTGGAGTTTCAGGCAAGTCCAACATTTCTGGAGGTTCCACAGTTTGAACTGATCTACCAACAGTAGGAAATGTTGTCACATTTAACTTTTCAAGAGACTTCATACTTTCAACTGATCTATGATCATCACAAGATTTTGGCTTGTCTAACTTCTCTGAAGGTTCAACAGTTTCTAATGATCTATCAATAAGACATTGAGACCTGAACTTTTGAGGATGTTTCGCATTGCAAAAGAGGGATCTGAGCTCTGTTGATGTACCTGTGTAAAAATGTTAGCAAAAGCAGTGGTCAATTAAACCACAGCATAAATGATGATGGTGAACTTACAAGGAATCAGAGGCTCCATGAAACACCAAGGAAGACTGGAAACTCGGCAGGCTCTCCAAGCAGCAAGAGCAGTATGAGGAGCTTTTCTTCGTTTAGTCACCAAGTTGCTTGAATCCTCTATGCTTTGCTTGATTATACTGTAAAATTGAAGATTTGTCAAACCAAGGAAGCATTCATAGGTCTAAAATCATAATACTTGCAGTAAAAGATATAGTACCCAATTCAGCTCACAAGAACAATTTTCTACCCAATTAAAACCCGCAGAAAAAATTATATCAATTTCAAAAAAAAAAAAATCAAGAAAAAATTATATAAGAGCACTGGCACAAATTACATAAAGTTGATATCTCAAGGACAAAAATAATTTATTTATAGCATGACAGAAAAACATCTCCATGGTTATTGCCTAATCCTCAAGGCAATGGTTCAGAAGTTAATAGCAATTCTTCGCAAATTCGCAAAAAAAAAAAAAAAAAAAAAAAAAAAAAAAGATTCTTCGCAAATTCGCAAAAAAAAAAAAAAAAAAAAAAAAAAAAACAATTACTTAGTGAAGTATTGGTCACAAGGAAATAAGCTTAAATTTTGAAGTGTAAAAAAAAAAAAAAAAAAAAAAAAAAAAAAACAATTACTTAGTGAAGTATTGGTCACAAGGAAATAAGCTAAATTTTGAGTGTGATAGCCACCACATACTTGTTAGGAAACACTATCATATCATCAAACACACACTTTCTTTTCCTCATTGCCCGAGCACCCTCCTTAGCAGATGGGGTAGGAATAACCAAAAACTCTGGTGTAGTAACTCCTGCATGGAAAGGAAAATTGTTCAAGATATAAAAATCAGATGCTCGTCAAGGACAAACTTGTTAAAGATTACAGCTATGCTGCCGTTGTCACTAAATTTGCAACAATCTCAATCTCTCTACCACCCACTCTTTCTCTCACATATAAAAATAAATACCAAATTATAAAAGAAAGAAAAACATAAAAGAAGAAAAGATTCATCTATATGGTAGGAAGAATAAATGAGAAGACAGAAGAGATGTAGCTTTCTGAACATCATAAAAACAAAAAGGAAAAAAAAAATTACAACTCACGAAGTTGGAACTAATTTCTAGATTATATGTGCTGGAGAACTGTTGAAACAAATACTGAAAGACGTGAGACAATGTCCTAAAATCCTCTGTACCTGAAGCACCTGGGAACTTGGACTGAGGAGTCGTATCAATTGTTACAGAGAATGTATGGTCTTCTCTAGAAACCCGATATGTGCAACCTGGGGATGTCATTACCAATGGAGTTTTTAGATCTGCATCAGTCTGATGCTCTTCATCAAATGATCCAGTATTTTCTCGATGCTCCTCAACCTCTAATAACCTTTTCTCCTCTGCACTATGATGCTCTTCATCAACTGGTATGCTGTGTTCATGGGGCTCCTCAACCATATCATACATTTCCACATCTCTATATTCTTGATAGACTATATTGACTCGAAGCTTCTCCATGCTTGCTTCAGTATTACTTAGATTACAGTCCTCTTTAGTAACCTGGTGATTTTCACTTTCTGATTGTGCCATATCTGGAAGCTTTATCTGTTGTCTATCAGTCTGATTTTCATTGGATGGCCTAGAAGGTCTTGCAGGTTCTTCCTCGACCTCCACAAACATTTCAAGGTTCAAACATGCTTCTTGGCAGATACTCTTATCCCAAAGCTCCTGCACACTTGATTCTGCATGCCATTGATCTGAAGCTTCCACTTCTAGAACTCTTGTAGTTGCATGCTCTTCTTTATTTTGCTGATCTTCACCAAACGATTTTGCAGGGTCAGGAGGCTCTTCCTCAACCATAGAAATCATTTCAAGGTCCTTGGATTCTTTTTCAGAGGACCTACTGCCCTGAACCTTCTCTATAATTGCTTCTGAGTTGCTTAAATTATGGGATGTGCCTACCTCCATGTCAAAGTCTAACTGGTAAGAAGAAACAATACTGCAGCAAGAGTATGAAGTGAGAAATGTTGAAAAACATTGAAGCAGGCACATATTCATGTGCAACCATGCTGAGGCAAATGCTTACAACACAAACAAAAGATAGAGAGGGCCAAAGAAAGATAGAAAGATATAGAAGTATATAATACACCAAATGAAGGAGCATTTGAAGTTCAGGGTCCTTACTCTTCATTTAAAGCGCGAATTGCAGAGCAAACATCTTGACAGGCAGTAAATTCCTTACAATGATACTGCATCTGTGTCAATATTGGTATCATAACTACAATCATCAATCAAAACTTAAGTATAAAACTCTGGAAGAAAATCATGCAGTAAGAGCAGTATATCTGTCTAATGTTCTAAACACCACAACAAGACACTATGTAATTTAAGTGATTCTGATGGTTCATTGATTATTCATTTTGGACATCAATCAAGCAGGATATGGATATGTAGTTGTAGTCTACAATAAACTAAAGAACAAAGTTATATCAGGACCATCCTAATTATCTCACCAGTTTATGTCCAAAAAAGTACTTATAGAATGTATATGCAATTCAGGAAGCTTGTGCACATGGTGTGCAGGACATTATTGAATCATTCTCGATATGTTTTCTATAGAAAGCTCAAGGATATACAGGGGATCAACTAACAAAAGCATTTTGTAGGAAGTCAAAATAGAAGTGGCAGAAACATGTTCAATTCACAAAACAATAATTCAACAACAATCTTAAGAAGGCATGATTATATAACAGATACCTTGTCCATATTGTGTGACCCTATTCCCCCATTTTTCCATATGCTATCTGTTTCATTTACTCTAAATTATGTAAAATCAACTAAACAGAGTTTAACAACAAAAATTAATTAAAGGAAGAAAATTCAATACCTTTAAGCGTGATATCTTCATGGGGCATCGCATTGCCTCTGTGAATTGGAAGAAACAGCCATATTGAGGATGATTAATAGAACAAAGAATCACCTTTGGTGCTCAATTTTATAAACTGGGATAACTTACCCGCTAGAATCTTCTAAGATCTCTAGATCAAAAGCATCAAGTTCAAATCTTTCTGGCAGGGTAATAGAGAAATAAGGTGCACATAGGGTTTCCACAAGTGACCTATCTTTATTGTTAACTACAAATTCCTTGGTTTTAAGCAGCAACTTGTTGCAGTCATCGAACAGATATTCAACCTTTTTGGAGAATATTCTGACAACACCAAGAAGCAGATAGGCAAGTACCCTATATGTGACAACATCAAATTCATCTTGCAAAATTTTATCTGCATTAAGCCAAAAAAGTTTGGAAATTAATGGAAAACCTGGATCATGAATTCTAGTTTAGAGGAAATAATGACAGTAAATAAAATTTCGGAAAGCACACACTTGTATCTCAAAATTTTCAGCTGTATTCCAACAAACATCAATGGATATGCCACAATCAGAAGGTCTCAATCGGTAATTGGACAGAAGCATTATGGTTCAGAGAGAAAAGCAAAGCTGAATTTGCATTTTTATGTTACTATTGGCAGTGATACTGACTATATCTCTCAAAAAATAAAGAACCTAGCACTTTATGGACAAATAAACATGAAAACCAGCAACGTACAATGATCTAATTTTCAAAAGCAATCAATTATGCTTAACAGTAAAGTTTCTCTTGCAAATCAAAGTTATTTCTTTTCGGCTTATCAAAAGCAATCAATTATGCTTAAAAGGCAGAAAGCCGAGGAAATAAAGTAACCACAGACCAAATTTTAGGTTACCAATAAGAAATTACCTCAAATCAAAAGAACCAGCAAAATTTCTTCTTTGGAAAAACAAAATTCTCATATTCCAGTTGAGTTAAAGCTAATTCAGCCATCTTAAGTAACACCCATATAAAAAAGAACATCCTTTTCAAGCAATTTATCATACAGTTCATAAACAACGAGATAAAAAGACGTTTATGTCGTCATACAAAAAACAAAACTTGCACAATTCACGAAACAAAACCCCCAACAACAACTCTCTGTTTCAGTCTACTAAATTAATGGCAGAAAACAACAGCAGAAAAATAATATGCTTTAAAGAAGGTCATAAAAGCAAGCCAGACTCAAATGTTGGAGTTTACAGGCTCTTCCCCCCCCCCCCCCCCCCCCAATTAAATGTGCAGAATACAGCACCAGAAGCCCACGCCAAGAATATATGACGTTTGACCCACCGAATTAACAAGGATCTATAATAATTGGTATTCAGTTGACCACACGCAGTGTCTCTCCCTCAGACCTTGAGTCAGCGGCGTGCGTTCACAAACCTGCGTCACATCCCGTGCGATCGGCGGTGCCAGTTCGCGTCTTCTGAGGTCTCCACGGCCGGAGTCCCAAGAGAGAGAAAAATAACTGAGCGCGAGAGAGCGCAATACATACATATTATGAAATGTAAGAGAGAACGCAAGGAGAATGAGAGAACCCAACCGCTATTCGAGAGAGAGAGAGTCCTGATGACTGTAGCTGTTTAACTGTATTGTGCAGCTTGAGTAGAGTCAAGTGTGGATGCTAACCCATACAGCGCTAGAGATAGCCTCTTGCTTTGAAAGAGAAAGCACAGATAAAGCCCCCCCTCTCTCTCTCTCTCTCTCTCTCTCTCTCCCTCTTGTTATGTCCAAAAGAGAAAAATACTTCAAACAAAAATAACAGGTAAGAAAACAGAAAAGAAGAAGACGAAAAAAAGAGAGAAAACGAACCAACAGAATAGGAGATATCAGTCTGAGTGACCTGAGCTTTCTTGAGCTTCTTGTAGCAGTAAGCAGCCACCCATACAGCACCTAATGGACCTTTCCTTGAGAGAAAGCAGTGAGAGTAAAACATGTCTTCCTTTTGGTATCTCTGTTATGGCTTCCCTTCTTTTCTTTCCTCTGATTTTGAAGTTCGAAATATAGACAGACTGAGTATACGAGAAGGAGAAGAATGAGCAGAACTGCGATGAACTATAAAAGAGTACATGACAAGGAAACGGTCGAATGGATTATTTTTTACCATATATAACGATTTCTTTTTTTTACTTTCATAAATACAATATAGTTTTACCATTTTGGTCATTGCCTCATTTGGTAAAATGAAATCCTCTCCTTAAATGAATTTAAGAATATGTGTCATTTTTGTAATATTACAGTTCAGTTATTTATTATAATAAAATATATAATTTTAATAAATAAAATAAGAGTTACTTACGATCTTATCCTATTCTTATCCTATATAGAGTAATTATATTGAGAAAGTAAATAAAATTTACTTGTTTAAAATAGTGATTTTAATCGAAAATCAAAGGAAATGGATTCATTTCCGTCGAATTTAAACAATTATTTTAAAATTTATTTATTGATCAATTTCGATATAGAAAACTGTTTGATTGGTTTTCAATTTTGATTTAATTATTATATATAACTAATTAAATTTATTTATTTTTAATTTGAAAATAGCTAATTTAATTATAAATAACTGAATATAAACCAAATCAATTCAATTTGAATTGGTTCTATATTAATTGATTTTAAAATCAATGATAAACTACTACTTTAATTTGGTTAACCAAACGTTTACAGACTAATTTTAAGCACTTGTGATCTAAAATTCTATTAAATAAAGTGTACTTGACAATCAACTATATAACACAGCTTAAACATAAATATAAAATTCAAATAAATTTCATAAACTTTTGTGAAATATATTTACACCATATATATATTGTTTTAGGTATTATCCCATCAATCATATAACTTAGCTTAGGGGGACAAACTAATTAAAAAATATATGAGAGTTTCCATTTTCTATTAATCAAGATTCACTTTTTTTGGAAAGTGACAAAAAAATATTAATAAAATATATGCATAAATGTGCCAAGCAAATATAGAAGGTTAGATCACAATATTATATTTATTTATGTGTGAAAAAAAACAAAAAATAAATAGTATGTCATCATTAATAATCATATCCATATGAGTGAGCAAACATTTCATTAGTTAAATTTAAATTTTCATAAAACGAAAATATATAGTATATTTTTTTTTTAGAAAAAGTAAACCAAATATTGATGGATAATAAATTAAAATTAAAAAATATTTATATATTCAAATTTCAATTAAAGTATTATGCATTTCAAAGTTTACTACTAATTACGTGTAATAATAATTAATAATTTTTTCTCAAAAAAAAATTTCATATTTAAATTAAAAGACAAACATATACATATTCTTATAATAATGTATATATACTCATGTAGCCCATAGTCTAAGATAGCGGTTTAAGCAAGTCAAAACACTATATTTATTATTTATAGTATTTGGTGTCGAAATTTTTATATTAATATGTAGAGTTTATGATCAATTGATAGAAATTCCTTAAAAAAATTGTGAAATTACAGTCTTCCATTCATTCCTATCTGCATTGTCAAGAGATTGGATTATATATTTGGTACTAACAATGTGAGATTCGTAATATACGTATTATACGTATATAAAAAAACAAAATTTTCAACTGAAATTACTCGTAGAAACATTAAATATATGATAAATTCCAATACAATTTTAAATATATTATATAAAAATTTTAAATTATTACTATTGTCTAACAAAATACTCATTTGTAATTAATTTATTATATTAGTTTTCCTTTCTATTGTTTTTCTTGTAGAAACTCGAAAGAAAGGGGGACGAATTATTTAATAATTAAAAAAAAATAAAGGCACTAAGTATTTGCATGCGTGAAATAACAAACGCCAACGCGGAAGTCTATATATGTTATTTTATATTAGGTTGATAAACGGATTTATACTGTATTTAACAATAATTTTTAATACCATTAAAAACAATAATTTTTAATTATTAAAGGTAAAATAATAAATGAATGATTGTTTATTTATAAATCTGTTATTAATTTTGCAAGAACGATTTATCTTTTATTGAATGTAATATTATTATATATAGTCTAATTTATTTGGGTTTGTATGAGATAATATTTTCACGTGTAGATCCAATATTTTAAATTTGATTATTACTAAAAAAAAGGAAAATAAAACATTGTCAAATCCTCTTTAGGATTTGGTATATTATTAGAGTTTTTATTATCCTTGTGGGATTAGATTTACCATTTTAATCATAATCCAAGTTTGATTAGGACTAGGTATTATACTATATATATTGATTATGCTTGCTTAGAGTTTTTATTTCTTTGTTTCCCACGATATAAATTCTTTAGATTCTCTCTCTACTTCGACTTCAAGGGTAAAGTGATTCAAACTTAGACTTACGTTTTTCAATTAATACCTTTACTATCTTTTTCTTCAAAATGGCTATGGTGGATGTGGCTAAGGAAGACAAATTATATATTTGTCCAAATGATAAAAGTCATATTATAAGGATGGTTAAATGGGATTCTCCAAAACTTTCTTGGGTTACTCTTAACACAGACGGTTGTTGTAAAGGCCGTTATGGTTTAGCTGGTGGGGGTGGGGTCATCCGTGACCATTTGGGGAGATGGAAGACGGGGTTTGTTATGAATATTGGCATTTGTTCAGCATTTTTGGCTGAATTATTGGCGGTTTATCAAGGACTTCAATTGGCTTGGGTAAGAGGATACCGTCGGCTTCATTTACAAGTGGATTGCATTTCAGTTGTGAAGGCAATTACAGATGAGTTGAGAGGCGAAAATGAGCACGACGATTATACTAATAATTTAGTGCAAGGTTGTCGAACTTTACTCCAACAAGATTGGGAAGTGCAAGTTCGGCATGTTTACAGAGAGGCTAATGTTGTTGCCGATCGCTTGTCAAATTTAGCATTGACTACTCCAATTGGGCTGCACATTTTTGATTCTCCTCCACCCGAGACTCATTCACTCATATTGGATGATGCTAAGGGTGTTTGTAGGCCTCGATTTATTCCCGTTTACTGTCCTCGTCCTTGATGTAAAAAAGGTCTTTTTTTTTTTATTATTTTTTTTTTTATTGTTTGATGGATTATTGTAAATGTTGTCTTTGAATCGTGTTCATTGAGAAGCAAATTGTATTACAAATACTAAATCACATTAATGGACAATCATTTGCCTGCTGAAAGTTATGGAAAAAAATAAAAATAAAAATAGAAAATTATATTTGATGAGGATTCAAGAGATGCACATAGTTCAATTCGGCTTGCAGGTTGCAAGGATCTTTTGCAATGTTATGAATGGTGCATCTGCAGAAAATTTGCAGAGAGTTTAACACTGTGCATGGCTAATCTTCTGTTTAATGAAATTTTGTACTACTCGCGAGGTCTCCATGTGATTTAATCAGCCTCCTTTCAATTTGCAGAGAGTTTAACACTGTGCATGGCTAATCTTCTGTTTAATGAAATTTTGTACTACTCGCGAGGTCTCCATGTGATTTAATCAGCCTCCTTTCAGATTAACAGAATTAGGTTAAAACTTTCATCGGCGATGAAGCTGTGTTATTACAGTGAAATAAGGGGAGCACGTAATGAATGAATTTCATAAATTTAAGGATTAATAAAAAAAGAGTTAAGAAATTACAGATGTAGTACAACGATAGGCCACCAAACAGACCCATTAAATCTTTTGGTTCCAACACCGACGTGGCCATATACTAATGGATAATCAACTTACCGCACGTAGCTGGAACCTTCAATTTTAAACAGTACGGAAATAATCGCGGTCCCACTCTGTAACCCCGCACTTAAATTCTTCTGCTACTAGATGGGCCACCCTCCTCCTCTCTCTCTCTCTCTCTCTCTCTTCTCTCTCTCTCTCTCTAATTACAATTATTAAAATCACTCCGCTCTTCTGCGGTGTGCGTACCAAACTTAAAACAAGCTAAGAAAAGAAAGAAAGAAGAAGAGCGTGGAAGCTGTGGTGTGTGTGTCTGTTGTATAATGTTGGGACCCACCCACCCATGTGCCCTCCCTCCTGTCACTCGCACCAGCTCCTGCCCGCTCAAATGATTAAGCTCTCTGTTTCCCCTTCTCCCGCTCCTGCCGCTCAATGATTAGCTCTCTGTTTCCCCTTCTCCCTCTCTAACCCAAAAAACCCTTCGTTTTCCTTTTTCCCTCTTATTTTTCTCTCTCTATACTTGTTCTCTTTCGGTTAGGTTAACTAGTTAAGCGTTGAAGGATGTCCAATTCTGATAGTGCAGCAAACAACGGCGGCGGCGGCGGCGGAGGAGGAGGAGTTACCAACGGGGCTATCATTGACTCTCAAAGACAGCAGCCGCCGGGGACTAATGGAGCTCTGGCTGTGAAGAAACCGCCGTCTAAAGACCGTCATAGCAAGGTTGATGGACGTGGAAGGCGAATTCGCATGCCGATCATATGTGCTGCACGTGTCTTTCAGTTGACTCGTGAGCTTGGTCATAAATCAGATGGACAGACCATAGAATGGCTGCTTCGTCAAGCGGAGCCTTCCATTATTGCAGCTACTGGGACGGGGACCACTCCGGCGAGTTTTTCTACTGTTTCTGTGTCTGTAAGAGCGGGAGGGAACTCTAATTCTCTATCTTCGATATCGTCGGTTACCAATTCTTCTGCAATGGACCATAAACCACTATTAGGGCCTACGCCATTTATTCTAGGGAAGAGGGTGAGACCGGAGGATGACAACAATGGAGGTAAGGATGATAGTGGGGTTTCAGTTGGTCCCACAGTCGGGTCTTTGGTGGGGACAGCGGCGGCTCCTGGGGGCTTCTGGGCGGTTCCGGCAAGACCTGATTTCTGGGGATTCGCAGCGGCGCCGCCGGATATGGTTGTGCAGTCGTCGGTGGCAGCACAGCAGTCATCGCTCTTTGTTCAGCAGCAGCAAGCAGCGGCGGCAGCAGCAGCAGCTGCTATGGGAGAGGCATCGGCGGCGAGGGTGGGGAATTATCTTCCAGGGCATCTGAATTTGCTGGCATCTTTGTCAGGCGGGCCGGGGAGTTCAGGGCGGAGAGAGGAGGAACCGCGTTAAAATTGACAATGAGAATGTGAAAAGGATGGTGGTCCGATGTCGGTGGTGGTGTTGTATGGGGTATATATATATATATATATTAATAGTATTTGTATGTCAAATTGTTGCTTTTTGTCTGTGTGCGAAGATGAATGGTGAGCATGCTAGTGAAATTAGGATTAGTGTTTTTAGGGTTTTGGGCGTAATTGGAAATTCAAGTATGATTGAAGGTATGGATTCAAATTAGTGCTTTTTTTTTGGGATTAATTAGGGGTTTCTTTCTTTTTAGGGGTTCAAATTGTTTAGCCCTTTTTGTTTTTCTTTTTTTTTGGGAGGATAAGAGGGAGCAAAGAATTATTCAGATTGTGCTGGAAAATTGAATTTCCTTCTCATAGGAAGAAATTATCAGGTTGGCTAATATAAGGAGTTTGGTTGGTGGGCATTTGACCAATTATTACTTTGGGAAAGATTGACGGTTCCTATAAAATACCGTGGCATACTTGCAAATTCAAGTTTGAAGCGCAGCAGTATCTCCACACAATTGAGTGCACATATGCAAGGGGAAGTAGAATGTTAAGTGTGTGAATCTGCTTTGCTTATGCTTCTCAGCTGGATGGTTCTGTCTAAAAGGTTGCCTGTTGCAGGAGCTTGAGTTGATGAGAAAACTGAGCTTATTTGCTGCAATCTGGCTTGTCATTTTCTGATAATCAGAATGGTTATTTTGCTGCTTGATTGTGATTTGCCACCCCGATGGCTGATTGTTTCTAGTTCTCTCTCCAATTTCAGAGTTTGTGTTGGTGTGTACTGATCTCAAAGGAGACTGGTGTGTGGGAAAAAAAGCTCTGGTGCCTCTCTATAGGACCTCTGTTAATTCTTAGCGATTTCTGTTTTGAAACTTTACCAGTATTCCTAGCCATTTCTTAGATTAATTAGCGTGGAAAATAATGTGTGTTCCATGTATGTAACTGGATTGTATGTTGTTTTTGTGGGTTGCATCATGTTGTGTGAATAAGAAACCCATTTGTTTCTCTCAGATATGATTTTTTTGCTGACTTTCTTTTTTTTGTGTGCCAATCCCTTTTTGCTCTATGTATATATATGGACTTTCACTATGCTATTAATAATTTCAGTTAGCTATTCCTGGGTTTATAAATATGGTTTCCCTTTTCTGGTTTTCCTCATATGAGTGTAGTCCTGAAATTTATTGGATGAAAAAATAAGTGGATTTAGAAGTCCTCCTGAGTCTGCCTTTGTACTGCTAACAAGATGCAATTTTTGTAAATTTTGAAGTTTAGCAAAGTTGGGCATTAAAAACTTATATTGCACAGCCATGACAAATTGTGCACTAGATTCTATGAGCTCTAGTGAAGTCCTTCAATTAAATTCAAGATGTTGCGATATTTTCTTGCCTTGTTAAACAGAATGTTCTTTAGATGGTGTCATCATCATCATCATCAGTTGTGATCGGTGAGTCTTCTGTTAAGCAATAAGGATGTTTTGACTAGTCACCACGGTTTCACAACAAGAAGAGCTTGCAATCAGGTTTGTTCTTCCTTACTATGCCTTCCATCATCAAAACAGGTATGAGATTAATAAGTGTAAATGTTATTTTCATTGTTTGCATGTCCAGATATGGTGCTTCTCTAGATGACGGTGGTGCTCTTTTGGCTCCTCTCTGTAGCAACCGTTTTCTTAGTCATTAAGATGGTACTGAGTTTTAACAGTTTTAATAATTCTGTAACTCAGTTTGTATGGTGAAATGTAAATTGCTTTAGATTTATCAACATTTATTATTAGGTCGAGTGCGTGAGCCAATGTTAGCAACTCAACCAGGAGATTGCTGTGAGTTACAGGATTTAATGAGAACACAGAAGAGGACATTGTCGAATGTGGAAGGTGTGAACTGCACAAGGTCGACTGGTCAGGTATCTCTACAGTATTTCATCCAACCCATAGTCGATGATGGAGATATTTCTTTGTGTTGATTGTAATCTTTGAGATTCTTGTTTATGTGGCTTGTGATAACATTAACATAAAATAAAATGGAAAATGGAAAATGGAAAATACATCCATGCATGTTCTATTATTCTTCGGTAAATATATAAATTCACCCATAAACTTGATTATTTTAACCTTGTGGCTATTTCAATTTTTACTTTACCCATCAAACACATCAACTTATAAAATTATACCTTCAAATTTTGGCATAGGATAAGACTTAATAATTTATTGAAGGAATTCATCTACTTAATAATTTATTGAAGGAATTCATCTTTGTATGTTTTCTACAAGAAGTAAATGACCATTCTGAACAAGACTGTGTCAGGTTTGGTTCCTGATTCCTAACTGACTGTGTGTATGTGTTTGTGAGGCTGATTTCTGGAATTTGACAAATGAAATCATGGTCAATGTCCTTTGGCTGATAATGTTGCTCCATTGCATCATCAATATTTTCATTAACTAATTAAAATTATTATTATTATTATTATTATTGTTTTTTTGAATTTGAAGAGGAACTCTGCCTTGCTGCTAGCTCATTGGTTTATATGTTGTTTTGAACTTGGGTTATTATTTAGCCAAAATTGATTGTACTTGGATGATCTTTCTGTTGTAATATATTCAATTTGTGATATGGCCGGTGGTCTGGTTTGATAAATTCCAAATAAATTTTTAATTTTCATTCATCTCATTAATATATTATACAGTAAAACTCTAGACTATCTCAATTCTACTACAACTGTTGTCCAAGTAGTATTATTTTCTTTTTTCACTTCATTTATCATTTTAGAAAATTTTCTCTTTTATCTTTTGGTATCCTTGCAATTAATTATTAATTATTTAGAGAACTAATAAATGATAAGAACACTTGCGGGATTGATTATGATCGCTTAGGTCATGGGTAAGACGGATAAGAGTTTGGATATTTTGTGCAAAGTATAAAAAAAATAAAAAATTTAATGGATTATATATATGGCCAAAATCGAGGTTGTTGGATGATTTTTTGAAGTTGTATGTGATTGCCTATGCTTTTTTAGATTTTTTGAGGTTGTTGGCTGCATAAATTTATCCGTCGAGAGTTTTGTGTCATTCTTGACTATTACTATCACGATTAAGTATCTGAACTTTATAAAATTTTACATATCAATATTTTAATTTATAAAATTATCGGTTATGTTCTTATGGAATGGTTCAAAAATATAAAACTTATTATTCTAAAAATTCTATTAATCATATCTCTAAGTTAATATTGTTTATATAAAAGTTGAAAATTCTAAAAGTTATTATAGCTGATTTTTAAATTTAGCATTGGAACCCTTGTGGAGGAATGGATAGTAAATTTATGATTAATTTGATGAAAATGTCAACTCTTAAATCGAGGGTGAAATCATAGGCGACTAATAGACAGAAAAACAAAATTCCTAAAATTTACCACAGACAGTAAAAAAATTACATGAAGTCACAGTTTGAGTGTATAAAACTCCTATGTCAGGTACAGATACTTGACACGTGAAACAACGGTCATAAAGTCGCCTTTCTGAGCATCATATCGCTTATGGTTATCAAATTTGACGTGTCAGTTGCTTTTATTCAACTTATTTAGGACCAGGAGCCTTATATTATATGCACAATTATAAGACAATTTTGTTTTTTTTTTCCGACAAATAAAAGATAATAAAGTAACAAAAGTACAAAAAAAATAGAAATAAACATATGATATTATTTATTAAATTCTAAATTTTCTAAGAATGTCACAGTGGGTATGAGAGTTTCAGAGAGACTAAATCCACACAGTTGAGGCTTTTTAACAAGAATGGTTCGAAGGTCTGATATAGGTACCCCAAGACCAAGAAGGAATTCAACTAAAGGTTTAATTTTGCCCTCCAAGCTATAGTAAGCAAAAGAAGGGAACCTGCGTGTAATTCCCCTGAGCTGCTCAAGATCCACACCAAGGTCCATGAGATAGATAGTATGCGGTGGTAGCTTCCCATCAGGGCCTCTCTTACTTACTCTAGATACAGCTGAAGACACAACCTTCAGCTTCTTGGAGTAGAAAGTCGGATCGGATGGAGAAACAGTTGCAACTGGTTTTGCTTCTTCAGCAGGCAGGTTTGGAAAGTTCTTCACTAAGTCTGCCAGAAAAATTCCATGCTCTTGGAAGGGACACTCGAGGTATGGAATAAGAGCATCCTTGATTTCTAGAGTTGCGAGCTCCTGTCCTGCAATGTTTAAATTTGATTAGGAATGGAGGAATTTAAAATGAAAACGTAAACTTATTTGTTGCAAAACACTGCAGTCGAACCTACTAGATACTGAGATTTATTAACAGAATGAAGCCTTGAGACAAGATGGTCAATGAATAAGTCTGACTTGTTGATCGTTCTTGCAGCAACTGAACGGCTCAAACCTTGTTTCTTCAAGAAGAAGGTTAAGACAGCCTTGGCTTCTTCTTTTTCTGCTGCCAATTGGGTTGGTGGCACCACTCTCGAGCTAAATGATCCATCCACCCCCAGAATCAGCTTTTACTAACATTCAGAGAAATTGGTCAATGCTATAAACAGAAAAGGAAACATGCAAAGATTTGGCTTTGATATGGAAGTTGAATTAGAAATACAAATAATCCTATAGAAGGACCCAAAACTAACTCTTACCAAACTTTGCTTCACAAAAGAAACGTGTCCTACAATGACAGAGACGAGTCCTATGAAAAGGAATCCAAAAGTAAATGTGCTATGCTAACAACTAACCAAGTGTTAAAACAGAAAAATAAACCTTGAAAACATCTAAATACCTCTCAAAAACAGATGCAAGGTTAAATATAGACATGTTAACAATCTCAACTATCCAAACATTTGCCCGTTAACCATCTGAACAAAATAATCCTGTCCCCGTGAGTCAAATTTGGATAGCTCATGACACTGTAATTAGAATGTTCAATCCTAATGAACCTTTGTATAACAGCTTTGCAATGTAACCTGTAGGTAGCACCTCATGTTAAAAAACGGATCCTAAGTGCATAAGTAAACTGGATAGTTATATTATTTATTCTTCCATAGTAGTTCCATCCAAGACTCAAACTTGCACCCATAATGGTTCAGGGCTTTACTACTGCACTAGCATGGTCCCTAAGCACAAAATTCGCAGCACATAAATCTTTCCACTTGAAAGTACTTCTACGTCTGTTTGCCGTGACACCATGTCACCAAAAACTTTATCTTCCAACAATTTTATGGCATGCCAATTTCTTTTGTATCTCTAGATATCCATTACAAATTACTCACTGAAATTCTTTTTGCAATGCAAGCTATTTGTAAACATACCAAAATTTACCTTCAGAAAGCACTTCCAAAAGCTATTTTTTCAAATTTTATGGTAGTACAATGCCATGGGATTGCATGCCAATCTTTCAGAAAATCCACATCTTCGTCCAGATTGAGATGCTACCATCAACATAATTGCATATCGTGATTCACAACCATCTAAGTCCATATTGCGATTTACAAGAATGTAATAACGGCAACTATATACAAAAAAATAAAAAACAAGAACATAAATGCTGAATCTTTTAATTTCGCTAGTTTATAGATGTAAATTAGATGAATCTATAAAACAAGAAAAACACAAAAACAAGATTTCGGCAAGGTACGAAGACACAAGTTAAAGAAGGTAACAGAAACTAAATTAGAAACTATAAATAAAGAGTTCATAGAAGAAGAAATATTTATTAGGGGAGAAAAAAAAAAAAAGAAAAGAGAATTAATGATATTTATAAGGGGAAAAGGGCACCTCGTAACAGATAGAACTCCTCTAAAGAGATTGTTGAGCCCCAATTTAGAAACTCCACTGCGTCTCTCTCACTCCAGACTGGGGGAGAAGGAAATGAAAGAGACAGAGAGGGAGAAGTGAGAAGGAAGAAGAAGAAGAGAGAAAAGCTGTGTGTGTGAGCTTAGAGGTGTTAATCAGCCTAGATAGTTGGGTGTAACATTATTGTCGGAGGTCTTAGTAAAATGTTTCTCATGTAAGTCCACCATCTTTCTCTATGTATAGCTCCCGCCTTCTGGGGCTCAAGACTCAAGTTCATAGATGCGATGTCGTTTACGATTTAATTTTCTTTCAAAAAAAAAAAAAAAAGAACTTGGTTTTATTGGATTTTCTGCCACCAAGCCAGTTATTCTTTTTCATCAAATAAAGAAATATTCTATTAATTTCAGTAATACAATTATCTTCTCATTCACAGTATTAAAACCAAAAGCCATAAGCTAAGACTAAGCTGGTTTGGTTAAATTGGAATCAGAGTGGTTCTATCATTAGACCAGCTAAAGCTGGTTTGGTTCTACAACTGGTTGAGTTTCGATTCAATAAGGACTAGAGTCTATAAGACGGTTTGGAACTAGGTCAAACCATGTCCTAGCTGAAACATAAAGCCTAGTTTCTATTTTGCCAAAACCAAAAAGGGTTCATATAGGGGGTTAATGGATTTAAGAACAGTGCTTAAAGGGTAATGATCTTCAGAAAAAAAATTATACAACCAAATAGGCAAAATAGCAAGGCACCAACTATATAATTAACTTTTTTAATACATAATTCAATTTCAAGTCAAAATTTATCGTTTTTATAATTAAAAAAAATAATAATTTTGAGCTACCCAAAGATCAATTCAAATTCATTTACAGTCCTTTCCAAATCCATTTTCAGTCAGATATTAGGAGCAGATAAGCTTGCATGATCAACAGAACTATCTCATGCTATAAAAATTGACTGCAGACTTTTCTAACGGGAGATATGTTGTTTCCATGCAGCTCAAAATTCCCCTGAAGCACTTGCATTAAAACTTAAATCAACTCTCAGTACCCACAATACCATTTTGCACCAAAACATCTACTCTTTCAGTTCCTCCTGCTATGGAGCTGGTAAAGGCGACAACCACCCTGTTCTGCAAATTTTGTGAACTCAACTGATTAAAGTGACATGCCCTCAGCTAAGGAAATTTAACCAGTTGGGTGTGCCTCAGACATGCTCCATGTTGCAACAATGCATTTACCCATTCATCACTAACACATATGCTGAATAAGAGTATCGATATGTATTCTGCTGCTGTTATGCTGTAATTAAGTGTCATTTTTCAATTTCTTGTTGAAGACCTCACTGCTATTTGTATCATTTAAGGCCTTGTTAGAACTCATTTTCTTGATTTTCTTTTTCAAAACATCATCAAACTTACTATATGACAATGATAACACTTGGTTCAGCAGCAGTTTGACTCCAGCCTCCTTTACTAGTGCAAACCTTGGTTTTATCCTGTCTTCCAAACTGTAGCCAAAATATTGAGGGAATTTAACAAGTTCTTCTTTTGAATAATCCATGGTCAAAAAGAATTCCCACTTTGGTATCAAATTCTCTGTCAAGCTAAAAGTATACAAAGCTCCATATCTTGAACCCATAGTAGCAACTTCCTCTATACTGTATCCCCTTTCCAAGAAAAATTCAGTCACAGGCTTCAAATTGGTCTCTATACTGAGACCAAAGGTCTGTGGACATCGGTACAAAAGAAGAGCAACATCAACTCCTAGTGAACGGAAGTACTCAGCTGTAGGCCGTAGTTTGTCCTCCACACTGTAACTTACAATGTTTGGACAACGAGTTAGTATCTTACCAATGCTCTTTGCTGAAAGACCCATCTCACAAAGAAAATCTACAGTCACCTCAACCTTTTGCCTACTATAAGTAAGAAGTGCTGGAAACCGGAATATAACTTTAGCCCACCGTGTCTTGTCAACTCCTAAATTTTCTAAGAATGTCATAGTGGGTATGAGATTGTCAGACAAACTAATTCCACACAATTGGGGCCTTTTAACAAGAATGGTAGGAAGGTCTGATTTAGGTACCCCAAGATGAAGAAGGAATTCAACTACAGGCTTAATTTTGCCCTCCAAGCTGTAGTAAGCAAAAGCAGGGAATCTGCGTGTAATACCCTTGAGCTGCTCAAGATCCATACCAAGATCCATGAGATAGAGAATATGTGGGGGCAGCTTCCCAGCAGGACCACTCTCACTCACTCTAGACACAGCCTTCAGCTTCTTGGAGTCAAGGGTCGAATCAGATGGAGAAACAAGTGCAACTGGTTTTCCTTCAGCAGGCAGGTTTGGAAAGTTCTCCACTAAATCTACCAAAACACTTCCATGCTCTTTGAGGAGTGACTCAAGGTATGGAATAAGCGCATCCCTGATTTCTAGAGTTGTGAGCTCCCGTCCTGCAGCGTTCAAATTGATTAGAAATGGAACAATTTCAAATGAAAAGTTGAACTTATTTGTGGCCCAATAGATGCAATCGAACCTACTAGATACCGAGATTTATGAATAGAATGAAGCCTTGAGACAAGGTGGTCAATGAATAAGTCTGACTTGTTGATAGTTCTTGCAGCAACAGCATGGCTCAATCCTTGTTTCTTCAAGAACAAGGTTAACACAGCCTTGGCTTCTTCTTTTTCTGCTGCTAATAGGGTCGGAGGCACCACTCTCGAGCTGAATGATCCATCTACCCCAGAATCAGCTTTTATAATAATCAAAGAAATTGGTCAATGCTGTAAACAGAAAAGGACACATGCAAAGCTTTTTGGCTTTCATATGGAAGTTGAATTAGCACTATGAATAATCCTATATGAGAACCAAAATTAACTCTTACCAAACTTTGCTTGGCAAATGAGAAATGTCCTAGGATGGGAGACCTGAGTCCTGTAAAAAAGAAAGCAAAGTAAAGGTATGCTAACAAGTATGAAAACAGAAAAATAAAGCTTAAAAACGTCTAAACAACTTCCCAAGAACAGATGCAATGTTAAATATGGAAAATGTTAATCATCTCAATTATCCAACTATATGTATGTTAATCATCTCAACAAAATATACTGTCCCATAAACCAGGCCAACTGAAGTCTACTCCTGTCCAGTGAATCAAATTTGGACAGCTCATATGAAGTGTAACTCGTAAGCATCAAAATTCACTCAGTATCACATTCATGTTCAAAAAAAGGATCCAAAGCGCATAAGTAAACTTGATATTTCTATTATTTATTATTGCTTATATCCAACACTCAAATTTGCACTTGTGCCCTCATGAACTCAGGGTTCACTACTGCACCAGCATGGTCCCCTGAGTAAAAAATCTGCAGCACAAAGATCTTTCTACTTGAAAGTATTTCTTCATTCTCTTCTATGGCACCAAAATATCCTCCCTTTCAAAGCATTTTCAGCATGCCAATTCTTATCAAATGGCATACCCAAGACTAGTTTATTCTGTAAAGAATATCCATGAACCTTACTTCAATCCCTCGTTCTTTTTTAACTACTTCACATCATTCACCCAGTCATAAAGACAACTAATTGCAAAGATAATTCAATCTTAAAAAGAAAAATGAAAAAAAAAAGGCATAGGTGCTGAATCTTTTAATTTCACTAGTTTATAAACCAGGAAAACAAGAAAAATCCAAAAAAAAAAAAAAAAAAAAAACTTTTTAATTTCCACTAGTTTATAAACCAGTAAAAACAAGAACAAAAAATCCAAAAAAAAAAAAAAAAAAGAATCACCATGAGAAAGAAGGGGACACGACCTAAGCGAAAGTAACAGAAAACTAGATAAAAAAAATATATATAAAATTGAATAAAGAAAACTTATAGAAGGGAAAAGAAAACACTTATTAGCGGCATTAAAAAACAAGAAAGAAGCACCCTTTGCAACAGATAGAACTCCTCTGGAGAGATTGTGAGTCCCTAGCGATAAATGGGGAAATTGCTTTCATCTTTCACTGACATGAAAAAGGAGATATTGATTGAAAGAATGACCATTTGGCAGCGATAAAAGGAGTTCTGAACTTCTGATTCTGAGAGTGGTATAAAAAAGAAGAAAAACCTTCGTTGTTTTAGTTGTCAGGAGCGACATAAGAGTTGAAGAGAAAATGTCTGGCTGCCTGGATATTGTTGGGCTTTGGGTGGAGTCTTTCGATTCTCTCTCTGCCAAGGCCTACCGCTTTAGCGAGACTGTGACCAATTACGGCAAGCGTACATATAATATTTGCCCAAACATTTCCAAATTATGAAACGTCATCGTTTAAAAAAAAAAAAAAAAAAAAAAAGAATCACCAGAGAAAGAAGACACGACCTAAGGAAAGTAACAGAAACTAAGATAAAAAAAATATATATAAATTGAATAAAGAAACTATAGAAGGGAAAAGAAACACTTATTAGGGATAAAAAAAGAAGAAGCACCTTGCAACAGATAGAACTCCTCTGGAGAGATTGTTGAGTCCCATAAAGCGGATAAATGGGAATGCTTTCATCTTCACTGAAATGAAAAAGGGATATTTGATTGAAGAATACATTTGGCAGATAAAAGGAGTTCTGAACTTCTGATTCTTGAGAGTGTATTAAAAAAGAAGAAAAACCTTCTGTTGTTTTGTTTCAGGGAGCGACAAAGAGTTGAAGAGAAAATGTCTGGTGCTGGATATGTTGGGCTTTGGGTGGGTCTTCGATCTCTCTCTGCCAAGCCTACCGCTTAGGAGATGTGACAATACGCAAGCGTACATATATATTGCCCAACATCCAAACTTATGAAACGTCATCGTTTACAATTTATCCTTCCTTCAATGCTTCTTGAAAAAAACTTATTTGAGTTCATTGACAAATTTAACCAACTGAGTTGGATCTTATTTAATAGACAAATTTAAATTTGAATTTTGGGCTTGAAAATTATTCGCAATTTTTTTAATTATAAATTGTAAGCAAATAAAAATAAAATATATTTGGTGTCTTTTAATGAAATATAATAAAATATAATTATACGGGTTTTTATATAAAAATAATATTAAATTTTTATTTATTCTTAACAAACATTATTTAAATTTTATCCTAAAAAAAAAAGAACATAACATAAATTTTCACACAAAAAGAAAATAAAATTAGATCAAGCAAATTGCAATGGAGCCGGGAGCATTAAATTCAATTTTAAACAATTTACAATTGAAATATGCCATCGACAAATTTTAACATTTAGGTATAACCGACATCGTTTCAATCTTAACTCTGACTAGCAAAAACCCTATAAACGCCAAATATTGAACAAAGAAATCTAAAACCTTTCAAAATAGGAAAAACCCTAAACCTGAGAAAGAGAAGTTAAAGCTTAAAGCTTGGAATGCAGTTATAGAATCAGAGAGCAACAGAGAAAAAGGAAAATGGCGATGTATATGAGACGGGCGATCCCTTTTAGAAACTCAATTATGTTTCTTCGAAGCTATAATTCTATCATCCAAACTAGCAAAATCTCCCACAATCTCCACTGCAATTCTGAAATTGGCGAAACCCAAATTCCACCATCCTTTGATTTCCTCAAAGTCTCTCTTCGTGGCTTCGCCAAAGGAAAAAAATCAAGTACCCCTCTTTTATCTGTCTAATAGGCTGTAATTGACTGTATTTTGATCGATTTTGGCATGTGATCCAGTGCTTAGCTTTACACTTTGTATTTTCGTCTCGAAGATCTCAACTCTTTTCCTTTCTAATATAGTTATTTGTATGACTTTGTATCCAATCTCAATCGAATTCATGTTTTTATATGTATTTTAGAGGATGATTATGGTGGGGATACTGTTCAAGTTGCTCCTGATATTGGGCCTTCGGTTAAAGCAAGTGCTGCCTCGCAAATGGATGCAGCAATGGTCGCATTGTCTCGTGAATTGGCCAAACTACGAACTGGACGGGCCTCTGCAGGTAAGTTGACGATTTTTGTTTTATTTTAGTTCGTGTTCAAAGCTGGTTGCTTTAGTAATTGTAATGTAAATCTATGTTTGCTTTTATAGGAATGCTTGACCACATCATTGTTGAAACAAATTCTGTAAAACAGCCATTAAATCGGATAGCTGTTGTTTCAGTCATGGATCCTAAAACACTATCTGTGAACCCATATGACCCAGAGGTAATAGCCTAAAGACATTTTCACACTCACTGTTATTATTATTATTATTATTATTATTATTATTATTATTATTTTATTAGTGCTTGCTTCTTTATTATATATAATTTGCAACTGTATTGATTAAATTAGTTTTCTCCTTCTGTACATTTCGGATATTGGGATGAATTTTAGGCTAAGTTTATACTGTAATAATAGAATGCACTGTAATGTAATGAAATTAATTTCTAGTTCATTTTTTAGTTCATTGATGAAACATTCAACATCATACCAAACACAGCTATAATGTTTTTCTGTTCTTCCCTTTTTTAATTTTTATTTATCTATTTTATTTTTTTTTCTGCAGACGGTGAAGTCAATAGAGAAGGCCATTGTTTCATCTCCATTAGGGTTAAACCCTAGAGTGGATGGCGAACGATTGATTGCATCAATACCACCGTAAGCACTTGTTAACTCATATTATGACCTGTCCAAATGCAGTCCATCAGTGTCTCTTGATCCCTGTGGAAGCATTTTTTTGTACTAAAACCATAAGTTTTTATTAATTGAAGGGCGCAGAATTTTGTTTTCATGTCAAAAATTTCATACTACAAATGCCTAAACTTTTAAGATTTCTTAATTTCTTGGCTGATGTAATTTTTGTTTGTGTGCTTTGTAATTACCAGATTAACCAAAGAGCATATGCAGGTGAGCATATAAATCGACTATCTCTTTTAATTACCTATTTGTTCGTCTTTTGTTTCCCAGTACTATTTTATTTGTGCCATATGACCAACATCCCACTGAAAATTTCTATCAGGCTATGTGTAAGGTGGTTTCCAAGTCTTGCGAAGACGTTAAACAAAGTATAAGAAGAGCTCGCCAGAAGGTATGCCAATAATGTTATTTTGTAATTACGTAGTTATTGGTAATAATCTCAACTGAAAAGTTTTAAAATTCAATAACATAATGCTTTATAGTCATGGAAGGATAGAATATCTATTATCTATATGATCCAGATAGTAAAATTAAGGGTGCAGCTTATCTGGACCTTAATGGCTAGAACTGATTTACAGAACAAGCTGGCCATAAGTTTTAGCATATAAACTCCATATACAAATTTCTAATGAGTAACTGCATAGCCAAATAAACTATTGTTCAAGTTTTAGTGTCTAGGAAGCATAGTTTTGGACCGCACTGCATAGTATTTTATTCAATATTTATATGCACTTGATGGCTGGATTTACAGGCACTGGATACAATTAAGAAATCAGGTTCAAGTTTTTCCAAGGATGAAATCAAGAGATTAGAGAAAGAGGTGAATTTGGATGATTTTTTTTTTTTTTTTCCCCTTTCTTTCTTTCTTGGAAAAGGTTCAAGTTTTGCATTTAATTCTAATGATATTTGATGTTCTGAACTTCTTATCAGATTGATGAGTTGACGAAAAAGTTTGTCAAATCAGCAGAAGATATTTGTAAAGCAAAGGAAAAGGAAATTACTGAAGGCTGATTTTTGACTGTGATATTGATTTCAGGATTAAATTGAGACAACACCTTGTAGTTTTAGAAATATTTATACTTTAAACTTTAGAAGTTCGGAAAATAATTCAATCTTATTTGTCGAATGCATCAGTAATATTTTTTGGTAGAATATGTTCGGAAGTTCTGAAATTTTGGTATTGATTTTTGGGTTAAATGGGGCTACTGAATTTACTTGAGATGTGAAAAAAGGATTTACAGCTACCGAGATCAAAACCTTTACAATGAAAGTCACAGTTAAAACTACTTCGAGATGAAGTACTCCCTGGATGTACTTTCTAAACAAGACATCACAATTCATGCCACCAGCCTTTCTTTAAGCGCGATTAGCCATTCTTGTCACAAGTTTAATACCTCTGACCCACAGCTCCGCCATTTCAACCCCACCATTGCATACAAAATGCAACTCCTTTTTCTTGGAAGTCAATACCCGGAAAAGTCCAGGCATATCTGCATCGATTTTGTTCTTTCTATTCTTCCTGAAGGACGGGCTGGGCCCTACCTCAGCTTCTCTGCATATGACATTCCTCCGACTTGACTTCCCCCATCGGAATACTCCCGTCATTTTAACCATTATTATCTCCTTCTCATGTGGTTTTCCTTTGCCCCTCTTTGTGTGCTTCAGTACACGAGAACCTCCTAAAACAAGCTTGCGAGCAAGTTCATCTAGTATAACATTTTCCACATCACTTTTCATGCCAGCATATATTCTTGCAAGAGAGAGTGCTGTTTCGCCTTTTATGTTCTTATATTCGCACTCGGCCCCACTTGAGATCAAGAGTTCGCACATAGACCTATGGCCTTCCCTTGCTGCTAACATGAGAGGGGTGTAGCCATCCCCATCAGGGAGATTCACGTCATAACCTCTGCTTGTCAACAATTTGACAGCGTCCAAGTCTCCACGACGAGCTGCACAATGTAATGCATAGAACCCTCCTGCATTGCGGTTGCCCTTTTCAAGTGCAAATTCGAGCATCACTTTCTCAAATTGATCGTGGTTCTGGTTTAATTTAGACAAAGTGATTGAAGTTTCACCAGCTTTATTACATAGCTTTACATCAGCCCCTGCATAGACCAGCAACCGAAATGCTTCAACATGACCCTTTAATGCAGTATACATAACTGCTGAGAAACCATTATCATCTTGATAATCAAGATAAATCTCTCCCCGGTTGATCAACACTTTTAGGGCCTCTATATCACCAGCTTCAGCCGCAAAGATTAGAGGAGAAAACACAGAAATATCACTTGATGTGGGTATCTTTCCACCTCTAATAACACCGAGCACCGTTTGTTGAAAACCAAGGCTCCACCGGTTTCTTGCAGTAAGTGAACAAGCAGATTGACCGGAAACATTAACCAAACCAAAATCGACTCCAGCCATTGCCAATACTCTCAGACATTCTCCATGGTTGTATTTTGCACTTATCATCAAAGCTGTGTCACCAGTATCTGTCTGGGAGTTTATATCACAACCCGAGTCTATTAGACATTGAAGGATTGATGATAGGCCTAAACGAGCAGCCATGTGTATAGGTTGGAACTCAGTTTTCCGAGTTTTGACAGGAGACTCTACGTTGGCACCATTGCTCAAGAGCACATTAACTGCTCCAACATTACCACAGAGAATCGCATGATGGAGGAGTGTTCTTCCGTGGTGAGGAGCATTGGGGGAATGATATTGGAGCAGCATGCGCAATATAGTACCGGTAATTTCAAAATACTCAACCGCACACCAGGCAATGCCATAGGGCTCAGCTAGTCCTGCACCCACTTTAAATTCTTCACCAGTATTTGTGTCCCATGACCATGCTCCTAGTCTTACTTTGAGGTCTGTCCTGGCACCATCCTGTTTGATCATTTTGATAACAATCATAACTACCAATAGCATAACAATATAAGGATAAGAATCAAAAGGGAAACCAAAAGGGAAAAACAAATCGTGAAGGAGATCATAAGCTCTTCTTTTTTCATTTTTTTTTTTTTTCTTTTGTGACAATACCATGCGACCACAGATATAATTTATTTAGCAAAGGCACAAACACAGCTGTGCCACAGTTGTTGCACAAATATTACAGATAAATTTGAAATCATTTGCTGAATTAAAAGAGTATGCATAAAATAAGATGGTTTCAACAGTAATCAGTTCCCAGTAACCCAAGAAATTCATAGGTTTTGTTTGGAAAAAGCTGCTTGTAGCCAATAACAGAAGGCAAAACTTAATCATACAGTCAAAAGGATGTTGAAATTGTTCCATTTCAAATTAACAAATAGTTTCCTTCAGCAATATTTCATGAAAAAGGTTGACAGTAAGAAGATGATCAGCACATAAATGATCATTACCATTCTTTTAAAGATTCACATGAAAATAAAAGATGACAAGGCTACCTTTATCAACATTCGAACAACAGCAACCTGCCTACTGACAACAGCAGCAACAAGTGCAGTGCAGTCAGCATTTGTGTACAAAGAAGGCTTTGATGACAGAAGCAACGATCTATCAGTTGAATTGATGTCCACGCCACACTGCCATTGGACAAATCCATGTCACTCACATATGAAACACTGAAGTTATACAAAAATCATTTAAAAGATTGACTCAATTCCTTGGAAGATTTGCTCTTGAATACATAATAGCAGCAAATTCATTTAGCATGGTGCAGAACACTCCACAGATCCAAGGAAGGCCTAAGGACCTTAATTTCAAGAATGCATGCAGATCAAAATTCAGTGGTTCTCATATTTTGGCAAGTTAATAACCACCGAAGTTATTTGGGATGACATATGTGTCTGATGACCAAAAGAGTCTAAATCAAGATAAAAAGCAAAGCTCCATGAGACCCCATGGAGTTTGCAGAAAAATAGCAGCAGTCAAAAGAATGAGAACTTTACTTAATTAGCAGCTTCAAAATCCAATAATAGTAGGTCGAAATTATAATGCCTAAACTAATCTTATAAGGGTTATACTAATCTTGTTGGAGACTAGAGATGATTTAACGGCGTGTTTGCTTACTTTTGTGAGTATCTCTACAACGTCCAGAAATCCCCTGCAGCATGCAGTGACAAGTGCATGGACGGCAACATTGGGCCTAATTAAATCCGAGCCCATGAGCAGTTCCACCAGTCTTGCCTGCCCATGACAGCTCGCTTCAAGTAAAGCCTCCTCGCAAGCTGGCTGAGATGCCCCAGCTTTCAGTAAAATCTTCAAAATCTCTAGGTAGCCCTGCCTCACTGCTGCTGTTGTGGCGAAGCCCCTGAAGAGTTTCTGGTTCACGTCAGCACCTACGCCCTGTCATTTGCAAAATCCCATCTTTTAATACTTATGTTGCGCTCAATTTTCTTTGTTGCTTTCTATGAACAGACTAACACCACGCTTAAGCCATTTTCTTTGTTGCTTTCTTTGCTTAAAGTCTTAATTAAGGTTACTGTTTGTTCTTTTCTTTGCTTAATGCAAGTTTACAGGAAGAAGACAAAATGAGTACCATATTAAGCAAAGTGGTTTTCAACGGGTACAGGAAGCCATGGCCACAAACAGACAAATATTGAGAAAAGTACGGATGTGATAGACAAAGAAGCATGGAACATACATCATGCAGCAAAAGATACTCGTTGATAAAAAGGAAAGGGGGGCTGTATCATGTATATGTACTATCATGTACTTCAGATTCTGACGAATGGTCAGAGACAGCTCGATATGGGCCTTGCAGGCCAAGTTCAAATATGTTATTCAATACACAAATGGGTGCAAATAATGAACGGTATGCACAGAGAAAACTAGCAATTATACATGAATAAATAACAGGTCCTTCAAATTTCTTTCCGAGTTGCCCACATCACTGACACCATGAATAATGATTATTTTTGACAATTCAACTTCAGAATCGTGAATGTGAACTTGGTTTCACCATTGAGTGTAAATAAACCGGTCAGTCCAAGAACAAAAACAAGAAAAAGCCAAAAAGGTACAATAATTGTACTTCATATATTGGATTAGATTGTATTTCCCTTATCCATGGAGTTTAGAAAGATAAGTCACCATATAGAAAATTTATAATCGTCAGTCAAACTCTTAAAAATGAACAAACATGTGAGCGAGACACAGCATTAGGAAGAAATAGCCAAACTAACCATCTGAAATTGTAAGCAATACATTATCAAGTACATCACTGTAAATTGTGCATATCCTAAACACGGACTACAGCTGGATTTGATTTAGTTAGAGGACAAAAGACCACGAAAAAAATAAAAAAATAAAAAATAAAATAAAAAGGCACGGATCCAAACGTCAAAACCATATCAACAAACTAAGATAGAATTTTCGTACCTAAGCAAATAATAAAACAAAATAAACTGATCAGCACTCAGTACTCAGAAGCAAGAATTCCAACTAAGAGGGACTACTTAGAATACATGCATCATAAAGGCACTGTACATACTTACAGTACCATGGGGGAGCATGTGGGTACAAAAAGGATAAAAACACCCTGAGAATTATCAGCCACAAAGTTTACATATGAAATAAGATTGTTAAGCCACTTGACCGCAAATGTTAAAAAAAGAAGAAAAAAAAAAAAGAAAAAGAAAAAAGCATAAAACATGGGAGAGTTCATTTGGCAAGTAAATGTATTTTCAGGGAAAGCAAAACTTAAATTAAAAATTAATATAAAGAGCATAATCTCCCTTAAAGTTGGATTTGATTTATACCTTTGGGGAACAGTAATTGTCTAAGGCAAAAGTTTTTCTGTTCCAATTGATCCGTATGAAGCACCATCAATTATGGGGGCCAACATTAAGACAGTGAATCTTCTAAAGATATAAATGACATATGCAGCTTTAAATTGAAGACAATGTCTACGGAACCTTAACACTGGGAATCTCCATTTATTGAAAAAGCAAAAGGTCGAAAGAAACATTGCAGAACATTATATGTGAAAATCATCAAAACGATGCTGTTAAGCATAGTAAATTAAACACAATAAATTAATTGAAAAACAAAGCTTAAGCACTAAAAAAGTAGAAATTATAATTTCAATAACTAATTTTCAAAATTTTACCCGACAGAGAGAGTGACACTCTATTTGGTTGCTCAGCCAAATTAATAATTAATAATTAAAAAAATGTGAAGCTTCAATATTCAAAAAAAAAAAAAAAAACATTTTATTGAAAAAAGCAAAGGTTCGAAAGAAAACATTGCAGAACATTATATGTGAAAATCATTTCAAAACGGATGCTGTTAAGCATAGTAAATTAAACCACAATAAAAATTAATTGAAAAACAAAGCTTAAGCACTAAAAAAGTTAGAAAATTATAATTTCAATAAAACTAATTTCAAAAATTTTACCGACAGAGAGAGTGTGGACCATCTATTTGCGTTTGCTCAGCCAAATTAATAATTAATAATTAAAAAAAAAAATGTGAAGCTTCAATATTCACAAAACAAAAAAAAAAAAGCTCATTTAAAACTTCCTGATCTCTTGCTTTATGGACCACGAGAATTTCAAAATTTCAAACACAGTTATCCTATAGGTTTTATTCCTATCTTTTTTGTTTATTCAAAAAAAAAAAAAAAAAAGCTCATTAAAACTTCTGATCTCTTGCTTTATGGACCACGAGAATTCAAAATTCAAACACAGTTATTATAGTTTTATTCCTATCTTTTTGTTTATTCTTTTTTTTTTTTTTTTACCTCCCAGCAGCAACCAAACAGAACAGGATGGTGACAGAGAATACAGATTTTGAGAGAGCAAATACAAACAACTAAGCCATAAATGATAGTGTTCAAAGACGTTTCAAAATCTCACCAAAAAATATCAATATCACCAGGATAAGCAATTATTTAAATTTCAATCACTATCGCAGCTCAAAAACAAAACACATTTTGACACCAGCAGTATTTTGAAAACAAGCAACAAAACGATCAGAAATGGCTAAAAACGACAGCGTTAATAAAACAGTTCAAATCTCAAGCTAACAGAAATAAAACCGATGGCATTACCAGCAATATCTTAACGAGAGCCAAATTTCCAACATGAACGGCGACGAACAAAGCCGTAACGTCAGTTTTAAACTCCTCATAGTCGACACAAACTTCATTCGGCGATTCATCACGCAAAACGACTTCACTCTTTTTACATCTCAAAGAAACGGCACCAACAAAGTTGACGTCGACGCATCTATCCGCGATGCACTCTAGAGCCAATTGTAGATCGCCAGACAAAGAAGCTTCAAGCAGCCGCTGCGAGACCTCAGCCTCGTAGTCCACCGGAACCACCTGCCTGCCGTAGAACACCGTCATGGTGATGGAAATTGGCGGATAACGGCGAGAGCTTGGGTGGCGTAAAAACTTTTGCTGCTAGTTTCAGGTAAGATTCGAATTCGATTCTTCTTTTATTTTCTTTATTTTTGATATTTAATTATAATAAATCTCTCTACAGAGACGCAAGGCTCGAGAGAGAGAAGGGAGAGAGAAGAGGAAGAAACTTGAAAGAAGTGAGCGCCAGAGACGGAGAGAGGGAAGCGTTTTATTTATTGGAAAAAAATAAGAAGGTTGGTTTAACTTTCAACAGCGGTTAAAACGTAAATGCTGGGTTGAAGTTGGTTGGTAAAAGTAATTTATGGCTGTGGGGGTCCATTTTTACACACTGGATGAACGGCAAATGCTGGTTTGGCATGTCCTACTCGGCTTGATTTGGGGGAAGAGACAGAGGGTGGGACGTGGGAGCATTTAAGCGTTGGGTTGTCAAATCGTAACCGTTGTTGGAAACTTAAAGTCAATTCGGGACCGTTGATACGATGTAAGCCGGGTTTTACCTCAACCAACTTAATGATTTTGTTTGGCAAAACGGATGGTTTAGCCTATGAATTTAATTGCACACTTTAACTTTTATTTATTGATACTTTATCTTTCAATTTTTATTTTATAAAAACTAAGTCTTAAATTAGCTAAAAATAAATAATATTTTTTTATATTTTTTGGAGGCCAATCGCGCCAAATTGACAAAAATTTTTACAGTCGAGAGGTCTCAAACTTTTTACATGACTGAAAAAACTAATTAGATAAAATCTAATTAACAATAATGATAAATTTAAATCATCAACCATAAAGAATAGACATATCTGTCATTATGCATAGAAATTTGTCATAGAAAGCAAGAGTTGAATTTGAACAAAAATAAAAATTCAGTTAAAAATTTAGTCAAACACTAGTGTGCATTCTTTGTTATTATCACACTTCAATCTTAAATTAGATAAGGATTTATTTTTAACAAAAATAAGAATTTAAATACTCATTATCAATAAATAAAAGTTAAAATAAAAATTGATAAATTCAATAACATGCTTTCTATTATAATTAGGACTGCAAAAACAGTTTGACCTATTTCGCTAATTTGACTAATTCAGTTGGATGGCTCAAAAATCAATTTCAGTTTGGCAAAATAAATTTAGATTTATTTAGCGGTTGATTATGGTTTAATTAATACTTAATATATCCAAATTAACTGAATTAGAAAACAAATGTTAGGTGTAAGTGATTAAAAGATTGTAAATGGTTGAACCAATTCGATTAAATCAACTAATTTAGTTTCACATATTAATAAATTAAACTATATCTACCTTTCAAACAAAAATTAAACTAAGATATAGTTAAATTTTACTAAATTAATACGGTTAAGTTAATCTTCATAATTCATTTCCTTGTCAAAAAAAAAAAATCTTTATATTATTGGTTTTGCTATATTTTTTAATCCTCAAAAAAGGAAAGTAAGTAGTGGGATCTCTAGTAACTTAACAAATATTAATCCATATTACACACGGATTGGAAATGCATGTTAGGCGTGTGGGAAGAGTTATTGGGTTCAATCTCCACTAAACACACATGCAGAAAGGGACGAAAAGCCTTTAAGCCTTGAGTCGAATTAGGCAATCCTTACAAAAAAAATGACGGAATGAAATCCAGTGCAAATTTTTAAGTAATTATGTGGCATGAGTATAACTTATCTAGACTCAGTCTATAAACTTATTCATACACAAAAAAACGAGGAGATTTCTAACCATTCTAAGGAAAAAAAAAAAAGAACAAAGTGCATAAATTTTTAAAAAAATTTATCATAATTGGTAGGTTTTATCGCTAACTCATACTCAAAGTTGTAACATTAGTAAGAACATTCTAGGTTAAAGATGATTTATTACCTTCGTTTCATAATACTTGTCACATTTGAAAAAATTATTTATAATTTTAAGGAGTAATAAATATTTTTTTCGATGTTTATCTATTATATATGACTAATAATTATTACTTCAATTTAATGATTTTCTTATAAAATTAGCATTAAATTAAATATAATATAATCAATTTACTCAATAATTTATTATAATCTAAATAAATTTAATAACTTTCTAAAAATACGTGAAATTTTAAATGTAATAAATACCGTGGCATATATATATATATATATATATAGTATTCACTTTGCTGCACTATCTACAGCTGTCTGTTGTTCCGAGTGCTTCCTCTTTCTTTGGCCAAACAGTGAGAAAAGATAAGATCATAGGACTAAACTGAAATGAAATAGCACTAGTCTTTATTATAGTTACTTGCTCCATGCATATTGCGAACTCCCATGTCCCGTAGTCAATACGAGTACTTGAGAAGCTAAGCTACCATTGCCAACATTGTCTTTTCTTTTCCAATCTCTTTTGAGTTTTCACTAATATTTTAACACAAAAAGAAAATAATACCAGACCAGAGATGGCAGAATTTTATACTCCTCCACCAAAATCGATATCAATTCATTTAGGATTACTTAATTTATACAAGTAACATTTAAAGTTTTAAAGTTGTCTTTCTTGTATTGACTCTCTCTTTCAATTATTTATATTGTTCTGCACCTGTATCAAACAGTGCAATTGTCTCTATCACAAAATCATTTACCTGAATAGTTATTTTTACCAAATATTTTCTTGAAGTTATTTCTTGTAATAAATTTAAAAAATTACTATCTACATCTTCATATCTTCATTATTGATATTTGTGTTTAAGAGCTTTAAGATATTTATATCATAAAAATGACTCTCTCTTGCTTCTGTATCGGCAACCGCTTTTTTAAAAAATTAGTAGGTGTTTTGACTAATTCTTTATAGTGTTAGAAAAATCATTTACCTGAATAGTTATTTTTACCAAATATTTTCTTGAAGTTATTTCTTGTAATAAATTTAAAAAATTACTATCTACATCTTCATTTAATTGATATTTGTGTTTAGAGGCTTAAGATATTATATCATAAAATGTTACTCTCTCTTGCTCTGTTCGGCAACCGCTTTTTAAAAAATTAGGTAGTGTTTTGACTAATTATTTATAGTTAGAGGTAGAACATCCATATTAATGTTTAGAATTTAAGAAAATGGATTATAAAATAATTAACAGTTAAAGGCTCATGTATAGTATTTAGCTGATAATTAGTGAAACAACCGACAGCAACATAATTAACCACTGAGTATTAACATAATTTATGGAGGACTGTAATCAGTCAATTATAAATAGTCTATTAGTTTTAACGAGAGTATTTTTTTATGATATTAAAATAATAATAATAATTTTATAAAAACTATTTTTGTAATTGGTTTTCTATATGACTCTGCATCAGCTAAATATACACCATTTGATTGAAGTTTCCGGATAAATATCTTTAACTGCAATGAGGGGCCCACTAGTAATGCTGAGATTACGGTACAGCTGATGTACCAGACAACCTCTACCTTTGCTCCAGATCCGTAAGGATCTAATGGGCCCCCACTATAAGATATCGTCTCAGTGGCGGCTTGTACAAGCTGAGCCGCAGCCGCATAGCCGACAACGAGGTCGTTTTTAATAATCCGTCGGCCATCGATTATCGAGTTCCACTAGGATTTTATCACGTGAGGTACCGCACGTGCAGTCATGAGTTCTGATCATGTCATAAGTAGCTGGCTTCGGCCGGCGTTTCGCAGCTCCAGTTGTAGACAGAAACGCTTACGTGGCCGTCAAAGTATGGAAGATGGAGCAATTTGGGAATAAATAATTATACAGTAAAAACAAATAATACATCCCTGGAATAATATGAGACACGGATTCTCTAAACTAAATTAAGATTTTATTTTCTCTCCATTTCTATTTTTAATTTTAATTTATGGATTTCATTTTCAACAAGTGTTTTATTTTTATTGAATTATTTTCTCTCCATTGAATTAGTTTTATTTTTATATTCATACAAATGGGTATTAACATTATATTATATACCCATTTTATTTATAAATGTGAATTGTTTCAAGTAATTTTTTGACAATGAATATAAATTGTTTAATTTTTCAATTTTATCTTATTTATATTAAATACAATAATTATTTTTATAATTTTTTAAATAATAATTTAATTAAATTAATATATTTATTTTATTATAATTTAAGATTATTTTTTATTGCACGTAATTTTAGTTTTTAAGATGAATATGAGTCAAGTACTTATGAGCAAACAGATAATCAAATAGGCTAATCAATTGTGATTTGTGTGAGAAGCGAAGATGTCTCAAGTTCGAGTTTTTTTTACTATAATTGTTTTCATCAATTTGATGAAAAAGGAGAAGAATAACTCCATTAGACTGCCTAAAAGTGCTTTTTTGTTTAATAGATGAAAACATATAGTAATGGGCAGTTGTGGATATATCAAATATGATGAAAATAAAAATTTTTGTCCTAATATTTTTGATAATTCAGAAAAAAAAGATAAAATATAAATAATTTTTTAAAAATATCTAATTTAATTTACACAAGCATAATTCTGGAATATGATCTCCATTAAAGAGAGAATCTTGATTCTTGAATGTTGAATTTAAGGTCCAAATTTGACCCGATCCAGAATCAAAGGCATTGATAGATGTAGATCCTTCTTTCAGGTGATATTATAATATAATGAATTCATCCATTAATTAAAACATGGCAGGGGTTACTCATATTATTATATTTTATTTATTTGTGTTCATTTGCATAGTATAAATTATTTTTTAAATATTTTATTGAATTTTTTTTTTCTGAATAAATAAATAAATAAATTGTATTTATACATTGAAATTATAGTAAAAACAACTAACTCCAACTAACTGTTAAACTCATATTCAATTTAAATAATTCAGCTCGAACGCCCGCAGGTTATAGATAAAAAAAAAAAATATAACTTAATTATAAATTCAAATTTAAATCCGAACTCTGCAATAAAATATTTAAGTAGCTGAACAAACACTTGACTCATTTACTATTATGTATGCAATTAGAAAATTCATAATTTTTAAAATGATATTTTTATTCAAGCTAATACGTAAACTCATGTAATGTGACTATGTGAGACTCTTTAACGCTCACAAGAGAAGGTACACCGTACCGTACGGAACCGTGGCCAACTACCCACCAAATGGATGGGAATTGCATCCCTAAAATAAAACTAGACTTTAATTATGAACTCTCTTTGAGAAATTTACAATGCTATTCCATAATAATGAATTCAAATCATGCATGCTAGAGTATAATATTAACTATACATTTGAATTTAACACTATGTTTAGTTGAGAAAATGGTGAGAGGAAGGAAAATTTAAAGGCGTGATCAATAATTAAAGATAAAAAAAATTATTTTTTTCCCACTTTAATTATGAAAAGAAAAATATAGGATAGAAAGTAGAAGAAGTTTCTTAAATTAGAAGCTTTTCTTAAATTAGTGAAAATTATTATGGTCGGAAGCATTCGAAATCGAGAATTCCTACTTTTTTTTTTAATAGAACACGACCATATTTTCATTTGCCAGCTGTACTAATATCGTTAGGTTTCCTTTCCACTTCCTAAATAAAATAAAATTTCTTTTCTTACAGACATATGAGCTTACCTGCCCTACTATCTACATATACATACAGATAAAACTTTATGCATATACCTTCAAAATTTATGTACACCCATTCAAAATTCTGGTACATTTTTGTTTGGCCCATCAATGTAGACCCATCCACCTACATAGGCTGGGCCCCAACAATCCTGGCCCAATGCCCAGGTCAGTGATCATTTCTACTGTCTTCCTCAGATGAGACAATGTCTAATATTTAAGAATTGAAATCCTTTCCACTTAAAAAAAGGAAAATCAAGAACCAGAAGAAGATTTTAGTAGTCAAAAAGTGAAAAAGAAAGCTCACTACTTCAAATTTCAAACCTAAGGAATAAAAGAAATCAATGATTACAAATTTTGAATGGCTTTGGCGCCAAGTTTAATTATATATTACTAAGGATCCTTTGTTTTATGTCTTAAACTTAATTAAAAATTTAACTAACTAATCTATAATAATAATAATAAGGGTAAATGTGAAAGTTTATCCAATAGGCTAAAGTATTGGTCTTCTCATTTATAGAGGAGAGTGGAATTTCGAGTTCGAGTTTTTTTTGACCATAAGGAGTTTATAGGGTTATTATTATTATTATTATTATTTTTTATTCCGATCAATTTTACTTTCTTTTGTTATAAAAAAGAAAAGAAAGGAAAAAGGAAAAAGGAAAGGGCGGTGGTTGCCATGGACGTGCACTCTAGTAGCAATAATTGGACTATCTCCAAAGGATGACATTTGAAAGTAACCTCCAATTTTAAATGTCCAATCAATCAAAACAAAGAGTTGCTTGTATCTTAAAGTTCCAAAACTTCAAGCAAATATAATTTTGTGTCATCTGGACATTTCTTTTTAAGGTTTGCTCTCTTTTTAATTAAGATGGGTATTGGTAGCTCACCTCTAAAGCTAATCAACAATTATTTGGCTTTTCATTGGAGAAGTAAAGTAATTATTGCTTGCATTAAGAGACACTCTTCATTTTACTACCCATAATCATAATCATAATCATATACTCTTTGAACTTCATTAACATTATGCTAGGTAAAAAATTAATAAGATGTACATTGAGATAGTTAATTACTGTAATTAATTATTAAACACCTTTTGAAATACTTAGTTCCAAATTCAAATAGAAAGGTCTTGAATCATATCTTCCATCCAATCCAGTTTGGGACCAATATAAGAAAACATTAGAAAACTAGCTGGTTCTGCTTGCATTTGTTCTTGTGTGTCAATGATACTAGCAATTCTCACAACCTTATAGTCATTAGCTTTCATATCAAAACAAAATTCTGAGTTGGAGTTTCAAAAGTTCTAAGCAAGATGAGTTATAAATGATTGATAAGCATTGTGTTTAATATGCAAGAAGAGATTCTTAATATTAATTTATAACTAAGAAAAGTTACAAATAAAATAAATAAATATAGATATATGAATTGCCATTTTACAAGTGGGGTTAAAGTTCTTGTAAAATGCTAACTTTATGCACTACCATGTATGGAGGATAAATGTTTTTAAAATAAGACTAGCATTTCGATTGGTTTCATTGGCGGTTTATGGTTCAACCAGTTCGACTAACATTATAAACAACATGTATTACTTGCTTGTTATTACAGTTGGATTGCTGTCTCTAACCTTATATACAAGGAGGAGAGGGAATGCAAGTAGAAGTAATCAAACTAACCTTCAGGAAGACAGCTTCTTTTCCTATGATGATGACTTGACTTTGTTTACAGTATCTTGTCACCAGAAGAAGATTCCAAATAGGATATTACAAGATCAGCTGCTTTGCATCCAGAGGCTATTGCTTTTCCAACAGATAATCCTCCTTTATGATTACCTAACAAGTCATCATTTACCCACAAATCAGAATAAATAATGGTAAATGCATTTTACGCCATGGAATTATCTGGATCCCAACAAAAATTGGATTTAATACCAGTTTAATATTTCATTTTGTGCTCGACACAAGCCGTTCTCTTAATATATATTTTTTTAAATTGTATAAATTGAATTATCAAATCTCCCAGGTTGAACATTGTTTCATTTATTCTTCATTATGAATTAATATATTCATAGTGTATGTCAATAATTGGTTACCTGCATAGAAGAATCCAGGTAGATTTTTCTCCATTTCGTCAATTGCTTTGAGTACTGAATCATAGTTTCTCCCATACAAGGGAAATGCTTTACTCCAATAGAAATGACTGCCACCAAAAATAAAGCAAGCAAGAAAAGAATGGTAATCTGCAGCTCTTAAAAAATCTCTCTCATTGTGAAAATTTTCAAAAATTTATACTTTTTTTTAGAATTATTTAAATTATAAAAGTTTTAATAGAATTTCGCTCAAATAACAATTCCATAGAATTAAAACTATAAATGAATTTTTGAAGTTCCTGAAATGTTCAGGTATGATTTGTAAATAAATTCCGTCAAAGTTTTATGTAATTTATCTGTTCCAAACAAGCTCTGAAGGTTTGATTTCAGGAAGAAAAACATGTGTGTGTTTATATGGATTAAAAATGATTCATATACTTCACAAATGTGGGCTCCCCCTCTGCTCCTAACAATTGCCTAAGATCAGAAGTAACAATCTGTTTTAGAGAATCCCTGAAACAAAAGTTAATAGAGGATTAGTTACACCATGTACAGCATTTTTTTAAACAGGATAACAATGATATTTGAAGAAATGAAAGTATGGAAGCTTCTTTTACGTTGAAGCTTTTGCCAGTTCCTTGTTTCGACTCCCACCAATAAAGGTTGTATACAGATACAGATCATCGGGTGCACGATCTGGAAACATCATAGAGGAAAAGAGTGTACCTACCAACAGAACATGCATAAGGTGAAAACATGGGAAGATGATGCAACTTAACCTATTCTGTTAGTCTGAGCCAGACATTACCAAGAGTTTTTAGACCATTTTGTTGCTCCTTAGAAGGAACAAGAACTCCAAAGCCTTCAAGGGGTCTCTTGATATTCTCCTTCTTAAAAGTAGTAATGATGACAGATAGTGGCATATAACTCACCTGCATGGTTACATTGTGAAGATCGTATAACACATGCAAAACTTATTGTGCATAAAGAAGTTGTGATTCATGTGGCCACTTATTTTTGAGTCTGTATTTTTCTTTACAAGGACCAACTTGTTACTTGTGCATGGAAGCCTTTGCACTAACAAACGAGATTATGTTTGGAAACAAAATAGCTTAATCTAAAGAATTACCAGGCAGAGAGAATATGCAGAGAGATTATGTTTGGAAACAAATTACTTGTGCATGGAAGCCTTTGGCATTTTACTTCAGATGCTTCATTTGACATAAAAAATGTCTAATTTTTTATGTCTAGTTAGGAATAAGCCACCATTGGACCAGATGAATTTTATAAGAAGGCCATAATGAAAATACCAATGCATGAGAAGATTTTGTCCATGAGGATGCAAGTCTAACAGTAACAAATTTTGCTTGTTAGTTACTGTTTGTGCAAGCATTGTGTGTGCATGTTGTACCCTAAGTGAATGCTCAATTGTGAAGAAAAATTACAGCAAAGCCCATAACAAGCATTTACATCAGGAATAAGCACCTCAGGAAGAAAGTCCAGTGGGAAGAGGCTTCTACTTTTGGTGATCTTCATTTCTTTAACATTGCACAATGGAGCCTGAGGTAAAGTTCTTTGTTAGTAGATAGCAATATTCTTCTAGAACAATCAAATGATGAAGTGTAGAGAGAGAGAATAGAGAGCAGGAATCCCTCCAATTTCTAAAAGCAAAATCTAGTGGAGTAAAAACAGTTAAGACACAAGCACCCCTCCTCCGCCCCCAGATAGTCAAATTGGTTATTTGGTCTGATGTATGCATCTTTTGACGGTAAAACAGACCTCAGTCAACTATCATTAGATTCAACTAAATTATTGAGTTGGGAGAATTGTTAAATTGCGGATGTCCCAGTATATAACAAACTACCTTTTATCTCTTTTTTCCTATTGTTCTACTTCTCTCAATCACCCCACACACAGTGAGGAAACAAGTTCTTGGAATCAGCAACATGCCTACACCAGAGATCAGAGATGTAACTCATTTTTTGTATGCATGTTAACTGAGGTCCAGTTATGCAGTGTCAACAAGAAGACAAATAAATAACCAATAGTAGAGCAAGTACTAACCGTCATGATGATAGCATCATAAGTTGAGTCTTTCACATTCTTAGTACCCTTAGAAGAATAAGAAACAGACCAATTCTCTAATACTGACTTGTAATCATGATTGTAAGACAATGACAAGACCTTTGATCCTAATCTAAGCTCATCTTCTGTAAGGTTTCTGCACAGCGTGTTGGCTAGGGTCTGCGAAGAAACATAGAACAGAAAATAAGGACCATATATTTACTTATAAGCTGACAGCAAGCACAGCCTAGTAAAAATGTATAGCCTCCATTAGCCAAAGAACGATAAGGGTTCGATCCTTGTCATTAGTTAAACAATTAGAGCCCATAAGATGGATTTATATTTAACCAACAAAATTGCAGTTATCATCCATATGAATTCTAATCATATGTCATCACTGTAATTTCACCCCCACAAATATCAACCTACTATAAATACACTGTTAAGGATGCCTTCTAAAGAATATGAAATACCCTGCAGTGACTGATTAAAAAATAAGCTAAGGAAACTAGAATAGCACAATATGTAGGCTGAAAAAAGGAATGGAAATTGCTTATATAATTTTTTTAACTGTACTACAAGGTTGTAAAAAGGTTTCTTAGAACACTGATCTAGAAGATGAAATGAAGCAAACAGTAACCATAGCTCTGAAATTCTAAATTCCAAAAGTGATGCTCCTACAAGTAAAGATGATAGAATAATGGCAGGTATAAAGCATAAACTACATCTCCTTCTGAGGAAATCAACACCATACCTGCATTCCACCCAGAAAAGAAAAGGAACCAGGTTGGCGCTTCTTTCCTGCAGATGCTTTTGTTTCTATGCTTTTCTCTCTTTTAGTAGATAACTTTCCCATAAATGCGCCAGCTATAATCGACCCAAACCTTGTAGAACACAAAAACTTGGATGTATCAACTGGTGTTAATTGTAGACCAAGTATCATACATAAAAAGAATTTCATTCAATAACCTTTCATCTTTAATTTAATAACAGCATCTTTACTTTATTTATTATTATTATTTTTCAATATTTTGACCAACTCATGTTAATCAGCAGTACATAGTTTTAAAGCTATCTCAAAAAATATTGCTTGTATTGTTTAAAAAAAGAAACGGTTTCAAAAACAAACATTGCCATCAACAAAAAAAATGAAGTGCATACAGCCACCTCTACCAAATTTTATGTAAAGAGGTTTATTGATACAATTATGCACTCCCCATATTATCCACAAAATTCCCATAGCAATTCTGTTTTACACCTTGTTTCTCCCACTAGACACAGGATCCCATCAACCATTAAATTCCTTTCCAATTTTTAGCATAAGCCCAGACAATAACAAAAAAAAAAAGACAGAGTGTCACTAAAACATTCCTACACACTTAGATGGAAGAATAAGTTGCCATATGAAGTCATTCATTAACCTTTAATCATTTACTAATATTATGATTATCACAACAGTGCATACATCGTAACCATAAAATTACTATTCTTAGGCTGATACATGTGAAAGATGGTTGTCAGCTTGAAAGGAACCAAAACACAAAGATTTGGATCAAAAGTACTTCTACGTGCAAATTGAATATAATTTTAGTCCATACACATGCGCATGGATGCATGAAGCATGCAGACAGACACGACACATTGCAAAAGCGAAAAAAGAAAAGATAAAGATTGAAGGAAAGTCCTTGGCTTAAGCATTTAGTGGATGAGAGGGAATTCATCTGAATCATCCTAAACAGTTCTCAGAAGATGGTTTCCTTTTGACAAAGAAAGTCTAATAACATATGATTTGTAAAAGGTTGAAACTGGGAAAGAATAAGCAAAGTGCCACATATCCAAATAATGAAGCAATGCAAACATAGCCAACAAAAACAAATGACAAATACTGGCAGAGAAATACCGTTTCTCCAGATTCCACAGCTCTGGAAAAGAATGGCGCGCCTGTTTCAGGAAAAGATAATCAACAAAATTGTGGTGAAATGCAAAGACCAGACACCAAAATAACCCATGCCATAACTCATTGGATACCGTAGCTCTTACGAGTTAAGACCAGTCCATTAACACTAAAAATTACAAAATTCTAAATCATGAATAGTTTCTTTTTTTGTCATTTCAATATGAAGCAAATTACATGAAATGATGCATAGTGGAAGCAGAATTCCACCTATAAGTAATCGGTTTTAATAATTAATGCCCGTAAAAGAAAAAATAATTCCTACAAGTAATCAAAAGATCTGAGCCATTACTCACAGAAAGAGATTCAGGATCTCCAGCACTTGTGCCCGCAACAAAAGGGTCAATAAGATACTCAACAACCTTACAAGAAAAGTAAATGATAATGGAAAGGCGTCAAATATTTCTACTCCATCTTAGGACTTCAAAGCTCCTGAAGCTAAGTGCAAAAATTTATTAGTATTTGGACGAGTCAGAATTTCTGCTTGGATCATGAAAGGAGAAGTTATGCTTCACTGATTTGGTCCACAACAAAATGAATGCAATACCTCTTTCCCGAAATGACGCTGGAAAAACTCACCCACACTGTAAGATAGCCAAAAGTAAGACAGAATGCTGAGAATGCCAAAGATGATAAAGTACAAGCACGTGAAGAAGCCATAAAGCTTGAATGTAAGAAAGCCGGACGGCATTGATGTATTGATTAACCACCTTTCCTCAGTATAAGCATTGTAAACTTCTGAGGACCCAGGCTTCCTCCATAAAAATGGCTCCAGAATGATCTGAAACTGAAAGAGAAAAAAGGATGCTGGATGAGCATATCAAAAAATCAGAAAACTTTCAAACATCAGGTGGAATCTTATGCAAAACACCAATTCATCAAATATAAATCAACTAGACTTAGTGTGCCCATGTCACATGTTCTGTTTTCTGTCGAGTCATTTGAGTAACTGCTAATGCACAAAACTTGAAGCACACATGTTCAGCTTTGCCAACACGCCTACCATTCCACGTCTGTTTATATAGCATTTCAAGTTCACTAATCAATGCGCATCGAAGTTGTGGACAGCAAAATAGGGATCTTACAAATTCAAGCAACCAATGAGTCATTGCTATTTCCAGTCCCCAGAATCCTAGATATTACAAACTGGCACTCAAATATTCCAAAAGCTGAATAACCATAAATTCAATATCCCCAGGATTTGGAGGTTGCTAGGCAAAGGTCGCACAATATGCAAGACAAGAAAATCATAGGCTGGAAAAGTTTATAACTAAAAATGCCTGGAAAATCAAACCTTTGATTTTGCAGAAAGAATGTTGCTCGTGATCAGCGCGATCGGATTTGTAGGTATCTAGCACAAAATATTGAACAGAGTTTATGCTAGCAGTCAGACACAGAGTACTGTGTACATAATGAAGGTAAGTAATATATATATCCCTTTGATTCGTCAATAGCAAAATAAACTCAGTAACAAATATACAGAAAAAAGGATTTACCAGCACTGGCTTTCCATTTCTTACAATATACCGTTTGTTCTGTGAAATTGGCTGTGTAACAGTAGAAAACTTTCAATGCAAAAAAAAATAATGATAATAACAATGATAATAATAACAGCAATAAAAACAATTACAATTCCCGAAGCTCAACTTGAGAACAAAAATAACAACACTTCATACTATGAAAGAGTTTGGCAATAATGGTAAAGTAAAGCTAAGCACAGTAATTCTTGAATAAATGCTTTATGTTCAAGTCAAGATATTAAAGAGTCTTACAAATTGTTGCCTTTCTCGAAGCCCAAGATCATCAATCAAATTTTTCACCTCCACTTCACTCTCAGTCTACACAAAAGGTCAACATGAAAAAACTTACAATCAGCTTTAATTTTGAAATGGGTGGGCAAGAACATGGCCAGATTGCACTTGCATGCTTAGCCTAGCAATAAGTGCATACCCGACAAAGACCCAATTTGAGTCCCCCTCTCCCAATACTCAAAAAGAATCGAGGCATACTTTGAAAAGAACATTAGAAAGAGAAATTTTCTACTTATGCATCAAACTGAGAAAGAAAAAGACCATAATTTAACAACTTAACAAAGAATACCATTATACCATTGTATTTGCACCCTCATCCCAAATTAAACCATCACGAGAAACACTTCTAAGCTTCCCTCCAGCTCTCCCCTCAGCTTCGAATACCGTGACTTTCAATCCATGCGATTTCAGCTTATATGCTGCAGCCAGCCCACTTTGAAATAAACAAAATGAATAATGTCACACCTCATCATCAAACACACAGAACTAATACAAAAATGATTCTCAATTTTAAAATAAATAAATAAATAAATAAAACTTTACAAAATCATTCAGAACCCAATAAAAAGAAATTTGAAAGGACCAATAAAATTCACCTGACGCCAGCACCAACAACAGCTACTCTCTTACCAGAACCTGAAATACGTATGAAAAGAAAAATAGAAATGTGAATTACATAAAAACTCTCCTTTTTTTTGTTCTCTTTTGTTGATGATTTGAATGTTTCTTAGCGAAAGGAAAGACATAGCCGGTAACATACTTGGGTTTCTTCTTTCGTCTTTAGGAGCTGAGGCCATTTTCGGGTCACCTTCACTGTGTCTCGTCTCCGATTCAACTCACAACGGGTAGTTTTACTGTAATTGTCCGACAGTAGTGATTGTATGCAGCGGGAACACAGTAGATTTTACTTTTCTGTGGGCTTTTTAAATATGGGCCATCCCTGGATTATGGATTTCAATGGGTTCAGAAATTTAAAAAGAAAATTGTGTTTCAGAACGAAAAGCTTTCCTCTTGGGCGGAAATGTTTCTATCTGATACAGAAATGATTCCCGTGTTCAAACGCCACGAAGAGGGCAAAATTCATCTTTGGTTCAAAATTTTTTTCAGCATTACTTTTTCTTAAAGACTTAAATATAATTTTTAGGATTAAGTGGTTTTTAATAACACCGTTTAATACAAAATCAAAATTTCCCTATTTAATAAATTTATTTATTTATTTGTATATTGCTTAAAAGTTTCAATTAAATTTTAACTTAAGATTTACATTTGATATAATAAGTGGATGAGCTTTTTAATAAATTCACCATTTAGAATTAATTTTCAATATTTATGTTATTTGGCAATCAATCTTAATTTGTAATATTTAAATGATGTTTGGTTAAAGGTGAGTAGATTAGCGAAATGTAATTTTTCGAGAAGTACATAAAATGTTTATATTTGGTTTGTATTTTCAATTCTACTTCTCTTAAAGTATATCATTCAACTTTCAAGTTGCGCTTTTCCTAATTAAGTGTAATGAATTACTAATTTGTCATATTATTTAAACGCACTTAAATTTATATTACAGACACTATTATCTTTTGTGATTTGAGAGTAATTTACTTCTTCATAAGTTAATATATATACTAAACATATTGAAATTATACTTTCTGGATAAATAATCATTTAATTTTCAATTTTATAATCATTATTATTATTTTTTTTCATCTATATTTTCATTGAATTTAACAGTCTTACATTCCCTATTCCAGTCCCAATCATATAGTTATCCCATCCTCTCGCATTTAAACCGGTCAACAAGCTATGAAGCTTGAAAAAAAAAAAAAAAACAAAATCAAAATTTCCCTATTTAATAAAATTTATTTATTTATTCTGTATATTGCTTTAAAGTTTCAATTTAATACCTCTTAACTTAGATTTACATGTTGAAATATAAATAAGTGTGTGCCTCGAAGCTTTTAATAAATTCCACCATTAGAATTAATTTTCCAAATCCTATTTATAGTTATTGGCAATCATTCTTAATTTTAATATTTTAAAATTATGTTTTGGTTAAGGTTGAGTAGATTTAGCGAAATGTAATTTTCGAGAAGTACATTAAATAAAATGTTTTATATTTGGTTTGTATTTTTCAATTCTAACTTCTCTTTAAGTATATCCATTCAACTTTCAAGTGCGTTTTCCTAATTAAGTGTAATGAATTAATTAATTTGTCTCATATTACTTTCAAACGCACTTAAATTTATTACGACACTTTATCTTTGTATTTGAGAGTAATTTACTTTCTATATAGATTTTACTATAGATTACTAAACATATTTGAAATTATACTTTCTGGATAAATAATTTTATTTCTATTTTATAATCATTTTATTATTTTTTTTTTCATCTATTTTTTTCATTGAATTTAATGCTCCTTATACTTCCTCTTATTCCAGTCCCCAATCTTAATAGTTATTCCATTCCATCTCGTATATTTTAAACGTCGTCTACAAGCTAGAAGCTTGAACAAAACTATGAAGCTTGAAAAAAAAAAAAAAAAGGAATTTCAATACCAAAATCATTGCTCTTCCAAAATGGATAGGCCAGTAGTTGACACAAAGATAAATAAACCTAGGCAAGTCCTTTGCTGTAGGGCAAGGCAATTGACAGATATAGAGAAAGAGATGGACATATAATTGATGCATTGATATTTTTTATCATGAAAAATTACAGTACAGTCTCTATAATTTAAAAAATACAATTAGTCAGTAATTGTGTTTTAGAAAATAGACAAAAATTTCTTTATAATTTACTTTTCATAGGATCATTCGTCCAATTTTTATTCATTTTATATTAAATACCTTATGAAATGATGAAAATACCTATTTTATCTCTTCTTACTATGGGTATACTTTTTAAAATACAGAGATAAATTTATTATATTTTTCAAACCATAGTGACCGTACTGTAACTCTTTTAGTATAAAATTTTAATATATCTCAATTGACCTATGTGCTTTTTTGTTGATTTAACGAAAAAAAAAGATAAAAATTGAACAGAAAAACCTGATAGTGTAACAAAAGTAAAAGATAAAGACAGATTAATATATTTTAAAAAATATAAATATTGATTAGTTGTATTTTGCAAACCACACCGCAGCGTAACTTTCTTTTTTTATTGTTTATTTGTTTTAGTTATGGGTTTCGCCACTTGTGATTGTTTCATAATTGTTGTCTCTTAAATATGGTCCCCTCCTTTTATTTTATGTCTTTAGCTATCATATTCTTCCCTTCTTTGATGTTTCTCTTTGAATATTTTAATGTTGTCTCTTTTGAAATTGTAGATTCTCAAATTTCACTGAAACTAATATATATGCATATTACCTGAAAGTAAGAGTTTTTGTTTCATCATTGTCCTTGTCTTTCATGTTTCCATGATGGAATTTAAGTTGCTTTTTGTTTGTTTATTGCCTAATTATTTTGTATACATAATAATTGTCATTAACTATTCCTATCATTTGCTAATCAATATGCTAATCAAGCCAAAACTTTATGGATAGGAAATGAATCTTTTACTGTAACCTCTGTTATATTTTAGGATTGAGACAATCTCTTGTAATGACAAAACAGAATCCATAACATAATATATATATATATATATCATTTCTTATTTTATAAAGTTTTTATATATTTTAAAGTTAAAATTCATCATTTTTTTTGTATTTGAATTGATTTTGGAGTTAGAGTATTAGTTTTTTTTTTTTTTTCTTTTCTGTATGCTCTATTATAGTTACCAATTTATTTTTAAGCTCTTTCTTTATGGTGAATTTCTTTCTCCTTTACCTTTTTTACTTTGTTTGATGAGGTCATTAGATTCGAAAGTAAATCCATAAATTTAAATTAAGAATGTAAAATTTTTGAACTACTAAATAAAAAAAAGCAATTAAAAATTAAAAGCATAAATTAATGAATCATTGATTTGAATTATTGAATTGAGATAATATGTCTCGTTCTCTTTAGTTCTTAATCAGAGCCGGTCCAACCCAATTTATTTTTGAACGAAATAAAATAATTATTTTTCTTTTGAAAGAAGAGTACAAAGGGACATTAGTACATAAATTCCCATTATGGATTTGTGAAAGAAAAAAAAAATCTTTAAAAAATTTTCTCAAATTTTGTGTACAAAACATTCCCTTTTAGACATGACCATGACAATCTTAAAATGGACATTTTCCAAAAACATTAGCACTCCCATGATAAATCAAATTTGGATTTGGTGTCCTTTTTCCCTTTTACAAAATTTAGTGAAAAAAAGATAAAGCAAACCTTAATTATAAAATTTATGGGGTCCCATTTGTTCACATATGGGGTCCAAAGCTGGTTCATCTTTACATGAAACATATACAAAAATGGTCAAATAGTTCATCAAGTATTAAAGCTGACAGAGTCAAATGCAAAATCCAAGACAAAAATAAAATAAATTATGATTTTTTTTTTAATAATAATTTACAGCTGCAATACATATTGGACCGCCAACAAAAATGTTTCTTTGTCTGGACAAGAACAAAAGAAGAGACATGCAATTTTTAGTTCTTTTTTTTAAATTGATCCTTTCATGTTATGGAGTTTATTAGTATTTTCTTAGCCTAAGACTGGCATGGGATTCTCAAATTTGAAGGCAACGGTTCTCTTTAAGAACGTGCTTTTACATTCAAAAACAGCCTGTCTTGTGGGTAATGGGTCCACTTCTTCTTCCTTTTTGTTTTTTGTTTTTGTTTTTTTTTTTTTTTTAATAGTTGAAATCCAAGTTCCGACAATAAGCATACATTTTTTTTCCATTCAAATCTCAAAAATGCTTTACCACTTTAGATTTGTTCGGTAAAATTAACTATTTTAATAATGATAGTTGTTTAATTAACTATTAATTATTTGAATAGCTAGTTTAACCATTATATTACTGAACACTACTTAAAACTGTTGAAGAAATGCAAGTTTCATGTATCTTTATTCTTTAAAAAAAAATCACCTTAAATTATTACAACATTCTCGGCTGGAAATCTCAAAATTTCTATTATTGAAGGGTTTTTATTTGAATATTACACGTTTCAGGGGGTAAAAACATGTACATATCAAATAAAACCTTATTAGATTTGTTTAATTTAGACTAATCCACTTGTTAATTAATTAATGTTAAGACTGTAACCCATGTGATGGCAATACTGCTAATACCAGAAGACTGACAGGCATACAAGACAATCCATCAATGAAAGTTTCTAAGCCAAACCAAAAGGAAAATATGCATTTTAGCAGTACAGTGACAAAAGAAGCTTATATACAATACTCTCTTCCATTTTTGTTCACTTTCTCTCTGCTGGTCATATATACAAAACCACACCACTTGGCCTTGGCTTGTCTTTCTCTATAAAAACCTACCCCAAACCCAATCCCAATCCCAATCTCAATTCCATTAATGTCTCACTTGGTATAGTAGTAAATTCTTCTTACCAGAATTTGTGTTTGTACGGTCATTTTTCAACTACCTCCTCTATTATATAGTCTTCTTTCATTTAATAATATCACACGCATTGTACACATTCATAACAGAACAGTGTAGTGGATTTCACCAGCTAGCTCTTAATGTTAGTTCCTCTTTTCAAGGTTCTATCTTGTCTCTTGCTTTCTCTGCCATTGATTTCCAGTTATTTTTGCTTCTTGGGTTATTCTTTGTTTTTGTGAACAGAACTTTAACTACATTCTTTGCTTCATTAACTTCATTTGCTTCTTCATGTGCTTTAACCGTTTAACTGTTTTCCGGTTAAAATGTTGTCTTTTTTAGTTTCCCGTAAGAATTTTCTTGTGTTTGTTAAGATTTCAGCTTCTGGGATTCCTTCAATTTGATTAATCAAAGGAATGTTAATGACAGTGTAGCTACGCCCAAAGAAAATTTGGTCTAAATTTCTTGAATTCTCTTCTTGGCTTGTTCTAACTCAAACAAAGTTTCAATTTTTCAGGTGGTTACTAGCACAGTTTAACTTCTAATGGTTTTGTTTCTCTGTCTCTCGCCTTCATTTATCTTTTTGGGGTTTTGTACACTGTAGTGAAACTCTGCGGTTGGTGTTTGAAGTTAGTTCTCAATGGGGTTATCAAACTGGTTTTTCATTCTGTATCTTTCATGGGCTTTCTTTATTCCAAGCACCCATGAGTTAGAGACCTATCAGGCCCAACTTCTACTTCAGGTGAGGAAGCATTTGGCGTACCCTTCGCAATTGGATATCTGGGGAAGTTATAATGGAGACCTCTGCAACCTGTCTTCAACTTTACATGTGAGCATTATTTGTCAGGACAATTTAATTACTGAGCTCAAAATTAAGGGAGATAAGCTTGTCAAGGTTAGTGAATTCAATGGGTTTGCAATTCCTAATCAGACATTATCTGAAAGTTTCTCAATTGATTCTCTTGTTACCACACTAGCAAGATTAACTAGTTTGAGGGTTCTTAGCTTAGTGTCTTTGGGGATATGGGGACCACTTTCTGATAAGATTCATCGGCTATATTCACTTGAAGTTTTGGACTTGAACTCAAATTTTCTCTTTGGCTCAGTTCCTGCGCAGTTATCAAGATTGGTTAAACTTAATTCTTTAACATTAGATGGGAATTATTTCAATGGATCAGTTCCCGATTGGTTGAATTCATTGTCTAATCTGACAGTTTTGAGCATGAAGAATAACAAGTTTACGGGTCAATTTCCTTCTTCAATATGCAGAATCACCACATTAACTGATATTGCCTTGTGTCACAATAAGCTTACTGGTAAATTGCCTGATTTGAGTACCTTAACTAGCCTGCATTTGTTGGATTTAAGAGAGAACAAATTAGATTCTGAATTACCTGCAATGCCAAATGAGTTGATTACAATTCTCTTAAGCAATAATTCCTTCTCGGGAAAAATTCCTGAACAGTTTGGTGATTTGAGTCAGCTTCAACATCTTGACTTGTCCTTAAATCATTTAAGTGGAACACCTCCATCTTCCTTGTTCTCTTTGCCTAATATCAGGTATTTGAACTTAGCTTCCAACATGCTCAGTGGAACCATTCCAAATTATATTACATGTGGAAGCAACCTTGGGTTTGTTGATATCTCTACAAATAAGTTAATCGGTGGAGTGCCCTCTTGCTTGGACGGTATGTCAAATAATAGAGCAGTTAAGTTTGATGGGAATTGCTTATCTATTGATGTCCAAAATCAGCATCAAAAGTCATACTGTGAGGCAGCCAATATAGAGGCAAAGGAATCAAAAGGTACAACAGTAGGAATATTAGTTGCTGCCATTAGCGGAATAGTTCTTGTTGTGGTTATTTTGGCATTGGGGGTTCTGTTTTTGTGTAGACGATACCGGTCTAGAAAGACATTTGAGCAGAATATTTTTTCCAAGTCTGTGCAAGATAATACTCCTTCTGGGGTTTCCTCTGAAGTCCTTGCGAATGCCAGTAAGTTGTCCATTGTCTGGCTATCTTGTTATTGTTCTTTGGTGACCAAACTCAAAAACATAATAATATCTTTCACAATGTTAATTTCTTATTCAAGAATATGGAAACATTTTGCAGTAAACTTTTGCTTTCTTTTTCTTTTTAGGATTCATTTCTCAAGCAGCTAAGCTAGGAACACAAGGTGCCCCCTTTTCTCGTGTGTTTTCCTTGGAAGAGTTGATGGAAGCCACAAACAACTTTGATTCCTCAACGTTTATGGGTGAAGGCTCTATTGGCAAGGTACTTTTCAGGAACTCTCAGACTTGCTTGGGAAATTTAATGATTACATAAAGCAGTCATTATTACACTCAATTGTGAGTTGCATGATAGACCTAATTTTGGACTTTCATTCTGGCCAGAAATTCGACCTCTTTTTTCTATATCTTGTAGTATAGTAACATAAGATAAATGAAATAAAAAATTGTTATTGCAAGCTCCAGAATTAATTGTGGGATGCTAAAACTAGAATTTTAGAATACTTATTTCACTCTCTCTACACATTTTTCACTTATCATTTGGCATAATAATTGAGACAATTTATGGATGAAAATTAGTCTTTGATGTCCATTTCCCAGGGCTTATTCAGTTCAACCTTTTTTTCTTTGTCAGGTTTACAGAGGAAGATTGGATACTGGAACCCATGTTGCTATCCGGTCTCTTACTTCATTAAAGAAACATTCAATTCAAAATCTTAAAGTTCAGTTGGATTTGCTATCAAAGCTTCACCATCCACATTTGGTTGGTCTCTTGGGTTATTGCATCGACTGCAGTGGACAAGATGATTATGTTGGCACCAAAGTCTTTCTTATCTATGAATACGTGCCTAATGGAAATTATCGTACCCATCTGTCAGGTCAGTTTTCTAGGGAGTATAGAATCAAATATGTTGATAATGGCAAACATCCATTTGTTTCTATACAATTGCATATTGTGTCTTTTTGAGAGAGAGAGAGAGAGAGAGAGAGAGAGAGAGAGAGAGAGAGAGAGAAGATGAGAGAGAGAGAGAGAGAAGAAGTTGGTGTTCAACAGGTCTTTCAAAACCCCTAATACACATTTTTTTCTCTCCTCTTTTATTTTGTTTAAAGTAAATTTAAATTGTTTGCTAAATCCTATATGGCAGAAACTTTTCCAAAGAGAAAGTCTGAGAGAGAGAGAGAGAGAGAGAGAGAGAGAGAGAGAGAGAGAGAGAGAAGAGTTGGTGTTTCACATGGTCTTTCAACCCCTAATACTACATTTTTCTCTCCTCTTTATTTGTTAAAGTAAATTTATTGTTTGCTTAATCTATATGCAGAAACTTTTCCAGAGAAAGTCCTCAAGTGGTCGGATAGGTTGGCAATTCTTATTAGTGTTGCCAAGGCTGTGCATTTTCTACATACTGGGGTGATTCCTGGTACTTTTAATAACCAATTGAAAACAATTAATATATTGCTCGATGAGCACCGAATTGCAAAGCTGAGTGACTACGGCATGGCTATAATCACAGATGAATTCGAAAAAAGTGAGGTAATTTTGGCAACTAATAAATTAACTTGTTAAACTTGGAATAATATCTTGGTTCCAAGTGGCCATTCTGATGCATTCTATCTGCATTGCAGGTAAAGGGAAAGGCTGCAAAATCACGGTATGGGTTGTTCTTTCCCTAGTGATTTTATGTATGAAGTTCTTGGTAGAAGACACAATATTGTTATTCTCATCATTTCTCAGATACACAAAAATTTGCTTGGACTTTAGAACTAATTGCCAATAATTCTATGTCTTAACACTGGTGTCTACTCCCTAGAGTGGCTACATCTTCCAAGTCCGCAAAAGTGTTCAATGATATGCTTAGATCCAATAAGTAACAATGATATCCTTAACTATATAATTGCTGCTATAACCTGTTTAATGGTTTGTTGTATCCTTTTCTGCAGACATAGGACAAACTTAGAGGATGATGTTTACAACTTCGGGTTTATACTACTCGAATCACTTGTTGGTCCTATTGTAACTGGGAAAGGAGAAGCATTTCTGCTGAATGAAATGGTATGCTAAAGAGCTCTTATATTGTTAAATGTCTAATTCTTCGAATGTTATCATAACTTTGGTTGGAGTTTATAGTTCTAACACCTGGTGCCATAAACTGCAGGCATCCTTTGGCAGCCAGGATGGTCGAAGGCGTATCGTGGACCCAGTTGTTTTAACAACATGCTCACAGGAGTCATTATCAATTGTAATTTCTATCACAAGCAAATGCATATCTCCCGAGCCTTCAACTCGTCCTTCATTCGAGGATGTCCTTTGGAACTTACAGTATGCAGCTCAAGTCCAGGCTGCAGCTGATTCTGATCAGAAATCAGATTCGACATCCCATTCATAAGTTCAGATGCAGATTAAACAACCATGCCCTTGATTGGGAAACATATCCAAGTGGAAACAGTAACTATAAGCACACGAGGTAGGCATCCATTTGGACAGCTTCATCTACTTGAAATGCAAAATGTATAGTTGTAAATGATATATTTTATTGCTTGACCATAATCATAACCATATTTATATATATATATATTTTTGATACGGTAGAGCTTATTAAATGTATTGTCCTTTTGTAATAGGTATTAGTTGGTAGCAAGCATTTGTACAATTTAGAATTGTTCTGAGGTTGAAGAAACCTGACTATAAGAAGCTGTATTGTTTGTTACATAACTTTATTATTCTTGGAATAACAAGCTTTACGGATCAGTGTAATTTAGAGTTACAAGTAAAAGAAAAAAAAAAATTTGTCTTACTCGAAAGCTTTTGATATAAACTGACAGAAGCCTTCCTTCTCACCATGTGATGTCAATTTTTCTTGAACTTGCTTTCAGATACACTCAAAGATTTTCTCAACCCTGGTGGTTACTGGTGGGCTTTCTTCATCTTTACCTGCAAAAGTTATGGGTCACCATTTAGAGAATTGTGTCTCACATCACATGCTTCATGTTACCTTTTCAACTTGCTCTTGTTAGCCAAAAACCATCACCAACTCCTTCGTGCTTAATTTAGTGTAACTTGTAGGGATCTGACAATCCAAAAGAGGTCAGGTACCAAATTTCTTGAAAAGAGTCAAATCCTGAAATGGGTTATTAGAATTTATAACCTTAAATAAACCTGTTTATGAAGGCAAACGGTGTAAATTAGGTTAGTTACCCTGCCAGTTAACGTAGGGCATGTTGTCCATTTTACAAGTTTTCTGTGGAAATATTATTTATTTCCTATGTTGATGGCTGTTGTTGGAGTTGTCAGGTACTTGACTTCTGGTATGAAGCTTGAGAAATAAGGGAAGGAAGGAGAGCTGTCAAAAATCAAAATCCTGCCTGAACAGAAAATATAGACTCAAAATAAACAGTTAAGCATCGCTAATTACAACAACAACAACAAAAAAGGTCATATGAACATATTATTCCATATGAAATTTATTTTATTAGAAAATAAATGAAAATGAATTTAATTTTTAAATTAAATAAATAATTCGTTTTAAATACATGGATTAACTGACTTATAATTAAAATTCATTAATCTTATTTTTTTTAACAATTAAAGTTATGTAGTTAAAAAAAGAACAATTAAAGTTTACTAATAATGTTAACTTTATGAGCCCAAATTTGAAGCCCATAATAATAATTATAATAGTAAAAAAGAGTCGATGGCCCAAAAATCAACGGCTCTCTTTCTAATGGTATATAGTGTGGGGTCCATTTGTTACGGGTCGCGTGCTTTTGACCGATAACAGAAATTAGTGACGCACTATATACTATAGTGTCGGCGAATATAGCCAGCCAAGAGGAGAAAACGACGCAATAACTGTTAGCCCCCACGCGCACAAAAAAACACGTGACGATAGATTGTCGGTACGAGTTAGGTACTCTACTTAACTCGGTTGTTAACTCAGCTGTAACTCTTTATCACCAACCATCTTCATCATTGTGAATAGAAGGTAGTATCAAAAAAATTGTACAACATTTTTTAGTGATTTTTATAGTCAACGGTTTAGAATTTAAAATTTCCATTAATTAATTGAAAGCATTCTATCTAAATATTAATCAACCGTGAATGCAGTATAATTGAAGAATAATATATTAATTAAAGTGGTAATCAGAGATTATATTTCTAAATTTTATTAAAAAAATAAGCATTATCATCTACGGCTTGTCGCTCAGTTGATAAAATAGATTGAATATGTTGAAAGAGCTTTTGAATCTATCTCCACTAAACGCATTTGCAGAAAAAATAACCATCACCGTCGGGACTTTAACCAGCGGCCCCCGGGTTGAGCTGGCGACCATTGGAATGTGCATTACAAGTTTAAAAAAGCGCGTGATACATCTACCATCTTTGAATTAATTAATGTTGTTAATTGAATCATGTAGGGAACTGATTCTGTCTAGACATGAGTACAGTACTCACAGCTCTCGAAACAAATAGCCAAACGACAAAAATTTGTGGAAACGGTGTCGTATGACTAACGAAAACATTTTTCTTTTTTCTTATTGTTTACTTTTTTATTACCAGACATTCTGCTTTCTCTCTCAGTCACTCACTCACAGCTCTTTCTAAAACCCAAAGATCTCTCTTTCTCAGATGCTAAAATCTTTCTATTTTTCAAGAATAAAAGCAAAAGATGGGGAGTGAAACATTTCATTTCTAGCTTTTTTTTCCCAATTTCACAGGTAAATAACTAAAGAAGAAATGGTGTTGATAAATGTTTGCTTTATGAAGGAAAATATTTTCTTTTCTTTTTTTTTTTCTTCTCTGCAAATGCTGGTTTTGGTCGTTTTTTATGGCCTGCATTATATTATTTACTTTCTGCTGTGTCTAGTTTAAGCTTAAAATTTGGTCTTTTGTTAATAAATTATGATGGGTTTAATCAGGATCTAATGAAATCAGATTTTAATTAACAGAAACTTGCTGCACTTACTATTTTCAGATAAATTCTACTTGGATTGTTAATATAAGCCTTGTAAAGATTTTTTTTTTTTGTCCTTATTTGAGCTCAGTTTTCAGTATATTTGCTGTTTGTATTGTTTATACTCTTCTTTTTCATCATTATTTTGTATATCATTTGAAGAGCCTATTAAGCAGCAGCTCTCTTCCTGGTCACTGAACTATCATTCTACAAAGTTATAGTAGTTCACAATTGCTTTCTAGAATGTGAGGCATTTATTCCTCTGCTTGCTCTCTTTTGCCAATAAATAACTGCTGTTCATTTTTCTGATTTAAAGACGTTTACTTTTAGTTGTAGATTTTATATTTAATGAGTCAGTAATGTTAGCTAAATCTCTTTGCATAATAGGGTTACACGTTCTGCTGTTTCGTTGCTGAGAAACTGCTGGAAAGGGAAGATGAACCAAGTTTAAGTGTTGGGGTTTTAACTGATATAAGGCAAGTAGTCGTTCACAGCTCAGTTTGAAGTGGGATTTCTCATTGTCTCTGTTTTAGATGATGAAAATTATTTTCATTTTAAAGTTCTGGAGACTTTTCATTCACCATTTATTTCCACTAATCAAATAGTGAAACTTCTTTTGTAGCTTGAAAGAGTGAACTATGTAATTCTGATTTTGCAATTTATTTGTTGGATTATTACTTATGATCTGAGTTTTGTATAGTGAATTTACATGTGTGTGGGTTCTTGTTGTGAATTACAGGACTTTAGACGCCTTCTAATTCAAGTTCCATTTACACATTGCTGTGGTTTACATTCAGTGGAATACAAGTTTTTATCCCAAAATGGTTATTGGTGTAAATGCAAAGAACAAGAAAGGTGCCTCAGTTCATGTGACTTATCTAATCCACATCCAAGATATTAAGCCTTGGCCCCCATCTCAGTCTTTGAGATCTCTTCGCTCGGTCCTGATTCAGTGGGAAAATGGCGGGCGCAATTCTGGGTCTACTGATGCTGTTGTTCCTTCAATTGGCTCAATTGTTGGTGAGGGAAAAATTGAGTTCAATGAGTCTTTTAGATTACCTGTGACTTTGGTAAGGGAAACGTCTGGCAGAGGCAAGGATGGTGATTCATTCCAGAAGAATTGTTTAGAATTCAACTTATGTGAACCTCGAAGGGATAAGATCCAGTTGCTAGCAAATGCTGTAATAGACTTAGCTGATTATGGTGTTGTCAAGGAGGCAATAACTGTAAGTGCTCCAATGAACAGCAACAGAAGCTTTAGGAACACTTCTCAGCCAATTTTGTATATAAAAATCCAGCCAGTTGATAAGGGTCGCACAAGCTCCTCCTCATCAAGCGACAATCTATTGAAAGTTTCACAGGACAAGAATGGCGGAGAATCAGTTTCAGCATTTATGAATGAAAAATATGCTGAGGAAGCTGAGGTTGCCTCCTTAACTGATGATGATGGCTCCTCACACTCATCTATAACCAATGGGGGTTTGCGTCCTCAAAATGAAGAGGTAGTTATTCTTTCCTTTGAATTCACTTTGTGAAGCAAATTGCCCCTTTGATCCTAATGTTACTACCAACTTTGACTCAAATCAACTTTGTACCGCTATGATTATTATTTTTGTCTTCAGTCCCAGAACATTCCTGATGAACGACACATGAATTGTTGAATAAATTATTAGCAAAAACAAAATCCTGTGATACAGCTTATTTCCAGTCCCTGACGCCATTAAACATTTGCCATATGTGATTTTCCCGGCAGAATTAATATTGGGAATGGCATCTTATACATAACTGTCTTTATAAATGAGAGTCATTGGTAAGGATAAGCTAATCATTCTAGTTCAATTGCAGAATGGACCAGCCAGATTTACAGAAAGCAAAGGAGGGATTAATGGGGAGCAGGCTTTTGCTTCTGGACTTGGCATTGAAAAACACATCGCATCACAAGAAAATCTGAAGGAAATTTCATCTTGCTCGTCTTCTGTAGATTTATCTTCTGATATTGGGAGCCCAGTAAATGCTCGTACTTCTGTTTTGGACTCACCTGATTCTAGTTCAATGTCAATGCCAAAAACTGACATTTCTGATAGTGTTCATTCTTCTTCTCTCGTCTTCAATAATGAAAGTAAAGAGAAAGAGGCAAGCACCAACATGAAAAACAATGGCCATCATGATTTTGCGCAGGAGGTTGATGAAGAGGTCATCAATGACTCATTAAAACTCAGAGGTGATATGAACCAAATGAGAGCTGTCCAAAATACAACTAATAATGATGTTTGTAATAGTTCTATCGGGGTTGCAAATGGTCAAAATCTAGAAGAGAAGAGGCATTTCAGAGAAGATGAACCATTAGATGCATTTCCACAAGATGGTACCAGAAATGAAGACTCATTCGGAACCGATACAGTTTCTTCAAGTGGGAGCTTTGAAATGAAAGGAAATACACTCAAAATTGATAGATTAAAGCATGTGAAATCTGTTAGGTCGTCATCAGACTCGACTAGGGTCAATGGATCGGTTAGCAGAAATCATCACGATGAATTGAAGGAAGTTGGGGCCTTGGCAGATGTTGAAAATTCTGCAGGAAGCTTGAAAGTTAATGAATGGAAAAATGCTAAGGTTTACCCACAAGATGCCAGAACATCCATTTTGAATGGAAAAATCCAGCAATTGGAACACAAGATAAAGATGCTTGAGGGAGAGTTGAGAGAAGCTGCTGGTATTGAGGTTGCTCTTTACTCAGTTGTTGCTGAGCATGGAAGTTCAATGAGTAAGGTACATGCACCAGCACGACGCCTTTCTAGGTTATATCTTCATGCTTATAGAGAAAGTTCCCAACCAAGGAGAGGCAGCGCAGCTAAAAGTGCTGTTTCAGGACTAGTACTGGTCGCAAAGGCATGTGGAAATGATGTCCCTAGGTATGCTAGTACACATGTTCCACTTCATTTCCAGAGACGTTTTTCATTATGTGGTTGTCATCCATGTCAATGTTAAGTATGTGAAGTGGAATTTTACAAAGTTATTACACCTCATGGGACAAAACTAATAGTCTCTGCAGGTTGATTGAGTAAAACAGGGGAACCTGCTGCATAAACGCTAAATTACTTCCCTGTTTCTTCCAAAATAAATTTCAGTACAATGAGATTAATGCATCACCCAGTATGCAAACTGTATTGTTTTAAACTGTCTTTGCGTTCATCCTATGGTGCAAATTTTGATATGCTTGATAAAGAAACTTTGTTGTCTCAATGGATCTATTCATGTGGCTGTAGCTCCAAAATTTTACGGTATAATTTTGTTGTACTTATCTCTTGTTCCTTTATAACAAATTACAGGTTGACATTTTGGTTATCAAACTCTGTTGTACTGAGAGCAATTATTAGTCAAGCAACAAGTGACAAAGAGCCATCTTCTGCTGGACAACGTATGGAGAGGAATGGTGGTGGAAAGGGAAACAAGATGACGTCATCTATACTGAAATGGAGGGAGTCACCTTCCAGCAGAAAGGAAAATAAGAGTGGTATTTATGGAGACTTGCGTGACTTGGACGACCCACATGCATTTATGTCTGCACTGGAAAGGGTGGAAGCTTGGATCTTTTCCCGAATTGTTGAGTCTATATGGTGGCAGGTGTGTCCTTAATGCTTTTCTCCATTTTCCTTTGCTGCTGTCCTGGTAAATAGCTATACTAAATCATATGTTAAAGCTGCATGTCACAATACTAAATACCTTTTTTGAACTAATTCCTTTTCCTGTTGCAGACTCTTACACCACATATGCAATCGGCCGATATGAAAGCAATTGATAAACTCGTTGGTTCTGGTTCAAAGAAAAGCCTTGGAAGGACATCGAGTTCATGTGATCAGGATCAAGGAAACTTTTCATTAGAACTCTGGAAGCAGGCATTCAAAGATGCCTGTGAGAGACTTTGTCCAGTTAGAGCTGGTGGACACGAGTGTGGCTGTTTGCCTATGCTGGCCAGACTGGTAAATCTATGAATTCTTCATATTTCTGTCCTCCTTTTGTCTCCATGTAGGGTTGAGTTGGGTTGGGGTGGAGGCAGGGATGGGATGGCTTCAGAGGTTAGCACAGGTTTTAGCTTTGGATACTCTCTCTCTCTCTGAGATGCATATATATTGTGCCTCTGATTTTGAAACAATATTGGTCCTAAACAAAATATATGGCAATGACTTTTTATTTTTATTTTTTTGTGAGAGTGCAAGCAGAAGAGAGAAATATAATCTTATTTGAAAACCAAGAATGCTTCGGTTAAACTCAGCCATTGCTCCTTTCTTATTTTGTTGCAACTTTTCATCAAAATTGATCAGACGTAATATACAAATGTTTTAAGTGGTCAACTTTTTTGTGAATTGCTTATTGATTATGTTTCTTTAACTGTTAGAACAAAGTCATTAAAATGCATTTGATCACATATCTAGATAATGGAGCAATGCGTGGCTAGATTAGATGTGGCAATGTTCAATGCCATTCTTCGTGAATCCGCTGATGAGATCCCAACTGATCCAGTTTCTGACCCTATCAGTGATCCAAAGGTTCTTCCTATTCCAGCTGGTAAATCAAGCTTTGGGGCTGGAGCACAACTGAAAAATGCGGTAAGAAATTCAACTGGCCATGGTTGTTATAAAGTCAGTGATAGGTAGACTGTTTATTATTCATGGTCATGGGGGTTAAATTTATTTGGCTGACAGTTTTAAGAATTGTTACCTGCATTCTTTCATCATTCATATTTTCTGGCATTTCTTCAAAATTCCTAACAGCAACATAATGTATGGGAAAGTTTTAAGGTTTTTGATGTAATTCTACAAAAGTTAAAAGTTTAGTTTTCCATACGTTTCCTGGATAACAGATTGGCAACTGGTCAATGTGGCTGACTGACGTGTTTGGGATGGATGATGATTTACTTGAAGATGACAATGACAAAGACAACAATGATGACAGACAAGACACAACCTTTAAGTCTTTCCATCTCCTTAATGCTTTGAGTGATCTCATGATGCTCCCGAAGGACATGCTTCTGAGTAGATCCATAAGAAAAGAGGTTTGATAGACTTATTGAACCTTCTCCTTTAATCTTGAGTTTGCATGGGTCAGTGCAGCAATCCTTCCAACAATAATATCAATAACATATACCTAATAGAAAATCCAAATCTAAATATCTTCATAACAGAAAGTCTTAAAATTGGACTCTAATTTCTTCTCTCAAAATGGAGTCATTGCCGTTAATGGAGGACTCATTGCCATATCTTTTATGTGGGTATACAGTACTTTGCAATCCTTATTTAAAGGGATTATTCTTTCGCTTTTGAAGGTATGCCCTACATTTGGTGCTCCATTGATCAAGAGGGTTCTTGATAATTTTGTCCCTGATGAGTTTTGCCCTGACCCTATTCCAGATGTTGTGCTTGAAGCCCTTGAGTCTGAGGTTGGTGACTTCTAAATCCATCTCAAGTTATTTGCTTCCTTACTTTCTAGTGGTTTTCAGTTTTGGTGCATTCCTGGAGTTAAACAAAAATCGTTTAGCATGAGCCTTTATCCCAGTAAGTTGTTGATAATAAGAAATATGGCTTTTAACTTGATTTAGGATCCTCTTGAGGTTGAGGAGTCGTCTGTCACTACCACACCGTATATTGCAGCTCCGCCACTTTATTTGCCGCCTTTAGCAGATTCAGTTGCTGAAACATTTGGAGAGTCTGGAAATAAATTGCAGCTGAGAAGAAGTGTTTCGTTGCTCAGAAAAATGTACACCAGTGATGATGAGCTCGATGAATTGAGTTCACCTTTAACTTTGATCTTCCTCGATGGCTCTCGGCCTTCACCACCAGCACTGACAAAGCTCAGCTGGAAATCAAAGGATATGAGCAAGCAGAATTCCATCAGATACGAGCTACTAAGGGACATATGGATGAACAGTGAGTAACCATGTAAATTCACCAAAAGTATATACAAGTAGATGATGATGCTTCTCCTTAAATCTATCTTGTGGTGTATATTAGCACTCAGATTTTGGCTGTTTTTTAGTTAGTGTACAAATGGAAAGGCCATTATTGTAGCTTTAGTGAATGACTAGACTTTTTTATATAGATGGAGAGTGTCTGTATTCTGAATACCTTAAGAGAAAAGTGACTATTTTAATAATAATGTCCACGACCTGTTGTCTTCCTTGAAGAATGCAGCGTCTCAATAAACTAATTTCAAATAAATTCACATAAAATTGATATCAGTTATCAGGAACAAAATTAAAAAAGGAAACAACAAAGATTGGATAAACCAAACATAATTCAATTCGCTCCATGAAGAATCAGAAAGTTTGTTCAGAAATATAAAATAAATCTAATTTGAACATACCATCTGAAAACTACATGCCAGAATAAATTTTTCCTAAATTCTACCTGTGATAAACACTCTCTTTAATATAGAGGTTAGAATGAAACAAGCTTAAGATGATAAATCAATCTGAGATGCATTACAATTGATTAGCTGCTACAGTTCAACAGTACAGCAGTTGCATTCTTCATGATCACCTCCAGTCCCTTTCCCAGAGAGGTTAGAAGAAAAGAAACTTCAAATCTCAAATCAATATGATCTCAGTGAGTAGAAAATGAGAACAATAACTTCCCCCAAGGTCTCCAAACTCCCATCTTTGAAAACTACAGGAGCAGCTCATCTATTTCGTGCTCAAAGCTTCCTTCATCAAATCAACTGTCACATTTGGTAACTACTTCCTGGAAATGTGGTCTGAACCTGGTATGCATCGAGCAGTTCAGGATAATCTTCCTTGAAACTAGTGAAATACCTCTTCTCGAACTTCTTTTTAGTCATATTTAATGCACTGGCAACACTTACATGCTTCTTAATCATCTCCTTTGACATTAGCACTTCCATAACGGAACATCTTGGAATGATTTTTTCCTTTAAACTAGCCAGAAGAAGATTCAGTGTACTTATCGATATCTGAAGGCTCCAAACGAGCTTTGGTCACATAAAACTCCATTAATTCCTGCATCTTCTTCTTGGATGTTAGCATGAATAGTGGCTGCTTTCTTAATGCCAACAGAAATTCTTGTTCTGACCAGCCAAAGCTCATCAAGAGCTTCTTCTTGCTTTCCCAATCTCTTCTGCTCATCTTTGACATTGCAAGGAGAACATATAAAAAGGCGTAGCGAAATGGTTTAAACCCCATATATTTAACTTCTCGAACCTCGTCAAACAAGTCAACTTTAACCATTAACGGCTCAAGCTGCAGCCTGCAGCGTGATTAGCCTCCTAATATGAAGTTTTGGAACAGCATTAGCACTCAAAACGCCAATATTAGACACCAAGATCGTAGTATGACAATTAAGACACGAGGGCTTCTCTTCAAGGCGATTATAACATTCTCATCAGTGTCGAGAATCCCTTTAAGGAAATCAATGGTGGGAAAAATCCGATTAGTTAAACTAGCGTTTAGGACATGAACTACATAAAATCTTGGGAAGATAAGTATTTTTAACACCCAGTGACTCAAAGAATTCAATCTTTGGCTTTAAGGTTTTCTCTGGGTCAGAAAAAATAAGCGTTGGGCGTTGTGAAATTAACCTAGCAATTTGAGATTTAGAAAACCCTTTATCCCTCAAAAGTTGAAGAACCAAATCTGTTTTCTCTGTGCTATCGATATTTAACATACTTGGCGGCTGAAATAGCTCTTTGTAGAGACAACCCACATGAGTTCGTGAGGTAAGAGATTATTAAAGATTGATCGTCTTTTAATTTTGAGGCTGAATCTAGAGGTGATAACTTTTGGATATAACGAAAGGAACAAGCTTTTGAGTTTATGGAGCTACCATTTGTCAGTAATTTGGATAAAAAACGAAACATTTCTTTCAAATACGAATAGGGAGGACTGAGCAATTTGAACTTACCGGATATTGGAAGTCGGTAATGGCGGTCAAGTAAGCGCAAACACCGATGGCGGAAAAGAGCCTACTTGCTAGCTTTCTCAGCTTGTCCTCGCCATTTTTATAGCGTTAGACTCCGAGAATCCGACATCGCCCAGTTCAATCTTAATCTTTCTTGATTGGTGTTGGATCAACAATGTTTGGTTTTAGGGTACATATTTCTTGTCTTTTTCATATTAAGAATTCTTTTAATTATTATAAAAATAAAATTCTTGAGATTCATTTGCATAATTTTGTGTAAATGAATTTAACAAAACATTGTGAATATTTTCATGTTAAATATAAATAAAAATATTAAAGTTTATTATGAATAAAACAAATTTAATTTCATTTTTCTGGAATTTAACATTTTCTAAATTGAATTTTATAATTTAAATTCATTTGTATCATACAATGGCATGAAGTTCATTAATGCTCAAGTCTCAATCTTGAACATTCAGTTACTATAGACTAAAATTAACACAAAAGCCTACTACTTGAAGCCTCTACTTCTCTAGGTTAATCAATATAAAAAATTTAGGTCCAAATCGCAATGAATTGGATGATTTTTGCAAGTTTTCTCTGCAACTACATCTTCTCTTCCATGTTCACAGAAAATTCATCGCCAAATTGTAGAACAGACTGATTATTGTTTTTCACATCAAACAATAAATATATCCAAAACAACCATATAAACTTTCATACAGTTGAATTTAAAGCTAGGAACTTGTTTCCTCTGCTGAAGCATTTAGAACTACAGAGGAACTCTAAAGTAAAATGACCATATTAGAGGTGGGTGTCTGTTAAACTGGCAACTACATTCTGTTAAATTGATGAACAGAAAAGGACAAACAACTTGTAGAGCCAGCGCAGTCAAAGATTTCTGCAGTGGACTTGAAAATCAGAAACTCAAATGCTATGATGAGAACACCATTAGCTTAGCACAACTAAACTTCGCATAAAATGAACATAATGCTATTGAATTCAATTTAGAATAAAAACTTTTTACAGAAAAAGCAAAATTAACAAGAGCTGACCATCATAAACTACATGCTGGCATAAGTTTTGCCACAACTGTGTTGGAATGGACTAATTTGCACTCTTAAGTTTTAACCCAATCTACCTTGTGCTTGCGAGCCCGACTCACTCGCTCTTTACTAACCCAAGAACATGTTTACTCGTAAATTACCATCACACTTCAATCCTAAACAATGTGGGGTGAGTGTTTTTCTGAAATACAAACATCATATAGCAATGAGAACAATGAGAGGCGTTCACCACCCCAAAGATTTCCAAACTGCTATTTTCGGAACTACAGCAGCAGCTAATCTATTTCTCGCTCAAAGCTTCATTCATCAATTCAACTGTCACATTCAGTAACTAAATCATCGAAATGTGGTCTCAATCTGGTATGCGTTGATCAATTCTCCTTGAAGCTAGTGAAATACCTCTTCTCAAACTGGTCTTTAGACAAATCTAATGCTGTGGCAACATTTACATTCTTCTTAATTAACTCTTTGACATTAGCACTTCCATAACTTAACATCTTGGTATGACTCTTCTCTTCAAACTAAACAGAAGAAGCCTGGGGTACTTAGCAATATCCGAAGGCTTCAAAGAAGCTTTGGTCAGATAAAACTCCATTAATTCCTTCATCTTCTTCTCAGACGTTAGCATGAATAACGGTTGCGACCTGAATGCCAATAGAAGATCTTGTTCTGACCAGCCAAAGCTCATCAAAAGATTCTTTTTGCTTTCCCAACCTCTTTTGTGCTATCAATATTAACATACTTAGCGGCCGAAGTAGCTCTTTGTAGAGACAACCCAGATGAGTTCGTGAGGAAAGATATCGTTAAAGATTGATTGTACTTAACTTTTGAAGCTGTATTTAGAGGTGGTAGCGTGTGAATACGACGAAAGGAACAAGCTTTTGAGTTTATGGGGCTACCATTTGTCAGTAATTTGGATAACAAATGAAACATTTGTTTTTGAAATAAGAGGGAGGGCTTAGCAATATGAACTTACCGGATATGAGAAGCCCATACCGCGGGACAAGTCTATGAGCGTAACCCCACTGGAAAAATGGCAGAAAAGAACGCATTTTCTAGCTTCCTCATTTTGTCATTTCTGATAGTCGCCTGTTTGATTGATTTAGGTTTGGCTCTTCATCTCATGTCAAAACCGGTCTATTAGTCTATAATAGGTAGGGGTGAACAATTCTCCTGTCTTTAACCCAAAATCAAACTAAATCGACTCATTTCAGTTATATTATTCACCAATTTGTTTCAGTTGAATTTTAATAATTATTTTAAAAATTCAGTTATCAATTATTAGTCAAATTTAATTTTTAATAACCGAATTCAAACCGATTTAATTTAGTTTGAAACGATTTTATATCATTGATTAACATAAAATTATTGTCCCGCAGTTGAAAATTGCAAAAATTCAATTTGGTAATACTCACTAGCATTTCAGGCCAGGATTTAACATTATCAAATGCATTTTATACTAAACTAGGTATAGACTGGTACATTGCGCAGATTGTTCTATTAATATATATTTATAATTTGTGTTTATAATTTATTAATTATATTTAATTCATATAATTTCATAATTTACATGTCATTTTGTAAAATCCAAAGTTTAATTCTATTCAAATGGATGTTTTAGCAATATATCTTGCTAAGCAATGACGATAAATACTTAAAATTATTAACAGATTTGTTTGAGCATTTCGGAGTCACTGTTTTTAACCATATAATATATATCTAGATTGATATAAAAAATAAATATATATTGTTAGGTAGATTTAGATATTATTTAAAAAATAAAAAATTAAAGTACTAATTATTTGTATGGATATATTAAATATATAGAAAAACAAAGAAAACTCTTAATAAATAATATATAAAAAATTGCATATATATATATAAATATAATTTCATCAATTTACAATGTCATTTTTGGTAAAATCCATTAAGGTGTAATTCTATTTCAAATGGATTGTTAGCAATTATATCTTGCAAAGCAATGACAGATAAATAAACTTAAAAATTGATTAACAGATTTGTTTTGAGCATGTTCGGGAGTCCACTGTTTTTTAACCCATATTAAATAATGATCTACGATTGATAATTTAATAAATAAATATTATTGTTAGGTAGATTGTAGATATTATTTTTAAAAATAAAAATTAAATGTACTATTATTGTATGAATATATTAAATATATAGAAAAACAAAGAAGAACCTTATAAATAATTATTATAAAAAATTCCATATATATAATATATATATATATATATATATATATAATATATTAATGCTAAATGAGATTTTTTGTATAGCAAAAAAAGTCATGATCAGAAGGACTAAGGATGGAAAATGAAATAAAGCATAGTTAAAAAAAAAAAAAAAAAAAAAAAAAAAAAAAAAAAAAAAAAAAAAAAAAGGAAGCTTGCATCACAAGCCAAACAACATGAACAAAACCCAAAACTTATACTCGTAATAACCATCCTTGAGATCATTAACAGCATCAAATGGAATGAGTGTATAATAATTTCCAATGTATCCTGGATCATGAAACAGGTTTAGATCCTTCTAGCTTCCTCTTTGTGCTAACTGGTTCACTCAAAAATTCACAATCAGAAAATGCTAATATGCATAATAGAAAAAATAGAATTGCTCTTTTTTTGTAAAAATTTAGACTAAATTTGGTATTAACTGGTCTAGTTTCAAGTTCAACCAAAAGAATAAACAGAATTTAGACTAATAAATGACTTCAAGTAGATCAATTCAGGGAAAAGTCGCACATTCTCTTTCTATTGCCTTCTTTCTTTCTTTCAAGAATGAAGTGTCTCTACAAACAATTTTCAACTGAATTTATATAAAATTGATATCATTTATCATGAAGAAAATTAAAATAAGAAACAGATTTTGAATAAGCCAAAACATCATCCAAATCAATCCATTATAAATCAGAAAGTCTTTTCAGAAATATAAAATGAGCCTAATCTGATCATACCATCTGAAAATATATGCCAGCATAATTTTTTCCTGAAGTCTACCGGCAATGAACACTCTGGGGTTAGTTAGAATAAAACAAGCTTAATTACGATGGTAAATCAATCTGAAATGCATTACCATTGATTGACTGCTACATTTCAGAACTACAGTAGCTGCTTCCTTTGTAACCACCTCCAGTCCAAACTTCAAATGTGAAATCAATATGAACTCAGTAAGCACAAAATGAGAACAATGGGAGGGATTCACGGCCCAAATATTTCCAAACTGCTATCTTTCAGAAATACAGCTGCGGCTAATCTATTTCTTGCTCAAAGCTTGTTTTCGGTGACTAAATCCTTCAAATGTGGCACAAACCTGGTATGCGCTGATCAATTCAGGATAATCCTCCTTGAAGCTAGTGAAATACCTCTTCTCAAACCTCTCTTTAGTTATATTTAATATCCAGATAAGATTTACATCCTTCTTAATTAACTCCTTTGACATTAGCACTTCCATAACAGAGCATCTTGGGATGACTCTTCTCTTCAAACTAACCTGCAGAAGATTTGGACACTTGACAATGTCTGAAGGCTCCAAACTAACTTTGGTCAGATAGAACTCCATTAATTCCTTCATCTTATTCTCAGATGTTACCATGAATAATGGTTGTGCCCTAAATGCCAATAGAAAATCTTGTTCGGACCAGCCAAAGCTCATCAAGAGTTTCTTTTTGCTTTCCCAAAATGTTTTGGTTATCTTTGACATTGAATGCACTGCATATACAAAGGAGCTGCTAAACGGTTCAAACCCCATATCCTTAATTTCTCGGACCAATTCTTCAAACAAGTCAACTCTAAGCAATAAAAAGTGAAGCTGCAAAATCATTAGTCTCCTAATACTGTGTTTTGGCACACCATTAGCTCTCAAAATGCCAATTTTAGACAGCAAAAACCTAGTATCACGTAGAAAGACACGAGGGCATCCCTTCAAGGCTTGTGTAACATTCTCTACGGTGTCAAGCATCTCTTTAAGGAAATCGATAACGGGCAAAATCCGATTCTTTAAACTAGCCTTTAGAATACTTGGTCGTTTGGTTAGAATCATACGCAGGTCAGGACCAGCAAGACCCAATGACTCAAAAAATTCAATCTTAGGTTTTAGGGTTTTCTCTGGGTCAGCTAAAAGAAGATCTGGGCGTTGTGAAATTAATCTAGCAATTTCAGATTTAGAAAACCCTTTGTCTCTTAAAAGTTGAAGAACCAAATCGGGTTTCTTTGTGCTATAAATATTAACATATTTAGCGACTGAAGTAGCTCTTTGTAGAGACAACCCACATGAGTTGATGAGGATAGGAATTGTTAAAGACTGATTGTGTTTTAATGTTGAGGCTGGATTTAGAGGTGGTAGAGTTTTGAAATAACGAAAGGAACAAGCTTTTGAGTTTATGAAGCTACGATTTGTCAGTAATTTGGCTATGAAGCGAAACATTTCTTTGAAATACGAAAAGGGAGAGGTTTAGCAATATGAATTTACCCGATACAAGAGGCTGATAATGGTGGTGAAGTCCATAAGCGCAATCCCTATTGGAAAAATGGCGGAAAAGAACCCACTCGCTAGCTTCCTCGTTCAATCATCTCTGGCAGTCGGCTCACCTGTTTGTGTTTTCACATTGGGGTAATAAAATAATGAGAATTGAGAGGAAAGAAAATTACTAAAAAAACAATTTTTTAATAAATAAATAAATAATTTAGAGGTAAAATGGCAACAGCTATTAGAGTCGGGAAAGGAAGAATTGTTTTAAAAAAATATATTTTTTTCTCTTAGTTTCCTTTTTCTTCCCCAAACAAAGTGTTATTATTTGGCTGATATAAGCTCATCATGTGAAAATAAGTTTGTCAAACATTATATTTAAAGTCTGTAAATTTTAAGATTTGGTTATTATAACATATGATCCATCACGTTTGAAAACATAAGTTTGTAAATTTAGAATCAATTAGGGTGGATTGATTTAGTAAATCTCTCTTTCAAACTTAAAACTCGCATAGAGCTTAAGTTTATTGAGTTTTTTTGTCAATTTTTTACTTGATCATTTCTCATATTATCACATTAATGAGTTCAAAAATTATCCTTATTACTTACAAAAAGTAATTATTATTTGGAGCTCAAAGTAGAGAATTGGCTGAATCGAAAATTTCCAAGCAGAAAATGATAATATGCATACAACAATAATAATTAAGGCTTAGCTCCAAACTAATCGGAGTTGGTATAGAAGAAAAGAAAAGAAAAAAGATTATGGTTTTTGCTAAACCAAATTTATGCCTTTATAAGTAACCAATAAGGAAAACTCAAGGTTCTATTAGCTATCATAGATTAGGTTACAATAATAATAAAAAAATACTAATTTTTCAAAGGAAAATATTTAAATTAATGTAACACAACAGATGGAGAAGTATATAGCTGAAATGCAAAATTATAATCCACAAGCCAAGAACAACAAACAAAGAAATGACATTGATTGATAGGAAAAAGTGAAACATAACATGCTTCATATAAAACAGTATTACAAGACAATGTTCTTTGATTTTTAACTCTCTGCCAAAATTCCCTTACGACCATACAGCCTCAAAATTGCACTATATTATAACCTAAAACTGGAAAGACCAAAACACTCAAAATCAACATCAACAATGGCCATAAATTGCTATTTGCTCATGTTTTATATATATACTACCACACTTGCATGTGAATGATACTAAGGCAGTCACCGGATTTTACTGTTAAAACCAGTCAAGCAGCCAATGTCTGTGAAGAAGTAACAGCACCCAAATGTTTGAGGTGCAATGCAGCCAACAAACCTTGCCAGTTTTCTGCAGGTGCAGCTGCCACTTGAAAGTCGACAAGTTTCTTTTGTTTCCTGTAGTAATCTTCCAATGCTTTACCCTGCGAGGAAAATTTATACAATTAGTGAAATTCCAAATTTCATTCAACACAAAATCATCAAATATGTAACAAACCAGTGGAAATGATGCAATAATAATTTAACTGCACAAAAAAGAGTGAAAAAGTAAACATCATTTGCAAGAAAAAAAAAACCAAAAACGAACTGCTGGACAGTTGCAACTTGCAAGCATGCAAGTTAACCGTGAGTCTAAAGTTAATCAGAAACATTAACGATCAGTATAAAACACAAATTCATCAAATCTGTAAAAGGAATCCACTGTTATAATGCTATTATCTACTACAGGGGGAAATTTAAAATAATTATCTGAAAAATAGACAAAATCTCAACTATTATACTGCAAGTTTAAGTTTATGTCAAAGAAGGGAAGATGTACAGTACCTGTTCTGCATATATACGGAACTTTTCCTTCCAGGCACTTCCAGCATCAGTAACAGGGGATGTAGAGGCTCCTGCAGTAAGGAAATCCCTCTTCACCAAGTTTTCTTCAGCGCGTTTAAAATTCACAACTAGGTCAATATCAGCAATTTGATCAAGAATTTCCTGAAAGAAAAATTCGAGCATATCAATAATGTACAATAAACACTAGTATAATTCAACTTCTAGGATTTGCAACCATTCCCATTTTAATTTGTAGAACATAGAAACTTATAATCAAGAAGAAGCACAGGAAATACAATACTGAGAGAAAATTGAAACATACAGCTTGAACTTTTGTTCGAGGAATGCCATCCAAAATGAAGCCAGTTTCACCTCTGTAGTAACCTTCTTCAAGTCTCTTAGACAAGAGACCAAAGATTACTTCCTCCGGTACGAGCTTTCCTTCATTTACAGCATTTGCAATCTAAACTTGGGAGAATAAAAAAGAAAATCAACAAAGCATCTCAACATTATTTTATAACTAACTTGATTGAATTTAAACTAATAACTAAGCATAGCCATCCATTGGTGTGCACAGACAAATCCCCATTCAAAGTTCAAACTTCACAAATTAACCAACATAAAATTCATAAACTTAGTAAACAAAAATCACCATTTAAAAAAATAAGAAAAAAAATGTAAATAAAGAGACACCTGTTTGTAGACAGAAGAGCTAGGATTAAGCTCCTGGCGAAGGAGAGTACCCATGGAAATGTGAGGAACCTGTAGAAGCTTCGATAGCTTTTCAGCATACACGTGCTTTTTAGCTCCTGGGTCTCCTATCAACACCCACTGCACTCCTCTCCCGCAATCCGAGGCAGCCGCCGAGTCTAGCCTTTGTTCCGGCAGCTGCGAATAGTACTCATCCTCGGTTTCGTAGTCGTATTGAATTGCTGCTGCCGATCCGTAGGCACGGAAACTAGCTAACATTCCAACCCGGCGAAGTGCTGGAGGCACGGTAGCTAATCCCAGACGGCTCAGCCCGGCCATGGTGGCGGCGACAAAGAGAAGAGAATCGCGTAGCGATCGAGAGAGGGTTTCTATGCAAAGAAAGGAGAGGTTTTAAGAGAGGGAGACAAATATGGCGTTTATAATTACGGTAATGCCACCAAAATTTTAATGGAATGCCAAGTGTCAAGTTTTGGGTGATTTGAGAAAAAGTTAAAATCCCGTGGATTCGGACACGTGACTGACTTAAAGTTTGATTGGTTGTCACATCATTTAAAACATAGACCTTGTTTCATGTGATTACGCTCTTTGACTAACGGAAAGAGGGAAGCCAGTTGTTTTTAACGTTGGACTCGAGGCGTCCACAAGACATGGGCGGTTGATCGGCCGTAGATCGTGACACGTGGATTTCAGGGCTATATATAGTCAAAAAGCATTTGCCCTTTTTTTTTAACTAAAATAACCATCAACCCCACACGTTTTGCATAAAATCTGAGTAATATTGTGCCACGTAGCTAATATAAGAACAAAAGCGAAGCTGGAAAGTGAGAACTGAACTGAACTGCAGCCAACAGAACACTATATTTCTATCTCATGGATGGATGCCCAATGAACAGAAGCCACGTATACATTTTGGGATTATGAACAAACCTTGCTTTTTCTCAATTGTACCAGCTAAGCCTCAAGAATCAGTATTCCTCCATTACAAGGCCACCTTAGCATCGAGATGCAGTTAAATGCTCAAATCTCAATCTTGAGCTTTCAGTTACTACAAATTTTGTTTGGGGAGAGAGAGAGAGAGAGAGAGAAAAGAGAGAGAGAGAGAGAGAGAGAGAGAGAGAGAGTTACAAGGCCAACCTTAGCATCGAGATGCCAGTTAAGATTGCTCCAAATCTCAATCCTTGAGCTTCAGTTACTTACAAATTTTGTTTTGGGGAGAGAGAGAGAGAAGAGAGAGAGAAAGAGAGAGAGAGAGAGCGAGAGATCGACGAGAGAGAGAGAGCTGGACATTTTCAATCAAAGAAGTTTTTGTTTTACGTAATCATTCTGAGATACCCATGCGCTAAAACCATAACAGCAGAGAGAGGAAGTATACTTCTGAAAATATTTTCCCCGATGATATGCAATTTCTCTTAATGAAGAGAGAGAGAGAGAGAAAGAGAGAGAGAGAGAGAGAGAGAGAGAGAGAGAGCTGACATTTTCAATTTCAAAGAAGTTTTTGTTTTAGGTAATCATTCTGAACCCATGGCTAAAACCTACAGCAGAGAGAATATACTCTGAAAATATTTCCCCCATGATATGCAATTTCTCTTGAATATTAAATATTGCTGTTCATTGCTTACAGCAGAATTATAGAGACATGAGATACAGGGATGAAATAACTGACAGGACCATATTCAAAGCCCACTGCAATCAAAGATTTCTGCAGTGGACTTGAAAATCAGATATTTGAATGATGAGATAAAAATTTCACCACAGCTAAATTTGGCATAAAATGAAAATGAATCAATTTTTGTATAAAAAGTTTGTTCAGAAAACATCAAATAGAACGGATCTGACCATCAGAAAACATATGCAAACATAAGTTTTGCCATAACTTTATCAGCAATAAACACTCCCTTTCGTAGAAGGGTTGGAAGAAAACAAACTTCCAATGTGAAGTCACTATGATCACAGTAAGTACAAAATGAGAACAATGAGAGACATTCACTAACCCAAAATTTTAAAACTGCACTCTCTCAAAACTACAGCACTGGCTAATCCATTTCATGCTCAAAGCTCCCTTCATCAAATCAACTATCAAATTCGGTAACTAAATCCTCAAATGTGGACTCAACGTGGTATGAACTGATCAATTCAGGATAATCGTCCTTGAACCTAGTGAGAAAGCTCTTCTCAAACTGCTCTTTAGACATATTTAATGCTGAGACAACATTTACATTCTTCTTAATTAACTCCTTTGACATTAGCACTTCCAGAACAGAGCATCTTGGCCTCGCACATCTCTTCAAACTAACCATAAGAAGCTTTGGGTACTTAACCATGTCTGAGGGCTCCAAATAAGCTTTGGTCAGATAAAACTCCATTAGTTCCTTCATCTTCTTCTCGGATGCTTGCATGAATAATGGTTGCAATCTAAATGCCAATAGAAATTCTTGTTCTGACCAGCCAGAGCTCATCAAAAGCTTCTTTTTGCTTTCCCATCGTGTTTTTTTCATACATGACATTGAACTGAAAGCATATATAAAGGAGTTGCTAAATGGTTGAAACCCCATATCCTTAACTTCTTCAACCAATTCTTCAAACAAGTCAACTTTAAGAAATAAAGATTCAAGCTGCTGCATCATTAACCTCCTAATACATGGTTTTGGCACAGCATTAGCACTTAAAATGCTAATATTAGACACCATGACCTTAGTATCAACATTAAGGATGCAAGGACCTCTCTTCAAGGCAAGTATAACATTCTCATCAGTATCAAGAATCCCTCTTAAGGAAATCGATAACGGGCAAAATCCGATTCTTTAAACTAGCCTTTAGGATACTTGGTCGTTTGGTTAGAATCTTACGCAGGTCAGGACCAGCAATACCCAATGACTCAAAAAATTCAATCTTTGTTTTTAGGGTTTTCTCTGGGTCAGCTAAAAGAAGATCTGGGCATTGTGAAATTAATCTAGCAATTTTCAGAGTTAGAAAACCCTTTGTCCCTCAAAAGTTGAAGAATCAAAGCTGGTTTCTTTGTGCTATCAATATTAACATACTTAGTGACCGAAGTAGCTCTTTGCGGAGACAACCCACATGAGTTGATGAGGAAAGGGATTGTCGAAGGTTGATTCTCTTTTAATTTGGAGGTTGAATTTAGAGGTGATAGCGTTTGAATATAACGAAAGGAACAAGCTTTTGAGATTTTGGACCTATGATTTGTCAGTAATTTGGATAAGAAATGAAACATTTCTCTGAAATACGAAGAGGAAGGGTTTTAGGAAAATCAACTTACCGCATATGAGGAGCCGATAATAGTGGTCAAGTCTGTAAGCGCAAACCCACTGGAAAAGCAGTATGAATTTACCGGATATGAGAAGCCGATAACGGTGAACAACCGAAGGGGAAAAATTCAACCATTGGAAGCTGCAGGTTTGTACAGAAAAATAGAACCGAACTGTAGATGGTCTTGAATTAATCAAATCAAATCGGTTTGATTTTATTTGTTTTTCGGTTTTGACTTAATAAATTAGTTTTTTTTAGATTTTTTATTTTATACATTTAAATAAATCAAAATGAAAAAAAAATCAATTTCTACTATTAAAGTTAAAATTAAACAGATTTTTTAAAAATTAAATTAGTCAGTTTGATTCACTTTAGTGGATTTACCATTTCCTACTCAACCCTAATGGTAGTTTAGCATAAGGGTTGATCCATATTAATTCAATTTAATAAAATTACTTGCAAAAATAAAAAATATTTAAGTCTTTTCACTGGAAAAAAAGATAAAACAATATGTTTTGCATTTTTTAGATGGCATTTAGAGATTAGATGGGTGTATGCGGCTGTAATTACTGTCTTCAAAACCATTAATTTTAGTTTTAAAACTGTCGATTTCGATTTTAAAATCACTGATTTCATTTTAAAAAAATGGAATCAAAACGAACTGTTTTTACGCGATTTTCCTTTTTCACTTAGTTTTGTGCTTCAGAAGAAAAATAAAAAAAATCCAAATGAAGGTCCTCAATGGTAAGTCATGAAGAAAAGAACCACATATATGAATTATGAATTTATCCATTCTCTTTCATCTTAAACAAGCAAAGGATAAATTCCTGTGGAAATTTTGTTTCCAAAGCAAGAACAAATAAAAGAAATATAATTATTTAAATGAAAAATAATATTCCTGCTCCCAACCCACAAATATTTTTTTACTCTTCTTTATCAGATTGCACTAATATATATACATGTACATGTTACCCAACTTCCATATCCATCACTGAGCTGCCAAATTACTTAATTACCAACAGCCAAAGGCCAAACCTTTTTTTTTTTTTTTTTTTTTTGTCTCTCCTCAGATTTTCTCTCTCAAACTTTCTTCTGCTGCATAATTTTCAGTCAACACTTAATATTATTCCAATTACATTGGAGATAATGTAATGAAGGAGATATTAACTTTTCTTTTTTCAAAATGTTGAGCATATTAAAGTTCATTTTTGAGCCATTATTTACAAATTTGAACTCTTAATTACTTATTTTTCTTCCCTTTATTGATATATATTTTTTCTTATTTTTTTCTCACAGGGGTATAATGATGGGAGACGATGGAGGACATCATCATCATCATGATGACATAGAGTCCTCTTCATCAGGAGGAAATCACCTATCACTCAATATTGAATCATTAGCCTCTTCCTTTCAACAAATGATATCCCAAAATTTAACAATGTCTGAAAAATGTTGCATTTTTAAAATCCCTTATATACTCAAAAGACACAACGAAAAGGCCTATCTCCCCAATGCATTCTCAATAGGGCCATGGCACCATAACAAACCAACCCTAAAACCAACGGAAAAACTAAAACTAAAATACCTCCATGGCCTCCTCTCCAAAGCTTCATGTGGTGAAACAATGTTAAAAGAATTCCTCAGAGCCATTTGGGAAGTCGAAGAAGAGGTACGTGCATGCTATGCAGGTCCTGTTGATGCAAATCCAGTTGACCTAGTCAAAATTTTGGTGCTTGATGGTTGCTTTATAATAGAATTATTCAGAAAAGATGATAATGAGAAACTTAGAGACGAAGATGACCCAATTTTCACTATGTCTTGTATGCTTCAGTTTCTTTACCATGACCTAATTTTGCTGGAAAACCAAGTACCTTGGCTGGTTCTTGAAAAATTGTATCATTTGACTGAAGAACCTGGAAGCAAACCTCTTTCGCAACTAGCCCTAAAATTCTTTAACAACATTTTCTCATTTACACCTCCGCCTATAGTTCAGCCATTTCAAGAACAAAAACATATTCTTGACTTGCTCAGAAATTGGTTAGTTTTATCATCGGGAAAACTAGAAGATGTCAATCTTGGATGGCAACCGATTCCTTCAGCAACAAATCTTGTAGATGCTGGAATTAAATTCAAGAAAGGAGAAGCAAAAAGCATATTGGATATTAAATTTACAAATGGGGTGATAGAAATTCCATCATTACTAATCCAAGAAACAACAGAAGTTATTATTAGAAACCTTATTAGTTATGAGCAGTGTTGCCCTAAGTGCCCTTCTAGAATTACTTCATATGCTATTCTTTTAGATAACCTAATAAATACAGCTAAGGATATGGATATACTTACAGATAATGGCATTATCGATAATTGGTTGAATCCGGAAGATGCAACTCAGTTCTTTAACAGGCTTTATCACGATTCATATGTGAAGAAATACTATTATTTGGATCTTTGTGAGAAAGTGAATGCGTATTGCCATCGTAGATGGCCAAGATGGCGTGCTATGTTTATGCGTAACTATTTTGGTACTCCATGGGCTATTGCTTCTCAAATTGTGGCTGCTACTTTCTTGATTCTTACTATTTTGCAGACATTATTTACTATCATTAAGTAGTGGTTTTTTTTTAATTTTTTATTTTTTTTGAATCCCTTCTGTTTGAGCTTGTTATTGTATATAAATTGTGCTGAAAGATGAAGAAGTGTGAAGTTAATGTAATTGAGATTTGAGAGAAAGATTGTGATAGTCATCTTGGTCTTTTTTTTAATTGATTATGTTTTGATTAGGGTTACAACTCGTACTTGAAATTTTGTTCAAACTCATTTTTATTATCATGAAAAATCATCTTAAAAGAAAATAGTGGGGTCATTTTGCATATATTGCATCTTCTCCAAAGTAATCTACATGTTTGCATTTGTGTAGACCATAGGTAAAGACGGGACGTATTTTTTAGGAGGATTTATTTAAACCCGGTCTATAGACACATGTAGACTAAATGAATGGAAAATACTTTTTTTTTTTTTTTTTTCGTAAAATGTGGATACTTCTTATCATTCGCTAGGGGAAAAAAGGATGGAGCGAGAACAATTTTACAAAATTTTCTACTGTGATTGATTTGATCCATGACCGGATCCATAAATTCTATGTAGGTAAGTTCTATCTTCGTCTATATTTCAACGATAAATACAACATATTTCAAAATAAATAGAGAAAGAGAATCATTTAACAAATATTACCTTAACATCTACAAAACTTCATATAGAATGAGGCTAAATACAAAAGAAGGGTAGTTATTTTAAGCTCTAAATTTCATAAAATGAGTTTATGAGCCAACTTTGGAAAATAAATTTTCAACGCCTTATCCCGAGGATAAGAGTATCTCCAATGCTAATGTAGACTGTAATTGATGTATCATATGAAATAGGAGGTGTGGATGATGATATAATTGAATATCTTATTTATAGACAATGAATTTTAAACAACTCTCTCCAATGTATTAGTTTTGAATCTTTTTCCATTCTTCTTTTTCTTTCTTTTCTGGTCCTACAATTTAATATGCAACTTATCACTAAAGTGCAATAAATATTAATATTTTCTAAGAGACCCTCTAGAAATAGTAGGTGTAGTAGACAATATCTATTAATTTTTTTTACATATCCACTTAACATCTTAAATAGAAATTAGCATTAAAAAATAATTTTTAAAAAGTCCTTCTATTTTTTCTGATGTGACAGTTGAATAAGAGTAATTTACGATTGCACTAGAGATGGTCTGATTCACTTCCGGAAAAATGGTTGAGAAGAGTCCGCTCGCTAGCTTTCTCGTACGCTAATTTGTAATAGTCGCTGGTTAACAGTAATTAAACAAATATGGAATGGGCCCAATGATCCCTTTGGCCCATGAGGGCATTGGACTATGTTACCACTTGCCATTACAAATGCCATATTAATCTTTTGGGCCCTGGAAGGTGGTTTAACTTTCACATCAAATTTATTTTCCAAAAAAAAACAAAAACATCAAATATTTGGTCTTTCCATGTATTTTGGGACATCTTAAGGTTTGGCTATTATATGAAAAGAAGTTAATCTGCTGTTAGATTTAAAATTATATTGAAATAAGTTAAATACATTAATAATAAGTTATGGTGTTGGTTATGAGTTCATGTTACTTTACTCCATAAGGAATAAAGATACCTAAAACAACACAAAGAAGATAAGAATGTAGAAAGTAGAAACTCAAGTATCAAGCAACCTATATATATAAAATATGTACTTTTCTTCGTTTTCGTATAAGGTATAAAACGACTTGTCAAATTATTAATTATTACACTAGCAATTATAAAGTTATGGTAGCACTATTATATAAAACCCAGAAGAATTTTAGATGTGCACCCTTCAAAACTTCTTTCCATGCGGTGATCTTTCACTTTCTTATCATTTCACATAGCCATTCAAAGTGTTGATTTAGCTGGGAATTGCAACATGTACCATACCTGCTAACTCGTAAGTGACTTTTACTAGCTTCGAGTAATTCATTATTGCATGTATATATTAAGATTGACTTACTTGGTTTCGATTCATGGGTCCACTTATAACCAAATCAATGAAAATATTATTTTTGTTGAATCAATGGTGTTGCTGATTATTTATAAAAAACAATTTTTAAAAAATTTTTGTTTTGACTGGTTTGATTCATGAATGGACCATAGAAGTGTTTATGACGCAATATTTTGCCAGTAGCAAGCATTCTTCAATTTTAATTTCCATGCATTCATTTTTCAAATTTTAATTAACTAGTCTCTTTTTTTCTCCCTTTTTTACAAATAGAGCTGTTGATATAAAGAGGAATTAAACAAAGGCATCATCATGACAGAAGGTGGAGTGGTGATCGACATAGAAGAATTGGCATCTTCTATAGAAAATAACATTTCAGATGATTTATACATGCCTAAAGAATGTTGCATTTTCAAAACACCTAAAATTCTCTCTAGACATAACCAAAAAGCTTACATTCCTAATGCATTTTCCATCGGACCGTTCCACCATCGCGACCAAAACCTCAAACAAACCGAGAAAATCAAATTTAAGTACTTAAAAAACCTTCTTTCTCGGGCACAATCTCCAGAAACAAGATTGAGAGATTTCATCAAAGAGATAAGCGAAATCGAGAAGGAGGCTCGAGGGTATTACGCAGGACTAAGAGACTACGATGACTCGAAAGAATTTGTGAAAATGCTGGTGATTGATGGTTGCTTTCTAATTCAGCTATTCCGCAGAGATGCAGAAAGGCAGCTCATAGAACAACCACCTCAAAAAGAAGATGACCATGACCCAGTATTCAGTATGTCTTGTATACCTCAATTTTTATATCACGATCTAATCTTGCTAGAAAATCAAATACCTTGGATAGTTCTTGAGAAATTATTTAACATGACTAAAGAAGACTGTAACGATAGCAAGTCTTTAGTTAGACTTGCTATAGAATTTTTCAGTAATATGTTTTCATCTGCACCAACTAACATAGATGAAGGTTTAATAACTAGGAATAAAACTAGGCACATTCTTGATTTATTAAGAAATTGGTTAATTTCACCACTTTGTCAAGAACGAAAGATTCAAGATTCTGCATGGCAAACATTTCCATCCGCAACAGAAATCAAAGAAGCTGGAATCAAATTCAAGAAACTAGAAAAAGCTAAAAGCATTTTGGATATTAGGTTTCAAAATGGAGTTCTTGAAATTCCAAACTTGCTTATTCAAGAAACAACAGAAACTATTTTCCGAAACTTGATAAGTTTGGAACAATGTTGTCCAGATTACCAGCCAATTATTACTTGTTATGCAATTGTTTTAGATAACCTTATAAACACTACAGAGGATGTTCGAATACTATCTAAAAAAGAAATTATCGATTGCTGGTTGAATCCTGGAGACGCGACGCAGTTCTTCAGTAAGCTTTATCTTGATGCTTTTGTGAAGAAATTTTACTATTTGGATCTCTGTCAAGATGTGAATGAATATAGGAAAAAAAGATGTCCTAAGTGGCGTGCTGCTTATGTGCACAATTATTTTGGGACGCCATGGGCAATTGCTTCTCAAGTTGTGGCTGCAGTTGTTCTGATTCTTACTTTCTTGCAGACTTTGTTTTCTATTATTAAGTAGGTTTAGTAGTTCAAGCAATTTGGTTGTTGTTATCGTTAGTGTTTTTCCCATTTGGTGTTCTTGTTATATACACTATTTCTGTTTGTCTATGGAATTGGAATGAAATAATAGAGTCTGCTTTTGTTTTTAGTGCTTGGAATTAATTTGTTGATTTTCAGCTACTAAATTATTCTAATGATTACATTAATTTTTTGGAAGTGTTTGATTGAGAACATCATTCTAGAACTCATTAAATTAATGAAATTAATTACTTTTTAATTAGTTTGAAGTTTCGAATGGATAATATTATTTAGTTGTTAAGCATGATGTTTTGATCCCTGCGTTTACACTCATCCATTAAGCTTAATTGAAAATAGGACAATTTCAAATTTAAACATCTAACTATTAAGTTTTTTTTAAGCGCCTTCTGTAACGTTTTATAGTGTTCAGTAATATAGGTTTGAATTAGTTTTTTGAAGTTAATGTAACGTTTTATAAAAAGTTAACTCATACAACGTTTAGCCTTTAGCTTCACCTAACAAATAAACGCTACTAAAAATGAGCTAATTTTGCCAAACGGAGCCGTTTTCCTTTTGGGTTTAGATAGGTGTCTCCACGTTCATATTAAAGCAAGCAACGAGGATAACATATAGCTGCTGATCTTTTTTGTACAGCAAGGTAGTTACGCATATAATATATATATATTCCTCTTTCCATTATGATTCACATTAATTTTTATTCTAATTGATAATTAATTAATTAAATTGCAATTTCAGTCAAAAAAATCAAAATTCTATACAATTATAAATAACATGCATGTATATTATAGTAATTAACTAATTTTTTGGTGTGCAGCACATGGTCTCAAGACACGCAATAGACTATTGATTTCTATTTTCTGGCACATAAACGTGAGTGCATTAATCTTCAACACGTTGCTAGAAAAAACTACTGAAATTACCTGGCAAATACACTAATGAATTGGGATTAGGATTTGTTTGAGTTACAAAAATTAGTATTGAAATCCATAATAATAATTATAATTTTCATTTTCATTTGAATTCATTTTTATTTTAGAAAAATTTTTTAAACAATCTGTCTTCACATAAGCCTTTAAAAAGATTAAAAAGAAATGAATTTTGATGTCATATTAAAAACTCAAACCTAGTTATTAATGTTAGAGAAGATCATAGAAGGTTCTAAATTTCATCACTTTGATGTAAGATATAAATTGACTGATTATTTAAAAGAATGTTTTGTAGAATAATATTTGTTTTTGGTATTTAAATTATATTATAATATTGGTCAATTAATGTAATTTCTTGTAAATTATTAGTTGACTATACTTTGAATCGAAATAAAAATGTAAGAACATAATAATATATGTAATAACAATAACTACTAAGTTATAATCTTAAAATCAATTGGGATCGAACTCAGTTTTCTCCGTTCACAACGTTAGGATTTGAACCTATATGTTGCTTAAAGGATCATTCCACTGAATCGGTTGTTAGTTGATTATAAAAATATTTTTTTTTCACCCCCTAAATAGAATATCAATAATCAATAATTAAATTAAAAGAAGAAAATGGAAACTTGATTAATTATATTGGTGGATAAGGAAGTTTGGGCGGCCATGAAATTCCAAAAAATGGTCATTCTTCTTTGATTCCTTTTATAATTAATTTGCTTCTTTCACATCAAACCATAAAAAGAAACTAAATTCAATTTCTCCAACCCCTTCCATAACGGAATAAAAGTCTTAAGTCTTCTTCCTTCCTTTTTATTTACGAAATCACGTCTCTTCTTCTCCGTTGGTCAAGTCACGACACACGCGTTTTCTCCAACTTCTATATATATCTAGGATACTGTAAAATTAACTCAGCATTTCCTCTTCATACATAGACATACATACATATATATATAAATACTAAGTTTTTCTTTTCTGGGTTTTTCCATTTCTTTAGGTTAATTAATGATGACGAAGTATCAAGAATATGAGCTTGTGTTTAGCCACTTTGATGAAAATGGAGACGGAAAAATATCGGCTTCTGAGTTGCAGAATTGTGTCGGTGCAATAGGTAGACAGCTGTCGCTGGCGGAGGCGGTGGCAGCGATTGAACATTCGGATTTGGACGGAGATGGGTTATTGGATCTTGAAGAGTTTGTTAGGTTCATTGATGGAGGTGAAGAAGAAGAGAAAGTTAATGACTTGAAAGAAGCATTTAAAATGTATGAAATGGAAGAAAGTGGATGCATTACACCAAAGAGTTTGAAGAGAATGTTAAGTAGATTAGGTCAGTCAAGTAGTATTGAAGAATGTAAAACTATGATTGCCAAGTTTGATCTTAATGGCGATGGAGTTCTTAATTTTGATGAGTTTAAGGTTATGATGTTATGAACTTGTTCATGCAGTAGAGTCTTTAGTCATATAGCTATTGTATATGTATATGTTTAATTGTTTATTGATTGATCATTAATTAATAATTTGTTTATTTATCTTAATTAGTTTGTAATGAAATCAATTTTGTGTTTGTGGCATAATATGTATTAATTTTTTTTTATAAGATGTTTCATATATATTCAAGCCTTAAACTCGAGACCTGGTTAAGAAAAATATCATTATCATTGTACCACGTCTCTTGGTAATATATAATATATCATTGTACCACGTCTCTTGGTTAATATATAATATATATATATATATATATATATATATTTTCTATGTATGCATGTGATTTTTGGTTTTCTTGATGTTTTTAAAGGTTCTAAACAGAAAATAACTAACTTATAACCGTTATGATTTAGTTTTAAACCCGAAAAAAATGAGGTTAAAATTATTATAAGACATTTGGTCCAATTGCCGCATGGAAAATTATTGATATTTTCAACCTAATGAAGAATATCTTGGAGTTGTTTAAACTTACATATATTTCACATTTTTTTCCCTAATGGTGGAAATTATCAAATATATTTTCTATGTATGCATGTGATTTTTGGTTTTCTTATGTTTTAAAGGTTCTAACAGAAAATAACTAACTTATACCGTTATGATTTAGTTTTAAAACCGAAAAAATGAGTTAAAAATTATTATAAGACATTTGGTCAATTGCCATGGAAATTATTGATATTTTCAACTAATGAGAATATCCTTGGAGTTGTTTAAACTTACATATATTTCACATTTTCTATGGTGGAAATTATCAAAGAGGATGGATGGTTGTAGCCAATTTCAAATGAATGACCTGCAACACTGCTTTTTGATTATGTTTTTTTTTTAATCATTCAGTATTCAAAATTTATTGATCTGACTAATCCGAATTTGCACCGGATAAGTTTATAAAGAGGAGCCAAACCTTTTCTTCTAAGTATTTAAAGAGACTTTAAAAAATCTTGCCATCCAATCTTTCTCCTCGAATTTTTTGTTCTGTTTTTTAATAGATAAAAGTTCTTGGCTTTCTAAAGTACGAGACAAACACTCCTGAATACTGAATTTCTGATCTAATAAGTAATTAATCGTTGTCTCTCAAATTTTGATTTTCATCATGTTTAATGTCAACAAAACATCAATGAAAATAGAATATAAACCAAAAGCGAGAAAAACATTATTAACAACTTGCAGTGAAATAACATTTTATGTTCCATCAAGAGTATCAAATCTCTATGAAGAGGACAACCTACCAAACAACACCATCTTAGCACCTTATTTTCCATTGGCTCTTCACTTTAGATATGGAGAATGACTCAACTCTAGTACCTAGTATTCTTGCAGAACAGAAGACCATGAAATCCTAACATTCAAAAAATAATCATTACAAACTAAAACTTGCTAAGCCTTGGATTTGCAAACTTGAGATTTATAAAAAACATTGTTTAACCTGAAATTTTTATGGAGATTGTGAATAGGCTAATCCAACGGTTGAAAACTATGCCATAAAAAGCATCCCAGCACCTGCATACTGATGCTTTTGATGTTTGATTCATAATCTTCGATAAGGAACTAGATAACAACATGAAAGAAAATGCCATAACATGAATAAAATAATTAAACCAAATTAATTATTCAGATGTATATAATTATTATATTATTTCATAAGCAGAGGTACATAATACAAAATAGAGACTTTCTTGCTCGCTGCTTCTGTTAATTCACTCTTTTTCTTGATTACATATATACAAACATTGATCTCAGACAAAAGCACCATTAAAAGTATTTATTCACAAACCGGTTGCTGCTGCTGCCTTAACTAAAGGTTTTGAAGAGCTTTCAGAGATTAACATCTGCCCTCCTTCTGGTAATTCTTCTACCAACCTTGATAACTTCTCGACGATTTCTCCGGCGCTTGGTCTCAAAGAAGGCTCTTCATCGACACAAGATCTTGCAAGATTAGCTAATGTAACAGCAGCATCAAATGGATAGTTTTCACCTAAGGCATTATCCATCCATTCTCTAAGCTCATCTGCATTTTCTGATAACAGTATGGATTTAATTTTATCAGATAGACAAACACTTCCTTCCCCTTTGTTGTCCGGTCCTGTTATTGGTGTTTTTCCCGATAAAACCTCTAGCAGAACCACTCCGAAAGCAAAAATGTCGATGCATGGAGAAATTGTGCCTTGATGAATAAACTCAGGCGCCAAGCATCCAAGACTGCATGAGGCAGGATTAGATAAATGAAATTCTGGGTCTTCAATATTATCTTCAACACATCTTGCCATACCGAAATTCCCAATTTTTGCATTGAATTCTTCATCTAGAAAAATATTTCGACTCTTCACATTTCTATGAACATAGCTTGGATTCATAATATGATGCATATACTGTAAGGCCACTGCAACGTCAAGGCATATCTTTAGTCTTTGACTCCATGTCAAGAAACAATAGCAGGAAGCAATAAATTGGTTCTTCATTGCCAATCCGCCATGAAGCCAATCCTTCAAAGATCCATTTTTAGCATATTCAAACACTAAAAATGAATCTGGACCATCATTTAAGCTTGTTCCCAAAAGCCTGATTATGTTTGGATGATGGTGTGTTGCATCATGGAAAAGCCTGAACTCAACCTTTGATATAGTTTCCTTTCTCGTGCGCTTTATCGCCAAGTTCTTCCCATTTAGACGACCATGATATACAGAACCATCTATAAGATTACCCGAACTGAAGTCTTCAGTTGCTTTTCTCAACTCTTCAACTGTATAAGTCTCCACAAACACCTTACGGGGCGTGGTCTCGACAATCTGACCATCAGATCCTTCAAATGAAACTTTCTTCTCGCTTGTAGTTCTCACACTTAGACTAAGCTGTTGTAGCTCTGGATCTCCTTGTTTGCTTGAATTCTGCTTCTTCTTTTTCAGTTGGATGACCAAAAAAGCAGCTGCAATTGCAATGCTTGCTCCAACTACAACACCAGTAATAGCAATATAAAGTCCTATCATCCACATCTTAGATTTTTTCTTATGTTGATTAATTACTGGTATGCTGCTTTCAGGAAGACGCGAATTAGGTTCGCTGGGTTTTGCAAGAGGACCAAGAGCAGGCGGAGTATTTAGTGGTATCAAAAGAGATGTAAGAGGTACAAGGTTTTCAGGTTTAAAGTTCGCTAACGATCTGTTATTTGCAGATATAATAGCTTCCGGAGTAGTATTGAACTTAACGGCTACATTCAAGATTGTATCACCTTCACTTACTGGATAAGACAGTAAGATTCCTGGGGCAAGTCTGGTAACTTCAGATGAGGATGGACAAGCGCATCTTAATGGTACTAATAACCTAGCCTTATCTTGAAGATTCCACAGCGAGACACCAAGATTCTTTTCTTGAATTGCTTTGCAAGTAGTCAAGCCTTCAAGTGACTCAGCAATGCTAAAAAAACTTTCCCCTTTGATGGTAATTTTGGTAATTTCAGCTTGAAAGAAACTACCATTGCATTTACATTGTATTGGAATCAACAAAGGCTGATCTTTCGGAAGAAATTCTGTATCAGCAGAGAAACCATTTGTTTGAGCGACTTCAAAACGATTGAAACCCAAATAAAAACTCAAATTAGAGAGAGATGAGAAAAACGAATTAGTAGTAAGAATCACAAATGTCTTGCAACTGTTCTGCAATGATCCATTAACATTACAACGGTAACCAGAAGCATCAGCAGAAGTATTTTCGCAGCTCAATAAGTCCTGCCCAACTGCAGAGACAAGCAAACAGAGGAATAAGGCCAAAGCACTTAAGTAGAATGCCATGCCTGGCTATAAACTCTCCCTTCTACATACAACGCCTATTAAAATATGAGTTCTTTCATCCTAAGAGGGTGAATATATCTTGGATCTATAAAAAAATGGTGTCAAAAGAAAGCTTTTTCCTCTTTTTTTTTTCAAAAGCTGTCCATGGACAGGACTCTTGGGGATGGTGAAGGTATATTTTTAACTCTAATCCCAGCTGTTTTGGTTAACCATCTAACCTTGGACTTGATTCCATTAGCTAAGGGTTGGCTGTATATCCCAAAGTTTGGCTCACTAATCATACCAACACTCTTTAACTACTATATAGAATAGAAATTCTTGGGCTTCAAACCAGCTTTTATATGCAACAATGTACACATAAATCCACTCATCCACGTGCCACGACAAAAAATTTATTTTAATACCTTTACATACAAAAATATGAAATATTATAATTCAAAATATGACATTCTGATAATCTTGTAAAAGAGTTTCTCAATACCAATTAAGGTTTAGTCAATTGGTATATAATGCAGGTAATTAATTACATGTGAAGGTTAAAGGTTCAATGCCTAAACCCTTCTCCTAATAAACCAAAAAGAAAAAAAAAAAAAGAATTACTTAAGGTACAAAAATGTGTTACAAAATTGCAATTCCAAAAAAATAATAGTAATAAGTTTCAGTTGTTGACTTGAGGTCATACTACACTTTTTATGTCACTAAATCAATGGACACATGCATGGCAGACATTTCTCCCTTCATGAAATATGCTTGAATTAGTGGAAATTTCCAATTCAGAAAACATCATTAAAGATAAACTCAAGAAAGCATATCAAGAGAAGGCTATGCTCTTCCTTCATGTAAATTATGATATTAATGACCAAACATTGCCTTCATCATCCACAGAATTTTTCCAGACAGACCATGTGAATTTTATCTTTCCAAGTCTGTCTCATATGCAGAGGTGGGAAGCACTACACTTGTTCATGAACCTCGAAGCAGGTAGACATATAATATAGTCATGCATAGATCAAGAGATTTATATAAATAAAATCATCATCGGATAAAGTACGTATACAAAATCATGTACAATTTTCCAAAGTAACAATGGATAGAAAAGATGTGAGGTTTTGAAAAGTATGAACATAAGAAAAGAAGATAATATGAATGCACAATGAAAAGATGGTATGCATGGTAAAGCTTAGGCACAAAAGTGAAGATGTAGATTGGTAAGTCAATGTAGACATGAATATATCCAAAGTTGACAACGACTACTATAATTTCCTTCAAAAGTACCGGTTCTGGTGATTTCTTTTGAAAGGGGTATTCACTCCAATCATATCTTAAAAGAAAGGTTAGAAGGTAAACACTTAGCATATAGCTAGCTCATTTTAACCATCATCCATTGATCACGTACCTATCTCGTAATACAGGACAACGGAATCAAAATTCTGATGCCTTTCCCTACTGAAAAAAATTCTTAAGGATGCCCTCTAAATTCACAATTAGAAATCTGCAAAAAGTTGCAAATAAAAGAGGGTGGGGTGGCAGAGATGTTAGTTGATGATAAAAGAAACCTTTAGCCTTTAGAAGCTCAGCTCTCCCCTGCTATAATTACATCTTTCACTTTTAGCCCAAGTACCAAAAAGAATTCCTCCTTATTTCTATTTCTTCGTTTGTAGTTGTACGAATAAGCAAATAAACCTCTTTGTTTGGAAAAGCACGTGATGACACTTGCTGCCCACTAGTTTTGTCACTAGTATATGTAATTATATAAATATGGAGGATGCTTTAGCTGGGAGACTGAGATATGATTATAAAGACGATGGGATTTATGGAGTACGAGTACACACAATACAACAATGTCTCTCACATGGACCAACAAAAAGTGAAATGCTTTATCATGTGGGAGTGAACAATCAAGACAATCAATGTGATTCAGAAAATCAAAATATTATCTCAAAGGAATAAATATTATTCAAGAAAAGAAGAAAGAGCATAAAGATTTACAGGTAGAGACTGATTAATTGCAAAAGGGATTTCTAACAAAAAAGAAAAGAAACGATGCAGGGGTTTATGTTCTTATGCAAATGGAGTACCGGACAAATCAAACTTTGCCAGTAATTGAATGTATGTCTTGGGATCGAATATAATGAACTTTAATGATTGTTTACTGAATATTTGCCTTTACCATATTCAGTTGCACTCAGTGTAGTTCTATCAAACATGCATCCAGCGTTAAACAGAAACAGAGTAAGAAGTAACATGTCAAAGGTAAACCTAAGTTTAGAAACCCCACATCATCGAGAAATTTGATATCTTATTTCAGAATTTATCTAATCCATAAGAGAGATAAAAAAAATTAAACAATTCCTCTTAATATTAGAAATTAAGACAATAATACAGTATAAAATATCCAAACATTTCTGATAATCCAACATTAAGCAGAACATTTCCATGCTGAGATAGGTTGCAGAATGGAAGACAATGTATAAGGTAGTAAACCAATCTAGGATATCAACAAAATGTAAGATTTGATTCTTCAATAATCATACTATTGAAATAAAATTCTCACCATCAGTCTCAAGAAAGGTATGATTAAGCAAAAAGATAGATTTTATTGGAGAATTGCGATCCACAACCACAAGTTTCACACGACATGTATCATTTTATTCAGACCTTAATAAAGGCCTTTTGCGGGTCATTGTGATACAAAGTTGCGTGGAAGTCAGAGAGTGATGTGGACATGAGTTGATAACGACCAAAATCATAGGAGTAAATTCCAATATAAAAAAAAAAAGAGTACAATCTTTATAGGCATATATCGCTGACAATCCAGCCATGGTGTATTTTGCCTGTGTGAATATCAATTTTATTTCTGACCTTCCTCAACACTCTTTCTCATAAGTGATATTACATGGGCTGGCTCAGGGGCTCCAAACACTGAACTTCCTGCCACAATGCAGTTTGCACCTGCTGAAGCAGCCATGTCAATTGTCGAAGGCCCTAAACCACCATCAACCTGCAGAAAGGTTGTACACATTTCAGTCAGTTGTCATGCAACTAAGCATCAAGTAAATGATCCTTTATCAATTTCTTTGAGAGAGACACACACAAACAAGAGAGACAAAGCAGAGGCCAACCTTATCTTTGAATTTTTCCTCCTAAGAGTAGGGATTTGTAACATATAAAATAAACAGAACCAGGAGGAAAGTTGGGAAATGAAAGTAGAAATTCATTAGCTTTATAGCATGATGTAATGAATTAAGAATAAATAGGTAACCTAACAGCTGTCTGAAAAAGTAGAAGAGTCGAAGAAACATGAGGATACCTATATATGAAAAGGTTAGTATTAGATATAAAACCAAAGTATTAGAGATAAAACCAAGCAACCATTACTCACAATTCGAGAGTATCATAAATTTTCTTAACAAGTAAAATGAAGTACTTGCAGTAGAGCAATGGATGAGAAATTTTCCAAAATACTCTTAAAAGTTCCCAAGAGTTATGTAGAGGTTATCAAGTTTGATTAAGTTTTGAAATTCCACAACCAAAAAAATTAACCATAGGTACTAAGCAAATAAAAAAAATACCTATCTAAAGGAAAGCCAGGGAGACAGAAAGTTAATTAATTCCATAAGATGCCTGTAAGATAAATAAAAGACTACAACATAGAGATAGTGCAATGGAATCACCTCTATATCAAGGGATGGATACTTGTTCCTCAATGTCTTTACCTGATAACAGGAAATAAAAAGAAGGTAAGGCAATCAAGAAAACATGGTAATCCAACATGAATTTGGAAATGAGAATGAGTAAGAGGGGCGTCATGACACCTTATCCATCATATCTGGCATGAACTTTTGTCCACCAAATCCAGGTTCCACGGTCATCACAAGTACCATTTCCACAGGATTTTCAGATTCAACCTGCGAGTTTAAAACAAAAATATTATGTATTCCAGGAATTCCCATTTTCCTTGCACAGAGTATCAAATCAACCCAAATTGCCAACATAAAAACAGGCAATATTCATTTATTAACAAGATTGAAAGAAGAAATTATACCAAGGGATAAACTTCTTCAATAGGAGTTCCAGGTTTTAATGCTACACCAGGCCTCATGCCGTTTGACTTGATTTTCTGGATCAGTTCTTGCCAATTTTCTGCAAAATGCACAGAAGACCTTTCCATGAGTAAAAAGAGGACTGGCAGATTGGGAGAAATAAGAGGGCAATTAAATTTTTAGGCTTTGAAGAAATATATGCAGAGGGGGTAATAACCAACCTTTGGATACCTCAACATGAAATGTAAATCCAGAAGCCCCTGCTTTACCGAAAGACTTAACATAGTCAAGAGGATTTGTAACCATAAGGTGGCAATCCAAATATGCCCTGCAATAGAGCATAGGTTCCTTAGGTCACAGTAGTTAACACTGAAAGAATACGGATGTCAAAAGTATCAAATTAGGTAAGATGACATTACTTTGTGTGTTTTCTCAAACTCTCAATTACTGGAGCACCAATAGTTAGATTTGGAACAAAGTGCCTATAAGAAAACGAAAATGAATATAAATTCCTCCATCAACAAAAACAATAACAGGATCAGTGGTACAAAGAGAATACATTTATGCATCTTAATAAGCCATAGAAAATCAATACTAAAAACATGACCAAGTTATATACCAGTTTTGAAAAATTTCAATTAAAAATCACATAAAACCATACACCACATGTAACACTGAAGTAGCACAATCAAAAGGAACAGTAAAGGAGACATTCTGCTCAATCTCATGTTATTTATGAAGTACCTACTACCTAGAGAATTATCTCACTTTCTTTCCACAAAATTCAGTATTTCTTGAACCAAAATATTAACTCAGGAAACGCTATCTTGCTTCTCCCATAATTGAAATAGGTTTAACTTCTACAATTTTGTAAAGACATTGACCTAAACAGAACAGAAGACTTAAACTTATCTTCCTATTTTTTTTCGCCCCTTTAGAGTTTACTAGATATTGAAGTTTCCTACTTTTCCTATGTAGAAAGAAAGGAAAAATCATGCTTATTTACAGCAGATGACTGGGTGGCAAATTACAAATCAGTTTTCTGTAATAGAAAAGGCTCTCAAGTTGCTCCATTCATCAACAAAATCATTCATAAAAAAACTGATGACGTTATATGGAATTTCATTCCAAAGGGTACCGGAAAAGAACCAGAATTTGAAGAATCCAATCGGTATCAACTCAATTTCAATACCAGAATAATTTGGCATATGCAAAAGAATCAAACATACCCATCCTGCACAAAAAGAAATCTTATATTACTTCTTACAAAATTCATTAAACAAACATAGTGTAATATTAATAATATTCAAACAATCAAAATCAAAGTAAATGAAGAGAGGAGAAAGAACTTACCATGATATCCATGTGTAGCCAATCAGCACCGCAATTGAGCATGCGTTCCGCCTCCGATGCCAAATTCGCGAAATCCGATGAGAGCATCGATGGTGCGATTTTTGCCGTCACCCCCATTTCCCGATCGTTGACCCGATTCCACTGGTTGCGGGTTCGGATTTTAGGTGAAGAACGTGGATTTCGTAGATTAGGGTTCGTTTGGAAGTCGCTGAAACGCAGTCGTTTAAGCGTTCAAATATTTGAATCTGTTTGTCCCTGCCTACCTCGGTCCATTCACTCACCAATCTTATTTGACTTCTGATATTATAAAAGGACAAGAGTAATCCTACCTGTAAAACGCCATCGTTTCCCTGTTAAACATTTGCTATTTTTAGACTGCACATTCCGTCCGTCCATTCGGTTCACATCAAATCAAATCGACTTAAACTGAATGAATAGAATTTTTTTTTTCAAAAAAATCAAACTAAAATTTCTTTATAACTGAATTAATATTTACACCATGTTTTTCATGTTTAATATACACTTTCTTCTTATTATTTTTAACTTTTTTTTAATATCCTATTATCTTGAAAACAATTACTTTTTTTTTTACTATGAATAGTAAAATTATAAATTTTAAGGCTGTTGTATAATATTAATTTCAAAGTTAAGTGCATTTTTTATTTAGTATTAAGAATATTTTCAAATTATATATTTAAAAATAACTTTTTAGGTGATGGCTATAAAATATCAAATCTTGATCAATAAATGTACTCAAATGGATATTTTTTTTAAAAATATATTTTCCATACAATTATGACTTCAAAATTCAGTATCCTTTGTTTAATAATTTTTTATATATAACATTTGAATGATAGGTGGTTGAATCACATATTCACTATTTATTTAAAAAATAATTAAAAAATATGGAAGTACAACTTTATATCTAATTGATATAATTATTAGAATTATTATATCATTTTCCTTTTTCTTATAATCAAATCAGAATCTATTGAATGAATAAAAAAATAAGGTTGGGACAAAAACATGCACAAGAAGGAGACAAGAGAAGCAAAGTGAGAAATGGCCTAACATGCAAGGGAAAGGGAAGGGACAACATAATTATTACGTGATTAGATGATTAATCTGTTTTTTGTTAGGTTAATTTGGAATTAATTAGGGAAATTTTGAGTATTATAATTAGTGGGTTCATATCTTCCACATAAGCTGTATTTGGATGATTGGGGTTGGAGTCCCCACCAAAAGCAAGGCCCATGTCTAATAATGCCACCTCCCCCCATTTATGTCTTTTTCAGGTGTGATTCTTTTCTTAAATAGTATTTTTCTTTATTAGATAGATCCATTTTTCCAATAATTATTTTTGAGTTGGTCCAATATGTTGTTTTGGAATACCAATTGTCATCATCTTCCTTTATGTTTTTGTTTTTCTTCTTTTTCTCTCATCACTACCCTCACCTCTTTCTTTTATTTTAATTTTCTTTTTTTTATTTCTTGTGTTTTGCAATAGCTTTTAGCGTTTTGAGTAAACACCGCATTTTATAGTATTCGGTATCATAACGTTTGAACTAGTTTTTAACCTCTGAGTAAACACCGCATTTTATAGTATTCGGTATCATAACGTTTGAACTATGGAATACCAATTGTCATCATCTTCCTTTATGTTTTTGTTTTTTTTTCTCTTTTTCTACTCATCACTAACCGCTCACCTCTTTCTTTTATTTTAATTTTCTTTTTTTTTATTTAATTGTGTTTTTGGCAATAGCTTTTAGCGTTTTGAATAGTATTCGGTATCATAACGTTTGAACTAGTTTTTAACCTCTGAGTAAACACCGCATTTTATAGTATTCGGTATCATAACGTTTGAACTAGTTTTTAACCTCTGAGTAAACACCGCATTTTATAGTATTCGGTATCATAACGTTTGAACTAGTTTTTAACCTCTGAGTAAACACCGCATTTTATAGTATTCGGTATCATAACGTTTGAACTAATTTTTAGAGGTTAAAGTATCGCTTTATAAAAAGTTAACCCATATAAAATTTAGCATTTGGCTTTTTATAAATAGCTACTCAAACAGCTAACAGCTACCAAAACAGTTGATTTTGGCGAATACACTCTTAATATGAAATAATTTCATTTTGATTTTTGAGGTTGATAAATACCTTTTCTTGTAAATATTTTTTTATATATAAAAATTTTGACTTATAAAAATTGTTTATTGAATTGATATATTTACATTTTTTATATATACAAATATATAAAATTCATATTTTTTAACCTTATAATATAAATTATCTCAATTCAATTTTACTTTTAAAAAATTAAAATTATTTTGATTTTACAAGTATATATCGTATCAAATGAATTGATTGTTTACTTATTTTTAATGAGTCGAAATGAAATATAATGCAATATAATTAAAAAATATTTTCCGTTTATATATTAAACTGAATATTTCACACTAAAAATCTTTAATTCCATTGCATTTTATAAATTTTAGTACGACTTACTAAACATAGATATATATGCCACTAATTCTATATTCTATCTCCTTTTTTTATAATATTTTTCCATCAATTAATTAATTTGTTGTTACAAAAGCATCAAGGAGTGAATATGGTATTTCTACAAAATTATAGAAGTTGTTAGAAATAGTTGTTTAGACAGCAATTGGTTTAGATGATTTGGAATCAGAACTCCACGTAAGCACTTAATAAGATTGTATTAAATAATTTATTTTTTAAAATCTATGGGGAAAATGTGTGATAATACAAATTATAAAATCCAATTTTGGTTATAATAATTAAAATACTTGGTTAGTATTCCTAATCCATTTTGCTTGTCTTGTTTATGATGTTTTTGATGAACTGGCATATTCTTTCTGTAGCACTTTTAACACTAATCATTCTCATTTAAAAAATAAAATGCATATTTTCCCATAAAATACATTGAAATCATATAATTTTAGAAAATTAATTTCTTAAAAGTGAACTTCCGGAAAAAAGAAGTAACTCTCAGAGAAATAAACTATCTTAAGCCAAATAAGACCACATAGACATCAATTAATCGTAAAATATTATATTCATTTCACCATTGAAATTTCAAATTTATATTTATTTCTACCTACAGGTTATGACTTAGTTGGCAACGCAGGCTAAATATGTGGAAAGAATTTTTAGGTTTGATTTTCATTGAGAACACCTGTACTGAGGAGCGAAAAACGCTAATTGTGACTAAACCCCGAACCAAATTTAGTCAGTCTCAGTACTGGGTCCGGATATCCAGTGGTTTATACGATTCAAATTGGGTTCTAATCTTATAATAACTCAACCTTATAATAAAATCTTCCAGGCAATCATAATTAGCAAGTATAAAACTTATATTAAGGGGAGAAAAAGGCATGGTGCCACGATTTTTCTAGATAAGATAGTTGAAATTATTATGACTTTGGAGAAGGTATGATCGCAGCCATTAGAGAGTTTATTGGTCTTCAATTTGATGTTTATTGTACACATCTTCTTCCCACTTGCCAAAATATCCAACTAGCAAAAGATCAAAAAATTTCACTAAAGACAATAATAATGATTGTGACATTTAAATTTAGGTTATTCCCAATTTATTTTTACAATTTTACATAAGGTGATTGGCAGATTATAAGGTGGGTATTAGGGTTGTTTCTTTCAATTACATATACACTCTACAATGTTATTACGTCTTCCTGTAACTAAAGATATTGAATGAAACAGTCGGATTATGAAAGTGAACTGCATTGTTTACTGTTATTATTGAAAGGATTTAACCTAAATACCGTATCTGGTTCAGTGAATAGATATATAAGAAAAAAATAGTAATAATACAGTAATTCCATCGTATTAAAATTAATATACGGAGTATCTAAGTCAAACTACTAAAGGATTACAAAATAAAAAGAAATAAGATATAGAAAACTTTGTGAAAGAGATATATACCAAACCCTTAAAATGGAGAAACATAAGTCCATCTAACTTTAATAAAGAAATAAAAATGTTTGTGTATACACACCTAAAATATCTCCTTTATCTTCAATTAGATTTATATGGATACAAGTCAATGGGTGATTCTGTTAAGTAACAAAATTACTATACATAACCTATGTTTAGCAAATGGGTTTAAATGATATCTATTCAAAGTCATTTTCAAGCCAACATTTTTGTGGTTGACATGCAAGCTCACACCCATGTGTACGCTATAATGTTAGTAATATGTATACGCAAACTTTGGAAAAAAAATCCAATAATCCTGCAATTTCAAATTTCAATAATAATTATGTGTTTCGTTGAATGAAATATGAAAGTATAGAGTTCATGGTGAAATTTATACATTGAATATCAAGTGGGTTCAACTATCTTATTCCAAATGGATATATGTATGAACTTGCATCAGTTGTAGATATCTTATGTGACTCAAGAATAGTGACATTTCTCCTATCCTGTCACATTGGAAACAGAAAACTTAGCAGAAGCCTTATGCATAAAGGTAATAATTTTTTGGTAGATTTTATAGAGTTATGTTTTTTTTTTTTTTAAGTTCCATGCGTGTTCAGGTTCATATCCGCTTTTACGATCCACGCAGGGTAAAAATTTAATTAATTTTCGCTCATCCTCGAAAACAAAAAGGCCGGGAGAGTTTACTTTGCATAATATCAAACTCATATATAGAGTTGTGTGTTATTACTCTATTATTAAGGTTAATGAATTTATTAAAAGGAATTAATAGTTAGAGGTCCAAATCAACATGCATGAACTGCAATATTAAGTTTAAACATTCAATTTAGGAAAATATTTAATTAGTAATAGATGCATGATTTAGATTTCAAAAATTCAATTCAAGAAAAAGACCAGTGTACACTTAAAAATATTATATTATTTTAGAAGGCTAATTATAAAAGTCTAGAACAGAAAATCACATCTAATAATACTAATATATATATATAAGGTTTCCCATGAAAATAACACTCTTTATACTTCTATATAAGTATATATAATACATCATTACCAGCAATACCCAACTGATTTTAACAACCACAATACCCCTTTTCCCAAATTGTCCTTTTCTTATTAAGTGGAACAAAGATATTTATCAAAGAGGAAAAAAAAAAAAAAAAAACCACCACAATACCCCTTTCCCAAATTGTCCTTTCTTTATTAAAGTGGAACAAAGAATATTGTATCAAGAAAAAAAAAAAAAAAAGATGGAACAAATAATAGTGGGGAATTATCAAAGTGACTAAGCCATTGTTATAACTTTATCAAGCATAATATTCACTTATTTAAAAAAATTTATATAAGCTTTTATTTATTTATATTTGTTAGAAAAGAAAAATTCGTTAATTTTACTTTTTTAATATTCATTATTAGAGATATACTTTAATAATTTTAAAGACACGGATTAGATTAAAAAATCATAATAATATTGTAAACTGTACAATAACAACTAATTTTTCTTTTAAAATAAATCGAATTCGAGATATCTTATTTTCTGCAAAGTTGAATATGAGAAAACATGAAATTATTGATCTCAGACAGCATAAATTTTTTTTTTTTTTGTTTTTTTGCCGTTTTTAGGAAGTAACCAAGGTGGTTGAGGCAGCTAAGTTGCATGAATCCAAATTCTATTCTTGATAGGTGGCCAAAGGCATCAATCTTTTTTTTTTTTTTTTTTTTTTTTTTTTTTTTTTTTTTTTTTTTTTTTTTTTTTTTTTTTTATTTTTTTTTTTTTTTTTTTTTTTTTTTTTTTTTTTTTTTTTTTTGCTGTTTTTAGGAAGTAATGAAGGTGGGTGAGGCAGCTAAGTTGCATGAGTCCAAATTCTATTCTTGATAGGTGGCCAAAGGCATCAATCATTCAAGCACACAATTTAGATTAGAATCTAATTTTCTTTTAGGAAATTACTATTATACCGACATTTGTCCAAAGTTGAAAAATAAAGCATAAGATTCAAAGTTATGGAATGGATTCAAAGCAATAAAAATGCATTTACAATTGTTGGACTTCACACAATTTCCACATGGATAATATTTGCACAATTCCCTATGTTTCAAAGGTCAAGCTTTCGAGCCGACGGCAATAGAGTATAAAGTTTTTTAACATTTTTGCTTATCACTCTAATTAACACTTTAGTGATAAAAATTTTATTGGTAAAAATTAACTAACATTATAGCACTTGTGAGGAGATTTGTAAAAATTAACTTGAGATATCTCACTTCTCATATAAGTAAAAAGATCAATCAGATTACAGTTGATTAAAATTAAAAACGTACTCCTTATATCGATTTAATTTATTCAAAAATATTATTTAACTTGTATTTTAGTATAATTGAATTTCATTGATAAAATAAATAAATAAATAAGTATTACCACTCTTCTTGTCAATTAGACTAACTTATTAAAATTAATTTTAATTTTATCAAGAGGCATGTTGACAAAATCAATAAGATGATGAGACAATGATTAAAAACTATGATTATCAATTTTTTGAGTGAACTTAATCCATTTTTTAAACTTTACATTTGCTTTTAGGTCTCTCCAATTTTGTGAGTTCTTGAAAAGAGGGAAATAAAAAAAAAAAAAAAAAAAAAAGTAGGGAATATAAAAAAAAAGGAAAGAAAAAAAAAAATAAAGGAGGACTAAAAGTTGATTCCATAAGGAAGTCCATTGAGGAAAGTAAATTAAGGAGGAAAACCCCTAGTGGCCCTCAATTACAGCATATAAATTTAGCAAAACTTGGACCTTTCAAAAAAAAAAAAAAAAAAAAAAAAGGAGACTAAAAGCTTACCATAAGGAGCATATGAGGGAGTAAATTAAGAAACCCTAGGCCCTCAATTACAGCATATAAATTAGCAAACTTTGGACCTTCCAAATTCCACTTGAAGTTGTATATCTTTATCTATTCAATTGATATAATAATTTAAATTTTACTTTCTCTATCATATAAAAACAGATTCTTTCCTTTCTTTTTTTTTTTTTTTCAATTGGTCTCAAATTATAGTTGTATTTACTCTTGGAAAAGTACTTGCTTATTTTTAATTCATGAGCTCATGCACTAAACTAATTTAATAAAAATATTTCATGTAAACGAAGATATCGACATCTTTTCACTCAAAAAAAATTTCTTTTAATTAATAAATAACTATTGACATAGCGTGTAAATGATACGTACATTAAATAAATATTCTTCTTTTCATTTTGTAAGAGAATAATTTTTATAATATCAATAAGCATGTATCATTAGTATCAAATCTTATAACAAACAATTAATTATAGTATGAACCTTTCATGTTTCTATCTAAATTAAGGATTTAAAAAACTTATAAGAGTATATTAGAAAAAATAAAAAATATTAATTTAACTGTATTAATCCAATTTTCTTAACCTATATAAAATCAAAATAAGGTTATTTTAATGGTAAAATTGTAGTATGTGTACTCCCACCCAAAACAAAAATCATAAAAAGAAATAAATAAAACCCATAAAATAAAGCAAGAAAAAAAAAATACAGAGCACATGGAAGCAGACCCAATCAAACCATAAAAAGCCAAACTTTTTTGCCCCTTTGCCCACTTCGTTCTCACTTCCTCTGTGGCACTGAAAAATTTTCACTGACTCGCAACGCACTCATGACTCAGCTGCTAACAGGCCAATGGTAGGAAATCTGTGGGACCCATCAAGCTTTTGCAGGTCTATACACTGTATGTTCACACATCTTGTAACTATACAATACAATACTCTTGCAAAATATAAGTTTATATATTATAACTTCCCTTTCAAGGCCAATCTCTTTTTCTTTCTTTCTCTCTCTTAAAGATTTTCTTTTTATATATTTTAAGCCATTTTATAGTTTCTACTCCTTTACAACAACGCCAAAAAAAAAAAAAAAAAAAAAAAAAAAAAAAAAAAAAAAATAGAAAAAATATAATTATACGCATCTCCTCGGTCTCTCTATGAATTTTACCATCGGTTTTAGTGAGTGATTTTGTTTAGAGTAAAGGCTGTTCAGTTTCGTTCTCGAGATATCCTGTGATGGTCTAGACCGGTGAGGGTTTTCTGGCTGTTGGTGAATTTTCTTTAAACGGAGAAAAAAGAAAGAAGAAAGAAAAAAAAGAAGAGATGGGTTTTGCAAAAAAAAAAAAAAAAAAAAGAAAAATAAATAACGCATCCCCTCTCTCTAATGGAGTAAAGGCTGTTTCAGTTTCTTCTCAATACCTGTGATGGTCAGACCGGTGGGTTTTCTGGTTGTGGTGTTTCTTTAAACGGAGAAAAAAGAAGAAGAAGAAAAAAGAAGGAGATGGGTTCTTGCGTTTCTGTCCATAAGGGCACATCAGAGTCAGCCGTGAAACTAGGACTATCTTTTGGGTCTAAAAAAGACAATCATGTGATCCCAGAATCACCTATCAAAGATAAACAAGTTAATGGTGACTATCCTCAAATCAAGACTTTTGAGGACTATGGTATGATCTTAATCTTTGTTTAGTTTTGGTTGCTTATATTATTAAAACAGTGAAATGGTTGTTTTTGGTTTGTGTAATATTATAAAGTCTTTGGCTTTTGAGTCTTTTGACTCTTTTTGGTTTGTGCGATCTGAAATGGGTGGGTTGGACTGGTGGGGCTTGTCGGAGTTGCTTTAGATGTATGACCATATGCTTGAAGATATCAAGAAAATATTTTTATCACAATTAAAGTTTTATTTTTTTGTTAATATTTTATTTTTCTTGTTAAGTAAATAGTTATGGCGCTTTTATGGACTTTAAAGTGGTTTTGAGTCTAATGGATGAATTATGGATGTGCTGTTAGTTGTGGATGAAGATTTGCCTGATTAATTGACTTGTTCTAGTATTGATTTGGTGCTTTGCTTGTCTCTCTCTTTTGTTTTTCAGAAAAAAAAGGGTCAAAGTTGTTTTTGTTTTGTTTGTTTTTTCTAAATATAGATTTTAATGTTTGAGTTTCCTTCTATTTTAGGAAATGTAAGCATGGTCCTATTCTGCAGTGATTGATTTTTTATTTTTGATTTTTTTTTACGTTATGTTAAATTGATTTTTATTTACTATGTTATTTCAAATGGAATTATTTAGTAGCCTAATTTTAGAAAATGAAATACAAGAAAAGAGGATATGGCTATCATATGAGATTGCTCATAATTTAAAATTGCAGGAATACCATGGTCTAGAAAATATCATACCAAAGTAGAGAAGGAATTTTTTTTTTTTTTTTAATGGAGTTAGTACAATTAATGAACCCCACTGCAGTTTTGCAAAAGCAAAGTCTCTTTTTCAATTCCTTTTCATTTGAATTTTCTTATTGTTCTGCAAGAATGGTGATGCAAATTTTCTGTTAAGGAGATCATATAATTGGCAATATGTCGGAACTATAGAGCATCAAAGATAAAACCCAGATTGAGGATTTAGTTTTCTTTTTAGCCAAACTGGTTCTTGCAAGAGGTTAGACAATTTGATTGTTTCTTTGCTTGAATCTGGCAGTACATTAACTTTGGATTCTTTAGCAGCACCCCTTGGCAACAAGTGATCTCAACATTTGTAACCTCTGTTATGCAGACAAGTTATTAACTTACCATCAACGACTTCCTTATCATAATTAATGTTTTAGACTAATTTGTGAATATTGTCTTTGCCTTTTGAAAGTATGCACCTATGTGGGGCCATTAGTTATTGGCACATTGATGATCATGTGTCATGTGGCATATGGTAACCATTCTTGAAGAGACTGGAGAAAATATGGTCCACAAATTTGGGAATGGACCTACCAATTAATATCTTAAATTCATAAGATTTTTTGGGAATACTGTAAGGAAAATGTGCAGGACCACCAGGAAAGATGATGCTGTAAAATTTAACTGATTACTGTAGCAGTTTTATGTATCTTCCCAATTCATTGGGTGCCTGACAATGACATTTAATGGTGATTCACATAAGTTATGTTTTTTTTTTTTTTTTTTTTTTTTGACCACCAGGAAAGAATGATTATGCTGTAGGAAATTTAACTTGTATTACTGTAGCAGTTTTTTATTGTATCTTCCCAATTCATTGGGTGCTCTTGGACAATGACAATTTAATGAAGTGATTCACATAAGTTAAATGTTTTTTTTTTTTTTTTTTTTTTTTCCATTTCTTCGTATTGAAACTTTTTTTTTTTTTTTTTTTTTTTTTTCCATTGTCTTCTTTGAACCTCTGCCATAAATCGAATAGAGATGGTGACATGTTTATTTTGTGTGAAATAACTTCAGTAAAATCATAGAAATGATGTATTTTTCAAATTATGCTACATATCCAAGAATGATTAAATTTGCTGTTGTTTCAATTTCTGCTTCAGCTACTCTTTGTGCTTACCCGAGACTTGAAGTTGACATGTATGCTTTTGCTTGCTTTGCAGGTAGCAAAGATGAAGTCTTTTTTGATTCCCAACCTTGGTTAGACTCAGATTGTGATGATGATTTCCTCAGTGTAAATGGTGGTAAGAAAATGGTCTTCTTGTAGAGCATATTTTCCTGAAAGCTTATTACAGGTGGTCATTAGTTTTGTCAGATTGAAATTAACTATACCGGCAGCTTACTTGTTATCAGATTTTTTGGAATTGATTCAAAGTTGAAGAAAGGATTGAATTTTAATTGATTATTGCCAGCCAGTTTTGTCATATTTTGCTAATTACATGATTTTTGGCCTTAACTGTGCAGAATTTACGCCATCTCGTGGCAGTACCCCAGTGCATCATAGCTTTGCCATGGGGACCCCTAAAATCAACAAAACCAATTTGGAGGACAGATCTCCAGCTTCCAAACCTGAACCATCACCAACAGTGAAAAAGAAGTTATCTGAACTTTTCCGGGAGAGTCGGAGAGAGGAGCCAGACACTGATGATCAGCAAACTTCAGACAACCAAAATATCAACAATGGAAAGATAGAAGTCAAACAAACCATTCTTGATGTTCTTCCCAAGTCTGCATCTGGTACCCCATATGTCTCTGGACCTAACAGCGTCTGTAGTAGCGAACGGACTGCTAATGGAGAACCCTTATTTCAGAAGGAGAAATCAATTAAATCTGCACAATGTTGCCTTCCCAGTTTGCTTTCTTGCCATAGTTTTAGTGAGAGGAAGAAGAAGATGAGCCCGGCCATAGCTGTAAATGATAGAGCCTAGTTTCTGGTATCTGTAATGCAATGTAAATGGAAAATGCTAGCATCTCAACACCCTTGAGATATATTAGTTATTTACACCCAAACTTGAGATCGGATCGTGCAACTTCGGAACTTACCTTTTTTTGGATCAAGGGCATAGCATATATAAAGCAACAATGGTGGAAGAAGTTGCATCTTTCAAGTCCATAGATTTTCTTTAGCTCTGGAAGGAAATTGATTGTAAAAAATCTTTCCTGCAATAAGAGAAGACAGTTGATGCCCTTGTAATGAATGAATGATATCTATGTGAGGAAAATTGTACCTTGTAATTAAGAGAATATATATGTTCTTCATCTTGTTCCTCTTTCTGCTATAGTTGCATTATATGCATTTGAAACAACTTTGTTTCAATCAGGTTTATATGATGTGAAATGGCAGTTTTGGTATGGCAAGGTATACTTTGAAGGTATAGTCTTATCCTAAAGTGCAAAGCTCATTGCATATCCTAACAAAACTGGAAGTTCTTTTTCTAGGAGATGAGCCATAACAACTGCAAGCAAAGGTCCAAGGACTAAACATAAGCATGTGACTTAATTAGTTTATCTTATTCATTTCTTGTGACTTCATCAGTTTATCTTATTCATTTCTTGTTTTTATCATGGATGAGGACCGACTATTGGTGGACTAGCTGATATTTCTCCATGCTTCACGATATGGGAAGGAAGGAACCATAAGTCTGTTTCTGAAAATTTGGCTGGTAGCAGACTTTCACTTTCCTTTTGGATTCTACTATGGGTTTTATACATGGGGCCTGTCTTTATATGTAACTTTTTCTTAAAATGAAAAAGTTTTAAAAATTTGGCTGGTAGTAAATTTGATATTTTTTAAAATGAAGTTTTAAAAAACTAATAAATACTAAGCAAATTTACTCTCCATTTTATTTACATTTAATCACTGAATTTAATATTTAAGATAGTTTTAGTGTAACGATAAAGTTACTCTATTTATAACCTGGAGATTATAATTGTGACTTACATAAACATTCTCTTTATGAAATGAAAAAAAAAAAAAAAAAAATATATGCGGTATAATATATACATTAAGAGTGGCCCTGTACTTATATGTAACTTTTTTCTTTAAAATGGAAAAAGTTTTTAAAATTTGGCTGGTAGTAAATTTGATATTTTTTAAAATGAAGTTTTTTTAAAAAACTAATAAATACTTAAGAAATTTACTCTTCCATTTTATTTAAACATAAATTAATTCATGATATTTAATATTTTAAGATAGTTTTAGAATGTAAGCGATAGAATTACTCTATTTATTAACCTGGAGATAAGTATAATTGATGACTTACATAAAACATTCTTCTTTATTGAATGAAAAAAAAAAAAAAAAAAATCCAGTGGAAGAAACGCACAGCATACATCAACCACTGCTCCTAAGTTCAATATCATGGGATGCTTCATTGCATTGGGTCATTTTTTCCTTTTTTTTTTTTACCTCATTTTTTATTAATATTTTCAGGAATGTATTTTTTAAAATGCCATCACTAGGTGATCAACCATTAAAAATAAATGATCGTATTATCTTTAATTATATCTAAAAATAGATTGTAAGTAATTATGATATATGGTCATATTAGAAATATAAAAAAAAAAAAAAAAAAATAGTGAGAAGACAGCATACATCAACCCTCTCCTAAGTTCAATATCATGGATGCTTCATGCATTGGGTCATCCTTTTTATTAATATTCAGAATGTAATTTTTAAATGCACACGTGGTGACAAATTAAAATAATGATCGTATTCTTTAATTTATCTAAAAATAGAATGTAATTATGATAATCATATAAATTGATTTGAGAATGTAATTGAGACACAAATGCACTTCTCACCTTGTCATTTTCTTTAAACATGGCCTTGTTTTTCACTTATTTCTGGCCTAAAAATTTATTTTATTTTCTTGCAATAACCGAAGTTATTAGTTCCTAAAGGCATGAAAGTGTGGATGGAAGACGACACTTAGCCTAAGGCCGGAGCTTAGCTTTAGGCCCATCTAGGAAACCACCATAGGTTGTTAGGGTTCATAACAAACAAAAAACTTCAGAAACAGAAGAGAGAAAGCCCATCCCATGCAAAGGTTTGATTAACATTTAATCATAAAACATTATATTCTCTTTTTCTGTTCTTATTCAATGATTGGATTCTTTTTCACATTTGGAACTATAAAGCCCATATATGGCCACCGGTTGAATCGGGTAGAAACCGGAAACGTCTGTCTTATCATCTTGATTAGATCGTTATTGGATCTTAATGATTGAATTCAAAAGGTTTTTTTTTTTTTTTCATCAATAGCATCGTATGCAAAGTTTCCGTCTAGTCTATTTTATTTATGTGTGCAATTGTGAAGAAATTAGAAAATATAGAATTTATCATTGTTGGTAATTTGGAGCAAACATATTTACCAATTCTTGCAAGTTCTATAATTGAAATTATATAATAATATTGTGAAAGGTGTAAACTCTATCATAGTACCAAACAAAACATAAACTACATTCATAAGTTGTGAATTCCAAATTATGATAAGTAAGTGGATTATTTAATTTGAATTTAGATTTTCACTACCGATTGGTTCTTTCCCGAATCTAGTTCTAGGGATCCAATAGAAGTACGAAATTCCAATTTTTCAGAGAATCAGATTGGTTCTATTAGCTTACAATCTACATTCTCTATCTCAGCCGCTACATGTATGGATTTCATGATATTACTTGTGATCTTTATGACCCTTAAAAATAAAATTTTAGTGACTTTTTCATCAATAATTATTTTCAGGACAAGTTAAAATGCTTGAGATTTGACTGAAAATTACTATTTTATCTTTGACTGTTTGGAGAAATTTAAAAAAAAAATTAAAATTTTGTCTTTTTTTTTTTTTTTTTCCCCTGAAAGTAGCAAAATGATAAAGTGGGTGATGATTGAAGTTAAAGGCGTGGACGGAATCAGAAGGAGAAATTATAGGCGGAGTAAGCGGCCTTGTTCTTGGCACATCACCTGCTTCAAATCACTTCCTTTACATCCCTTTCTCTTTACTAATTCAGCTATTTTGTTCAGAAACGGGCCAATTAGGTTACTCACTAAGGTGACCTACCTTTCCAGAAAATAACTTATTAGAAAAAGATATACCAAACTAGGAAGAAACCAAAAGGTTAAATTTAATTAATTAATATTGTTTGCTTTACTTATGGTTGTAGTTCAGTTGACAACGCAGGCTGAATATATGAGAAGAGCTCTAAGATTCAATCCCTACTAAACACATCTGCATAAAAGGGTGAAAAGCCTTAACGTTGCTTAGAAATATTGGAAATAAATGATCAAGTCTATTGAGTTATATTAGTTATTCTAACAGTCGCCGGTTGTTTTACAAACGTTTAGTTAAGTGTTAAGAACAGTAATATCTCATACTTTCGTTTGCACAATCTCTAAATACCATTATAAATTATAAAAGCTAGAGTACTAAACAATATAATAAAAATATTGTTTTGATTCTAGTCACTAAATATTCTGTTACAGGACAAACAGCCTTAATCACATAAATTGCTTTCCTTAAAAAAAAAAAAAAACATATATTTCTAAAATTATAAAATACCGTTACATCTATTTCATAATATTTATCATATTTGAAATTTTATGTCCCTTAAAAAAATCCATTGAATTTATCTAAATTACAATAAATTATTAAATAAATTGACTATATTACCCTTAATTTAACACTAATTATCTAAAAAAATCATTAAATTCAAGTAATAATTATTGGTCATATACAATTGATAAATATGGGAAAAGTAAAATTTATTACTCATCGAAACTACAAATGTAACAAATATTTTAGAACAAATTATTTTCTCAAATGTGACAGATATTATAAAACATGTGTAATAATATGTATAATCACATTAGAACGCTGAAAGCACATTAATTAGAGTGCATATTTCATTACAAACCCTAAAACCTAAATCCTAAATTCTAATAAAATCCTAAATTCTAAGACTTTAAAATATAAACTTTAAACCCTAAATCTTAAATCACTGAATTCTAATTTTATTATATTTTGAAGAAATTAACTTGTCTCATGTATATTTTTCCAAAAGGGCTAATTAACAACACTCACCGTAGTAATTTGTTAGATTGACCTTATCTTAATATCATTATGTGAGTACAGTCTATGTACTAAATCATATGACAACGTGGACCCCAAGAACTGTTTTGGTTATGTAAGCAATTTTCAAAATATAATATTTCAAACTAATATTAATTCCTCACCCATCTTTTTCGTCTTTTTTCATAGTATGATTGTCCAATGTTCTCAAAATCCATTTTAGCTTTCACATTAAAAATTAATGTTTTTGATAATAAAAAAAAAAAATAGAAAATCAAACTTCATGACTGTAATATAATATAATATGCTATATTGCATGGAAATTCTCAATTATAAGCATTTATGTTTTTAAATGTCTGCTTTCCTGTTAAAATATTATTTATCCATATAAACTTATACTTAAATTATCATTTTTCTATATTCATTTTCTCATTTTTACATTTTCATACACGTGCAAGTGCAACATAGATAAAAAATATTACTAATATAATATGTTTCTAATATAAATATTATATTAGAAATATGTACATTTTATTATATTGCGTTATGTTTCATTGTGATTCAATATTCACTAATGTTCCTTATTGTTTCAGAAAAATAAAAAAATAACTTGTTGAAAAATATTTTTCAAATAATTTATTTTTCATTGTTTGGTTGTAATATTGCAAATTAATTAAAAATATTAAAATTTTTATGTCATAAGGCCATAAAAATATTAATAATAATAGCAATTTCATAAATTAAAAATTTTATTGTTAAAATATGAGAAGAATGCAAAATATATATATATTTTCATTGTTTTTCTTGGTTGTTATAATAGTAGCATAAATAGTGTAATTAAAAATATTAAAATTTTTATGTCATAAGGCCATATAAATATTATAATAATAGCAATTTCTATTATAATATTAAAAAATGTTTTATTGTTAAAATTATTGAGAAAAGGAATGTGCAAAATATAATATATATATTTATTTATTTTATTAAGGAAAATATAATAATAGTATTATATTATGTATAATATTATATTATAATATATATAAAATTGTAATAATATAATATATATATATTAATATAATATATATATAATAATAAAATAAATATAAATTATGAAAAAACTGTTTTCCTTAGGCACAAGGTGGTATAAATTATGAAAAAACCGCCTGTGGCCGGTGGTCTTGGTCGGTTGTAAATGATGACGGATGATAGTGACTATGATGATTAATAAATTAAAAAAAAATATAGATTTATAAGATTTGTCAACGTCCAGAAATTAATTTTCTTTTGACTAGGAAAATATTTTTCTGTAAATTATTTTACGGAAACAAACGGAGTCTAAATGAAGCCAATAAGACATAATTTTTTAATATTTTTAAAAAATAAAAAGTTACATTTTGATCCTTAAAATATAGAAAAATTTTACTTGCTCCCTAAAAACTTAAAAAAATTTTATTTAGCCTCCTCAAAATAATTGTTTTCCGGTCCTCTCGTACTAGGAAAAGATCCTCTCAATGCTCCAACTCCCACACCGAATATGGTTTTTACTCACCCGTAACTATTATTAATTTAGTAAATATTGGAGTTTCCATTTATACAGAATATTTCACTATATTCCAATAATGTCAGATTTCTCGGTTTTCAAGACTACATTAGAAAAAAAAAAAAAAAAAAAAAAAAAAAAAAAAGAAAACACAGGATAAGAAGCAAAATAAAAATAAAATAAAAAATAAAAACAAAAAGGAAGAACGAGATCTGGGTCCCACACCACCATATGCTTCATCAATTGGGTATTTTATAACGTCAAAAGAGAGAAAGTTTGTTAAGTAAAACCCATGAAAAGAGATAGGGAAACAAAGCTTTTTCTTTAAACTCTTACTATAAAAGCACACTTCTTCTTCTCCACTCTCCACTCCCCACCTCAACAACAGGAGCAAAAAATACTACTTTAATGGCTCTCGTTTCCCTGTCTACATTTCTTACGAGCTTAATAAGCTTCTTATGTGTTGCCTATGCGCAGCAAGTCGCGGATCCCTTCCCCAATGGTATTTGTGCTTCTTCAGTCAGAATTCACGGTTACAAATGCCAGGAATTTGAAGTACGAACAAGAACATATAAAGTTTCCAATTCTATCTTCTTTCATTTCTTGAATTCTTGGAAATCAATTAAGAAGTCGACATCTGCGTAACTTTTTTCAGGTTAGAACCAAAGATGGATATATACTTAGTGTGCAGAGAATACCAGAAGGTCGCTATGGAGACCCGAGTCCTAACCGGCCACCAGTTCTAATACAGCATGGAGTTCTTGTGGTATGTTATTGCTAGCTTTTGATTCCTTTTTTTTGTTTCCTTTCCGCATTAATTAGGGTTTTACAGTGCTGGAAAAGAGTAATCCTGCATAGCGGTGAATGTAAATATATGATAAAGTTGTGAGATTTTAGAACTAAGAATTTCATAGAAAGAAGAAAGAAGAGGTTTCTGAAACTGATAAAAGATTGATGATCATTGATAAGTTTAGCAGTTAGTCCATATTATTATGATTAAAGTTGGTAAAATAATGAGTTGAATTCCTTGGTTTTGTAATGAGTTTATCACATGGTTTCATGAAAAAAAAAGCTGAACTCATAAAAGCAAAGTAACAGATAATGTTTCTATCCAAAAAAAAGAGGGATTGGTTTGCGCGTCTGAATTATGAAAATATGAACATAGACAAGAAACTAAACTGATAAAGTTAGTCTACGTAATGTAATAACATCCAGAAATATATATATATATATATATAATATATATATATATATATTATATTAATATATATATATATATATATTTAAAAAAAGATATATAGTATATTTCTTGAACGTATTTAACACTTTTTTTTTAATTTTTTGCATCTTGAAAATGACGTTCTACTTCTTGACAATTAATTGCATATCTTTTTTGTTTCTTTATGACGATGGCATATATTTTAAAAAAGTATATATATATTCTTGAACGTATTTATACACTTTTTTTTAATTTTTTGCATCTTGAAAATGACGTCTACTTCTTGACCAATAATTGCATATCTTTTTTGTTTCTTTATGAGATGGCAATTTCATTCTCCTTCGAATACCTCATCGAACCTGATTTGAATCAGACGGATAAAATTCGTCTTATTTAAAGATGGATGGGTATAAATTTTAAAAGTAAAATTCGACCAATCCTATAAAATTTAACTAAAATCCAATTCAATTTGTAATCTATCCGTCTTATGCGTGATAAACGATAAAATGAATATATATTTAATTTGATAGAATAGATGTATCTCGATACGTGATAAACAGCGGAATGAATATGTATATGTAGGTATCAAAAAATTAAAATGAGTATCTTTTTCGGTGCAACTAGACAAAGCTAAATCAAAAAGTGAAATTTTAACAAAAAAAAGAAAGAAAGTGAAATTGGATATATACTTACTACGTGGTAGGCTGTGTAGAATGATCATGGATTTGCCTGTATTTTATAGGGCACATGATGCAAGCCATGCACCATCCTTCATAATAAGATAAGTACGTAATCCCTAAATTGGGCTGCTAATTTCGTCTACATGTGGACTTCACTTAATTAATAGCTGTTCTTCTCTGAGAAAAAAAAAAAAAAAATTGTTGTTTTTGTTGAAATTTCTCAACATAAATTTCTTGTTTTGTGATGTAATCATCTAGATGCTGACATTTCATTTTATTTCCCATGTTCTAGAAACTTTTTAATGATATATTTTAGCTGAAGCCACGTGAGTCATAAATTTTAAAAACAATATTAGTTTTATATTTAAAAACAATATTAATTTTATATTCAAAAAGAGTGTGAAATAAAAAGAAAACCCTTAATTTGTTATAATTTAACTTGTTAAAAAAGAAATTTATTTTCTTTTCTTTTTGTTTTAATGTTCACATTATGCAGGATGGAACAACATGGCTTTTGAATTCACCCGAAGAAAATTTACCAATGATTTTGGCTGATAAAGGTTTTGATGTGTGGATTGCTAACACAAGAGGCACCAGATTTAGCCGGAGACACACTAGGCTTGTCGCTGATCAACCGGTTCTTTCTCAATTTTTTTGATACTTAAATTATTATTAAAACTTAGATCTTTAAGTAAGAGGTGGAGTGTTCGATTCTTGTCAAACGAAAAAAAATCACCACTACTGGTGGCTTTCCCTTCCCTTTTTGAAGCTGCAAGAGTAGCTGTGCTATAAATAAAAAAGAAAAAAAAAAGTTTTGTGAAAAAAATTAATGTTTTTTAAAATTTATTTCTTATTATGTGACAGGAATTTTGGAATTGGTCATGGGATGAGTTGGTAACCTATGATCTACCAGCAGTTTTTGACCATATTTATGTCCACTCTTATCAGAAGATACATTACATTGGTCATTCCCTGGTAAATATAATTAATCACTACCTTATAAATTTTAATTAATTTTGTGTTAATTAAGTTAATTAATATATTATTTAATTTTGCAGGGAACATTAATAGCATTGGCATCTTTCTCCGAAGGGTTACTAGCAGACAAAGTAAAATCTGCTGTCTTGTTGAGCCCCATTGCTTACTTAAGCCACATGAACACTGCACTTGGTGTTCTTGCTGCTAAATCTTTTGTTGGTGAGGTATGTAATTAATTAATTAATTAACTTTCATTAATGCTGATGATATTACTACCATAAATATATTACCTTAAATTTTTTTAAAAAAATTCTGCTAATTTCTACAGGTCACTACACTATTCGGCTTTGCAGAGTTCAATCCAAAAGGGTAATCACTTCAAATTCCTTATAATTAACGAAAAAAATCTCATCCAAAAGTTGAAACAATGTTTTTTTTTTTTCTTTTGAAAAAAAAAAAAAGTTCTTTTGTTTTTCTTGACAGAGAGGAAGGATCAAAATTTCTAAAAGCACTCTGTGCTTATCCGGGTGTTGACTGCTATGATTTATTAAGTGCAATTACTGGTAAAAAGTTGATTAATTCATGATTAATTATCTGGTTATCACTATTTTTCTATTTAATTTTGATTAATTAGGCTTCAACTACGATAAATACATATAATTTATTAATGGTTCACTTGTTTGAATTAAAGGCAAGAACTGCTGCCTCAATTCTTCTACAGTCGATCTTTTCTTGAGGAACGAGCCTCAATCAACAGCAACCAAGAACATGGTTCATTTAGCTCAAAGTAAGTTGGTAGTAAATTAAAATTCTATTTTTTTCAGTAATTTGGTTCGATATTAGAAGTCGAAAACCTCTCTGTCCTCGAGATGATTCGGATACTATTAAGTTAAAACTGATTGATCAATTTTGCATTGCAGTTGTTCGAGATGGGGTGATAGCAAAATACAACTATGGAAATACTATTTACAATATGCAACATTATGGAGAAGCCAAACCTCCAGTTTATAACTTATCAAAAATTGCAAATGATCTTCCTATCTTCATTAGCTATGGAGGACAAGATGCTCTTTCTGATGTTCGCGACGTGCAACTACTGCTCGACAGCTTCAAGTTCCACGATGTCGATAAGATTAATGTTCAGTTCATCAAAGATTATGCTCATGCTGATTTTGTTATGGGGTTCAATGCCAAAGACCTTGTCTACAACCAGATTTTTTCATTTCTAAAGCTTCAAAAAAACTAGTTGAAGAGAAATGAAAGCCCTTTTGTAATAAATCTCAACCAATAATGTCTACCACTTGATAGTAAATTGTCAAAATCTGCAGGAAAATCTGTAGACAGGCTATGCATTTCCAATATTGTATTGTTATGTGTTCTGTTTCCAAGAATAATGATCTATTTGAAGTAACCGTTTAACAAACAAATATGAATGGAAACAGGAGCTGACAGGAGTCATCATCCCCTTAAATTTTCAAATTAATATTATAATAAATTTAAGTGTATACTTTTGTTCCCTAAAATTAAATCACACGTCTGTCAACAAATTTTCTTGGGAGCTTCCACAAAAGCCCACCATTGAGCATGATCATTACCAATTATGTAGCTAGCTTAGTTTGAACGTTAAGCTTCTGTCTGTGTGACCTTTAACCAACTAGATAATGCTTTAAGGCTACCCAAACACTAAATATGTATGTATTGCTTTGAGCTTGAACATTATTCTTGGTCAGTTTGTTGCTTAGTTAATTACACAAATGCCTTACTGGCATCACTCTTGAGTCTGGGGTTAACATGGCAAACTCTTGCTTCTTAGGGATGATATGGGTAATCAATATTATTGAGCATTAAACCTTATTAAATTATATTTAGGGGAATTATATGTAAAATGATGATGCAGACAGATGGGAAAATGATGGTATGTAGTTCTTTTATATACTATATATATCTTGGTGATAATAATAATTTTTCCAACAAGCACTAGAAAATTGAATTAACAGAGTGAGAATGGAGAATAGGATCTTCTTGGTATTGGTTTTTGTTGGTTTGATTGCTAAAAGAGCATTTGCTGCTCAACATATTGTTGGAGGAAGCCAAGGTTGGGAAGAGTCTACAGATTTCAATTCATGGGCTTCTAATACAAAATTTAAAGTGGGAGATCAACTAGGTAAGTTTTCTTTTTCTTTTTTCTTTTTTTGATATTTCCACGAGCATCCTCAAAACTTTTGAGTATAGGACTAATATCGTTTTGGAGTTCATGATTATTTTTCTTTATAAGTGTCCTTCGACAGTTAGATTCACGGGATCGTTAACTGAACTCAAATGTATCTTCTTTTTTCTTTTTTTTGATATTTTTATGAGCATCCTAAAATTTTTAAGTATAAGACTAATATTATTTTGGGGTACATAGTTATCTTTATCAATAAGTGTTTTTCGACGGTTAGAATCACTGAGATTGTTAACTAACTCAAAGCGTATCTTCTTTTTTCTTTTTTTGATACTTTCATGAGCATCCTAAAATTTTTAAATATGAGACTACTATTATTTTGGGATACATAGTTATCCTTATCCATAAGTGTTTTTCGACGGTTAAAACCATTTATCTTACAAAGGATTATCAGCTGAACTCAAACGTATTTAGTCAGTAAAGTCACTTTTAAATAGGTAACTATTCTTTATAAATTTGATTTCTAATGAGATTAATTTCTATAATTATGAACAGTTTTCAAGTACACATCAGGGCTACATAGTGTAGTTGAGCTTGGTAGTGAAAGTGCTTACAAGAATTGTGATCTTGGAACTGCATTGGACTCCAAGAACACAGGAAATGATGTAGTGAAATTGACAAAACCTGGGACTCGTTATTTTGCTTGTGGAACATTAGGCCATTGCGACCAAGGCATGAAGGTTAAGATTACAACAGAAGCTGGAACTGCTCCTTCTACTCCTGACTCCTCTTCTTCATCACCACCTGCAACTTCCTTGGCTTCTTCAATTCAGTCTTTTGCTTCCTCTGTTTTTCTTGCTGCATTTTTTGCCTGTAGCTTCATTTACATGTTTTGAGCATATGTTTATTAAGGTTGAGTTCAATGATTAATTATAATTCTTGCTTTAGAGATATAATTTTGTTGTTATGTATTCATTTGTCTTGGATATTTGTTATTGAATGAAAATAAAGTTCATTAGTTGTAGTTTCTATTTTGAATAATTTCAATCCAATATAGATTTGAACTTGAGAACAAACGACTAATTCTGTTAGCATTTTTTATTCATTCCAAGGCGCAAAATAACATAATTGATTACATAAAATGAGTATTTTCTGCTTGACTTATCAATTTAGTAAAAATTTTTTATGGTTAAAATGATTCAAACTCGAGATTTATATTGAGAAAACTAACCAGACAACACTTGATTAGCTCCACTGAATTAAAGTTGGATCAAAGTTTAAATAATAACCAACCAACAATTTTATTATCCAATTTAATTACAAATACATGCTACTGAACTCAACCATTAGTAAAATGTTCTTTCACTGCTCACTGTCATAATTTATATGCGAAGGTAGCTCGGAGGAATAACTAATTTACCTGTAAAAAAAAAATAACACAGAGCACTTGTTTGCAACACATGGAATTGGAAGCTATATCATCTGTTAATTTCTTCAAGACTTCAGAATATATATGGTATTGCCATATGTATTTCAACATTCGACTACTTTCAAAAGCTAATGATAAGGTCTGATTGGTCTTATGCTTCCTGGTACGTAGCATAGGACGTTATTCCAAAAATCCTTATAATAAAACAATCAAATGCTTGTTTTAGACTGCTAGTTCGTTTTGGCCGATCAAACTAAAAATTATAGGCCTAATTTGGCACCAAGATATTACACAACTAGGACAAACCCACTTGGTAGAACAAATTCCCTATTTCTTTCTTACTTTTTGTTTTTCGTTTTATATTGGAAAATATCTGAATTTATTGCATTTCTTATATATATATGGCCAAAACAAGCAATTAAAAAAAAAAAAAAAAAAAGAACAACTCGTCAGAAACAAAACATAGCTTCCCTTTGACCCTTTTCCGGGTTCAAACTCAACAGCGATCAGTAAACAGAAAACAGATTTTGAGCGAGAAACTATGGAGGAGACGAATAGCATAGACTACGTCATGGAGAAGGCGTCGGGACCTCACTTCTCCGGCCTACGCCTCGACGGTCTCCCGCCATCGTCTTCCAGTTCTTCGCCATCTCACCGCACTTCTTCCGCTTCAGCTTTTACTTCTCCTTCTCAACTAACTCAAAAGCAGCCTTTTGTTATCGGTAATTTCTGCCCTCTCATTTCCTTTCTTTCTTTTTTTTTCCCGTTCTTTTGGAATGCCAAACTGCTTTATTTTTACCATAATCTAACTTTAATTACTTCATTGAGCTTCGTTTATTTTATTATCTTTAATGGAAATGTTAGAATTATGTGCTAATTATGGTTATAGTTGCTAATTGAGAAATTCCATTGCTCCTCTGGTTTGCTTCTGTAATATAATGATTTTACAGATTTGAACATTGTTGTTTGGGGTTTAGGGATTTGTGTTTTCTGTTCCTTTTCATATTTGTTTCCTTATCTTTAATTGTTTTTAGTTTTTTCTGTTACCGAACAGGAGTATCTGGGGGTACAGCTTCGGGTAAGACAACTGTGTGTGACATGATCATTCAACAGCTTCACGATCACCGGGTTGTTCTTGTCAATCAGGTTTTCTGAAATGCTTCATGTGCCACTTCAAGTTTCGTAGTTTTTATGGAGTGTTCTCTTATCTCTGCAGCATAGCTTACCAGATTATGAGTGTGATGCAGGATTCATTTTACCGTGGTTTGACACCTGCAGAATTGGAACGTGTCCATGAGTATAATTTTGATCATCCTGGTAATTTCACATGCTTGACTAGACTCGATTCATTTTCTGCTGATGCCTGGGATGTAAGTGTTTTCTGGTAGTAAATCAATTTTTGAGAATGTATATTGTTTGTTAATGTGGGTCTTTCTTATAGATGCTTTCGACACGGAACAGCTTTTAGATTGCATCCAAAAGCTCAAAAGTGGGCAACCTTATAAGGTTCCAATTTATGATTTTAAGAGCCATCGCCGCTGTTCAGATAGCTTTAGGCAGGTACTAACTTTCAAAATTTGTTCAATCCAAAACAATCTCGTTCCTCTATGCTATTTTTTGGCAGGATGCAACTAAATATGTAATCACACTACATCATTATTTTTTTTTTGGGTTGCCCAAACAAAACTATAATGCAATGTAATCTCCAAAATGCATAGAAATTTATACATCGTGATATTCACTTCCAAAACTACTGCCCCTTCCTCCCCCCAAAAGAAAACCTCCAACCACCACCAAATAAAATGTAGGAATAAAATTGTCTTTACAATGAGTTAATCTTCAACTTTTGATAAACATGACCTCAATTTGGCCTTTAGCGAATGAAAAGCTGTATAGGGAGTTTGTTTTCAGCAGCAAGCTTTAGATTCATCACCCTTAGCTTTTTGAGTCTTTGTTCCATAGTGACATTTTTCTGAAACAAATGACAGTTTGGGTAGGAGGGGATGAGAGGGTTATCAACTTTAGCTTACCATTTCCACTGATGTAAAAGATGTAACATTGAAATTATTTTTCTTTATCTTAGTTCTGAGTCATGCTGTAGGTTGGCAGATTTTTATGGTCAAAAAAGAATTAATCCAGGAGGGATTATAAATAGAAAGCATATTATCAGAAGAATTATAAATACAAAGCACATCATTTAATGATGATAGAAAATATTTTGATAATTTAAAATTTTGACATTGTTACTAGTCGGCATCTTGTCTTGGTCAACCTTCAATTTCTTGCATACAATGATTATAATGATCCATAGTCCCATAAATAACCAGCAAGCAGCTGTGGATTTCTAGTTTTCCTTGCTGATTGGTGTTTCACTTGGAGATTTTTAGCACTAGAGTGAACTGTTACTTCCCTGTATTTGTTCCATTTTTCTAGATCCTCCTTAGGGTCATTTGATCTATGAACCTTTTATACTCCTTTTACCATACTAACCAAAATTCTTTGTCAGGTAAATGCTTCTGATGTAATTATCTTGGAGGGAATTCTGGTTTTCCATGACCAGCATGTCCGCAATCTGATGAATATGAAGATTTTTGTTGACACAGGTTTGGACCCTTTTTCCTGCCTTTCATTAGCATTGCTTCAGTGACCTCCATCACTACCAATCTCTTCATTTTACTGCTCTTGAGTGTAATGTGTGCATGCGTCAAAATTCATATACTTAGGAATTTTAAGCTGCGAATTGGTAAGTTGAGTACTGATTTCAAAGTCTTGTATGTTTCAATGGCACAACAGTATTAAAATCCTTAAGATGCAGCACATCTTATTCTTCTTGTTGGACCTACTTGTAGACACATCCTTATTCAGCATAAATGGAAACTGTGCATGTTTTGGGCTCTGGATGTCATTCTCCCTTAAAACCATAAATCTTTTCATTGAATTATGTTCCCTTTGAATCCATAGTAGTAGCACAGTGGTAATTAAAGCCTTTAGATGCAGCACATCAGAATTCCTTATAAAGTGGCAACTATAATTTTGGGCTCAGAATGTTAAACCCATAAATCTTGTTCTAACTTAGTTTCTGCTTAGAGAGATTGAAAAAGAACCGGTTCATGGTCTTTAGCATTCTCAATCTTTTGGCTGGGGATTTTCCTCTTGCCTTGACTTGTTTTTTATGAGGAAAACCTAGGTGGTTGATTTTGATTGTTAAATATAAAAACATACTGAGAATAGTATTACTATTGACTTTCTTTTGAATTGTTCCCTTTTCTTTTATGTGTGTTTAATTTCCTTATTACTGTTAGTAAATTCCTTTTGTTTTCTAGATGCGGATGTGAGGCTTGCTCGTCGAATAAGGCGCGACACAGTTGAGAGGGGCAGGGACATAAACTCTGTTCTTGAGCAGGTAAGTGCCCTCTTCTTAATTAAGACTTTGTCGGTATGTTATGGGCTTATGGATCATCACTGGAAAAAAAGGATTGATCATTTTTATCTTGTATGGTTTTGGGTAGTTAATGATGTTTATGTTGTCAACTTGGAGAACATTTCATATACTTGAGATGCAATCTCCTGAACCCCTTAATGATGTTTATGTTGTATTTTTTGGTGCTGCAGTATGCTAAGTTTGTGAAGCCTGCTTTTGATGATTTTATCCTGCCATCAAAGAAGTATGCTGATGTGATCATACCCCGGGGTGGTGATAATCATGTTGCCATTGATTTGATAGTGCAACATATCCGCACAAAGCTTGGTCAACATGATCTTTGCAAAATATACCCAAATGTTTATGTTATTCAATCAACATTTCAGGTATATCTTCTTTTTATTTTGATTCATTGTTGCCCTTCCTTTTTGCAGCCACATTTTATTACGTGAAGAAATTGAATTTGTTAATGTCTTTCCTGCTTTCTAGTGTGAGCAAAGTGCATCTATGAGCTATATTAGTGGCCATGTCTTTGATGTTTCGCGGCCCAAACCTCTAGACTTGTTTTTTGATAGAATACAGAAGGTGGCACCATATGGGGTTGTACTGGACTATAAAGAGTTGTTAAAAAGCTTAAACTTAGATTGTCAAAGGAAATTATTTGATTTAACATCTGTTTAGCACTTTTTTGGTGCCATAGATTCAAAGGGCCAACAGAATTGGACACTTAAACAATGAATTAAAAAAGAGGTTAATACACTTTTGGTGTGTTGAGCATAAGTAAGACTTGAACCTAGTGCTCTTTCTTTATCCATATGCATATTTGATCAAGTAACAAAAAATAGGTGAAAAGGGAACTTTTTTAACTCTTAACAGTCGAAGTCCATGTGGTGATAGATATATTAGTTGGAGAAGGCTTGTGTCGCTACAAGTTCTTCCTATGTTATGGACACAAACACTAGCACATGCACAGAGTCTCAGTCTGCGTGTATATTTGTGTGGCTATTATGTCTTTTGGCTTTAATCATTCTTATTTTGGAGTTGCTCATGTGTGTTACTCATATTACAGATAAGAGGTATGCATACATTGATTCGAGATAAGGAAATATCGAAGCATGATTTTGTATTTTATTCAGATCGGCTTATCCGTCTGGTACTCTTTCTATTATACCTCGATTGAAATTTTTATAACATTGATTCGAGATAAGGAAAATAACGAAGCATGATTTGTATTTTATTCAGTTGGCTTATCGCGTCTGGTACTCTTTCTATATACCTCGATTGAAATTTTTTGGTAATCCATATGTACAATATAACACACATTAATTATGAAAACTTGGAATTTATTATTTCACACATTTGATATTATTTAAACTTGGAATTTTATTATTGATATTATGAAACTTGGAATTTATTATTTTCCATTGAGTTTCATTTTCAGGTTGTGGAGCATGGTCTTGGCCATTTGCCATTCACAGAGAAGCAAGTAATTACACCAACAGGTGTGTTAGTGAAAGTGAATAGTGAGACTCAGGTTTCTGTCTTCTGTTTATTTTTTATTCTGTCTCTCTCCATTTTAGCTGCACTGAGAATGTTTAATTTTTATACTGCCCTTACCGGCATATAAATTAGTTAATGAATCGTAAAATCAAGATAAGGTATGCTGGAAGAAATGTTTTCATTAGCTAGGATTACTGTCTTCATGTGGTTGCTATGAGTCATTGGAACATTACCTTCATATGAATTTAGCTCTCGCTAAATTTGCAATGGCGGAAATTGTTGCATAACATTAAGAGTTCCTTTGTTTTTCTCCAGGATCTGTGTATACTGGGGTTGACTTTTGCAAGAAACTATGTGGGGTTTCTATTGTTCGAAGGTGAGCTTTAAATCAGGTATTGACTTCTGCGGTCCTTGTCACCTGGCAGTGGCATCTTAGTTGTTCGGAATGCAATGCACTGCCAGTGCTCTGATTACACTCTGAAGCTACAATAAGCTTTGGATCCACTTCTTCAGCTTGCAGTTCCTGATGCTAGCTAGGGTCATTTTGAGCCTTTGATGTTGAATTTCTTTCTACTAACAAGTTCGCCTTGTTTATCATTTACAGTGGAGAAAGCATGGAAAATGCGCTGCGTGCATGTTGCAAAGGAATAAAAATAGGCAAAATTCTTATCCACCGTGATGGAGACAATGGGAAACAAGTGAAGAATTTGATTTTCTTTGCAGGACTCAAAATTCCATTTGCATTTCTAATTTTAAGTTAATTCATGTTCAATTATTAACAATTAATTGCTATCCCCAACTTATGCAGCTTATATATGAGAAGCTCCCCAAGGATATTTCAGAAAGGCATGTCCTACTTCTGGATCCTGTTCTTGCCACAGGTAATCATACTATTTATTAGAGGTTTTATGTTTTCCTTATCCTTATGGTTATATGAACTCTGGATTTGTATCGCTATCACAAAAATATAGACCTCTTTATTCATTCATATTCAGTTGCAATTTTGTGCAAATATAAAATTTTTATATTACAAACTTGAATGTGGAGAGATGTTTTTCCATAGGTGGCATATGCGCCAGCTCAATGTTTGCATTTGCATCGTTTTGAAAAATTTTGGAATACATTTCTGGTGAAGTGATTGACAAAATATGCTTGGGCGTGTTATTCATTGCTCACTAGTTATTAAGGGTTCCAAAATAAGGCATAAAACCTTGTAGCAAATGGAGTGATACAATAAGACCTTTTCAGACATCACAAGATTGTAAGAACGTAATCCAATTACTTTGCCTCATTGCTGATGAGTGACACTATGACTGATGTCCTTGTAGGTAACTCCGCTAACCAAGCCATAGAACTGCTAATACAAAAAGGAGTTCCAGAATCCCATATTATATTCCTAAACCTAATATCTGTAAGTTGGGTTTTATATTATTTGTCATATTTGGTCATTTTGATGCCATTTGGATTGCCTATATTTACTGATATGCCCTTTTGGAACTTTAGGCTCCTGAGGGTATCCATTGTGTTTGCAAAAGGTTCCCATCCTTGAAAATCGTCACATCGGAGATTGATGTTTCATTAAATGATGAATTCCGAGTCATACCGGGTATGGGTGAGTTTGGTGATCGATACTTCGGCACTGATGACTAATCAGCAATGATAAGGCAACCATATAAAATGGCCAATAAATAGCCTAGTGCGTTTCTTTTCTAAGAAAATGAAGGGGAGATCAGCTGGTCTCTGATTTGTCTTAATATGGTCATATTTCATAAGTAATTAATCATGATGAAATTATGGTATAATGAAATGCTTTCCAAAAGTATGCTTTGCTCAATGCTGCTTTGGTTGATATTGATTTGCAAGTAGTCTTTGGATGAACTACTTGGAACAAGAAAAGGAAAATATTCTTGAAAATTGCTGAATAATTAACGCTTTCTCTTGCTGATAGATATGTATTTATGAATTGCATTCTACAGTAACAACATTATGAACCTTGTTAGAGTATCCTTTTAAAAAAACATCAAAAGTAAGTGATGAATCCTTATGTTGGATCTTGGTCAGTTCTACGTTTTGTGCGAGTCCAACATGATTCCTCCTCATATCTTATATAGAACAACTATAAATCTTTTATTAGGTTCTGATTCCATTCAAAGTGGAATAAGCAGCAGTTAGAAAATTGAAGAGTAGAAAAAGTTTGTCATACTAGTGTGTTTTTTTTTTTTTTTTCTCTTTGATCAGCATTAGCCAGCCAAGCATTCTCAGACGAGCTTGGTTCACTGAGAAAATCACATATCGCCTTTAATTTTATAAATTGATGAATTTCCGAAGGTCCAAAACTGCCTGGTAGTTGGACTTTTGCATGAAAGGTTATCTTCATATATGGAATTTGCCAACAATCCAAACCTTCTTGAAACAGTGTAAGTATATCCAAATATCATAAATAGACTATATAATTATAATTAAACCTCAATTTCAAATTAGTTGAGTATTATTTTATCCGCTTGAGTTCATATACAGCAAGGAAGGGTAATAGCATAAAAAAATATATAAATATATAAATTAATAGATAAAAATAATAGGTAGACAATAGCAAAGGAGCCTTGATCCTAAATTCATTGGGGTATGCTAGATCTTCATTAATCCCAAGAAATCATAGATCTTTTGTATCATTTCCCTCTATCCAATTATAAGTTTACCTTAATACCCTCCTGTTATTAAAGTATCACAGTTACGAATAAGAATTCACGAACCACATGGTCAAACTATAGTAAACATAACTTTTACTACTTGTACCTTTCAACCAATGTGATTTTTCTTAATTTTGTTGAATCTTCAAGATTAGATAATAGATTGAATCTTGTATGACCATATCTCCATCTTAACATGCGCATCTCCACAAATCCTTATGACATACTAGAGCAAATGAATACAGGCTCAAAGCAAATTCTTACAGTAGCCAAACAGTTATGGGAAACTTCTCTATATCACTTTCAACTTTTGTTACACTTATGATTGCATTTTCATACATAGCCCTGACGGCACTAATATAATTGATGTGAACCTCTTTTTTCTCCAAAAATCCACCTAAGCACCTTTCTCAGCACCTTTCATCAATCTTCTTAAAGGGAACTAGCCTCCGGTGTAGATCTTTTTGGCATAAAATCAAACTAGTTCTATCACCTTCATAACAAAACTGTGTTTATATTTTATTACTTTTTCCCAAAGTTTAATTATGTGATTCATAAATTTAATACCTAGAGTTCATATAGCTTTATATACCCTTTGTTTTTACGTATTGGCATCAGTGTGCATTTTCTCAACTGGGTGAGTTCTGCAAGTCAATTGGAAGCATAAACACAACTTGAGACTGATTCTCTAGCAACTCTAGCTCAGCATCTTCCCCCCAACCCCTTTCAATCTGCTGTACCTGTGAATAAACTGTAGTATTCTCACGGGGTGTACAAATTTGGTCTATTCTGATCACTGGGGACATTTAAATGTATAAGTAGAATTGAGGAAGATCGTTGCGTGGGCGACCTGTTTGACTCGGGTCGTTGGCCTCAATTTGTGAAGAAGATCAAAGACTGAATGAGGTAAAATTTGATATTCTCCAAGCCTCGACTCGACCCATAAACAGGTCTAGGCCTAAGGCATGAGAAAAAGTTTCATTTTTGTTTTCCCTGTACACTGAAATGAAGCTTGGTGTATAGATACTTGAATATAAGAAAGAAAATATATCAGAGGTGCCAATTTCAGCATGAAAAAACCTTGCATTGCCTAGAGAACACGTTCGGGTATACATCTGGCCAAAATAATATGCAAAGCTTCTGTTTGTAGTAAATAAACTTCTTTCATGTCACTGATCCCGTTTATCTTCATCTTCCCTTCCAATATCTGAGAGACTCATCGGTGGAATGCTGCTGCTATTTATAAGATTTTTAACATTAGATGAAGTTCTTTCATCTTCTGACAACCTAACTATTGCATCTCTTACAATTACATAGTTTTTATCAAGCATATCTGGAAATTTTCCCCTGTCAATCATCTCTTTCAATACCTCAAAAGCCAAAGGGAATTTTAAGTCAGCAAGGAAAGCACTTACTAATGCTATATAGACAGAAGTGTTGGGTTCCATTTCTTTCTCTTCCATCTCGCGGAAATGAACCAGAGCTTCATTAGGCCTACCACAGTTGCAAAGACCATGAATAAAAGCCATGAAAGCAATTTCATTAGGAGGGCAGCCTTTTCTTCTCATTTCATTCCATTGCGTCACGGCGTCATCAGGTCTTCCAACATTACATAACGCATGTATTAAACTAGTGTATGTAGTGACATTAGGATTCCTTTCTTTTGCAGACATACTAGAAAGACAAAACAGGGCCTCATCAATACGACCACTTTTGCACCAGCCATCTATAAGCAAGTTATAGGTGATAACCGAGGGAGCTACACCCTTCATCTCCATCTCATTGAAAAGATTCTGAGCTTCTGCCATTCTTTGGGCTTTACAAAACCCTTTTATCAATGTGTTGTAAGCAACCACATCAGGACAATGACCACGAGCACAAATGTCATAGAATAGCTTCAACGCTTTATCAAGTTCTTGAATTTTAATTAAACCATCCATCAATGCAGAATAAGCAATTATATTTGGAAAAAAACCTTCTTGAGTCAAATGAGCAAGAAATGCGCAAGCTTCTACTGCCTTGCCATTTTTGCACATATTTCTCACCAGCAAGGTGTAATGTTTTACCCAAGGTTCTTGCCCATGAAAACGCATCTTCTTTACCAGATCAAGGGCTCCAGAGACATCCCCTCTCCGGCACAGGCACCCGAAAATAGAATTGTGAGTGAATTCTGTTGGCTCAAATCCTGACTCTTCCATTTCTCTCAAAAGCTCGTAACTCTCCTCCAATCTATTAGAATTGCAAAGTTCATCAATTAAGTTATTATAAATTAGTAAGTTTCTATCACAACCAATTAAAGCCATATCACGAAAAAGGCAAAGTGCCAAGTCCAACTTGTGAGCCTGGACCAAACCAGTGATGACAGTAGTAAAAGAGACAGTGTTAGGAGGAATCATTTCTATATCTCGGAAAAGCTTACATAACTCAACATTATCATCGTATCCATTTCCCATCATCGCCTGAAGAAGACAGTACGCTTTATCTATCAACCCATTATTAACTAGAGAATTCAACACAGAATTGCTAAGCAAAGTCAGACTTTCTACATCCATATCCTTGTGGATTTCCTCAAGTATGCGGATTAATTCTCCTTCTTGAGTAAAAGAAGATAGGAGTTTAGTAACTATTGCAACATCAGGTCGGATTTTGAACACCTTCATTTCTGCACACAAAGACAGAGCTTTCTCAAGCTCTTGATTCACACAAAGCCCTCCAATTAGCACATCAAAAAGTGAAATATCTGGAGCAAACCCATACCTTTTCATCTTATCAAACAATAGGAGGGCCTTATCTACTCTGGATTGCTTTACAAAACCATGAACCAAATTGCAAAACGTCTTCTCATTCAATTTAATGGTTTGATCTTCCATTTTTTCAATTAACTCAAACGCCTCATCCACCTTACCCCACTTGCTAAAAGATATAACCAAGATAGTGAACACATATTCATCAGCCCAACCACGATCATTGATCTCATTAAAAACATTCAAAGCTTCACCAAATTTCCCTACATTGCAATAAATCTGTAACAGTGGTGTCAAAGTGTACTTATCAAACCTCAACCCTCGATCACGCATTTCTTTCAGTCTCATTTCAAGCAAACCAACTGAAGTAGCAGGACTAGACATAGAGATAGCTTCCAGCAAACAATTATAGCTATAAAGATTCGGGACGCAAAGACCCATAATTTTTACTTGATCAAACAACCAATTAGCTTCATTAGTTAACCCAACACTACCCAAACATCTAATTAAGAAACCAAGAGACCCAGGACTCATTGAACAACGGGAATTCAAGATTTCAACAGACAAATCTCTCAGTTGGGCATTTTGTCGAGCATGTGATAGGATTTTTGCCATGGCATTGTAAGTATAAATGTCATGCTTATACCCACATTGGTTTGACGCCCAAGAGAAAAAAGTATAAGCAAATTTCCAGCTTTTGAAAGTTTTTAACACAGATTCGACGACTTCGGTACTTAGCAACGGAGCAAGAGATAGCAACTCTGGGTTGTCAGGGCAAAATGGCTGTTTGGTGAAGATGGAGATGAAGTCGTAAGTAATGCTAGTGAAATCTGATGGATTTGTAGAGAGACTTCTAATGGATACAGAATTTGAATTAATGGGTTTAATTGATTTGCAGAGCCTTTGAGAGGTATTCATCATTCTTGATAGCGCCATTGCAGCTGATAGTTGGAACTCGGACAGAATTTTTTTTTTTTTCCTTCGTTGTTTGGTACGCTGTACTTTGTTCTTTGTTTTTGGAGTCAAAAGGGTAACAAAATTTTTTACCCTGTCTTGAATACAATTATAAAACAGATGCTTGAAAATAAAGTTAAATTATGTTATTTTTTATTCTTTCCTAAGGCGGAAAAAGTGTAAATTCCAATCTTAATTTTTATTTAAGAGTCTCAATCTCAATGCCAAAATTCTTTCTAGTGATTTAAAGTTTGTAATTAAATTTCAAGAATTCTTTTATTGTATATCCTTTTTAAAATTTCAAATAATCAATTATATTTTTTTGAAGTTTTAAATATAAAATATTTATTAATAATAATCATTCAACTAAAATATAAATAAAGAGAAAATTTTCTATTTTAGGAAAGATAAAAATAAAAAAAAAAAAAAAAGAATATAATCATTCAACTAAAATATAAATAAATGGAGAAAATTTTCTATTTTTAGGAAAATAAAAATAAAAAAAAAAAAAAAGGATATACATGTTTCTATAACAATTATTTAATATGCATATATATTCAGGCACGTGCTTCAACGACCCGTATGTGATGAAGGTCAAATCAAAAACCACATAAACATGTCCTTGATCTATTAAAAGATAAAAAAATACAATTATATTTTTCAAAATTTATTATCCATTGCCAATTACTCCACCACTAAAAATTGGAAAGGATACCTCCTAATTAATTTTTCTGTTTTTCGGAATAAAAAAGAGCAATTACATAATTTAATTTTATTTAGAAATCCGAAATGTGTCAATATTCTTTATTGCACAATTACAGCATAGGGGAAAAGTTTCTTAGGACCCTTGAGAGTTAGTCCATGATCTTTGGTATTTTCTTGAAATATGGATAAAAAAAGTTCAGAAATGAATCATAGATGTGAAAATCTAAAAAAAAAGGAAAACATAAACATTCCGCCATAGTCTCATATACTACTAGTGTTCACTTCTCTAAGAGGAAAAAGAACTCCAAAATGACTTCAAAAGATGAACATTTTGGTTTATAAATTGATAAATTAAAAAAAAAAAAAAAAAGGATATACATGTTCTATAACAATTATTTAATATGCATATATATTCAGGCAACCGTGCTTCAACGACCCGTATGTTGATGAAGGTCAAATCAAAACACATAAAATGTCTTGATCTATAAAGATAAAAATACAAATTTAATTTTCAAAATTATTATCCATGCCAATTACTCCACACTAAAAATTGAAAGGATACCTCCTAATAATTCTGTTTTTGGAATAAAAAAGAGCCAATTAATAATTTATTTTATTTAGAAATCGAAATGTGTCAATTTCTTTATTGCACAATTACAGCATAGGAAAGTTTCTAGACCTTGAGAGTTAGTCCATGATCTTTGGTATTTCTGAAATATGGAATAAAAAAAGGTTCAAGAATTAATCATACGATGTGAAATTAGAAAAAGGAACATAACATCCGCCATAGTCCATATATACTAGTGTTCACTTCTCTAAAGAGGAAAAAGATCCAATGACTTCAAAAGATGAACATTTGTTTATAAAATGATAAATACAGTTTACAAACAAAATAATAAACACAGTTTACATTGTAAAGTTGAACATTTGTTATTATACTGAATACTGATATTTACTCTTAAATTGCCAAAAATCTCTCTTCCCATTCAAAATCATGGCATAACATGTATCCTCCATTCTGATCCACCATCTGAGTGTATATACATATGATAATAAAAGTTTCCTTAAAGAGATACTTGACCAATCAAACTAAAACCATGTATGAGAAATACCTAATCAAAATAACAGCAATGCCCATGAAGCATTTGGAACATAATGTTAGCATCACCTAAGGATGTAGCAATTGTCAGCAAGCAACAACATCAGTAGAGATTTATTGTATGCTACAGCTGAAGTGAAACACTTCCCTCGTCAAAAGCCAAGCCATAATCCGCTAGCAGAAAAGATCCATTACATAAGCAACTGAGGGTAAGATGATAATTCAGTGAACAAATGTTTTGGCAACATAGAGAATCTCTCCAGTTGCAACATATCCTCTCAGGAAGTAATTGAAGAAAGGATACCAAAGATATTGAAATCATTCTAAACCAGTTATAAATGAAATTATAATTGCCAAATTATAAGGCATACACTCATTATCAGCCCATATAGCACAAAGTAGACAAACCATGGTGATGGTGCTAAATAATTTCACATATAAGTTAATCCACTCCCTATTGACAACATAAAAGAATTAGACAACATTTTAATCTGAAGCCACAGCAAGAATAAGATCAATTTCCTACTCCCTGTTGAGTGTTGTCAACATAAAAGAATTAGACAACATTTTTCTCTCAAGCCATATACCAAGAATAATTCCCACAATTCGACTTTTAAATGCATAGAGGTGGCAGGCAAAACAGAAATTAAAAGAGCAATACAACATTTAAGAATATAAGAGATGCCAAATATCCAAAAATTTATAATCCAGTGATTCCTATGAAACAACCAAAAATATATCTCCATGTTCGGGTTAAAAGCAGAGACAACAAAAACTATTAACCCCTCAATATGGAAACAACAGAGATAAGTATAAATGCTGCTCTTATTCTTCTCCAACTACCGTGCCCTTCTCACTGACATAGATGCCGTCCAGGAACTTCCGGATATCTTTGTTCTTAACATGACATTTCTGGCATAAAGTTAATAGAAGTGGGTAAGAGTCATTCAAATAGACAGAATTCCTTTTGTGACATTATGCATTGATTGAGAATGGACACAAAGTATATATATTAACAAATTTTATGAAAACAATGAACATGCGAAAAATGCTTGAGGGAGAAAGATACCTGGTTTATGAGGGCAGCAGAACGCGAAACAAGTTCAATGTCATTGCCATCCAATATCAACTCATCCTTAACCTTTTCTGATCGAACAACAGTTACACCCTCCAGCATGTCAACTTTCCTTACCTGATACAATCAAATACAATAACATAATCCAAAATCAAATCAACCATACGAAGATAGCAATAGAATGAGCACTATATTTCTATTAGACAGTGTGTTTCTATTTGCAATTCTATTAGCTTAGAGTTTGGCATAAACAAAATTAATTTGGAACTCTAAACTTTTAATTCTATGGAATTCGTTAAACTTCAGTTGAATTCCAACAAAGTTGATACAATTGTAAACGAACTTCAAAATTAACATCTGATAAAGCTAATAATAGATTCTAAGTATACGCTAGTACAGCTCTATTATACATTCGAAATGACTTATCCATCAAATTCAAACATGAAAAGACATTGACAAATGAATTAAATACATGAAATTCATTTGTAATTAAATTAATCGCTTCGTCATCTATACCAAACACTCGGTAAATGCCAATCTGAATATTCAGATATCTCATTATAGTGCATAGAATGTTGCATTCAACCATTTTTAAAAAATCCAACTTTATTAATACCCAGAAAATGAAAAGACAAATAATACCTTCTTCTCGCCAAGGAAGTTACGGATCTCAATAGCATTGTTGGAACTGGTAATGGAGGCGTTGATGGGGAAGTGAGCATAAACAAAACGCATCTTGTAGCGATATCCCTTAGTGACACCGGTGATCAAATTCTCAACGTGGCTAAGGGCGGTGCGGATGGCGGCGCTGGTCTTCCTAGAGCCAAACCAAGCTTCGATCTTGAGCTTTCTTTTTCCAGTTGCCTCATCTCTGATGAGCTGAAAATCGAGATTTAAATGCTTGAAGTTACGGGTAAGCTTGCCTCTAGGACCTTCAACCTCTATAATCTTGGCATTAACTTTGATCTTAACCCCATCGGGTATGTACATCGTCTCCGATGACAATATAGTCTTCATGCTGTATAATCCGAGTGTCTGCTCAACTGACGCGCCAAATGTTTAGAGACAGCACAGCAAAACCCTACTGCTTTGTTATCCTTTTATAGTAGTGACTAGAGAGGGCTTTCTCTTTTAACTAAACGGTGTCGTTTATCCACCTTAAAGGGCCTAGACCAAACTACGATTTAGGTTAACGTCATACGGTTCGGGCAACGTTATGTCGTTTAGTTTTTTAATTTTTAAGCAAGCGTAGCGTCTAAGACTGCCACTTCATTCACCGGCGATTCCAATGTCTCCCAGCCTCCTCTCCTACCGCCCACCCTTCACCCAACTTATCACCTGCAACGTGTCTTCCGGCGGCGTACGGCCTCCACATCCTACACTTCCTCCGCCGCCACCTGCGCTAGTTAACCTCAACACAAGCACCGTACCAGCACATAAGCGCGCCCTGCGGTGCCCTCAATTCCAATCGTAAAGTTCTCGACCACAAACGCTTCTTAGTGCCTTGTTAGTGCCAAATTTTGCCGAACTCCAATAGTAAAATTTTAGCCTCCACATCCTACTCTTTTCCCATTATTTGTTGAGCCAAGGCACGTTACTGTTAGTGCCAAAATTTTCTAGTCTTTTTGTTACACTCCAACTTGAATATTCATTGAATAAGATAACAGTTCTTCCATTAATCTCTTGCGCTTATATTTATTTTACTTTAGCTTGACACGTTTTGGCAGATATCAAGCGAACTATGTTTCTGCCCAGCAGCAATAATATATAAAGGTTATGAGATAAACTTCTTGCTTAATCATTTCATCGATAAGATAAACCTCATAAATCACAAAATTTCAGTCTCGAGCCACAACGAGAATAGAACAATTTCCCAGATTTCAAATTTTGGATGTATGAAGGCAATGGCAAATAAAAAGGAAATTTAAAGCCATCATATAAGAGCAAACGAGGTGCCAAATATCCAAAAAATTTAAAATCCAAGAATTCCAAAAAAAAAACCAAAAAGATGTCCTCTCATATTCAGGTTAAAAGCAGATGAAACAAAAACTATTAACCCCTCTATATAGAAATAACAGAGAAAGGTAGAATTGCTGCTCTCATTCTTCTCCAACTACAGTGCCCTTCTCACTGACATAGATGCCGTCAAGGAATTTCCTGATATCTTTTTTCTTAACATGACATTTCTGGCAAAAAATTAATAAAAGGTGTAAGAATCATTCAAATAGACTGTAGATAGAGATGCTTTTTGTGCCACTGTGCACGATTGCCCATGGACACAACAGACGTATATTGACAAATTTTATCAAAATAACAAAAATGCAGCATATGGTTGAGGAGAAAGATACCTGGTTTATGAGGGCAGCAGAACGCGAAACAAGTTCAATATCATTTCCATCCAATATCAACTCATCCTTAACCTTTTCCGATCGAACAACACTAACACCCTCAAGCATGTCAACTTTCCTGACCTGATGCAACCAAATAGAAGGTGTGTTTATGCAATATAAATATATTCAGACTTCTACTAAATTAATTTGGAACTCTAAACTCCGAATTGTATGGAATTGGTGAAACTTTAGTTAAATTCCAACAAAGTTTATAAAATTGGAAAGTGAGTTCCAAACTCAAACAAGGGTACAAGCTGATAAAGCTAATAAATTCAGAGCATGTGCTAGTAAGTTTACATTAAATTCAAATGTGAAAATGCACTCACAAATGAACTAAATACATGAAATTCATTCTAACTAAAATGAATCCATCTCCATCCCTAGTCCCAAGCACTAAGGAAAATGCCAATCTAAATAATCACTTGTCTCACAATATTGCAACAACAACAGACAAGACTTAGTCCCAAGTAGTTGGGGTGTTTCAAACATCCGCTCTAATCAAAGTAATATCAATGCGAATGAAAGTATTAGTATGAAAAAATTTTGAGATAATTTTTGTCAAATTTTTGAAGGAAAATTTAAAATCATTCGATATATCGACAAAATAATCATTTGATCCAAATAATTTGTTTACAGCATTGCAAAATTCAAAACATAAGCACTCAACCACTAAACAAAAAATATAACCATTAATAATACCCAGAAAATGAAAAGACAAATAATACCTTCTTCTCGCCAAGGAAGTTACGGATCTCAATAGCAGTGTTGGAGTTGGTAATGGAGGCGTTGATGGGGAAGTGAGCATAGACAAAACGCATCTTGTAGCGATATCCCTTAGTGACACCGGTGATCAAATTCTCAACGTGGCTAAGGGCGGTACGGATGGCGGCGCTGGTCTTCCTGGACCCAAACCAAGCTTCGATCTTGAGCTTTCTTTTTCCAGTTGCCTCATCTTTGATGAGCTGAAAATCCAGATTCAAGTGCTTGAAGTTACGGGTAAGCTTGCCTCTAGGACCTTCAACCTCTATAATCTTGGCATTAACTTTGATCTTAACCCCATCGGGTATGTCCATCGTCTCCGACGACAATATCGTCTTCATTCTGTACAATCTGAGTGTCTGCTCAACTGACGCCCCAAATGTTTAGCAGCAGCGCAGAAGAAACCCTAGGGTTTTGTTATGCTTATATAGTAGTGAGGGCTTTCTCTTTTAACTAAACGGTGGCGTTTATGAACCTGAAAGGGCCTAAACCAAAACCACAATTTGGGTTAACGGCATACGGTTCGGGTAACGTCAATTCGTGTAGATTTTTTTTTATTTTTTTTATTTTGCAGGTATAAGATATTATCTATGCCCGCCCGCCAACAAGCAAGCGCAGCGTCTAAGACTGCCACTTCATTCACCGGCGATTCCACGAATGTCTCCCTGCTTCCTCTCCTACCGCGCACCCTTCTCTCAACTTATCACCTGCAGCGTGTCTTCCGGCGTACGGCCTCCACATTCTACTCTTCCTCCGCCACCACCTGCGCTAGTTAACCTCAACACAACCACCGTTCCAGCACAGAAGTGCGCCCTCCAGTGCTCTCACTTCGAATCGTAAATTTCTCGACCATAAACACTTCTCTCTCATTTCAAACTTTCAATTCTCTATTCTATGCATAGGATGAGTTGTTTATTTCGTTTTTATTATTCAGGTGCTCTGGGTGCACGCAAGAGTTTAATCTCCAACGTCCGATTATAGTTGATGAGGCTGATGAGTTTTTTAGGAGTGTTGGAATTTCGGACTTCACTTTTGATAGCTCTAGATTGGTATTCGCTTGAAGTATTTCTTCTTTAATTTTTGTTTAAATTGTCCTCAAGTGGATTTTACTTTTACTGGTTTTGTTAAAGGGTTTTAATTTCTATGCTTCATCTTTGCAGTGGGGATGGAGATGTCGCGCAAAATTGGCTGTTCGTGGTTCCTCAATGAACCCTCTAATTGGGCTTTACCAGGAAGGCACTCATAATGCGGTTGACATTCCCCATTGTAAAGGTCCATACAGCAATTTTGTCCCTTTTTAAGTTGCAACCAAATTACTGTCAAATCTTAGTCTGTTTAGATGATTGTATTTAAGGGTTTTTATTTTCTTATTGATTTCTGATTTTTGCAGCTCACCACCCAACTATTAATGTTGCTGTTGAATTACTTAGACGAGGTGCATTTTATATAAATGTACTACTTTTTGTATAGAACTTATTTGATTTGAAGTGGGTGTTTAGTTTTTGGATTTGAATTGTAATTCTTTTAGGTATTACTGAATTGAATGTTGAGCCATATGATGAAGATCAGGGAACAGGTGATTTAAGATATGTTCAGGTGATTAATGCAATTTTGAATGTTGAGATAAGATGGAGAATTAGTTGAGTCTGTCTATCAATCCTTGATCCTAGAATCTTATTGCTGTCTGTTTGTGAAATGATGTCTATCTTGCAGATGGCTGTGACAACTTACAATACCGCACTTCCTGCATCCGAAAGATACAAAAATGGTTGCTTTCTTAGCCTATGATATTATTTCTGCATTGCTTTTCAAGATATTTGTTTTTGATCTGTTTGACATTGCCATAACCAAATAATCAACTTTCTTGAATCTTTTATTACAGGTAAAGTACAAGTTGCTTTAGTTTGGAATTCAAGAAATGAGAACTCATCTAATTTTGGCAAACTAAATGCCTTGGCTAATGTGAGCTCAAAGTGTCTCTATTATAGTTTCATCACAGTTCTTCAATTTATATAACATATTTGATTGCATATTATGTTTTACAGTACTTGTGGAGAAATGGTGGACCAAGGAATGATGTCCGTGTCATTCATTCTGTATGGGCTAACTTTCAGACATCAACTAACAATGTAAGTTAAGAGTTAAGAGTTCTTTTATGGATTAATAGAATATAATAACTTTGGCAGCAGCTTTTTTGAAAGAGAAATGCTTATTGATTCAAAAAATATTGATAAAGTATCTAGTATCAATTTCTGTATTTCAGATTGTGAGGAGCCAGTTATAAAAGGTTTTGGCTACAATAATAGTACAATTAAAATAACCATTTTTTCTTCATGAAAAATTCTTCAAATTTTAGGATTCTCTGGTTGGGAGAACAAGCTGTAATGTGAAATTTGCAACAATGCTAGGTTTAGCAGATCTTTGGAATGGTTGAGTTATCCTGTTGAAGAATAGACAAGAAATTGTTATCTCTTACTTGTAAAGCCTTCTTTATGTGACACTTAGAATGTCTTGCAATGATGCAGATTATTTTTGGGAATAGGTGGAGACATCTTTTAGGAGACCAAGACTTCTGGGAACATGTTGGAGGAATTGATATATCCTTGGCTCCATCCAGTTTTGGACAAGCAAATACACGGGTAAAACAAATATCTAATTGGACAAACTCTTTTTTTTTTTATTTTGTTTGAGATTGCTTGTATTACAAACATAATTGCTCTTTTACATCAATAGAAATGTGAATGGGAAATCGTATCTTCTTCTCTTCCTCATGCACCCCTTCGCACGTCAAAGTTTTTTATATCCTTAACCAGGGTTCTCTTGCAGGCTTTTGATACTTTGCTGCGAAAGTTACAAAAATATGTTCCTTATGGAGCATCTGTTGCTGATTTGTATGCAGGCGCTGGTGTGATTGGGTTATCACTGGCTGCCACTAGAAGATGCAGGCAAGATTTATTGTTATGATAAACTCTGTAGGGTTGCATTTTTGTGTTTGAAATTATGGAAATTTAATTGTAGTATTGGAATTATTGCTTTTAGATCTGTTAAATGCATTGAGGTTAACAAAGAGTCAAAAATATCTTTTGAGAAGACAGTCGAACGCCTTCCAAACTCTGTGGATAGCAACATCAGCTGGCATCATGCTGACACTTCAGCTGTAAGTGATTGACTTCCTAATTTTTAGTTTTACGATAATATATGTGATAGGCTTTACTTCAGAATGCTACATGTAGAAATTCTAGCAAGTGTTCTTCGTCAGTGTTGCTATTGAAGAAGAGGAGGAGAGAGCTTCTAATATTGCTCTCAGTCAAGTAATCTTAAACAAATTATATGATTTTATTCTCATGTTGAATAGGAACCTCTTTCTTGGCTGATGGGCTCAGAAGTAGTTGTTGTTGATCCTCCAAGAAAAGGTCTTGACTCATCTGTTGTTGATGCATTGCGGGCTATATCATCAATGGAACGTAAAGCTAAGTCATTATCTGAAAGGTGGGACTGTCTATCTTACATTTTCTAGTTGTTAATACCTTGAAACTCAGGGGTGATCCACTGTGCAGCTCTTTATACTTGTTGGTTATTAATTTACTGTGTTGTAAATTTCAGTAGTCACTCAAAGGTGAAAGATGAAAAAAGGCCATGGATTTTACGTGCTAGGGAAGCATCGGTTGAAATCAAAGGCAAAGAAACTTTGAAGGATCCTCAATCACTACCTCAAACACTTATTTATATAAGCTGTGGATGGGAAAGCTTCAAAGAGGTAATGAAATAGGAGTGTCTACTATATAATGCTTTGATTAATGTTCTCAACCTAATTATGCAGCTATTATCTAACAGGATTGCAAGTCATTGTTGTCTAGTAAGGAATGGCGTTTGGAAAAGGCTCATGGTTTTAATTTCTTTCCTGGAACCCAGAGGTAATTTTTTCCTTTTACTTTTGTGATAAGGATGCTGAATTTATTTCCTATTCAGTTTACTTTATATTTTGTTCAATTGCATGTACCTTGCTATTACTTGTTGACTGCTTTCCCTACATCTGTTTGAGCAATTGGTTTGAACTGTTGCAAATTCTAGGAAATTAAATTTCAGGCCCATTAACCGTATAAAATTATGAACCAAAGAAGCTTTGAATAAAATTTGCAGCTGCAGGACATCCATAACCATTACAAAGGCAGAAATGATTATATTTGTTTCTGGTAGGGTAGTGTAGGGTAGATCTCATATGTGCATAAAGTTTGATGCCATGACTAGATTGGATATGTCTTAAATTTATTTAATTTTTTTTTAATGATTTGTGATTAGAAAGTGATTCTGTGTTATGATTGCAGCATTGAGATTCTGGCTGTATTCAAGAGGGGCCAAGGAGCAAGCCCTAAGAAGAAGAAATCAGGCAAAAAGAAGAAACGCTTATAAGGATCATCGAGTCATTCATGCAACACAGTTTCTTCCATGATCCCCTGAAGGAATCAGGCTATAAATTGCACATGAGAAGATGAAATGAAACCCAAAAATGGAAACCAGTGTAATGAGGAATGTACGAGAGATGGGTACAAACAGAAAATTTATCGTAGGCATTCTGTTGTGTTCTCTTATTGTGTAAGGAAAATGAGATGCACAAGTGTACAAATGAATAGCATTTTATATTAATCATGTATCTCAACAATCTTCTGTAGAATTTGAAAAAGAATGAAAAACTAATGCAAAAGCGAAAGGAAAAGTGAAAATTGTTGCTCCGAGCAAGCTGCTATTGTGATTTACTTAAAAAGCCATGGGAAATTCAGTTGTGTTTTTCTCTGCTCTTGGTTCTGGCCAAATGAGGAAATGCTGTCAAGATGTTGTAAGCCATTAAATCCTGCCTAGTCAAGATTCCGACAACCGGTGGTACCTACAAAATCAAAGACACCATTGGGTCAGGGTATGCCCTTAAATTCTGTCGAGAAATTAAATGCTGAAAAGAAAAAAAATTTTACCCCAGCTGCTTGGTATTTGGGAACAATGAGCAAGTGGCGTAGCCCCACTTGCCGGAAAAGCACCATAGCTTTTGCCACTGACATACTCTCCACGACCGTGTAAGGTGTTGTATTAGTGAGAGGATGCAAATCAACAAACATTTCCATTTCTGCCCTTGTAACTGGCACTTCTTCAATCTTCCCTTCCCTCTCAGCCAAATCAACCCAACTAAACTTCTCTCTTGCTTCCCACTCCTCTGTTCTTCTTTTCTCATGCAAGAACCATTTTTTCTTAATGACTTGCACAAGGTGAGCTCTTAGGATCAGTCCATGCAATTCCGTTGCTCCGGCAGCCAATCCCACTGGTGGCACCACTCCGTCGTCCACAACAGGAAATGCATTGTGTGTAGTGTTTTTAAGCACATCAACAATCCGTGACACTTTTTCCACTCCACAAAGAGTAACAACCGGCGGTTTGGCATCAGCTAGCTCGCCAACAGTCAGATTTCTCATCCATGGCTCAGGATTGGCATCCAAGAAAGGTAAACCCTTGAGATGCAATATAATATCATATATGCTTGGATTGAAACTGTCTCCTACTGTTTTAGCTATTAAAAGTACTAGCATTGTTATAGGAAGTAATAAGAGGTTATTAGTAAGTTCAAGAAAAATAACACAAAGTGACACAGTCATCCTCATTGATCCAGCCATCAGTGAGGCTGCACCAAGAACTGCATACAGCCCTTGATCAATATTGGTATAGGATCCCATGGCAACACCGAGCAGGCGACCATAAGCTGCACCCATAAGGATAATAGGTAGAAAAAGACCTGAAGGTACAGCAATGCCAAAGGTAAATAGTCCTAAGACACAATAAAGTACAAAGAAAATGAGAAGGGAAAGAGGCTGAAATTCTGTAGGAGTGTTGGAAGAGAAGATGTTTCGAACTGCATCATCGTTTGTTGTAAGAAGTAGAGTTGCAAGGTCATTGTAATAGCCTGACGGACAGTTGAATTGTTTGAAATTGCCGGTTCGATCATTAGTAGGGCATAACTCTGTTACAGAAGGATCACAAGGTTGGCATTTGGCAAGAAATGGGAGACCATATGCGCAAATTGAGGTAAAAAGTGAAACTACTAAACTCAGTAGTAGCTTATGCATTCTTCCTTTCCTGCAATGAAACAAGAACTGCGTTAATCAGAAATGAATTTCATTACACTAAAATGCCTCAAAACAAATGCCAATCAGATTTGCTTACTGATTAATGAGATTGTAGAGTCTAAGGACCTTGTGAAGAACGTGGTTATAGAGGCTACCCAGAATTCCACCAATTATGCCAATTACAACAACTGGGATAATATCCATGGGACGGTATCTAACAGTAACATCACTCACATCGAACATGATTAATCCTCCTCTACCAAAAAGTCCACATTTTCCAGAATTGCAGATTTCTATAAAAGCTCTTAATACTACAACAACTACTGCTGTACTAAAGAAAGTTCTCCAAAGAAGTGCACTCCTCCACCATGTTGCTACCTCTTCAAGAGAAAACAGAACACCGCCTACTGGGGCGCGGAAGGCTGCACAAACACCTGAAGAAGCACCACAGGTGATAATGTCGCGGCGATCCCTGTCGTTGTTGAAGTAGCGAAGCCAACGCCATTTCAAACGGTAGTTATCAGGTCCTCCTTGCCCTAATAAGGAAGCAATGCAGCTTCCAATGTGCACTAAAGGTCCTTCCTTTCCTAAATCTAAGCCTGCAGAGACTGCTCCAATGCTTCCAAATATCTAAAACAAAAGCAAGTTATAAGATTTCTCGCTACTTAGATTAGATGATCCCCAATCTCAACACCAAAAAACTTTTGGATTTGACTAGATTTTGTTTCTTGATTTTTCCATTTTTTTTAAGAATTTGGCTCAGATCAAAAGTTCAAACTCACAAGCCAAAACGCCATTTAAAGGATAATGAAAAAGCAATATGGGGAAAAAAAAAAGAAAAAGAAAAACATTTATAGATCTGATCTGAACTCACTAAAAACAGAGTTGCTCTGTTATTAAGGATTCACTTCCAGAAAACTACTATCAAACACCTTCAAAAAAAAAAAAAAATTGTCTTTCCTGATTTTGAAAATATGATTGCAAACCAGAATTAAGTTTGATAAGAGAAAGTTACATTAAAAAACAAACCTTGACGATCAATGTTGTAGCACCAAACATGTTAGGAGTGTCAATTCCATTAAGATAAGCTTTAATTTCAGGTATACCAGGGCCAGCAGCTGTAGGTGCAAAACACACACACAAAATAGAGGCAAAGGCTGTTAAAACAAGATTAGCCCCAGTAAAATAGGCCAACCCTGTTAAATACCTGTAGATCATGACAAAAACCAATCCGTTGTCAAGATTGGGAAAAAGAAAAAAGAAGAAGAAGTGATAAAAAACGTAAGGTTATTAAGGACCTTTCATTTTCAATGAAATGAACAACAGCTAAAAGCTTGTAACCAGCAATGTTTTCTACTGCAAGATTGATTAGAGTGGCAATTAAGCCAGTAAGCAGACCAACTAGAAATGCCAAAGTCCATTTTAAGAATATATACTGTAAAACTTGAATTTGGGATCTGCTTCTCCAATCATGCTTGAAAAGATCGTTCTCATTGATCCTGCAACCAATCAATCAAACAGTCAAACCCACATCACAATTTTATTTCTTCAAAAGATAATTATAAAAAGGTTACTAATTTAAGTTAATTACTCATAATCTAAGCTCTCTATATGAGAAACTTTAGCTCCAACCAAGGCTAATGGATTAGAAGATAATGTTCTGTTTCTCTTGAGGAGTGGTTGTTGAAGAGTATTGCTTTCTGGGTCTCTTTCATCTTCACCGGCTTCCGTGTTGTGAGATTGTACTGTTGCTTGTTCTTCAGCTAATTGGGTTGAAGTTTCCTCCATTATTGGAACTGCAAAAGTTGCAGAGGCAGAGCTTTATTTTCCTTGTTAGAAATGGAGAATTTCTATTGCTAGAACTTTTATGTCATGAGAGGCTTTTATATACTTAATATTAAACACTAGTCCCGTCTCATGATTTTGTCATGCTAGGCCCTACTACATGCATAATTGCATGAAATACCCTCTCATATAAATCTTCTTCACATGATGACTTTATATAGAAGTGATCCCATGCATAAATTTATCCATATACTCTTTGCTCCCCATTCGGCAAAAAATTTGTTTCATCATTAAAATTTTAATTTAAATAGTTGGATACTTTTAAAATAATTTTATTGAATGCTCAAATTTTTTAAATTAGATTAATTAAATATTTATTAAATAGTCGAAAAATGCAGAAATATTGTTCTAAAGAGTATACTAATCGCACATCAAGTTAATAATTTGCATATAAAAATAAAAATCCTAAAAATTATTATGCTAGTATGAAGACTAATATTACAACAATTTTTAATTTAGAGAGAGTAAATTATCATAAGATTTGAAGTACCATGAGATTTCTCATATCAAATAAATGAGTAAATTTATATATTTAACGAGGATAGAGGGAAAAATCTTTTGTTTCATGGAAACCAATCCTTTTACAATAATATAAATGGGTCCATTTTAATTTTAGCAAGTTTGGGAAAAAATACATAAATTAACTCGTGAGTGTTTTTACTTCAACTTTGTAACATTCTTAATTTTGACTTTCACTCATCAAACATTTCAATTTATGAAACTACATTTATTGAACACTTAAATTTTTAAAATTATTTTATTGAATTACTTAAACTTGCAAAATTAAATCAATTAAGTACTCATTAAAAAGTTGAAATTTATGAAACCTTGTAATACTATTAACTTTTACTTTGACCCATCAAATATTTCATCTTATGAAACTATATTCATTGAACACTTAAATTTTTAAAATTATTTTATTGAACATTTTAATTTGCAAAATCAGATCAATTAAGTACTCACAAAAAAGTTGAAATTTATAAAAATTATTGTTTCAAAAGTCATGCTAACTATATATCAAGTCGATATTTTACAGATAAAAACTAAAAATCTCAAAAATTATTGATATTAGTATTAAAACATGTGTAATATTATCAAAATTTATAAATTCAAATACACGATAGGTCATCCCTAAAATTTAAAGTACCACAAAATTAAAATCGTAAAATTCACATATCAATTTATATATGCAGCTGTAAGTTTAGTGATTACTCATTGAACTTTGTTATCATATACACCAGATGTGACATGTGATTGGACTAATATTCTAAGGTTAGCATGTGTGACATGTAAATCTTAATATCCTTCTTTTCCAAGAAACAAGAAATATGCATCAAAGCAATAATTAATGGTAATGATTTTTTTTGTTTTAACATGAGATGAAAGAATAATTCTTACATTATTATTATATACTAAGCCGCGTGTGCGGTTACCGTTGCCATAAAAGTAATTTTACAAAATATAATCCTTTTATTTTTCTTAATTACATTTCTATCCAAAGATATTTTCCTTTTTAAATTCTTTTATTATTCTTTAATTACATTCTTACAATAATAATATTTTTCTCACTTAAATCTTATATTGTTCTTTGATTACATTTATGTCCAACATTATTTCCTACTTAAATATTTTATTATTCTTTAGTTACATTCTTGCTATAATTTTAAATTTTGTTATCCATTTAAACTTTATTAAATTATTTTTTTAATTTATATAAGTAAAACTTAATATGAGTTTTCCATAGCATTTCTTAAATCCATAATTATAAATGCGTTGAATAGTTAATTTTGTAATGTACAAAATTGATGTACCATTGATTTGAATATAAAAAATTATTAATGGTTAACTTTTTTTTTTTGTTAATTTGATTTTTTTCCATAATTTTTCATTTTTTTTTAGACCCAACTAATCAATAAATTTCATGTATCTTCTATCAATGTGCATTTATAATCTACAGTTATCCTTCAAATACTAATTATTAAATGTTAATAATAATTTTTTCAAGCAAATTAAAAATTAATATTTCAGACTTATATAAAGCTTTACTAATACCATTTTAGAACGATAATTTTTATTTTTATTAGTTCAATCAATAAAATAATAATATTTGAAATCTTATTTAAACACAAAATAATAATATCTACATAAATTTAATTTTTTTTGTCTAAATCGACTCAAATTAAAATTTCAAAAATAAAAGAAATTAATAAAAATTAAATTTTGATTTTATTTATATAAATTGTTCATTCTCATTTCATTATATATCTAATAGATTCACGTTAAAAGATTTTTTTTTTCTTTTGTGTAAATTCATATTAAAAGACTTTAATTGAAATACTAAATGGATAAAATATTAATTTTTACTCAAAATAATGAATCGTAAAATTAGAATGAATAAGTTATTTAAACCTAATAGATTCAATATTAATTTTAATCTTTTCTACATATTTAGACGTATATATCACTTAATATACATGTAAAATAAAATAAGTTCTTTAATATCTATAGTATTTCATGTATTTATTTTCAATTAAATTATGAATATAAATTATATTTAATAATTATTTAAATTATAAATTGATGATGAAATTAATTTTATTAATAATTCATTTACTTGGTATTCTTATTTTTAAAATTATTATAGGTCGACAATAAAATTGTATTGTTAAAAAAATTATAATAAAATTATGTCAACTAAAGTAAAAACTCAAAAGAATGAATCGTAAATTAGAATGAATAAGTTATTTAACTAAAGATTCAATATTAATTTTAATCTTCTACATATTTGACGTATTATCACTTAATATACATGTTAAAATAAAATAAGTTCTTTAAATTTAATAGTATTTCATTGTATTTTATTTTCAATTATTTTCAATTAAATTATGAATATAAATTATATTTAATAATTATTTAAATTATAAATTGATGATGAAATTAATTTTATTAATAATTCATTTACTTGGTATTCTTATTTTTAAAATTATTATAGGTCGACAATAAAATTGTATTGTTAAAAAAATTATAATAAAATTATGTCAACTAAAGTAAAAACACACATAAAATGGATTTGTAACTTTATTTGGTTAAAATACATATTTTGTGGCAACAAATATTTTGAAAAAATAGCATTACCAAGCTGTATAAATTCTATTATGACTTCTTATATAATTCTGCGTGCATAATAATGCATATAAATTCATAATATTGTCTATAAATTGAATTATTATGTATGAAGTTAACAAATGGACTTATAGTACATAACATTATACAATACTATATTTCATTATATTATAATATAATTTTAAAATTACATTTATAAAAGTATAATTTATGATAATTATTCGCGCATATAATCGTATGAAACTAATGTGTAAGACTAAAAGTGTATAAAAATGAAATTTTGGAGAAAAATATTTTTATCATTCGAAGAGGATATAATCTTTTCAAAGAAATTTATTTGGCATGTCTTGTGACATGATAATTCTTTTTTTCCTTTTTAAACTATTTATTGCTCTTGACATCAATGAGAAGACTAACCAGATCATTTTCTCTAAGATCTTAAGATCATTAGGTTAGAATATAGTGCATTTTAACCAATAGACTAAGCTATAGGTGATACCTCCTATTATTTTTTTTTTTTTTAGCTATAGGTGATACCTCCTATTATTTTTTTTTTTTTTAAACACCGGAATTTAAAGTCCACTAACCTGGCTAATCTGAATTTGCGCCAAGTAAATCCATAAAGGATAGCAAACCGCTTCCTCCCAAGTGTTTAAAGGGACTCTATACTCGAGCTCCAACTGAAAATCTCTAATTAAAATAAAATGATTCGTATTATCTCATCTTACATCAGGGTGACACCTCCTATTATTTATTTTCACCAACAAGTCTTAAGATGACACAATCGTGATCAAGATTATGTTTATTATATCATTTTAAATTCCATTTTAAGTTTATAATGAATAGATAACATTATAAAATTTTCTTTTAGTACTTTGGATACATTTTTCCCATACCTTTGGAAGTTACATATTGATTGACTTCAACTAATTAACAATTTTTGCTTGAAAAAGAAATCCACAATGTGAAGTTAGATAATTAATCATGATATTCACATGATCAACCTTTTTTCAAAACATGACACGCTATTCCTGCCACCAAACACTCCCTTTTATTTAATTTATCTTTTCATCTTTTTGGTACAATTTTCAAATTTCGAGTTGTGAAGTTTGAAATTTCTTTCTCTTGCAATTTATTTTAAACATTTTTGTATTCTAAAAGCTAAATAAAATAATATTTGTGTCAATGCAAGTTGCACATGAAGCCACCCATGTCTTCCAATATCACTTGAAAAAATATTTGTTCTTTGATGAGAAAGAGACTCCACTAAATTATAAACAACAAGACTACTTGCAATTTTATTCTAATAGGTTTATTTAGTTTATAGACTCACTATTTGGCATCTTGTTATTAACTCTCCTGTGTCCTTAATATGTCTGAAGGACAACATTTTTCTATACTCCTATAGTCAATCATTGATGTTATTTATGTTTTGAAAATTAATTGCATAGGCCGAGTCCATGGTAAACGCTTATGGACCAAACTAATGATAAAAAGAATTCTTTAAAAAGTGTTTCGATTTTATCCTTTTTTTTTTCAGTGTATAGTCAGAAATACTCTCATTTTTATAAGAAACATTATTTTCACTGGTTTAATCCATGAGCGAGGCCATTGACCCGGTTTAGGTAAAATTTTCCCTTACTTTTTTCATCAACTTTTACCTTTTCATTTTTTTAATATTTCTTTTAAAATTATCGGTATTAATTAATTTCTTAAAATTTATTATTATCATAATTTTCGATAATTTCTTAAAATCTGTTTTGTCATCTCCCTTTCTCACATTTTTAATGGCAGATTAATGAAGAAAATTATTGACTTTAAAATAATTAAATGAGATAAATAGCCATTTCATTAAATGAAAAAATATTTTATTATAATTTAATTGCTTTAATTATCATATGGAAATCTTGAATGATAAATAAAATTTGAAAATTAATTGATTTACCTCAATATAAATTTATAATATAATGTTTAATAGATTGGTTTTTATGTAAGGTTAATCAAACATTTTATTTAATTTAAAAAATTTACCAATTGGCCTATTGCCTGTTTGACAGATAAGCACCAACTTATGTCCATTGTTCACTTGACACGTGCAGAGATCTTGATGGACAGAGTGTAAGAATCAACGTTTAGGGATAAAGCGACCCTCGAGGGATTGAAAGGCCGCTTTTATCTATTCGTTCATTAAATATAATATTGAGTAATATTTTAATAAAAAACAAAAAGTAAGTAATTATTCATATAATGCAGAAATGAATTGAGTGAGGAGGATCAATCATGAACAGGGGTCCAAAATACAATCAAAATGGGACCCGTTTCCATGTCATAGAATTACAGGATGTGACATGTGCAGGGTCACGTGGCAGACATCTAATGGACATATAATGTCCATCTGTTACATCTAGTCTGTGTTTATTGATTGGTCGATGTTCCTCGTTTCGGCTAAGCAACGTGGACGATTCATAACCATTGATTTCAATTCCTATCCGTTGAACAGTTATGATCGTGGAATTTATAATATTTATAATTGAATTTTAAATAAAAAAAACGGGATTGTTGTGAAATTGAGGACGCAACTAATCAGCAGTACACTTTCGGGACGACACAGTGTGGGGTTCATAAATGCTGGATGATTTAAGGTATGGATATTATTTTTAAAAAAGATAATTACAAAAATTTTATTTTGATCATGTGATCATCCAATGTGAGTGTTGGTTGGACCGTAATTATGGGTACTTAATAATTACAATTTTTTGAAAATTAAATTAGTAATATAAATGTTAATCCCTCTGTCCTATTCTAAGCTTTACAAATTTCAATTTTTTTAAAGAAAATTAAGAGAATATTAGTTTTTTTTTTTTCATTTTATCATTTACTCTCTCCGTCCAAAAACTTGATTATTTTATTTTAAAATATAAGACGATTTGAGTATTTTAAAAAGTAATAAATAATTTTTTTTAATTTTACCCTTATTTATATTATATATAATAATTATCTTTACAAATTATTCTTAATATTAAAATAAATGATAATTTGATTAAATAATTCTTGATTAGAAGAATTAATTACTTACTTAATTTCCGTGCGAAGGTTATATTTTGAGATGGTCTTTTTAATTTATTTGAGATAAAATAATTTATAATTGAGAGAAACATTTATTTATAGTCTAATTATAAGAATCCAACCCATGAAACAAATTAAACTTGGCATCTAAAATGTAGATTCCAATGTAACATAATGCCAATTAAAAAAGAAACATAGTATAAGGCTAAAGAATTTTTGGATGTTGAAATGTTTTATCATATTATCTACTGAAGCTCAACTTTAAAATTTAGGTGTCAAAATTAGAGGACCTAATAGAGTATAAAAAATTTTAAAATCTATACATAAACAATGTGAAATAGAGATTTTATTTTTCTTAGAATAAGGTGGGATGAAAAATTTGAATAAGATTTTTTAAAAAATATTTTAGTACCAATCTTTTGAAACAAGTAAATTATTAATTTTATTTCTTAAAATAGTTTTTTTATAAAATTCAATTTCTCGATTGATCTTGGTGTTATTGTAGTAGTATTCATAATGCTAAGAAATATGATAATTTTTCTCAAGCTTGACCATATGTTTAGAAGCAAGTTTCAAATAAAAATATTGTATATATATATTTTTAATTCATTAAAGGTTTGTATGGACCGCAATAATGTTGACAAAAAGTATCACGTTACTCAAATTTGAGATCTCTCATTTATTATATAAATAAAAAACTAGTTAGACTACCGCATAATTGACAAAATTATTGTATATTTACGTTATATGATGATCTGTTTGCGTTAGTGAAAGTTGCTATTTTCTATTTAAAAAAAAAAAAAAAAAATGATATTTACGTTATATGAATGATCTGTTTTTGCCGGTTAGTGAAAGTTGCTAATTTTCTATTTAAAAAAAAAAAAAAAAAAGGATAAGAGGAAGAAAAAGGAACCGTTCATTTGGGACCATGATGTTTTTGGCATCAATATAATGAAATATCAAAATAAAATCTCAGAGTAAATAGTGGTAGGCAGATGCCTTACGAGTAGAGGAAGGCAAGATGGCCTTTACAATTTAAAAAAAAAAAAAAAAAAGGATAAGAGGAAGAAAAAGGAGCCGTCATTTGTGGACATGATTGTTTGGCATACAATATATGAAATATCAAATAAAAATCTCAAGTAAAAGTGGTTAGGCAGATGCCTTACGAGTAGAGGAGGCAGATGCCTTACAAGTAGAGGCAGATGTCTTATCTTAAATTGTAACTTTTACCTTTAATCACTTGCAGTAAAAAACTCAAAATGTAAAATCCTATAATCAACTGGTTGCTCTTCAGGATCTTTTTTTTTTTCCCCCCGGTACAATAAGAGAGAAAACCAAGAAAAAAAAAAATTAATTTTTACTCTATATTTGTTAAACTACCTTGGAAGCATCATAGAGACTTAAAGAAGAGGCAAACCTTGCAATCAAATCGGCATAACAATTAGCTTCACCGTAGATAGATGTAAGAGATTGAAATAAACCAATTAAGAGAGGGAGTGATCGAAGGGTAGGACTTGAACACGAATCACTCAATCGCTCATGTAAAGGTATGAGTATCTTCCTCCTAAGTTATAGCCTAATCCCTACGTGCATATATATAATTGGATAATGTTTTGATTATGCATTTCCCATTTCATTTTATTTTTCATCATATTTCTGAAACTTTAGTTTTGGCCATCTGGGAAACAAAGTTACTCACTTGCCTTTTACATAATATAAATCTCAGGTCATAAATTGCAATTAAACCGAATCCTGTCATAAAAGGGAAGAATGCTTATTCATTACACATCAAAAGGTATTCCTTTTTTACGAATCCTTCTTAAAATAGTTTATTATCATCATCATCAACGTTCTGCATACTGTAAACTAGAACTATTAGTAAATTATATTAGAAGAAAGATTATGAAGGGGTTGCTGAGATCGATAAAATCACCCATTTCTCTAGTTTTCTTGATAATGGTCATGCTCACTATATTCTTTCTGTTCCATAAACATTTAATTCCAAGAACTACAATTTTCAGGACAAGGATGCCTCTGGATCAATATGTAAGTTCCCCGATCTCTGTGTTTTTTTTTTTTTCTTTGCCCCCCTCGAGTGTTAACTAGTTGGATCCTGTTTGGATATTTTGCTAGTAGAACTCAGATGGGAAAGACTTGCTGCAAGTCTTAAGAGCAGCATCAATGCCAAGCAGAACAGTAATATTAACTATGGTAGACAAATCATGGGCAAAACCTGGTTCTATTGTTGATCTTTTCCTTGAAAGCTTCAAAATTGGCCAAGACACAGAACTACTATTGAATCACTTGGTCATTGTCGCTACGGACAGTACGGCTTTTCATTACTGTAAGTCCATTCATTCCCATTGCATCCATCTATTTAAAGCCACTAAGAACCAATTCAGGACTCTGAATTACCCTACACTTGCCCTCAAAAGGAATGAACTTCTGAAACAAGTGCTTCAATTCGGTTACAATCTTGTTTATACGGTTGGTTAGCCTCTTTTTACCTTAGCTTAATGCTTTCTGGAAATCAACCTCGTTGTCAAAGAAGTCGCGAGTAATCATTTTTGTTGCAGGATGTAGATGTGATGTGGCTGAGAAATCCATTCCCACTCTTTCATGGTCTGGCTCAAATGACAATTGGGTGTGATTCTCTTTATTCATCAAGCTACCAAGACAGTGACAGTGAAATGGCAAGCGGGGGATTCTTTTACATTCAGGCAGATGAAAAATCGATTCAGTTCTTCAACTTATGGAGGCTAGCCCAGGTTCTGTATCCCAACACACAAAACGAATCCTTGTGTGAAACGGTTCTGAAAGAAGATTTCATTACAATGGTTGATTTCACACCTATGTTTCTAAAAACAAAATATTATGGTGGGTTTTGTCACCCACATAATGATATAGGCAAGATATACACTTTGCATGCTAACTGTTGTGATGATTTGGAGAATAAAGTTCATGACATAAAGATCGTTTTTGATGAGTTGAGAAACTACAGATCAATTCTGGCTGAGGGTAATAGCTTGGGGGCATTGTCTTATTGGGGAAGAGCTCCGGAAAGGTGCAGGAGAAGCAAAACTTAACCTTCCGAGTCATAAACTGGGTATGTGGTCAATTGCATTAGTGCAATTACACAAGACTAGATTTGAAGATAGAAATGGTGAAATATGTCTATCACAAAGAAAAAGAAATAAATTGTAAAAGGTGTAGAATGATTGTTATCTCAGAGGAAGTTTCAGCTATACCAATAAAAGAGCTGCTAATTCTACTAGAACAAAGCAACTTCTGTAAATTTAATTGCACAAATATGTTCCTTCATACAAAGTTACCTGTTTCAGAAGTATATTGCTGTCTGAGAAATGATTCAGCACCAATATGACAAAGTAACCTCAAATTGATACAAGAATGAGATGTGATTTACCTTAGATACAAAAGGTAAAAAAATGGAATGCACAGAGATAGTCAAAGAAAATGATTTACTTGCGGCAGTTTTGTTGGAAAAGACAAGCCTTCCACAATCGAATGTTAAATTCTACAGTTAATAAGCAACGGTAAATGTTCAATAAGGAAGTTCTCCTTCAGGCATTTCCCAGTTATCTTCATCATCATCAACCTTCTTGCTTGTGGACGTTTCCTGCTTGTTTTCTGTTTGCGATCTCATCATGGGCCGCCTGGTTCATAGCAAAATAATTCAGCAATAAATATCAATCTTATTGAATGTCCTAACAAAAAGAAATCCTTGGTAGGAAAAGCATGTATTTAAGGAAACAAGAAATAAGAGCAGAAAATGGAGTAATGTTTTTTTCCCTCAAGGAGAAAAGAAAACCTATAAAACAAATTCTTCATGGCTGCCACTCGATCAATGCTCAAATTCATAATTACTAACTTGGCAAAGAGACAAGAAATTGCAATATAAAAGATAGCTAAATGAAAGATGATACAGCACCTAAGACATAAAAGCTATAAACTGCAGATAACAAAACCTTACAAACTGCAAACTCATGCTAGTTGATTGGACAGAAGATTTCATAACACAACTAAAGAATTGAACTTTGCAAAACACTCACGTATGGACTCAGCAGACAGCTTAATTAACTGCCCTACTACATGAAGTGTATTATGCATAAAGTATTCTTAATGAGGTTAAGTAAGCAAATGGCGTTCTAAAACACAAATCATGGTAGCATATGAATTGCAATTCAATTTAGATTATGAGAAGGAGCTTAAGCACCATAGTTGTCAAATTGAGATTCGAATCAAGAATTGAATGAATAGAAGCTTAAGATTTAGTATAACTCTTAAATCAATTAAAGAGTCTTTATGGATATATTCCTATTAATTTTATCACAAGAAACTAAATATTCAATTGCAAATCGAGTGTTTTACTAAATATTCAATTGAATCAAAAGTTATACTCCATTCTGATCTACCTATAAGATTCGCATCATTGGGATTGACTCGAACCGTAAGATTTGAGTTGTGAATCGTAAGATTCGAACAACACTATTACATATTCTCATGCTCGTCCTCCTCTACATTGACCTTTTTAACTTGTTTTGTTGTGTATGAGAATCGTTGGGCATAAGAATTGAATCAAATCATAAGACTCGGATAGTGAATTGTTATGCTTAACTCTGATTCACCCATAAGATTCGTATAGTTGGACATGAGAATTGACTCAAACTGTAAGCTTCGAATTGCGAATCCTAAGATTCTAAAACTGTTACGTACCGATACCCTCTAATTACGGTAAATAGAAAGATCAAATCCATACAGGCAGAACAATAGCATGAAGGAACCACAATAAGCTGAAATCTATAGAATGCCAGGTTGCTTGCCAACAACGGAGAGAGAGAGAGAGAGAGAAGAGTGATTGAAGTTCTTTTCACTTGGATTTCCCCTTACAACCAAAGGAAACAAATTTCGCCCCTTACTTTCTCTTAACCAACATAAGTTTTCCTTTTCTTTTCTTTGCCTCAATTTTACCAGCCCTAAATGAGCCTCAGACCTCCACTATAACTAGCATCATAACAATCCCCTTTTCCTTTCTTTTCTTTCCGTTTTCTCAGTTTGTCAGTGCGAAATGTAAAACAAAAACTAGCAATTTCACCTGAGATATATACAACAATGCTTAATCAAAGACCTTGTTATCTTAACTTCTACTTGAGTCTGTATTTTCTCATCAACCAACTAGACAAACACAAAACATTCAAATCCACATTATGATAAACTAAATACACAACTTATCTCCGAAATAGAGTAAGATTCTCCCAAAAAATTTCCCTTCATTTCCATTTCTATACTTGCCTTAAAATTTTCTGAGCAGCCAAACAAATGCAAGAAAATCAAAAGAAAAGAAAAGAAAAAGAAAGAGAAAAAGCCAAACCTTTTCTTATTTCGCTTAGCAGCTTCACGAGTCTTGCGTTTCTTCTCATCCTGCTTGTTCTCAAAATACCTCCTCCTCCTACACTCTTGAATAATACCAGCCCTCATGACCTCTCTTCTAAACTTATTTAACAGCCTCTCTTCACTGTCATCCCTTTCCACAATCACCTGCACATTATACGCCGATTTAAAGAAAAGGGTATTCGCATATGCAACAGAAGGCCAGATCACCGATGACAATTCAGGAGATAAAGGACCAGATTGACCCTCTTGGACTACCAGTGGAGTAAACTTATCTTTGAACTTTTGGGATAAAGATTGAGCTAATGTAGATGAAAAGGAGAGTTGTGATCGGGTGTTTGGAGGTGGGTTTGAGGGGGAGAGGAAGGAGACGAAGTTAGGGAGAGAAAGCGAGGTAGCCATGGGTGGAATTTGGAATTGGATGGGTGGATAGATTGTCCTGGCTACGGTGTGGATACATATGAGTACTTGAGTAGTGTTTTCATTTTTACGGTCTCATAGAGACAGTGTATTGGGTCGACCCGGTTAGGTATTAGGTTCGGTTTTGTTTTGGTTGGGCCAGGGTTTGAAAGCCGAAGCCAAACCCAATTCTATTACCCTTATTCCACAATATATTGTTTGGGCTTCCTGTTATGTATTGGGTTGGGCTTATTTTGTTTTCTTTTGTTTTGAGATAGGGTTTGCAAGCCAAGCCCAATTCTTTTAATTTAGTATTACTCCACAAGGACCACAAGTGCACAACATTTTGATTGGCTTCCTCTAAGGATTTTTACTTTTTTCCAAATAGTATAAATTCACACTTGAATTGTATAGAATACCTAATGGCATTCTCAATTTTCATATGAGCCCATTAAATTTTTTAACTTTTAAATGAAATCATATTTATTAAACACTTGAAAAATAATTAAAAAACATAAATATTACATTTATTCTTTAAAAGAAAATAAAATAAATATTATATTTATATTTATATTTATATTTACCGAACAAAACAGCCGACTGGAAAGATAGTCAATCAAAAGAAATTAATAGTACAACTCAATTATATAATTTTTTCAAGGAAATAATTTAATACATGCTTAAGAAATAAATACACGATATACTCTTTATCAAAGCCTTATAATTTTTTTTTTTTAGAAAACACCTTATAATTTTTAATATATTTGAAAATTTAAAATCCTTACATAAATTTTTATTTTTTAAAGAACCATGCGTACACGACCAAACCTCTCAATTTTTCTTTTTTCGTATGTGAGCTTTTTGTTATTAATGAATTATTATCATATGCTAACGTGTGGCATATATTATATATAGTACATAGTAATATAATCCTGTGTCTTGTACCGAATTATTTGTCTGTAGTGTTTGGAGAGGTTACGAATTGACGGTTAACAGTTGATGAAGAAGGAAATTTTGGCGCATGATTTAGAAAGTAGGGCACTATAGCTCGATGGGTGCCCGTGCACCGCCATTGGGCTGCCATTGGATTAACTGGGACACGTGTTTTATTATGGATATTAGTATTAATGTGCTTCACGTAATTAAATTGATTTGACATGGGAATGGATAAAATGTCACAAACCCATTCCTAATTGGGAACTTGCAAGCTTTGGGAAATCTAAGCATAAATCCTTGTAAAAATCTAATCTAGATTTCTCAACTTGTGGACTAGATTTGCAAAGCCAAGAAATGGCTTAGCATTATTATTTTTAATTCTAAGAAAAAAAGAGAATTTATTTTTATTCGATTCGATTATTATTAACATGTGGAATTAATTAAAAATAAAATAAATTGAATCAAATTAATTATATTCTTTTCAGTTCTATACAAGGAGATAAGAAAGAAGGAATTTTTAATAATTTAAAAAAAAAAGAAATATCATAAAAATTGAAATAAAATAACTATGTTATCTTTATTTTCTAAAATGATTGATGAATCATGAATCAGAGAAGCAAAAACTGAAGTGACACTTAAAAAAGTAGCTAGACCTAGCGATTTCTTCTACTAAATTTTCAATATTATCCCCATCATAAATCTTACTATAATAATAAATTGCGAAGGAATAAAATTTAATTAGTCTCTTGAACTTCAGAGCAATATATAATTTGCTTTAAAGTTTAATTTTTAATTTTTTTAAAATTTTTTATAATTAAATATATATATTCAATATGATAAAATATTTTTTAATAGTATAATGTTTAACGAAATATATAATTATTTTAAATAAAAGAAATGATTCAGTTATGCCATATTTTTTATAATTAATTTTTATACTTTAAAATAATCTTTTTTTTCTCTTTTCTAATCTTATACTCTTTTAAAAAATTTGTCAATTAAAAATACTAAAAATTATTACTTCATTCTTTTTATGAATAATTGAGCCTTTTTACTTATTTGGTACCGAATTAAGGCAACAATTATATAAAAAAAAATTACTTTATAGGTAAATTATTGAAACACCCCGAATTTTTATTTTTGAAACTTTTGAATTTTTATTTGATTAAAAATCGGGAACTTTGACCGTGTGGGCTGTAAATGTAATACAATTCTTTTTCATGAAATAATTGAGGCCCTTTTTACTTATTTGGTAACCGAATTAAAGCAACAATTATAAAATAAATAAAATTACTTATAGGTAAATTTATTGAAACATACCCCGAGATTTTAATTTTTGAAACTTTTTGAATTTTTATTTGATTAAAAATCCGGACGAACTTTGACCGTCGGGGCCTGTAAATGTAATACATATTCGAGCCCAAATTTTCTGAATTGGGGCCACAAGCCCAAAACAGATTATTCGGAATTTTCGGATCCGAGAAGCATTTAAAATTTTTTTTTTTACGAATCAAAAATGAAACTAGTTACGTAATCGATATAATACGTATTATAGGTATGTAATTATTAATATAAATTATTAAATCTAAATCGAATATCATAATTGTTGCATTTATTAATATTGAGTAATGGAGAAGTTGCTAGAACCCAGCCTAAAAGAATCAAAAATAAAAATCATCGGATTAAGAAAATATCCAAGCAAGAATCTGAAACCAAATCATTGAATTGACCCAAGACCGAATTCGAATGAATCGGAATAGTCGTAGAAACCCAAAATTTCTTTTCTTCTTCTTCGTCTTCTTCTCTAAGCGGCGGAAACAATCAGGATGCTCCCACCCCAAGTCCCTCGCCCTTTTCTTTTTTTTTTTCGTTCACAGCCAACGCCACCGGGTGCTTCCCGACAGCAGCGAGCACACCACCTATGCCCTACCGCGGCTATTGCCAGCCAAGCCGACTCTCCCATCTCTTCTGCTATTTCCTGGCAGCGCCAAGCTAAGCGTAGCTTCGCAGAGAGCTGCGATTCGCTCGGATCGAGATCTTGGTCCCTAATTCCTGATCTCCGCCGTACTTTCCATGCAAGCAGCTAGACTCCCGCAACTCTCTAGTCGACGGTGAAGCTCTAGCTCTTTCTCGCCGGGTTTCTTCTCCTACTCTTTTCCTGTTTTCGCTTGACGCGCAGCTCGGGGCGCGACTGTGGTGGGGATTGGCCAATAGTCCCGTTACCTGTTCTTGCCTTCCGGCAGAACAGCCCACAGGCTGGCGGAATCTTTCGACTCTCTCTCCTCGTCGCTCAAACTCTCATCGCACGCTCATGGTCTTACCTTCCCTGGCCGGGAGTTGCACGCCGGCAGAACCGAACTTGGATTCCATATGGCAGGTAAAGTGAATTGTTGACCTTTTTCAGTATATTTTTCATGAATTCATTGAGTATAGTTATAGGAATTTGAATTGCTAATTGAAATTACTGTAGAAATATAGCCTTAGATACTAACTGTTCATATAAATTTGTGAAAATTTAAAATTAATTCTTCCTAACTTTATTTGAACATCTTTATGTATTAGTGTAAGGGAGTCTTAGTTTAAGAAATAGAATAGGCATGATATCAACAACATTGTTATTTGTTATACTTGGAGCTATTTTTTTGCTTTATATACGTTAGACAAGGGAAACGTAATAGCCAATTTTGAATTTTTTGTCTTGAAATCGTGTATAAATGATTCCTATAAAATTGAATCATACCAAGTTCTTAATGCGATATGAGTTTTAAGTTTAAGGAAAATATATTTCTCATTTTAAATAATTGGTATGGAAACAGATGTATGTATATATATTTATATTTTCAATACTCTTATGTTGGTTAGTGTTGGTTACTGCTTGATAGCAATATTTTTGCTAAATTAACGATTCAATTGAAAAACTCTTTAGCTATATCTAGAAGTGGTATTTTTATGTTAAGACGGAGAAATTTATGAAGCTTCAGTTATATGTTTAAGTTTCGAGTTGAGTTATCTAGTAGAAGTATTTACTAACTTGGAAGTTAATTGAAATATTAGTTATTAATAGTTAGTCTAGAACTTTAATAAATGTTTAATGTGATTTATTTTTATACCTTAAGCAAAGAATTATTGATAATATTCCTAGAATAGTTGATAAGAAGAGGTCTTTTAATTTGTAAATATGGTTGATTGGTGATATTTATTTGAAGGCGGGATGGGTATTTGGAAATTGATTGCTTGCCCGACGGATGGGCTGTGTTGCTTTGATTGATTTAAAGATATAATGATATTGTGGAATATGTGAGCAGGTAGGATAGTTCCAAATTTTAGGGGAGGTGCCTGCCGAAATTTTTGACAGAATTAAACTAAATTTTAATTAACAACATTAATAAAATAAGTTATTTAGATTAGTTCTATAATTTGGTACATTAAGTAAATCCGTGGCGCTCTAATTTATTTTATTATCTTTATTATTCATTTCATTATTTATATATTAGTTATTTATTTGCATCATTATTGTTTTATTGTATTTATTTTATTATCGTTGTTGTTTATTGTCATTCTATTATTTATTTATTTATTTATTTGCATTGATTTTGGATGTTTAAATTGTGCATTGGCATTCGATGTCAATTGAAATAATATGTCTGCATTTGTTTGCAATGTTTTGATTAATTGTTTGATTACTTGTGTTGTGATATTGTTGTGCCTTGTTTGTGTGGAATTGGAATGAAGTGGGTCACCATGGGTTTGTGAGGACGGTCGATAAAGTATAGATCCTGATTATGTTGAAATTATGAAATTGAACCGTCGGCCGGGTAAATGGAGATCGGAGCCCCCATGTGCACCTGATGATATGATATGTATGATATGGGAAAAGAAAAGAGAGAATGTAAAAACAATGAGAGGACTGGTCATATGAGGATTAGACCGGTCGGCCAGGTATTGGGGATTGGCTCCCCAGGTGCACACGTCTAAAGGATGGGCCATGTGAGAGTACGGCTCGTCGGGGGTTTCGGTGATGCCACTGACTAATTTCCACGTGATATGATTATATGAAGGTTCAGGCTGTTAACACTGATTAATTTCCACGTGATGTGATTATATGAAGATGTTAATAATTGTGAGTGCTGG